ACCGTTACTAGAACCGGTACTGATGGAATCAACACTGTCGTGATTGAAACTCCAGTTCAACGTACTGCTACTACTACTGAAGGTTGGACTGGTTCTTTCACCACTACCGTTACTAGAACTGGTACTGATGGAGTCAACACTGTCGTGATTGAAACTCCAGCTCCAAAATCTAGTATTACTGTTACTTCTCAATGGACTGGTAGTTTCACTACCTCTACCACTGCCACCGGCAGTGATGGTGTTGACACTTTGATTATCGAAGTACCAGTTTCAACCAACACCCAAAGCTCTTCCGTCACCTTAACTTCTAGCAGTTCTAGAAGACTTCCTTGGAACTCTAGTTCCATAGAAGTTTCTAGTGGTGTCGGTACTCTTTCGTCATCTTCAATTCTTTTGACTACGACTTCGTCATTTTCCCTTACGGTTCATTCTTCAAGCCTCGTTTCAAATTCAATTATTCCTTCTTCATCTTCGGTTCCATCCGCAACACATTCTGAAGAAACGTCTATTTCTTCTGTCTCTCCCTCTAAATCTGGGGGAGACCATGGTATTCCAGTTAGTACTGTTGAGTTAACAAGCGTTACTTTGCTTCCTACACCAAGCAATCTTTCCACCGGTTCTAGTACAAGTATCACTTTAATTCCTGCGGTTCCTACCCCAGGACCAGATGGCAACCCAACAACTACTATGGTTTCCACCAAGAGCGACACAAGTGATTCGGAATCGGCATACATACCTTCGATTTCTAGCTATGAGGGATGGGCATCAAGACCTCAAGCTTCTAAGCTCTTATTTGCATTGTTTGCATTGTTTGCATTCTAATGGTGCTTTTAAATTTCGGCAATTCATTTTCCTTTTTCTGTATTTTAGCATTCAATTAATAGATTAAAGACCTTCGATAATTACTATAAATCTCAGTGGATTCGGTCATCTTGCATGGAGTGAGTAAGCTATGAGCCCCTTGTAATATTTATGGATTTTTGCTCGAACTAATTCACTTTTGGACCATGGCAGTGGTAGAGATAGGGTAAAATGATAGCAGTACCAGTACCGTTTCCTGCCTTGGTGACACTGGTGGTGGATTAACCAAAGCAGTGATTGCCGCCCTAGCGTTTCAGTGAGATAACATAAGCTTTGCCACTATGATTACACACAGGCCTAAATCGCCGATGCCACAATCAACATAACAACAGGAATCTTATTAATCACTGTATAGTCCCAGAGTTTTAATGTTGGTAGTAGAGGTTTTGCCTTGTTTATCAGAAGAAATTTTTTGAAGCGATTGAAGCTTGTTACATAGTTTTGTATGCCGTTGGGAAGTAATTGGTTAAAATACGATCCCCCCACAATAAGACTTTGAGAGTCATGTAAGAATTCAGTTGATTGGCTACTTCTGCAAGAGAAATCATAGGTAATATTATTTTGATTTGGTGACTCTACAAGTACTGAAAGCGTGGCCATCGTGCCATTCACCACCCGAAGTTTATAGCTCGCAAATATTCAAGGAATAAAGAACTCTGTTGTTAATTCAAACTTAACAAACTCTCAAATTCCCAAAAGATTACCGGCATTGTGACTAGCCTCAAGCCGCACAGCCGTGAAACTAGATTCCATTGACTTTCAAAGAAACCTGGAGTGGAAATCCTGACTTTATCTGAATTTAATAGATTTTCGGAAATTCTGGTATTAAAAACGAATAGAATCCGTATAGTGTAGTAGTACTTGTACCACCTGCGATACCCATTTTTGCAATCGGTACACTGAATTGGGAATATTATGCCACACTCTCTATTTATCAAAGTCACCTTGCAGAATACAAAACCACCATCATTTCCTATTGGTGTCCAACCAGTCGTACGCAGTCCTAGTGTAAACTTTCCCTGTGTTTAATAAGTTTGGTCTGTCTTCTATAGAATTGGGGTAGAAGGGTAAAGCTTAGTCTTTCTAGCCAGAGCCTTTCACCCTGACCTGTTCTTTCATTAATCTTTCTTAGCGGGTTGTATGTTCTAGTTTGCTGATATGTTTGCATAGGAACAAGAAGTTTATCAGTTAATTTTTTGGATAGTAAGCCTGAGTTTTCTTCAAGTATTGCAAAATTTTGGTAAAAAGGGATTATGTTGAAGGCACCAACTAACACTACAGGTATATCCTTTGGAACTACATACTTTCGAAATATCGTCCAGCAAAGGAAGGCCCTACTTGTTCCTCGTATCAACAGGCACAGTTAAGTTACTATCGTTCTCTTTCCAAGGCATCTTAGTCTAATCCGAAATCTGGCATTCAGTCGCACCGCGTGCTTCTCCAGATTCCATCGCTAACTTCAAATGTTCTGACTTCTCAGCGTAAAGCTCTATAGCCATCATGATCGAGGATCCCTCGAACGACTTTGACTATGATACAGATCTTTGTGTGATATCACCCATCAAAGAACCTATTGCGACCAACGCTTCGGTTTATGCTACAATTGGGCGAGCCACCTTCCTAGTCCTCTCCCGCTTGGATCATTTGTCCTTCTATGGAGTGGATACTCAGCTGCCCAGCCTAAACGAGTGCTTCAAGATCCACGGAGCTACTATAAATTCAATGGTCCATGCTCGAATCAATGATGAAGATGTGTTAGTAACTTTTGATACTACTTACACCCTTGCAGTTGTACTGGCTAAAGAAGGTGGGGGGTACATCAAGAAAGAGATAATGAAGTTGGATCCAAAAGGGCACCAGCAAGCAATCGACTCTAAGCCAATCCTTGTGGCCTTGGAAGATGAGGGTGAGACAAAGCGACTCGTGCTACACTGTTTCCAGGGCTATGTTCATCTTTTCGTACAAGAGGAGTCTAACAAAGCAAAACGAAAGAGAACCGGAACACCCATCAATATAAACGAACGCAAGTGGACATTTAGCACAATATCAATAGGTTCTTTGGTAGTGCTGAAAATGGTATCCCTTCAGAAAAATAGCATTGCTCTTCTCTACAGAGACTTTAATTTCAATTACTCATTACGATACTACCTTATACAAGATGATCATATTGTGTTGGATACCCAATTCAGGGAGTTTAGTGTGCCTCCATCTTGCATAATACCCACCAATTTTGGGGGACTCTTGGTTCTAACGGGAATTCGTCTTTTTTACTTTGGAAAACTGGGCTCTGTTTTGGCACTCCATAACAGCGCAGAAGACTCACTATCGATTAATTCTGAGGCAGATGTGATAACCAAGGACCTTTCAAAGTATCCCCAACTTTTTAGTGAGTCATTTTGCTCCTACACTGTAATCGATGATACCAGAACATTGATAGTATCGAACAGTGGCATGACGTATCTTATCAACATAGAATTAGAGTCAGAGTCTCGAATGGTGATTTTTAAGAGGTTTGACTTCATTCAATTGGGGAAATCTACAATTCCTTTGGAAGGGGGCCTTTTCCATATTACTGATAATCATTTTCTACAAGTTTCCAGGCACGCTAAATCGATTTTATTCCAGATCTCTCCTAAAACTCCCAACATATACGTTTCCTCATTTTTGGAGTCTTCTCCCCCAATTTTGGACTTTGATATCATTGATGATAACAACGAATGGAACATTATGACGTGCCAAGGAGGGTATGAAGGAAGTGAACTATCTAAATATATTAGCACAAATGGTGGCTGCAACCTTGAGGCAGAGTATGATTTGAAGGGCCTCTCCATCCCTCTTGATCTCGAGATTCTGGGATCAGATCTGTTCGTAATATCAGACTCCAGAAATCGTAAGTTATTCAAGTATGATGGTCAAATCAGCTATGAAAAGGATTTGCCAAATGTTACACAGCAAGCGATTACAATAGAAACCAAAGAAGATCTTGAATTAACAACAAGTGGCATTGCTGGGTTGTTTTTCGAGAATGTATCTGCGGGTAAGATACTACACCCGAACCTTATTGTGTATACCAGTGGCCTGAATATAATTGCCAGGGATAAGACCAGCATAATTGACCTATTTGATACTGGGGCAGTGATCAAGAAATTGCGAATTACGGAAACTGATAATGGGTGTTATTCGTGGGTTTTAGAGACAGATGGGCCAACAATTTTAGGTGTATTGGATAATACTTTTCAAGTGCTCTACTCGTCTAAACTTATCGAGCACTCTCACGATTTAGCTCTCGTAGTCAACGATTCGAGATGGTTTATCTTCAATCTGGACAGTTATGGGAGAATCTACCAGTATCGATTTAGTGCATCTAAGAAGTTGCAGTTGATTGATTCTGAGATTTTGAAATTAAGTGACACATCTTTAAAAGTTTTGACACTGGGAAGAACATTGGTAGTACATGACATGAAAGATGTTTGGAGATTGAATACTGAAGCTGTACTGGGCTTTTATATTCCATTTAAGTTGAACGGATTGCAATTTGACAAAATAAAACTTCTTGATGAAAGTAGTTTGGTTTGTCTTTACAGAAGCAAAGTGGTAGTGCAGAAACTACCACAGATAGGTGAAAGCTTGTTCAAAAGGGCATATGATTGTCCTTATTTAATCACTCGATCGGTACAGGTACCCGAGAGCAAATCAGACAATGAGGAATATATTTCGAATCAATATTCGGTACTAATCTGCCATGAATCGAAATCTACGGTTTCGAATACAAAAAAAGGAACATTTTTGCAATTAGTGGACAATCACACGATGAGCCTACTAAATGAGTACACTTTCCCAGATGCAGTAGAGTTGGTTGATCTTTTGGCAATATATGATGAAGAGAATAATCAAGCCTTGGTTTTCGTGCTAGCAAGCAATAGACAGGCCCCTATAATTGTGTTCACAATACGGAACCAGAAGCTTGAGTTGATTGCCCAGAGCAGATTCGATGGCAATGTCTCGTCCATGCAGTCTATGCGGTTGGTTCACAACGACTCGCCTTACTTTCGATTGAGTGTGTCGGGCGCTTTCAATTACATGGTGCGGTGTGAAAGAAGATCGGAAACCAGCTTCACCTGGGAGTTGGCCGAGGAGAGTATCAGTCAGTGTCCCGTGTATCCTGTGGCGCATGCAGTGTGGGACGACGACGGACCTATATACTATGCGGACGTAAGGGACGGTGTCTACGTGAAGGATTTGGATGAGATTTCGTTTGCACAGATGATTTTCAAGTATCGCCACCATTTCATCACTGCGTTGGACATTCTGCACCCAGGGCACCAGCACATTCCCAGGCTAATAGTGGTGGGCGATTCGTTCGGAAACTTGTCGGTGATCAAGGATAACCACCAAGTAGCCTGCTTCAATTTAGGGGACCAAATCAACGTTATCAAGGCCGTTCCTGCGCGCAAGGAGCCCCACCAATATGACAAGCAGCCAGCAACCTCCTTGACCACAGACGTGGCCATAGTAGGGACTGTCAACGGAGGCATCTTCAAGGTGGCCTTCTGCAACACTCCCAAAGATGCCCACGCCATCAGCGAGTGCGCAAACGAGTTGGAGAATATTTCTTCAGTCTACAATGGGGCCAGGTTTGACTGGAAAGCACCAGTAGATGCCAGTGGTAACCCGGAACGGATGGATGCTTTTGGTGCAGTGGACATCAGAAGCATAGCCAGGGCATTGATGCTCCCGTCGCTGGCGCTCCAGTCCCGGAAGTACAAAAACACCTGTGCGAGTATGGGGTTGTTGCGAAAACTCTACTACGAATCCGTAGCCTATACGCTCCAATATCACAATTGAGCAGCGCGCACGACCGCGTCTCATTTTTTCTAACATATAAACACAACTGTAGATGCCATCCGCCAGCAGCATCACCATGGGCGACAAATTCGACGACATAGACATGCTTGAGATCCCCGACGACGAGGTTTCGTCGTCGCTGGAGACAGAAGCCATCTCCGAGTCCTCCAGCTCGTCGCGTGCCCGTTCTAAAGGCCAGTCTGCGGGACCCGAGGACTTGTTCAACAGCCATAAACTCTACATCCCGCTACAGGACTGGTTGAGCTCCGACAGCAGTGCCGAGATCGAGTTCCAGTTTGACCCCATCAAGTACGACAACAGCTTGGAGCTCACAGACAGCTACTCCAGGGCATACGTGAAATACACCAATGCTATGTATAAAGTGATAGAAGGATTGACAAAGCAAAAAGTCACCAGGATCGAGCTCGAGCAGCCCCAGCAGGAGCCAATTGGCGTAATTACCAGTGCTGGAGACACGGGAGCAAGCACCAAGGCAGAAAGCATAATCAACCTGGCCTTGGACTCCATAATCCACCACTTGAATAGCTTGCTCGAGGATATCACAGACACCAAGCCTGAAATCCATGCCCAGCTCCAGAACTTGGCGATCATATTGGAGTGTCTCAAAGCCAATTGGTTCTACGGAGAGGCTAACAGAAAGCCCGAGTTATTGGTCAGATGGATCAATATGTACGATTACAAGCCTGACGACGAGATCATCACCTCCATAATGATTGAGACCCCCAAACCTTACTTGCATCCACTTTTCTGGCTCAAGCTCATGAGCCAGCTCTTGACCAGAGGATTGTTTGAACAAGCAGACGAAGTTTTGAAAGGATCCCGGTATCAGGAATTGATTGAAGACATTCAAAAGGCAGAAGGTGAGGGCATAGAGGCAGGAGGTGACGGTAAAGAGACAGAAGGCCAAATCGAAATCCACTCCATTATCTCAGACTTCCACGAATTAATTTCAAACTATACAAACTTCTCACTCAAAGGACAATTTGAAAAGTGGAAACTCAAGGCGTGCGAGTTCAGAGACGGTTTAAGTAAGAGAAGTGCGGGTATCACCAGTGCTGAGCACGTCACAATTGCAAGACAAATTCATGATTTAGCCTGTGTCATCACGGGGTTGCCAAAAACCATCTCCAACTTTTGTGAGGATTGGTACGAACTTTACGTGGCCTTGGCCTTATTTCAAGTCAGAGATGACAAAGTCTTATATGAAGAATATTTCAAGCTTGCCATAGATGAAAAGCCCCCTGCATACTACGACGAAGAAGTTGAAGAACTCGACGAGAATGAATTGGTCGAGGCTTGCTTCGTCAACATTATCGAAGAAAACTTTCTTAAGGTATTGAGGTATTTATACGAACTTGACCCAATCACTTCTGCGTGTGTTGCTAAGTTGTTGGAGCTCAAGGGTTTGCTTAAGAACTACTACAATGTCAATACCGATGTGAACAATTTTCAAGCGATTCTTGACAAGAGAACCATTTCCGAATACTTCTTGACTGTGCAGGCTTATGAATGCTTGAATGTCCACGACTTGGTTCCCATCGGAATAGGCTTGCTTCTCAACGAAGACATTTCGACCTCAAAATCTTCCCATTTGACCGCCAAAAAGGTCATTGAATCATTCTTGCCCAAATTCCACTGCAAGACTAATGATGATTTGGAATGGGTGCTAACAATCTGTGCCAAATTGAATCTCATTCCTTTATCCAAACAACTTTATTACAATTATGGTATCAAGTCCTTAGAGGAAGGTTTAATCTACGAGTCTCTCGACTTATTTGTCAAGAGTTACGATGGAGACTCGTTCAATGGTTTCAACGAAGGAATAAAAAAGATTCACTATATCGTGTGGGACTTGATTTTCCAGGATAGTGTTGTTAACAACAGGCCGTCCAATGACGAACTCATAAATAACATCGTTGGTGGAGAAATTGACGACTCATTCGAGGTGGACCCTGTGATAAGACAGTGTCTTGCGCCATACGCGGTATTATACAAGTTCTTCACATCATTAGCAGAATCCAGATCCAGCCTATCCAGATTGTCAGTTGATGGCACATCAGCATCCATGAATCAATTGTCCTCATTGATACATTTGTTGAGATTCAATCATTTGCCAAAGAAATTCTATCCGTTATTATTGAGTCAAATTTTACCGTTTTTGACCAGCCAGGACGAGAAGTTTCACCTTCCAGACTTGATCATGATCATCGAATTAATTGATTCATACGAGCTTCAAACCACCAAGGACGAGATCAAGGAAGGGGATGCGTTATACAAATATTCTATCAACCATATTGAAGAAGAAACCACCAGCTACGACTGGAGAAAGAAAGTGACGACGAATGGCAAGAAGATTCCTGAGACCACGGACGAATTGGTCAAGGTGCTTCGTAATGAAATCATTTCCAAGATTGGACAAGTTTATATCAAGTAATGTATATAGGTAATTTTATTAGTTACTTATATTTTTATAAATCGACAAGAAACATCAGTAGATGATAATGAATTAAAAAAATATGGGAGGGAATGTCTCAACAGATTTTGATGATGTACCTTGAGAAAAACTCAAACAGACCAGGATAGACAGAGCCTACCTACACCGATAATCTAAAGTGCACTGGAGGGGTGATTCCTGTTTAACAGATGGCATCACTGGTCTTAGAGTTCAACAACAAGGCGACAATCAAACCGTACAAACCCAAGACTTCGGCGAAAATCAAGATCAAAATCATTCCGACGAACAATCTTGGTTGTTGGGCGGTACCTCTGACACCAGCGTCACCAACAATACCGATGGCGAAACCGGCAGCCAAACCAGACAAACCAACAGACAAACCGGCACCCAATTGGATGAACCCGGTGTACAAGGCTTGTTGTTGCTTCAAGGAGTCGGAGACCAACACGGACACAACCAAACCGTAAATGGCAATGATACCGGCCATAATGACTGGAACAATGTTCTTCACCAACAAGTCAGGTCTGGTGACACAGGTGGCACAGATACCGACACCAGACTTAGCAGTACCGTAGGAAGCACCGAAACAGGTGAACACAATGGCGGCGGCACAGCCGATGGAACCAAAGAATGGAGCATAGACGGGACTAAAGGTTAGTAGGTGTTGGGCAGTGGCGGCTAGCTGGAAGGGGCCACTAGCTGGAAGCAGGCTGTTGTTGTAGTGGCAGCATGGCAGTGAGATGGCTAGCCGGAAGAAGTTTAGCTGGAAGTGACTACCTGGCAGTAGCGGCTATCGGTAGCGGCTAGCTGGCAGAAGCAGCAGCAGCACGGGCAGCAGCAGCAGCACGGACAGCACCACAACCACAGCCACAACCACCACGATGCATTGATGCTATACTTCCTGCTACTCCCTGCTACCTCCACTATTCTTCCAGCCACCACGTTTGCTTATCTCGACGTAGATAAGCGCCAGCGCCAGCGCCAACGCAAATTGCGCCAGGTACGTACCATAAATCGGACATGATGCGAGGAAGATGGATTCAGACGGATGGATCGATTGATGAGTTGAATTGACGTTCAATCAGCAAGTTCAGGCTATCTACCAGTAAGAGAAAAGTTTTGGAGTTGTTTTCGCCGGGGCAAATTGGCGGGCGGTGTGTGCAGGCGCGCGGGACCGTGCGTACGCTCGGTGCGCGTAAACGTAGGGCCGCCACCCAGGCGCTGGCGGGATGAGATGATATAAGGCGAAAAATTCCTCATCTCATATCTACACCTTACTGGCGAGCTATTGCAAGGAACCGAACATGTCTGCCCCAAACCCAAAAGCCTTCCCATTAGCTGACTCAGCTCTTACCCAACAGATCTTGGACGTTGTCCAACAGTCTCAGAACTTGAGACAGTTGAAGAAGGGTGCCAACGAGGCCACCAAGACCTTGAACAGAGGTATCTCCGAGTTCATCATCATGGCTGCCGACACCGAGCCCATCGAGATCTTGTTGCACTTGCCATTGTTGTGTGAAGACAAGAACGTTCCATACGTGTTTGTTCCATCCAAGGCTGCTTTGGGCAGAGCCTGTGGTGTTTCCAGACCAGTGATTGCTGCTTCTGTCACCACCAACGACGCCTCTTCCATCAAGAACCAAATCTACGGTATCAAGGACAAGATCGAGACCTTGTTGATCTAGAGGGCTTAGCATTTGTATAAGGCCTAGTGTCGATTGAATAAGATACATTGTATTAATAGTAATAAACGAGGCGTTGCCGAGTGATATGGCTGTAGTGAGTAGTACGGATGTGGAAGGGGGTAAAGGCCTAGAGGAATTGTCACCATGACGGGATCATTGAGTGGATAATGGAGAATAGAGCAAAGGGCAAAAAAGAACTAGAGGCCTGAAAGGATATAGGGCTCACGAACAGACCATTGGAGACATCGAGAGAAACAGATGAGTATGTAAGTCGTTGAATACATTGCACATCTCATAGATAGAGATGACCTGGACTTTGGTGACTATAAAGAGGCCATCAGAGGTATAAAAAGTAGTGAGCATTGAGTAAATATATGGAGACTATTATTGGTGTTAGCGTTGAATGATTCTATGGAGACCATTAAGAGTGTAGGTGTAATAGTATTGAGTGATTGTAAAGATAATACAATAAAATTGATCTGATAGATCGAATCAAGAGTGTATTGAAAAATCACAGAGATCATAAAGAGAAATTTAAGGGTCTACTGAGAGACCTTAAGAGCAGATTAAAAGAACTAGTGTACTGCATTCTCCCCTTCCGTCCCCCTCCCATCTCCTCTATCCTCCCTCTCCATCCTCCCCCATCACCTCCAGTCCTGCGCGCACCATCTCTTCTCATTTTTCACTTTCACGATGAGCACTACACCACGATGTCTGCCGAGTCTATCACCAAGTTTCTCCGGTCCAAGGGGTCGCTAGCGGAGATCCTCGCCAGGGCCAACTCGTTGCTCGACGGCCAAACCTCCGTCTTTCTCCCCAACAAGTCTGGGTTCGTCCTCGAGCTTCTATGTGATCGTGCCAACGACTCTCTGGCTTTCAAGTCCTGGAAGCTCCACCCCGACTACTGGAGATTGTTCTCCAAATCATGGACGGCGGCAGCCTCCAGCCCCACACGGAGCAAGATGTTCAAGCGTGCCAAGTTGGTGGACGCTGTGGTGGCTGTTATCAACGCATCGCAGGACCTCCAGCTCTGGACGGCCATGTTCGACTTCATTGCCTTGGTCAAACACGAGCACTACATCGACATCGAAGAGGCTGCTGCTACATCGTTGTTGAAGCACTACTTGCAGGCTGTCAATGGAGCCCAGTTTCCGGGAGAGTTCGTTTCAAGATGGTCTGTGCTCATCAACGAGTTGTATCAATTGCCCAACCTCAGCATCAACCACACCGTGACCAAAAAGTCGTACTCTAGGTTCATCCAGGAGTGTGTACCTGGGCTCTTGCGGTTCATCACGGCTTCCAGCCACGACCTGGCCTCGAAAGACCTCTTCACAGCCACCCTCATCCAGGGCCTCTTCCTCCCGGAAATGATAGGCCACTTGAAAGCCAACGTGGACCAGCTTTTGAAGGATGCTTCCCTGCTCTTGGAGGAGAAGCAAATCTCCGAGTTGTTCGAAATGTGTGTGGATAACCTTTCTTCCAAGGACTTGGGCATCTGCGAAGATTTGTTTATTTCCATAACCTCCACCGAGAAATTCAGAGGTCTTTCGCCAGCATTATTGGAGAGACTCACCAGGGTGAACAAGTCTTTGTCCTCGGAGTTCTTCCAGAAAATCTACACCAGTGAGTTCGACGACAAGCTCGCAGCATCCACAGCCATCGACTGGACATTAATTATCTATCTCCTCGATTTGGATATCGAACTCACTATCAAATATGCCCACCAGGTCATCAGCCATGCCTCTTCCGCCTGCGACCAACAACTTCAGCTCAGAATCGGAAAAAGCATTTTACATTCATACTTGAAAGGAAGAGAATTGAGCCAGTTCTATTCCACCGTCTGGACGTCAGCAATCGAGGTTTCGTCCCAGTGGAAAGACCCAGCGTTTATATCATTGGTGGCTGCTACTGTGGATGACTTTTCTGCCAGTCAGTTGGCCAAGCTCGTTGCAGAGTTGTTCCAGAGTTACTCTTCAAAGCCTGAATTGCTCGTTCCCTTAATGACATCCATCTCCAAGGGACTCATAACTTGTGCCAAATCCAAGGCAGAGGCAGTCAAAGACTTGTTCGTGGAAAACAAAGCGTTTATCAGCACTAACAAAGAAGAATTCTGGGAGCTCAGATACTACTTGTCGTGTTTGTACGACTCGTCCTTAATCAGTGATAACTTGGAGGGTAAATCCATTTACTACTACTACTGCACATTCAGATTGGTCGAATTGGGTGCAAAAAATTCCAAGCTCGATTCTATAATGGCCAATTTTGTCAAATTAATTAAGAAAGAACCTTCATACATACCGTTTGTGTTGAACAGATGGATAATTATCATTGAGCAATTCTTTACTCCGGAATTATTATCTCAGTTTGCTGAGTTGATCTTTGCCAACCTCTCTTTGGATAGTCTCAGAGAATACCTCCAACAGGCCGAGATATTGTACGAACAGAAAAAGTTAGCATCCACCGTGATTAAGCACTTGAACACTTTGGTCGAAAAGGACTCCTCATTGATCGAATTAATTCAATTAATTCCAATCCAGTGCTACGATAGATCCTTGAAGAAGTCAACCATGGAACTCCTCTACAAGATAGCCATCAGTACCAAGGATTCTGAGTGTAACATCATCTCGAGAAAGGCTATTCTTCATTTGTTGAAATCTCCATCCTTCAAATCCAAATTGGAGATGGATTTCAAATCTGGATTGAAATTGCTAGAATCCTCTGTCAGTGAATCCAAGCCATCTTCATTCGAAATCATCAAATTGATCTGGGTCTATCATTTGCAGCAAATCAATGTCCAAGAACACGAAACCTATATCAACGACTCTTTGAGCAAACTCGACAAAGATCTTTCCAAGTTCTCTCCTAAAAAGAATAAGGAATCGTTGGTGTTACAAGCTGCATTTGTCATTATTTCTTCGCTTGATATGGACACCATTAGCAATGAATCCTTGAAAACTACCTTGAAAAACTTAATCTCCAAATTCTACTCCAGCGTGAAAGAGGCTATTGTCCACAGAGTATCGGAACCAAAAATCGACAAGGAATCTATCCAGTGGCTTTTGAGCACATTGCTCATACCGAAGTCCGAAATTGAGAATAGTGCCATTTTGAGCTTGGTAAAACAAGTAGGAACGAAGGTAGAAAAGATGGACGATGCCCCAGAAATTAAACACAGCTTGTTCAGGTTGATTTGCAAGGTTTCTACTCCCAAGGACTCGCTCTATATTCTCAGTCTTTTCTTCACATTATACACCCCAAAGACTGAAATAACAGAAGACTTGGAGAAGTACTTGGGCACATTGAACGAGCAAGAGCTCGAGTATGCGTTCGACTTTGTCTCCCATTCTTTCTATCTCGAACCTGGCCATCAGGAGTTTATTCCAATTCTTTGCTGTTTCATCAGGTCCACCAAGAAAGAATACATTTTCACCCACAAAATGCTCAGCCAGGTGCTTTCCAAGTTCCTCTCTAACTTCGACAGTATGAGCTACGAGTCACACGCTCTCATTTTGACCACCTTGAAAACTAGTCTTAGTGACATGACATGGCTTTTCAACCAGTATGGAATTGAATCCCTAGTCACATTGATGGCCAAGTACGGAGCTTTGCTTTCCGTCAACAGCTTCACAGAACCACAAACAGTCGAGTTGTACATTCAGACCACTCAGGTGATGTCCCACGTCTTGTTGTTCCATCGTTACAAACTTTCGTCTCGTCACCACATCATCATCAACTCGTTCGTTGCTTTATTAATGCCCTTGTCAGCCAAAACTGACAATTATTTGAACACCAACACCGAGGCTGCCTCCGCGTATTCGAGATTGTTGTCCAACTTGTGTGAGCCATCAGTAACTACCATGTCCAGAGAACAGCTAAGACATTCGCTAAATTCGTCCACTGCTTTGGCAAAGAGAGCCTTGAGAAAGCATGTGCCATTGTTGCTCATTAACTACATCTACTTGGCGTTGAAGTACAACTTCAAGAGTGTCGTCAATGAGGAGATCATCGGAGGAATTTATAACATTTTTGATGTTGTCAGTACCAACGAGTTGCAGTTGGTGAATTCCAGCTTGGATATCCCAGGAAAAGCGTTTTTCAGAACTTTGCACGGTAACTACAAGGATTTTGGTAAGTGGAAGGATCAATAGTCGCCATAAGTTGGGTATTCCCTTATTCCATTGCATGTATAGAGATGAATGTACTGTTCGTTATTTTAGTGTAGCTTTGGGGGTGCAGTTGAATCGGTACGAATCTCTGCAGAGTGTCTCCTGAGACAATGATTTAATGTCCTTAATTACTTCCAGATTGTCTCAGCAAGAGACTATGCTTAATGTCCTAAAATACTTCTCTATAAGTATTTTGGTGAGATTTGGGTCGCTCACAAAACCTAGAGTTTCTCCCTAACGGTCATGTTCCGATGGCAACGCCGTATAGAATCTATATTCATCGTTGAAAATGAGCCTGCCCAAATTTTTTCTGATTGATTTCGAAAAGTGGTTCATGATTTCCCACACCTTGGCTTCCAAGAGCTCGGACCTCAGATCGTCCCCGTGGTCGGTGTGTAAGTAGTGGCTGGTGTGCTCGTAGCGCAACACGTCTTTTCTGGTGATCAAACCGACCAAGATGCCTTCTTTCTCTACCAAAATGTAGCGAGGTCCGAGCTTGACGAAGATCTCGAGGACATACTCGAGAGGCACGTCGATGTTGATGGTCAAGGGCGACTGGTTGATGATGGACTTGAAGTCGATGGCCACTGAACTTATGATGTTGTTGGTGCTGAACGAGCACGGGGTATCGTCGCCCACGCCCTCATAGTCGCGGAGGATGTACTCCAAGTCGGATCTGGAGACAAACCCGGTGATCTTGGGGTTGGATGACGATTTGATGATCGGAAATCCGCGGTAGGCTGTTTTCTTCAAGGTAGTCTTCAAGTGTCCCAACGTGAAGTCGTCGTTGGAGTCCTCGGGAAACGTTACGATCATGGCAGTCATGGCAGCCTCGACCGTGGCGTTGAAGGTGAACTCCTCCCTAGCGTCTATGAGCGGCAAACCATTGAATTTGATCATTTGGTCGGCTATGCCGCCTTTGCCCCACCTGTCATTGATGCTCTTGGTGATAGCCACCACCACCATGGTGGGAATGATGTAGCGCAACGCTCCCGTCAACTCAAACATGATGATCACAACCGTGACCGACAAATGGGTGATTCCACTCAAGGCAGCCGCGGCTCCCAAGAACGCATAGGTTCCAGGAATCACACACTTGGACTCGCCAGCACAGGCACCAAAGACCCTGCTGTTGGGGTAGTGGCGGTAGAGCTGGTCCACCACAATTCCCAAGGCACGGCCGAAGGTGGCGCCAGCCGCCATGGACGGCACAAAAATACCAGCAGGGACTTTGCACCCATAGGTGATGATAGTGAGCGCCATTCTGGCGATAGTGGCGAACACAAGCGACGCCAACACCGCCACCCTGGGCAGGCTGGCGTCACAGAGGCCGTGATCATCGTCAGGACTGCACTCCTGGAATAATACCTGCATGGCCTCCGTCATGTCCACCCGCAAGAACTGGTTGAAGTAGCAGAAGCTGGCGGTGAGAAGAGACAACACCACCACCTCGCGGACAGCGTGGTTGGCGAGGAACCGCTTGCGGAACGACACCACCTGGATGTTCAATTTGGACACCACGATGCCGTAGACGCCGCCAAACACCCCAATCGCCACGTACACGGGAATTTCGAAAAAGTGCCAGTCGGTATCGTACTGGACCTCAAAAAGCACCAACTGGCCGCTGCGGAACGGGTTCATGGCTGCCAAAGTGATAACAGCCACCAACGAGCAGAAGTACGACTTCCAGATGGTGGCCAACTGGAACACAGACGAGATCTCCTCGATCGAGAACAACACACCGCCCATGGGGGACCCGAACGCCACTGCCACGCCGGCTGCTGCGGTGGCAGTCAAAACCTCGCGAGCTCTAGCGGCACTTTTGCGGTACTGCGGCACGAGCCCCGCGACGGTGTTCCCTACGCACACGGCGTAGTGCACGGAGGGACCCTCCTTGCCCACGCTCAACCCCGAGGCGATGGCGAGCGGCAACCCCAAGGACTTGATGAAGAGCGTCCACGCACCCAAGAAGCCTTCCACCACGAACCCTGACACGATGCACTTGATCTCAGAGATCCCAGAGCCAGCGGCCAGCGGAGCGTACCGCTGCACCAACACCGCCGCGGTGGACGCGAAAACTAGCGAGATCGCCACGTAGGCGACGTAGTTGATGGCACCATAGTGAGACCACTCTACCCATGCCAGGCAGCTCTCCTCGCCCTGGTTCCAGCAGCAGAAAGTGCGGCTGAGATAGAACCCGCTGGTACAATGGCCAGTACGGATGCTGGCGAGCCACGCAGTGACAATGTTCAAAATGGCAGCAATGAGCCCAATGGCCACACCAATCACGGCTAGCACGAGCCAGCTCTGAGTGGACGACCAGAGCTTTTGCAAGAACAGGGAGGATCCCGTAGAGTGCTTGAGCTTGAGAATCCGCTTGCGGTGCTCGTCCAACTCATCCTCGACCCAGTCGATGGTGCGGAAGTCCTCGAACCGCTTGACCTCTCTGACCCGGCTCTGGTTGGTCCACAAGCCAGTACGACGGGAGCGGATGGGGGCTGCCGTCGTTTCATGTAGCGGGATGTCCATAGTGTAGTGGATTTGAAGATGAGTTGTGCGAACGAGAATGAATACTGAAATTAGAGGTGAGGGTCGGGTGAGGGTGCAAAAGGATGGGGGAAACAATACTGATTTATTATCAAGATACAGTCGAGACTACCATAGTATCTCATAAAGCACTGGAGTTGGAGTAGATTACTCGAGGAAGTTGGTGGATACTATAGTTCTGGAGAACTAGTCACTCGATTGGGCAGTTCAGGTTTAGCCTACTCCATAAGTAGCATTATAGGTATCTTTTCCCAGTATTTCAAGTTTTCTGCTTGTATTCTACTCCATACTAACATTCCTAATAGGATTTTGGTTGCTCCAAGCTGAGCCTATTAGTTCTCATCTAACGTATAGAGCTTTTACCGTAGAGATGCAATGGTACACTTAGTTGAAGCACTTCTCTGGCAATAATGGAGTATGACTATTGTATTATACTACTGGGTATTACACTTAGATTCATGAACTCAATGCCACATTAGCGGTCTATGGAACTCACTTCACCACATTGGGCATTGGGGACACTAGGTAGAATTTTCCAAGGAATTGTACATTAGTACGTGACATTCCTAATTGGAATAAGCATCTCCGTAGGTACAGCAATGGTACAATTCGTGTTCACTATCATCTGTACTTGTGAATATTGCATCGTATTCTTCTGAATGACATATTGCTGACTTGGTGTCCAAATATGACTCCTACTGGAGCATATGCTGAAGACGTGTTGTCTCCTGCTGGTGAGATCGCTTCAAACGTCTTGTTCAATTACATCTCCTATTTATACGTATTCGTTGTATATCGTCAATTTATGGCTCCCGTAAGTACTGGTCTAAGAAAATATGTAAAACTATTTGCCATATTCACCGATTTCTATCTAATCAGCGGCTTGCAACTGTAGGAGCCGTCTATCCAACATATGACCTGGTTGGGATTATTAGCGGTCTGTTGGGTTAAGTTCTGGCATATTAAGTATTCGTTTCATAAGTGGGTGTGTTGGTCGTGGGATCACGATTAATTAGTCTATCACCTTCATCTCTATCATCTCTATCATCTCCATTTCTATCATTCATCTCTATATTATGTTAGATAATCTTGCTTCATTTTGCTCTATTAGATAATCTTTCTTGCTCTGTTAGATAATCTTTCTTCATCATTTTCAATATCCTTCTTTCATCTCTATCTTCTATGATAAAAATCCGTACTCTTACTGGGCAAACTTAATAAGGTTCTCTCTAAAGGCAGTCAAAATGTCGTCGAAATTCTCTCTACCTTCCTCGAACTTGTTATCTGCGTAGCTGAATACAAAGTTGAGGCCCCCAACTTTGGTTGAGACCAGATTCAACATGAAATCCGCAGCTGGTGGTGAGACATCCTGTGAAAATACCATATTGGTGATGCTCCAGCTATTATACATAGGCACATCTATAAGTCCCAAGTTGGAGAACTTCATCGTGTCTTGGGTGGTAGGACGCATCTGTGCCTCGAAGAACTCAGGGCTGTTCCCGATAGCCAGCTCGGGAGTTGTGAAGGCAAAAAACGCATTCATGAGCTCTTTATTCTGGACGTTTTTGGCCAAATTTGCACCAATTCTCTGCACAAGCTCCCATGAAAACTCTGAAAGAGGCTCGAACACTTCAGCAATGCCTCCGTGGGCAGACGTGCCCAAGATCTTGTACTTGGGGTTGTTCAAGATATCGTGATACTGGGGATCAGTTTTGGCTGGATCGATGAACCGTCTCAAAGCGATGGGAAGCTTGCAGGTGGAGTAGTGATTTTTGCCGTAGATAGGCTGCATGGAATAGACAATGACTGCTTCTATGTATGCTGTCAAGGTGACCTTGTTGGCCTTGCATTTGGCCAAAATCAACCTGGCCTGTTGAGCATCGATATTGATCAATTTGAAGGCTAGAACGTTATCTCTGGAGCATGGAAACCTTCCAGGCCACATTGGCAAGGCTGAGTTGACTGGAGTGACCACGCTGGGGCGTGGCAAAGGCACGAAGTCGTCTATGGGAGGATGAAGCGAGTTCTTGATCAAATTGTAGTCTCTTTCGCAGTCGAAAATCACTGACTTCATTCCCAGATCGTCGAAGGGCCCGTACGCGCTTAAAAACGTGTCGTCGCTAGCCTTTTCCTCCACAAGGGCCAAGTTTTCCACCAAAATCTCGTGGAAATAGTTGCCCACGAGTCCATCTGCAATTGTGTGCTCAAAAATCACCGACAAGTTCCTGTCACCGAGCTGAAGGACCCGGAACAACGGCTTGTTGTCGCTGAACCGAAACGAGAATTCGTTGGCGTACTTCATGAATCTTTCATTGATCACTCCGTCCGTAAGAAACTCCTCCAGACTATGGCACTCGAGCAAGTCCTCCAAAAGAACTCGAGGAAGAGGCACGTACCAGTGGTCGTCATTCTTGGGGACGACGTTGCACACCAAAAGGTGGTAGTCCAAGACGGTTTTGCGGAGAGCCCTACTGAGTAGAGGCTGTGGAATGGGATTGGTGTAGGTAGCCGTGACCTGGAAGGACTTATAGAAGCCGCTGGAGTTTCTAGACCGGTAGAAGTGCTCGGAGGGGCTGAGGGGACGGGAGACGATCATGGTGGAGGGCTGGAGATGGTGAAAATCCGGGGTCTGATTTGAGTCATGAACATACCAGTTGCGAGCGCTGGTGCTTACGTCAGCAACCCCCCCAACTGACGTAAGCCGCTGGGGGGCAACTCCTACCACCAACAACATGCCCTTTATCAGTACGTATCCCCACGCCTGCCATGGACCCACTAACCCCAGTTCCCGCCTCCGTCAAGCTAGCACTCACTATTGGCGCCGTTACAGGCGCAACCGTGGCCTTCATAGCCAACCGTGAACAGGTGTTGGAAACAGCAGAGTCCATGTTTGAGAATGGAGCTCGATTTTGCAGAGCACAGTTGGAGAGGTCCCGTAAGAACAAGATGTTTGCTGATGCCCATGAAGACAACTGGTTTGCCAACCAGAATCTCTCCAATGTGGACGATAGTGACTCCAGTGACGACGATATGACCACACCAGACGCCTCTGATTTTGCAGCATCGCCAGAAACGTCTGACTACTACGACAGCGACGATGACGAACACGAAGAGGTGCAGATGCGGCGCAGAAGAATGTCTGACGAGGTCAAGGGACACATTGAAGAGGTGGATTAGGTGGTGAGAGTGGTTGGTGAATGTGCAGAGGATTGTCCTGTGAAATTCCATGAGGAATCAGCTGTGGATTTTGTGACTTGCTGTGGATTCTCCGTGAATGACACCTTCAGTGAACCACCAGTGTGTTCTGAATCTGCAGTGACTTCTCATGTGGAATCTGCTGGGAATCCTGATACCTGCAGTGGATTCTGGAGTTTCCTGTGAATTCTCCAGTAAATTCTGAGTCCTTCCTCTGGATGCAGAATTTCTGTGAAACCACCCGTGTCCCCCTCTCGAATGTCCAGTGGATCCTTGGTGAATTTCAAATCTGCTCTGAATTTCGAACCTCCAGTGGATGCTCCAGTGATTCAGATTTATACAGTGGATTCTCTCGTGATTCTGATAGTTCCAGTGAATTTTGTACCTCGTGTGGAATCCTCAATCATTTCTTGACTGAATTCTCCGTGAAATAGAATTCCCTCGTGAATTATCAAGTGCGTTTCCCTGTCTCATATTCGATGAATCCCGAGTTCCCTGTGAATTCTGAAGTCTCGCTTGGATTCTCGTGATACTGATTCTCCGGAGAATTCCATTTTGCCATCCGGTTCTCACTTATCTCGATAGTGACCCATTTCACCATAGTTGCTCACAGCCCTCAACCTATATTCTCCCAGATTGGCCCTTGCCCAAGTTGTACCTTCCGTGGTTCTCTTGTATTCTTACGGCTTATTTTGACGACTACTACTTCATTTCAAACATTTTCTCCTTCTTCAATCTAGTAAACTGAAGCACAATTAATTGTTGGACGCTTATGTGACTTGTCCATCCCGCATGCCTATCGATCTATACTTTATATACCCACATTGAACTAAAATTTGATGAAAACAATGAAAATGTCACCCACCCGTAACCTAGCTTCTATTGATGAGAAGCAAAATAGCCTCGACTCTATTGTTGAAAATGAAATATAATTCTTCACTAACCCCCTAGCTTCCAATTGAACATGGAATAAATAATAGCAAGCCACAGAAACCAAAGTAACACCAATTTTCACCCCATTTACTCCAAGATCATCACTTAATATGCGTCCAATAGAGACTGGCATCATTCATTCTGAAATTATTCGATGACTATCTATCTTCCTTATTCAATTTCCCCCCAGACACTTACAATAGCACCTACCTCATGACGTGATCATTCTGATCTATATAGTATATACCTGATTAAACCGTAACTTGATTAAAATCCCATAATTCAGCTAGCTGCTAATATTCAACGAAAACTAAGATTCATTGCAAACCGGCCTTAATGTCTCAGCTTGTACCCATCCTTAAATTACAACTCATTACATTCTCACAAAAATTAAATTATCCTCAGCTCACCACCGCTAACACCACCACCAACACGAAGATGGTCAACGCCACGAGCAAGATACAGCTCCACTTGCTGCGGGACTTCTGGTACTCGTGTGCCTTGGTGAGCTCCTTCTGGGCCTGCTGGGTGTTTCCGTGAAGCTGAAGGATATTATCCTCTATACTGTCCAATTGTTCACCCTGCTGATTGACCAACGCCCCCAAGTCCTTGAAGATGGAGTTGACCTCCATGATGCCCTCAGCCACCTGGTCGATCTCGCGGTTCCTTTCCTCAGTGAGCATCACATGGTATTGGAGCTCGGACTCGCCAAACTCTTCCTGCTCTTGTTGGAGCTGCTGCTGGATCTGCTGCTGACTGGCTGACTGCTGCTGCTCAATCAAGGGAGTGTTTTCAGTGGCCACAGGTGCTTCTCTGATGGGCACTGCTCGCTTCTTCTCGCTGTAGATCCGAATGGACCGCTGAAACAGGGTGTGGAGCTGGTTGAGCTCACCCACCAACCGCTCTTTGATGACCACCTGCTTGTTGGACACTTCTAGCTGACCGGTGGCTCCGTCTGGCGGGTTTGCCAGCTTCTTGTTGATCAATTGCGATAAATTCAGCACAAGCACCTCTATTGCACGTTCCAATGTGCTAATGCGCCCAATGAGTTCGTCCACATTCGTACGTAGCTGTATGGAGTCTCTTCTTGAACCCACCTGTTTGCGCTGGACGTCGAGTTGTGATATCAACCCTCCAAGTACTTGGAGCTGTTTCGAGGTGTTGGCGATTATGGAGTCCAAATCGCTCAGAGCAGACGCAGGCTGGGACTTGACGGGGGTCTGGGCCTCCAAGTCCAAATTGGCAAACGACATTTATGGTTTTTGATGAATAGAAGCGTTGGAGTTGGATGGTGTAGTTTGGATGTTCGAAACAAGACTTTTTAAATTAGAAGGTGCTGACTCACCTACTTAATCTGGATGAGACGGTAATACGCTTGCTGGTGGTATGGTAGTTACTCAATGGGGTACGTCTGGATGGTGGTGCTGTTGCAATTGCTGGTCATCTGCTGGGGTGTTGTGGCTTCCGCATTGGGCTAATGCCTGCTTAGTCATCTCTTACGTAATTAATCCCCTAATTTCACAAGCGTAGTAGATTACGAAAATGAAACTAATGTATAATCAGACGATGACTGGTGAATATCAAAAGCTCTTCTTGGTACTATGCTACGATAGCTCTTAGCGGATACCAATATCTAGACTTGGTTTTAGACTTTTCCTGTAGGCTCATAATTACTACTATATTGTACGAACTAAGAGAAGATCGCCAATGTCTGTTAGTCCTTATTGTGCCTGCTATTAGCCAGGAATTCATCACGAGCTGGCTGAAGTGTTTATTAGCCGTTTAAAGCGAGATTTACCATTCAAGATCCCGAGAGTCTCCACGAGCACAGCCATTCTGGCAATAAGAACTGTTGCGACGGTTTAACCACTTTTCGCTTTTCATGGCCACATACGATCATAAATATGGTCCAGTTTCCTCTTTATTGTGCCTCTGGTTTATTTCTTTCCTTCTTTTATTCTGTTACCTTCGACTCTGCTATTCTTCCCAAACACCCATCTTCCTCTATACTTTCCTCTCCCCTACAGTTTCCCTACATTGTTTCTCCGCTGCTATTAAATACAGCTTAAATACAACACCGTCTCTCGGACATTATTTCCTCATTAAAATGCTTTTTTCCAAGGTTACTGCCCATCTCGTCCTCGCCTACTGCGCTTTCGTTAATTCTGCGCCTATCGAGACCCTTCCAACAATCGCCCTTAGTCAAGTTGGTCCCAACACCACTCTTGTGCCCATCAGTGCCTTGTCCAACAATCCAATTTTGGATGATGTTTTTGCTGCGTTGAAGGACTCTGGGTTAGCTTTTGTTGTGATCGACACAGTACTTCTCAGTCCCCAACTTCTCAATTTGAGTATTGAGGGCACCATTTTTGTGTTGAAACTGGGCTGGATCAACTTGACCGACTTATTCATTGCCCTCCAGAGATCAGGGTTAGTTATCCAGATTTTAAACGTCTCCCTTGATGACCCGGAGATTTTGCCAGGATTATTGAGGTTAGGAAAGTCTTTATTGGAAGAGAACGGAATCGACATCTTCAATCCCGATGCTGGGCTTATTCAGCCTGAATCAGTGCCACCTCCTGCTCCCGTCTTGGCCAAGAGAGAATCGCAGATCTACAATGATCTCCTTGCTGCACTTACGGATTCAGGGTTGGCAGTTGCTGTGGTTGAGCATCTTCTCACCACACCCTCTTTGGCAGACCCTTCCGCTCACTTTCTTTCTGAAATCTTGAAGTCGAAGGCCATTTCTGTTCGTGAACTTTTGGTGGCCTTGAAGGAGTCCAATTTGGTATTCGATCTCTTGAAAGATATTCTCCATGACAAAGAATTGTTGCGTAAGTTTGGTTGGTTAGTGCTTGACGGGATCAAGAAAGGTTTGATTCCAAGAGAGATGTATGATGGTATCAAGAGTAGGTTTGACTAATATGCTACGTACCATTAAATGCTTAAGTAAGTAGAGGTTCTACAGAGAGATTTTAAAAAAGGCTGGAAGGTTTCATTGGAAACTTGCTGGTGACACTATTCCACATCAAGAATCTTGCTTTCAAAGGAATATATTCTATTATTTAATTTTTTTAAACTGCTTTTCTGGAGGATTCAAATAATTGAGATGGCACTTGAAGTTTAGCTTCCGGTGACCGAGCAACCGCTATCTACAGAACTACTGGATAATTACAAGGAATTGATGTAGCAACTTGGGCTATACTGGATATGATAAAACGCCCTGGCGGCACAAAGGAGTTTCCAGTTTAGTCTGTAGGAACCAGATTTCGTAAGCCAAAAAATTAGTTAATGTGATATACCACACAGTTCAAATGATATATTGGTCAGGTTTAACTAGCCAAGACTCTCGTACTTATCTTCTATGTCGGTGGGCGTGGTTTTTTAGCTGTCCCAGCCGCAGCTTTAATTTTCCCAATCTACAATAAATTACTCGAATGGCCCAATTTGCTTTTTTCACCAAAACTCTAATTCTTGGACGGAAACATGAAGAGAGGATAAAGTTTAAGAAAAGATAAAAGTATTTTCAGTCCAGAGAAGCTCTAGTATTGAATTAGTAGAGACCTGGCTTTAAATTTTAATAGAAGCTCCTGATATCGAAGAATGGATGTTAATTCGATCTATTAGAGCGGACACTCAGAAGCACTATATTTATTCTCGTGGTTTGTAGCCGGTGGTTTATCACGAAGAACAAATACGCGATAGTACAGTTATTACGCCTCTACTTGATGGATGTATCACTTTTCAAGGCTTGCTCGGCTCAGGTAGCAAAGTGACCCTGCTTTGAGGAGTTATCATATCTAATAGCGCTCCTCGACATTTCACATATATTAATAGTAAGTATTCCAAAGACAGCTCCCGGACTCTGAGGAGATCAAACCAGATAAAATGGAAAAAAAATGCAACGAGTTCGGGAGTACGTATTATGTTCACACTACTCTCGTATAAATTGGGTGCACGAAGATAACCAGCTAATGGAGACGCGACGTGTACTTTTGAACTACTGTAATATCCCATGTACCAGCTTGATAGTTCTCTATAGCAGGAATACTCCACTATAGTTGAAGATTTCTCGGACTCTACACCTGGCAATAATTTCTCTCTACTATTATTAATTACTCACTACTATTGGATACAAATATTCTCCACCATGGACTATTACTCCACCAAATTATCACTCTAACCAATCGGTGAAAATCCACTAGCCAGCCTTGCAGCCTCCATCTCCCTCCTTAACACCCTTAACATCCTTACCTCCCTAAATCCCATCTCCCCTTACTTCTATTACCCCCATTATCTCCCTCGCTTCCTCCCCAGTACTACATATAACCTCATCCCACCCACGCGCACCAGACGCGTCCATAACTCTTCTTCTCCTCCACTCTTTATCCACACCATGCTGTCCAGATCCCTCAAAAGAGACAAGCTCAATCAGCTCGTCCAGGCCAGAAAGGCTGGCTCCAGCAGGATCTTGGCTGACGATCACGACCTCGAAGACCACGGCAAAATCTACGATGAGGTCGACGACGACACCTATAGACAGACCAAACGCGACCAGCTCATGAACGACGACTTCATTGTGGACGACGATGGAGAGGGATACGTCGACAATGGAGTGGACGAGTGGGACGACTCCACTCGTCCCAACTACTACTCAGACGAAGAAGATACTGCCATTGGCAGCAAACGCGCTCGCAAACACAAGCCAATCAAGGCGGCTAAGACAGCCCAAATCAATAACTTCTTCAAGCCAGCAGCAGGCCAGGTCACCACCAAAAAGCTTGAGACTAACATCGACGACATCATTGACACTTACGACGACTCGGCACCCGTCAAAAGGCCCAGAAACGACCGCACCAACGTGTTTGCTGCCAAAAGTGCCCCCAAGAAGAGGTCCAAAAAATCGGTTTTCAGCTTCTCCACCACCGTCAAGAGGGAAAAGTCTTCTCTGGTGGTGCTGGACTCCGCCAACGACACCGCAGACACCTCGATGACCATCCACGACCAACCGTCGTCGCCCATCAAGACGTTGGAGCCGGAAGAGCCCAGCGAGAAGGAAAACATCGACCCTGTGCAAGAGCCCAGCAAGGACTTTGACGAGTCGGACTCCGACGACGAGGTCGTCACCAGAAGACCACGAGCAGCTGGCTCTGCCAGAAACAACCTCGCGAGCATCTCGGCGGTCAGGGCGTCCGAGCTTCCCTCGTCCTCTCCCTTGAAGTCAGGCTACAAATCCCACACCCTGACCATCCACACGGAAAAGTTGGACCCTTCCACGTTTGTGGGAGGCGAGGACGACTCCGACTCGTTCAAAATGTTCTGGTTGGACTACTGCGAGGTCGACAGCAGCTTGCTTTTGTTTGGAAAGGTATTGACCAAGGAAGGCACTCTCGTGTCAGGTGTGGTCCAGGTCAATGGCATTGCGCGTGAATTGTACATACTCCCAAGACCATACCGTGTAATTGACGGTGAGGAAGACAGCGACGATCCCATAGGGCCTATGGATGTGCATGAGGAGTTGATGCCTTTGCTTATGGACAAGTTTGACTTGGACCAAATCAAGGCCAAGCCAGAGAAAATGAAATATGCATTTGAATTACCAAACATCCCCAAAGAAACTGAATATTTGAAGGTGTTGTTACCGTTCAAAACCCCTAAGAATCGGACCTTGACATTGCCTTCCACTTTGCAGGGCCAGACCTTCTCCCACGTTTTTGGAGGAAACTCCAAGATTTTCGAAGAATTCGTGTTGCAAAGAAACATCATGGGCCCTTGTTGGTTGCAGATATCCAAGGGAAACTTCGGTGCTATCCAGAATACTTCCCACTGTCAAGTTGAAGTTGCCATCGACTCGCCAGCATTGCTCAAGCCTATCACTCACAACAGTCCACCTCCCCCTAATTTAACAGTGCTGTCTCTCTCGGTCCAAACAATCATGGATGCGAAAAAATCGAAACAAGAGGTTGTGGCAGTCTCAATTGCTACTTACTACGATCTTCCTCAAGACTCCCCCATCGATGAAAAACTTCAGCCCAGCGAATTAATTACCTTCATGAGACCAGTGGGCTCAGTTTCGCATCCACCTGGTTTGGAAGCATTAGCACAAAAGCAGGGATTTAACTTGAAGACTTGCCCTACAGAAAAGGTGTTGCTTAATGCGGTTTCTGCTATTATCAAGCGTTCTGATCCAGATGTGTTTATCGGTCATAAGTTGGAAGATATCTCTTTGGATGTGTTGGTCCTGAGAATGTACGACTTGAAGGTGGACACCTGGTCCACGTTCGGTCGTCGTAACAGAAAGGTTTGGCCTCAATCGTTTGCCCACAATCTTGCTGGTAGTAACAAGGCCTTCCAGATTAGGGAGATTTTCCAAGGTAGACTCTTATGTGATATTGCGAACGAGCTAGGTCAATCATTGACTACAAAGTGTCTCACCTGGGAGTTGCCAGAAATGTACCAAGTTGTGTGTGGCAAGGACATGAAGCCAATGGAAATCAACTATTTGACTCCCAACTTCAAGGAAAATATCAGTATGATTTTGATGGGCTTGACCGAGAATTCGAAGAACGTTCAAATCACTGCTGAAATCGCTTTCAATTTGCAGATCTTGTCATTATCCAAACAGTTGACTAACATTGCTGGTAATGCTTGGTCTCACACTTTGGGAGGTACTAGAGCTGGTAGAAACGAGTATATTTTGTTGCATGAATTCAAGAGAAACAAGTATATTGTGCCTGATAAGGAAACGCAAGCCAAAAGGCGTCAGGCCAAGGATGAAGAAGGAGCACCAAAAAGATCTAAATACCAAGGTGGTTTGGTCTTCGAGCCCGAAAAGGGTTTGCACAAGAACTACGTTTTGGTTATGGATTTCAACTCGTTGTATCCAAGTATTATTCAAGAATACAATATTTGTTTCACCACTGTGGATAGAGACGATTACAATAAGAACCCAAGTGACGAAACTGAAAGAATCACTTCTATTCCTGAAAAGGATGCTGCTGCCGGTGTTTTGCCCAGATTATTGAACACTTTAGTTACTCGTCGTCGTGAGGTCAAGAAGCTCTTGAAAGACCCCAAAAACACCCCATTCCAGAAGGCTCAATATGATATCAAGCAGCAGGCTTTGAAATTGACTGCCAACTCTATGTATGGTTGTCTTGGTTATGAGTATTCCCGTTTCTTCGCCCGTCCCTTAGCCTCCTTGGTCACCAATAAGGGTAGAGAAATCTTGATGGATACCAGACAATTGGCTGAATCCATTGGTTTGAAAGTGTTGTACGGAGACACCGATTCCGTCATGATTGACACTGGTGCTGATAATTACGAAGATGCCATAAAGGTCGGTGAATCTTTCAAGGTACTGGTCAATGAAAGATACAAGTTATTAGAAATCGATATTGATAACGTATTCAAGAGGTTGTTGTTACATGCTAAGAAGAAGTACGCTGCATTGAATGTGATGATCAACAGGGCCACCAAACAAGAAGAAACAGCTCTTGAAATCAAGGGTCTCGATATGAGACGTCGTGAGTACTGTCAGCTCTCCAAGGACATTTCAATGTTCATTTTGAACAAGTTATTGTCTGATTTGGACCCCGATCAGGTCATGAACGAGATTTGTGATTACCTTGAGCAGACTTCAAAACAGATCAAGAATAACGAGATCAAAATCGACAAGTTCAGAATCAGCAATAGGCTTTCCAAAGACCCCAAGGACTACGCCCAAGGAGCCAATATGCCCTCGGTACAAGTAGCGTTAAGATTGAGAGCAGCAGGTACAGTGGTGAAGCTGGGTAACGTTATGTCGTTCGTGATCACTGCTACTACTGGCAAGGATGACAACCTGTCCCCAGCTTCCAGAGCTAGACCTATGCAAGAGATAATGAAGAACCTTGCGTCAATGCATCCAGACCCTGACTTCTATTTGGAGAAGCAAATCATGGGTCCTGTCACCAGATTGGTAGAAAGCGTGGAGGGTGCAGATATCTCTAGAATTGCATTGGCTTTGGGTTTGGATACTCGGAAGTTCAGCTCTCGAGGTGACGCTTCTTCTGCTGTCATTCCCTTGGAATCCAATATTTCGGACGCCGATAGGTTCTTGAACTCGAGCTACTTGGTGTTGGAGTGTACCTGTGGAAACAGATTCAGATTCGGAGGAATCACTGCCTCCAGCAGCTACAAGGTGACCTCACACGGGATCGAGTGCTCCAAGTGCCAAACAGTCTTTTCAGGCATCAAGGTGGCTGCCCAATTGGAAAGAGCCATTCGTACCCATATCTCGTTGTATTACGCTGGGTGGCTCGTTTGTGATGATGCTGCGTGTGGAATCACTACCAGACAGATCTCTGTCTATGGAAAACGGTGTATTGGAGCCTCAGGCACTGCCCACGGCTGCAAGGGTGTGATGAACTTCAAGTACACCGACAAGGCCCTCTACAACCAATTGTTGTACTTCGATTCCATTTTCGATGTGGAGAAGGCAAAGCAGATGAAGTTGCGCCCCATTTACAACAGCTACGACCAGGACAAGGTGCCGGAGCAGTTATCTTCGGCATCAATCCACGCCTTGGCGGAACACAACAGACACTTGCTTGAAACGTGCGAGGGAGTGGTACAGAAGTATTTGGTGGACTGTGGCAGACGTTACGTCAACATGGGCACGATTTTTGGGTTTATGGGCTGAATGAATGCACAAGGTATATAATGTATAATATAGAACAAACGAGAACTCGTAGGTGGTGAAGAATCAAGCAATTAAAATGTTCCAATTAAGGGCCCATAAGATACAGAAGGAGGGTAGCAGAGTGTATTTGTAATTTCATTGACATCAGGGTACAATACCCTTGGAACATCCAAACGTTTTTTGCCAATTCTTCAGATTCGGCACAACACCAAGAGCTCAAGATACCACATCCTTACTACAACTCCTGCTTCCTGAGTAATATTCTTATTAAGTCCGTACCGTACTCCCATCACCATCGCCGAGCCCTCACTTACACCTGAAGTTTCTCTACCGAGGTATACAGTACAAGCAGTTACAGAATTCTTGCGTACCAACGAAGACGACTGCTCACACGCGAAGCCTACATCGTGGTTTCGGATAATATTCTCGTTCTTTAAGTATTTCCTCAAGTTTTCTCATACCGTCTTCCCATACCCGGTCGTGCGCCGCCCACCCTCACTCCATAAACAACTCCCACCACACCAGCTACTCCATGAACTTCAACCACCACCCTATTCCACCCCAACATGAACATACCCCCCCAAGACCAGCCCCAGCGCAATGTGCCGATGCTCACGCCTCAGCTTCTCGCCAGCTTGAACCCCCAACAGCTCCAGCAATTCAAGAGTCATCCTCAATTCCAGGAAATCATGAGAAATTACATCCAGAGACAGCAGGCGATGCAAGCGATGCAGCAGGGCCAAGGACAAAATCAGGGCATACAGCAGCCTGTGCAGCAGCCTCCCATGGGCAACAGCCAGGGACGGATGTCGATCAGCGACCAATCACAACAACCGCGTCCCATGCATGGAAACCAGGGAGTAATGGCGCCACGAGGTGTGCAGCACATGCCTCAGCAGGCCATACCGCCACCGGGGATGGCTCTGCAGCAGCTGTTTGCGCCCGTGGTGGGAGGTCAGCCCATGATGCCTCAGCAGGCCCAGGGTCTTCCTCAGGCACCACTTCCCACTCACCTTGGAGCCCAGCCTGGCGCTCATCCCATCATCAACGCCCAGCCCAGCATGCTGCCCCCTAAACCGGCCATGGGTGTGCCACAGCCAGGCCTTGGGCCCCAGGGAACGCCTCTTGGAGGACAGTCTATAAGCGCAGTGGCTGCTGCTGCTGCTGCACGCAACCCAAACTTACCACCCCAGTTCACCCCCGAAGTACTCAGCAGTGTGCCCATGACCACTCTTTCCAGCTTGCACGAATGGTCAGACAAGCTAAAGGCAGAGGGCAAGGAAGTCCCCAAGGATGTGGTCAACTACGAGGCTCTCATCGAAAAAGATCTGAAATTCGTGGAAGGCTACTCCAAGCAACTCAACAACAACAAGGCGTTGATGGAACGGTTGGGCAAAGATATCAGTGCCTACAATCACATTAAGCAATTGAGAATGAACGCGATAAACATATCCAATAAAGGACAATTCAACAACAGTATTTGGGGCGAAGGTTACCAAGGCTACGGTAACGGAATAACCAGCACAGCCACTAAATTGGTTCTTCCCGAGCGGGACTGGACAGATGATCAAATCAACAAGAAGGTGATGAAGAATATCGACAAGCCTCGTGACCTTATACCTATCCGTTTAGGCTTTGACCTCGAAAGAGACCGGTTCAAGTTGAGAGACACTTTCTTGTGGGATTTGAACGAGGAGGTGTTGACGGTGGAATCTTTCGCAAAGCAATTGGTGGACGACTACAAACTTATTGCGCCTGGTTTCTACGATACTGTCGCAGCATCTATCAGAGAACAGATTAACGATTATCAAAAGAACCCTACAAAACCTTTGGGGGAGTTGAGAATTCCCATAAAAATAGATGTGACCATAAACAACATTCAGCTTACAGACCAATTCGAATGGGATATTTTGAACTTCGAGGAAAATGATCCAGAAGACTTTGCAGTGATCATGTGTGACGAAATGAGTTTACCAGGAGAGTTCACCACTGCTATAGCACACACTATCAGAGAGCAAACCCAGTTCTTTCACAAGACCCTCTACATGGTCGGATACAACTTCGATGGCAGTTCCGTGCAAGAAGAAGAAATCAGAACCCATTTGTTGCCAGCATTGAGATTGGTGTCTGCAAACTACACGTTGATGGACGACTTTTTCTCCATCTTGAGAAATCCTACCACAGTGGCAGACTACTCGCCATCCTTGGTGAAGTTGAGTCAATTGGAGGTGGAGCGTTTAGACAAAGAGATTGAAAGAGAGAGTCGTCGGAAGAGACGACACAATGCCACCGAGCTGGAGCTTCCATCCACCAGCGGAAGAGGCACCACTTCCAGAAGAACAGCTTTCCATGTGGGTAGAGGAGGGCCCTCGTTGCCGGACCTTTCGGACTTGCCCAAGACTTTCCGCACCCCAGCACCCTCCAGTATTTTGCCTGGTGCCGTGGATTTGGGCGTGCCAGATATCTATGAATACACCGAGATATATGCCAACAAGACCCAGGTCAGAAACCCCGACTACAAGCCTCCACCACAACCCATCAAGGACCAGGTCAGGTATCACCACGACCCTATCCTCGGAAGTCTTTACGTGCGTATCAAGTTGCCCCAGAGGCGTTAAATAGTTACTTGCTAGACATGTAATATCTGTAATATCATGTACCATATTGAACAATGCACTATTTTCGGCCAAGGAACGGGCCCGAGAGCTTCTGTGCGGAGGCATTCATTGCATGTGATAAGCCATGGGAATATCTAAGTTAAATGGAGGAAGCTACACTTTCCGCCGCAGCATGCGTCCTGTAAGGCACACAGTGGTGGTGGCCCAAACTTTTTCATATTCACTTCCTAACAGAGTTTGTCCGAATCTTGCATGATGGTTAGTGGCACGCGTCATTTCCCCTGCAAATTGCGGGGTCCGGATGTGAACGCGGATAGACCGATGACATCTACGATGAGGAAACGGAACCCTCTGGCCTTAGCATGACTGGTCTGGTACTGCTGTGGCATTGTATCGGATGCACAGACTTCCAAATCGCAACCTCTGAAAACTGGGGCATTTTCATGAACCTGTCAATCTAGCTTCTATTTCCCGATCACGATGCGGGCACTCAGCGTCCAACACTCGCGCGTGCAGTACTACAGTGGCATATGCTTTATCGTATATAAAGGCTTGGAATCCGTCCATTTCCCATTCATTTTTCCATCGAAACAACGTCATCATGTCTCAAAAATATGCTTTAATCACAGGAGCGTCCTCCGGTATTGGCTATGCTGTGGCCTTGAAATTGTGCAAGTTGGGCTACAAGGTCTTTGGCTGTGCCCCAGAACCATTTGTGGCCGAAATGTTCCCATTGAGGGACGAGTATGGCTTGGTCCCCTTCGCTTGCGATATCACCAACGTTGAGGATATCAAGAAAAGTGTTGAGTTGATCAGAAAGATCTCGGGTGGCAGATTGGACATTTTGTACAACAACGCAGGTATTGCTCTCGGAGGCCCTGCTGGAGAAGTGGAGCCGGAAGAAGTGGAACTTGTTTTCAAGGTCAATGTCTTTGGCCACATCTACATGACGAAGTACTTTCTTGACTTTGTCATAGCTACCAAGGGAACAATTGTGTTCACCTGCTCTGTCGCTGCCAGGGTGCCATTGTCATGGACATCATTGTACAACGCTTCGAAAGCTGCCATTGACCAGTACGCCTGGAATCTCCATGCTGAAATGAAACCATTTGGTGTTCGTGTACACAGTATCGTCACTGGAGGTGTGGACACCGCCATTGGTGATGCCTCTACCAAGACTGCCAAGTTGGGACGTGAAGGCTCTAGATATGACGTGGAAGGTATTGATGAAAGTATTTTTGCTACTGGAAGAATGGCCAGAGACACCAAGTTTTCTCCAAACAAGTACGCCAACAATGTGGTCAGAGACATTATCAGGAAGGATGGTAGATTCAACCTTTATCATGGTTACAAGGCATACTCCCTCCATTTATTGAGCAGATTCGCCCCAGTGTGGTTTGTCGAGTGGGTTATTGCTATTTATTTCAAGCAGACCAAGGTCTTGAGGAACGTCAGAAGACAGATTGCTAAAAAGTAGAGGTTTTCTGTGGTTCAGTGCTGGAATAGTTACGGCAGCGAGCTGGGCCTTGCTTCGTTTTCTAATTTATTTAATACACGAACTACATTCCGAAGTGATCAAGTGTGTATGGTGAAGAGTAATGCCTGGAGGCATCTAGGACCCGAGTAGTCAGTCTCTGGTAGTTTAACGTATCAGTCAGTGAGTTCCATAATTGATTAACAAAAGCCCACACTGCAATACTCTTTGAAAATATAATCTGTTGGGAATGGCGAATGCCATACCTACCATTCTGTATTGCTCAGTCAGAGCATAAGCCTCCATGCCACCTTTTACTACCTGTCACCCGATAATTCTACTGGCCATTTCAAGTACCTCCTATCTTGTGGCCTGATAGACTCCTGGCCTGCCCATCACACCATGCACATATCCCCAACAGTGATTGTTTTGGGACTATCTCCGCGATTTTGGCCCTACCGTTGTGGACGTCATATCACATGCTGCGAAAAGTATGGGGTATAAGAGCACACTACACCCAGTTCTTAAACTGACATCAAGCAGAATGTCCCAGAAGTACGCTTTGATCTCTGGAGCATCCTCCGGTATTGGCTATGCCGTGGCCTTGAAATTGTGCAAGTTGGGCTACAAGGTGTTTGGCTGTGCCCCAGAACCGTTTGTGGCCGAAATGTACCCATTGAGGGACGAGTACGGATTAGTGCCCTTTGCTTGCGACATCACCAAAGTGGACGATGTCAAGAAAGCTGTTGAGTTGGTAGGAAAGATCGCAGGAGGCAGATTGGATATCTTGTACAACAACGCTGGAATTGGGGTTGGGGGGCCTGCGGGAGAAGCGGACGAAGACGATCTCGACTGGGTGTTTAGAGTCAACGTTTTTGGGCACATCTACATGACGAAGTACTTCCTCGACTCAGTGATTGCTACCAGAGGAACCATTGTTTTCACGTGTTCCGTGGCTTCCAGGGTGCCCATTCCATGGACAGGAGTATACTGCGCTACCAAAGCTGCTATCGACCAGTATGCCTGGAATCTTCACGCTGAAATGAAGCCGTTTGGCGTCCGTGTGCACAGCATTGTTACTGGAGGGGTGTACACTGCCATAGCCGACCCCAATGCCAACTCGCTCCACGATGGCCGGGCAGTGAATTCACGCTACCAGGGGGAAGGGTTTGCTGAGAGTATGATAGCCAGCAGTAGAATGTCTCGAGACACGAAGTACTCGACCCACCGCTATGCCAACAGCGTAGTGAAAGACCTTCTCAGGAAAAGTGCAAAGTTCAACCTTTACCATGGCTACATGGCATACACCCTTCACTTGTTGGGCAGATATGCTCCTGTGTGGTTCACGGAATTCTGTCTTGCGGTGTACTTTAAGCAGTTGCTGGTTTTGAGACGGATCAAGAGGGCCCAGTCTGGGTGAAGTTTGAATTTTGTACTTTTTGAATGATTAAAAAATAGTAAATGAGTTATGTTTAAAGAAAGATGTAGGGAGTGTATTGCCTACGATGGGCAAAATATTATTGTTGAAGAGGAGGAAAATAAATAGAGTAGGAATTGTAATCCAATCGTTGCAATAAAGTACTGGCATGATGAATGAAGTGCCTACTTATCAGATTTGACTACTTGAAAACATCAGACTGCTCAACAAGCCAGTTCGAATCTAAAAACTACTATTCGCATAATAAAAAGACGATTCGTTGTCGCAAATTTATTGACACCTTCTGTACTTAAATGAAAAGCAACATTAAGCTGAACATCCGTGCTTCCACTTCTTTGGCCCCGATAGTTCGAATCACTTCACCCCAGCCCATTGCACTGCCATATGAGCCATTTTCTACCACCACCTTCCGTCACGCGCTTCGCACCTGGCTGCAAATCACACTGCCACGCCCACCGCCAGTACTCTTGCATCCCCACCATCCACCCCACTACCGCACCACCACCAGTGACTCCCCTGTCCCTCCCCGAATCTCCCCAAACTCCCTACGCTCTCTCTCGCTCCTCCCAGTACCAGCATTCCCCTAACCTACCCACCCGTCCCGCGCACTCCCGCCACGCTCCGGCTTAGCCTCCACGCGATAATTAAACGAGGATGTTTTCCCTACAAATACTATTCTGCCACCAAACTATTCCCACCATTTCCCACCCTCCACCACCAGTCTCCCACCACATATACATCACATGGCTTCGCTGGACTACGGGAAACTCCACGAGTCCGCCAGGCTGTCGCAGGGACCCGAAAATGACCATCTTCTAGACTCGTTTGAAGGTGGCAAAGAGGACTACGAAGACGATGCAACTGCTACCTCTGCCAACGAATCAGGCCTGGAAGAAGACAACAGGTTGCTTGAAGGCACAGCAGGCGAGAGCACGGCGTCGCAGATTGACAGAGGCATCCACCTGGCGGTGGAGGACCCCTACCGAGTTGCGTCGTCCTCGTCCCAGTCGCTGGGCGAAGCGGCTGACTCCACCACCACTGCAGACATCGGTGCCTTGGAGCTGCAGCGTCCGCTCCGTGAGCTCACCACTAGACAGCGCATCCTCAACGTGTTCAACCACTTTGTTCCCATCAAACAGACCTACGAGCGCATCAACAACGGAATAACCACTGGACGCATGCAGGCAAACACCCCCGGACGTTTCATTGGCCAAGGCACGGACGGCGTGTTCCGCAACCTCATGGCAAAGCCAGACACAGAGGCAAACAGACAGGAGCAGGAGGTCCATCCTCCCACCTACGAAGAAGCAGCAGCAGACGCCTCTCCCGAGTACTGGGAGTCCACAGTTATCTCTCCCATGTACGAAGACGAGGTTTTCGTGGAAGGGTTGCCTGTGGGCAACGTCGCCAGTTTCGTGTGGAACGGGTTGGTGACGGTCGCGTTCCAGTTTGTGGGCTTCGTGCTCTGCTATTTACTTCACACATCACACGCAGCTAAGCAAGGGTCCAGAGCAGGCTTGGGTATAACTCTTGTACTTAGTGGGTTTGCCATGGTGCCCTCAAATTTCGGCCACGCAGATGAGTTGCCGGAACGGTACGTGCCCAACGACCCCAACACCTTCGATATCAACGGGTCACAGTCCATCAAGAGCGAGTACGTGGACAACTACAGCTCGGGGTTGTTCACTCAGAACACGGCTGAAGATATTAGCAACTTGGGAACCAATAGAACCCCCTACTTTGCATACGGACTCATGGCGTTCGGGTTGTTCATCATCCTCAAGTCGTTGGTGGATTTCTACCGGGTCAAGCAGATGGAAAAGGTCATTTTGGTGCCCCCTGGGCTGACCACCACCTCTACAAGTTCAACAAACGCTTAAGCAATGTCATTGATGGGTCCGACCATCTACAAGTGAGAAACACTTGGTCTCAATTATTGTCGATCTGACCACAACGTACGATGTGGCACAATATTATTCAACGAACCTGACTACTCATACTGGATAAAGTTGATCAAAACTGCTCAAGCAAATCCACTGACGCGACTACGTGTTGGATTGGTCTTACACAATTCCAACAGGAAGAGTAAAGTGCCCAGGGTATTTAAGACAAAAGTCGGGTTTTGTGATCACGCCCTACAGGGGAGCACTTAGACAATTGTCATTGACGGTCTGACCACCTCTACAAGTTTGACAGGAAACGCTTAGGCACAATGTTATTGAAGGACCGTGGATGAGCCATGGTCCGAATCTGGGATAGTTAATTATGCGGCAGCAATGCGGATGTTCCACCCCTGCCACGCTCGTGGGTGGAACCGGAATCTATGTATTAATTCATAAGAACCAACATCTTTTCGTAGATGGTGAACACAATGCCTCCACTCAACACCAACCTGCCCAATCTAGGAGTGGCACCTTTCCAGAAGGTCAACAACCCCTCGTCACGGAAGATCTTGACAAAGCAGTCAAGCGTGGACTTGTACTTTTTCTCGGACCCCAACGCCTGTATTCTGGTCTTGACGGTGTCTATAGGCATGGTGGTGTAGACGGTAATGATGCCTGCGAACGATCCCACGGCAAACGTGGCCACTGAGCTCAATGGCTGGTTGGCTGGCGTGCCTGAAGCCTGCTGGATCATGGTCTTGATGGCATTGTAGGACCCCAACCGCACTGCCTGGTTGGACGCTTGTCTTAACGACACAGGCACCACTCCTGCGTACATTCCCCTGATTCCGAGGTCCCGACACAACTTGACGGTTCCAGACACCAAACCTCCCTGGTACTTTGGTTTGGCACTTTGCTTGTCGTCGATCAACGCAGTCTTGATGGCTTCGAACGGAGTCACGGCCACCACCGACTCCAAGAGCCCAGCACCCAAACCTGCAAGCACGCCTCGAGGACCAGAGAGCTTGCCATTCTTGTCAGCCAAAAGCGCTTTGATGGAGTCGAATCCGAGAAAACGCACAGAGGCCTTGACAGTGTTTCCCACCACGAACGCTGGACATCCCACGTATAACGCACCGGTTCCTTGGGTCTTGGCTACGTTGTAGATCAACACCAACGGGTTCTTGGAGGCCTTGGACGACTTGTCGATCAACTGGAGTCTAGTTTTCGCAAACTCGAACGGGTATGTGATCACACCCTCGATGGCCCCGGCAGTTCCACCGGCAATGAACGATTTGACGGGATCGACTTTTTTCTGGGGTTAGTTGGGGAATTCAGTTGTGGTAGCTGGTAGGCAGAGGCTGTTGACTGGCAGTTGAGCTCCAATTAGCTGTTGAACTCCAAATGTGCTGTTGAACGGCTCATCAACTCCAAATTGGCTCTTTTCAAGTGTCCAGATCAAAGAAATAGCAGAGATGGGCTGAATCGCCTCCCATCACGCAGATGACAACTTGGCCTGCTGTTACCAGCGGCAAAATCACCATTTATCATTTGACGCTGGTGATTGCAACTTCTTGCCAAATTGCAGCCTTAGGGCAATTCCCAGTGGCTATTGTGGGCGTGTCTGGCATTGACACCTCAGTCCGAGCCACAGAACAGTCCCTGTGTGTGCCTGGCTACCTCATGGAGAATACATACTTTTTCAACGGTAGTCATTGTGGAGTAAGTAGAAGTAATAAATTTTCGTTTTTCATTTCCGACCGGAGCTATTGCGATATGGTGGTGAGTCAGAATAAGCGCGGTGGTGGGCATGTGCCCGTAAGGAAGCCGCGGTGCGGGAAGCGGTGCGAGCAGCATCCCATTTAGCGAGAGCGAGGAACTTTTCTGGGACGGTCCTCCACGGTCCAAGACGTTTTTGGGGGCTACGTAGGGAGCTTTTGGGCAGAGCTCTATGAAGGTTATGCTTCGAATGAGAGCGTTTTGGTACAGTACAGATATGTGTGTTTGATTTAGGGCTATGATGCTCTTAGATGCATTGGTACTGTTCCGCTAGGTGCACTGCTTCAATCAAGGAGGACTTAGGATAGGTTAACTACTAAAATCTGCAGATGTGAATTGATTATGGCCGAATCAAGTGTATTTGGTTTCTTAATAAACCAGATTCTCTTCGCAATATCGTTCTGTCTCTACCAATTATCAATTATTTACTGTTCTTGGTACCTACTATTTATTCTTACTTACTACTTTCATTTCTTCAGTGTCTGCTTCTGGAATTTCAATTCATTTACCAGTCTGGGTTCCTATGGTTTCAGCATTGAATTATCATTTCCTTCAGTTTCTGTGTTCCTTTCAACCTTTTCATAGAGGCGATGGCTAATATTATCATTATAAATTTGTATGCATTGTGTTAAATAGTAAACCTCGATTAACGGACATGGATGACAATTTCGTCAATTACTCATACACCATGAATTTCCCTACGGTACACCTATTTTTGTTCTTTTAGAGCCGTGTGGCAAAGGTTGGAGCCAAGTAGGAATCGTAGCAGCTTTGTGGGCTCCTGTCGCCCGTTTCCCTTCTCTATTCATAGTAATTAAGTAAATAACTCTATCCTGGCTGTGTCGTTGCTGGGCCAGATCTAAATCAAGTTGTCAAAGTCATCGTCGTCATCATCCTCGTCGTCGTCGTCGTCGTCCTGCTGGGCCAATTGCGCATAGTACGCTGCCAAAGCGTCTTGTTGGTCCTTATCCTTGAGGTCGGAGTTTGCGACATTGAACGCAGGCTCGGGAGTCTGGTTTGAGGACGAGATATCGGTGTTGGAGACGTCTGGTTTGGAGTCCATGGTATCTGGCTTGAAGTCGCTCTCTTCCTTGATGGTGGGGGTGCCCTCCTTGGAGTCGTCCTCGTTGTCCAAACGGCCCAAGGTCGACTCTCCAACCGTGCTGTTGGAGTGCCACGAGGGAAGTGCGTTTTGTTCCAACTTGGCTCTTCTTCTTTCCTTTTCCAACTGCTCCCGTTCGTAGTTCTCGTCGTCTGCAGTGATAGAAACACGCAAGGTGGCCTGGGCCTTGGAAGCTGCGCTCTGGAGCGATGACGACATGTTCTTGGCCCGCACTCCTGACCTGTTGGTCAACGAGTACGTAGCACTGGTGGTGCTCTGGGCAGGAATGGACTTCAACAACGCAGACTCGAAGTCGTTGTCCTGGATGTTGGAGTCGTCGATTCGCTTCAAAAATCCGATGATGGGGTCCACCTGCATCATCAACGTCTCGAGCTTGGCCTGGCGCAAGCTGGCCTGCTGGCTGGAGTCGTCTTCCACCAACACTCCCTGGCACACATCGCAGATGAAGGAAGTCTTGTCCTCACTCAACAACGAGATGGCATCGAGCTGACTCACCTTGTTTCCGCAGCGTGGGCACAAGTACCCCTGTGGGTTTCCGTAGCTGGACATCTCCTGCTTCAACAGGTTGACCAACGAATGGACCTTCCATTTGATGGAGTCGATGGCTGCGGTGATGTGCACGTAGAAGTATGTACGTGTGATGAGACGCTGCTGGCCGTTTTCTTCCTTCTGGATGTAGGCGACCATCAAACGGTCGTCCACGAGCTTATTGCAGAGGGAACGGAGCTCCTTGCGCTTGATGCTCAACAAGTGAATGAGATCATCCTCAGAAAGGACGGAGTGGTGTAGCACGGCGTCGAGAATGAGCACGTACGGCGTGGAGTAGAACCCGCGGGACACGAACCTGATGAGCGACCGGATAGTATCATCCATGGTTGGCGGTGAAGAAAAGTTGCAGAACGAATTTAGGTGATTGTGCACGTGATTGTGTGCACGTGACTTCTTATTGACCTCAGTGTGGGTGTTTCCGAGTACGTGCTTACAGCAATGCTCCTCCTTTGCCGTGTGCCGTTGAAGAGTGCTCCTGAGTTACCGTAATACAGTATTATGCCATTAATCTGCAAACCAGTCCAGTGCCATAAACCGTTGTTGCTGTACCACTACCGCTCTTATTGTAACGACGATAATTAAGCCAGATTAATGCAAACAAGAAATTGAGTTAAGGATGTTAACAGAAATTTGTGGCAGAAAATTTACCAAGGGGCGAAATTATGCTAACAAAAATGTTACCTACAGAAATTGTTGCCTACAGAAATTGTTGCTCAGAATTTACTAACAGGCGAAATTAATGCTTACTGGAAATTAATAACAGAAACTTGCGAATAGGCAAAATAGAGCTGAATTAATTGTAACAGGCGACTCTGGCTAGACAAAGATGTCAATATGAAGCAAATGCCCAGCTGAACTTCAACTGGTGGTGTATTCTCTCCCAATCTTATGCAGTGGACCAAAAACTCTGAAATTATCACATATTCACTGCTATGATAACATACTGGATCTGGTTACTACTACTGAATTTAGAATATTCAATACAAACTGTTATTATATCTGATAGCTAGTTTCCAATTGTGGCTGCCACTGAAACCCACAATTCTCCAGCATAATACTATTCCAAGGTGAAAAGCAGCCATACTTTACAGTGGATTTTCTTTTCTTTGAACTGAGCTGCCACCATCAACGCAACAGTTCTGGCGGACCAGGCGGAGAAATTAATTAACAAAGAACTGGGCTTGTCTAGTCATAGATTTCCACTTACACGCACCAGACAATCTGACAGTCCAGAGACAAGAATTAACACGGGAGACAGACATCCACACGCAAGAGACTACAAGCAGAGACAACAAGCAGAGACAAACTGCCATGAACACCAGCGACAACCGAAAAATCCGCAAGAGTCAGTCTGACAAGCCTAGAGACAACCTGCAATTACCACCACCAAGTGCTCTACCTGCAGAGATGTCAACTCCACATACTTCCTCGGCGTCGCAATTAAACTTCGCATCTCATCTGGTGCATGCAGCGGCGTAACCGCACAAGCCCCGATGACAGCCTGGATGCAGCCGCCATATGGACCGACCAACACACATGGGACTCCCCGCTCACTGCAATCTCCGCCACGCCATCTCAGATCACCGCCGTGGGCCAGACAAAATGCCCAAAACGGAAGTGAAATCACTGCGAGGCTGGTTCGAAGACGTTGGACAGAACAATCGTGCAGGGGATGCTTCAGGCACTACGTGGCGACGCCGTGTACTCAAGAGCATCCTCACTTAACACCTCGGGAACACCCCGGGAAACACCCGGCTTCCGTGCCGCCAGGTGGCGTGCCAGCCGTCACGCTGCACCACCACGGCCCCGACCACACCCACACCCACACCCACACCGGCCTCCCACTCCACCAGCCCCTGCGTCGTTTCAGTCGCAGTCACGTGACCCCGGCTGCAGCATGCACCCCCGACCGCGTTTCAAAACGCGCTCCTCGCGAACCGCCCCGCCGACACAAACGGGGGGTGTTCGACGCGTACCCCCTCCTCCCTCTCCCACCTGCCGTGATCCGTATCACGCGCACATTTTATAAAGCTCACCTTCCTTCTACATTAACCTTTACCGTTATTTTCGAGTACCCGCGCACACCCCGTCATCCATCTTCCTCCACCTCCACCACCACCTTCTCCTCCTCCTCCTCCAGCATCTCCTGTTCAGCCTACGCTCTGCTCCAGGCTCGCGCTATGTCCACTGCTCCAGGAAATTTGATGTTCAATGCCAGGAGGCCCCTCCAAGAACAGCCCTTCAACGTCTCCAACAAAGACGCCATCGTCCCCAAGATCGAGACTCCCGTGCACCACCACCACCGCAACTCGTTGAAGATCTCGACCCCGCCAGAAACCTCCGTGGCCGTCAAGAAGCCCATGGCCTTCGACACGCCTGTGCCTCGCAAGTCCCAGCCGTCTACGGGCCCCATGGCACGGTTTGATCCAGGCATCGCGTCCGTCAACCACTCGTCTGGCGCCTCCACCATCGACGAGCCGTCGTCGCGTCTGGCGCTCCTCTCGCCAGCGTTCTCCAGCCCCAACCACCGTCTCCACCGTCCGTGTCCCGTGTCGTCGCCTCCCATGACCATCAATCCGTCGTCATCGTTGTCGTTGCCTTCTGAAGACAAACCACCAGTAGTCGCGCCTGCGAAACCAGGTGCTGGAAAAAAGGCGAAAAAAGCGAAAAAAGACGCCAAAGAAACAGTTTTCGATTTGGACTCCGAGGACAAGCCACCCTACTCGTACGCCACCCTCATCGGCATCTCCATCTTGAGCCACGAGGACAAGCGTTTGCCGTTGTCGCAGATCTACCAGTGGATCTCCGACACCTTCAAGTACTACAAGCGCGAGGACGTGGGGTGGCAGAACTCGATCCGCCACAACCTCTCGCTCAACAAGGCGTTTGTCAAGGGCGAAAAGTCCAAGGACGGAAAGGGCCACTTCTGGTGCATCAAGCCAGGGTACGAGGAACAGTTCCTCAAGTCCAGAAGCGTCAAGAAAAGCTCTTACCACGAGGTGATGGACCAGATCAACTTGGTGAGATCCAGACACAGGGAAGAGGCCAAACGCTCGATGAACGCCATCCCCTCGTCGCCCAACACCGAGTCCAAGCCGTTCTCTTCCACCAACTACAACTACACCACCCACAACACCGTGAACAAAGTGACTCGTCCCAAGAGGAAAAGAATACCCAGCTCAACCCACAACGATGACAATGAATACGACTACACTTACGACCAAACGAAACACGACGACGATGATGACGAAGTTGATGATGACTACTCTGACGATAATAAAGACGAGGACATGACCCATATCTTGGATCCTCCCCTGAAGAAGCAACGTATGAACGAAAAGTTGGGTGAGCCCTTCGGACAATGGGACAATGGAAACTCACTTGTAAGAAGTAACCCTCCACACTTCATTATAACTGATTCTCCAAACAAGCCGCTTTTGGCTGGAAAGAACCTCACGTACACTTCCTCGTTCAGTTGCAATTCCAACTTGGAATTATCGCCAATACGGCCAAGTGAAACAGGGCCGTTGCTCGAGCCTATAACTCCTGCAAACAACGTGTATCAGAATCATCAACTTCAACATGTTCACACATCGATATCTGCTAGTTTGAATTCGTCAACAAGTTCGATCCATCACTCCTTGCAACAAAGACCATTAATGACCCATTCCAGCACTCCCAACGTGTTACAGCGCACCCCGAAATCCAACATATTGAAGACTCCGTTGAGGAATTTGAGAACACCCCAGACCAATTCTATCATGAAAAAACTCTGGAACTCTCCTTCATATTTGGACGAATTCTACTACTCGCCCTTGGTGAACAGTCATACGCTTTTGCATAGTCACGCATCCGTGCACGGGTTATTGAACTCGTATGATGATGATGACATGATTATGAGAAGTTTTGAAAACCACCCCCATAATCACCAGACACCAGTGTTGAGTAGAAAATCGGGAAGTACTACCAGTATTGCGTCTACAGTTGTGGATTCCAGCCGGAATTTGTTTAATGATTTTAAGAAGATTGATGTTTTAAGTTCTGTCAGCTCCAAGAGCGACGTCTCCGACATCGAGGAATCGGCCTCGAAAGGTGCCCACAATATCAGCACTTCGTCTACGGATGCTGATGACTGAAGGGCCATTAACTAATTGTTTTGTTTTATTTCATCCCTATGCTCTCGCCGGCTGTTGTACGGTACAACAGATGAGAAGGTTGTCAGGTGGCTTTATTTCGTATATTATTTTGGTTCAGTCTGTTTAATGCTCTCTTTGCTTTCTTTGCTCCTCTATTAGATTACCATGTATTATTAGTGTTTAATTCTCAGACAATATATTAATTTGCTTAATCTGGCTTACCGTGTATTAATCTCTGGCATCCTCCAAACATGCTCCATAACTTATCTGTCAGTTCCAGCCAATACTCAACACATAAGGGACAATTTGCCACATTAGTAGTGAGTTTGAGAAAAGTAATTCCCTGACTTATGAAATAGGTAGATACTATTCCCAAATAGCCTTAGCATACCATGTATTTTATTCTCCTCAAGTACCCCTAATCCGTGCTTGCGCATCCCCTACACCCACAGGTGACACACTCGACAGCTTTGGTGGACTCCTCGTCACCGTTCTTGAGAAGAGTAGCCTTGGGCACCCTACAAACACAGGCATTCTTGTGGTTCTTGTCTTGAACCATAATGCACTGCACACAGCAAAGGTGCTCGTAGCCTTGTTTCTTCCATTTGGCTATCAAGTCGCCATTGACATAGGACTGAACGAGAAGCCAGTCGTAGAGCTCTCGCGAGATGAGCTTCCTTTTGTAGTACATGTCGTAGACGTAGCGAGAGATTTGGTGGTTGATTTGCATAATTGGCCAAAGCGACAGCTGCTTGGTGGATGCAGAGGACCCTGTCCTGACGGACTGGGCCACTTGAGCCTGTTTCAACTTGGCCTGGAGTTTGGTTAATGTAGGCGATACTTTGTCGTAGCCCGCTGGAGGAGGGGCGTTTTTCTTTATTCGGGAGGCCTTGGGCATTGTGTGTGGTGGTGAAGGTGGTTCTGATGGTGTTGGAAGCAAAAATTAACTCAGATAGTGGCAAAAAGATGGCTGAAGGATCTCAGGAATAACTTGTGATTGAGATGAGATTCTCAAAAAAATGACGACAGCAGCAGGATTCGAACCTGCGCGGGAAATCCCAACTGATAGCCCGAAAAGATTCGAGTCAGTCGCCTTAACCGCTCGGCCACACTGCCTAATTTATGCTGTTTTAGGAGTTTTGTTTAGTTTACAAAAGTTTTCCTAGCCAAAATATCGATGTAGCAGCTATTTCACCATATTAGAACTTACTTTGGATTTACGATTATGAAGATTTATTTTAGGCTCAAAGGAAGCAAAATTTGTCAAAAAATAAAAACATTGAAAACAATATACCCATAATCTAGCTAATGGGTTAAATAAAGACTTGATTCCCATTACAATATGTGTATAGCCTGTTCCAGAATGCTCTGGTCGGCAACTTTCAGTTATCATGACGTCTAGAGAGTAGAATACCAAATTTTTTCCTGCAAAAATGGAGTGACACAAAAAACTGCTGCACCAAATATGTAGTCGACAGAGGGATGTTTGGGGTTAAAAGGATGTACACTGTTGCAACATGGCAGATTAAATTTATTGAGACTGGACTCATAAGTGACCATGGTTACAACTCGGCAAGACCAATGATGTGTTTATCACTCACCGAACAGAATATATGCTGGATAGGTTGGCCAGATGAATATCAAGGATCTTATATCCGTACTTAAAGAGGCATTGGTAGTACAGTATCGGAATAAAAGTTTAATAAATACACCAGGTGAATTGATTAAAAAATCTGCTGTACTACAGAACAAGCTGGGGAGAACAAAAGGTAGGTATTACCGTTTTGCACTCCACAATGCTTGAAATCTCATGTTGGTTGATATCGCAATTGTCACCTTCAATGCTGTTGGTCATCGAAATATCGTGGTTGTGACTCTCTTAACCGATAGTAACCAGTTAAATTATCGTAAATTTTGCGAAAAAATTAATTAAATTGTAAAAAATTAGTAGGGAAGAGAAAGAAAAGGACAGCAAGAACACCGATGAAACATTTGCTTAAGCAAATAACTATACAGTGCAGTTCAGTAGAGTCCCCATTTTCCAGTGGGACACTCGTAGACTTCTCAGCTCGTTTTCTTATTAGATTGTTGTAGCACCACCGTCTCGAGCCCCGACTCGAGCCCTGCGCATCCCAAGACCCAGCTCGAATCGGGCTTCGCCACGCCCGCACGGCTGGTGGTACTTGCTCCCAACTGGCCCCCTTAGACATGACATGGGTCTCTAGGTCATACGTCCTGCCAGCACCCCGTACCTCAATTCTCTGGCAAACATCCGGACTTCACTAAGAAGTGCCGTCTGGCCACTCTGGCGCCTCGGCCCTCTGTCTGTTTCATCTATGCCCGTCAGCCGCAGATCGTGACACGCTCTTCGCGACACATGCAGCGAACATCCGTCAGGCACTGGCATCAAGACACCGCCATACCGGCACCTCAAACGGCCCAGAGACCCAGAGATGGACCCGTACTACCCCGCCATCCCTTTCGTGCCCAGCATCCACCACCCAGCCCTGAATCCGGCAGCCCTGGTCCTGGAACCCACCCAGAAACGCGCACGTGACACACGTTTGTGACACATTCCACCACGGCTTGCGCATCGTAACCAAAACACCTCGTTTCACCGTTGATCCATCTCTCCTTCCAGACCGCCTACCAGGCTAGATTGTTGTTGTTGTCACGCCGCTACAGTCTGCTCACATCATAAGGACGTCTTGGACCCAAAATGGTAGCCTCCAGTTCCACGTCCACCTCCACGGTGATCACCACCTTGGTGACTAACATCGTTCTCTGTGGAATCTTCGTCACCTGTTTCCTCCTTCTCCGTCTCAAGTTCAAGCGGATCTACTCGCCCAAGGCCTCGTTCGACTTGGTGCCCGAGGAAAAGAAGCCAGAGCCGCTTCCCAAGGACCCTTTCAGATGGGTTTACATCCTCTTGACTAAACCTCATTCTTTCATTCTCCAGCAGGCAGGCTTGGATGGCTACTTCTTCTTGAGATACATCTTGGTGATGGCCATGTTCTTCATGTTTGGGCTTCTCACCTGGATCATCTTGTTGCCAGTCAATGCCACCAACGGAAACAATAATCCTGGCTTGGACCAGTTGTCTATTGCCAACGTCAAGCACGAAAAGAGATACTACGCCCATGTGTTGGTCGGGTGGGTTTTCTACGGCTCGCTCATCTACGTGATTTACCGTGAGTTGTTCTTCTACAACTCGTTGAGATCCGCTGCTCTTTCCTCCCCCAAGTACGCCAGACAGTTGTCTTCGAGAACTGTGTTGTTCAAGTGTGTGCCCGACTCGTTGTTGGACGAAAAGCAGTTTTTCAAGATGTTTGACGGTGTTACCAGAGTCCACATCCCCAGAACCTGCAGAACCTTGGAAGCCAAGATTAAGCAAAGAGAAGGCTTGGTCACCAAGTTGGAAGTTGCCGAAAACAAGTTGTTGAAGTTGGCAGTTAAGCACAAGTTGAAAGCGGACAAGAAGGGCGAAACTATCGAGCCTGCCGACGAAATCAGCGCTTACGTCCCTGAAAAGAAGAGACCTACTTTCAAGCCACACGGTATGTTCACCCTGAAGGTGGACACTATCAGATACTGTTTGGAAGAAATTCCCAAGATCGACGAGGAAATTAAGCAGATGCAAAAGAACTTCAGATCCTTCAAGCCAAAGAACTCGCTTATCGTTGAGTTCGAGGACCAATATAAGGCCCAGATGGCATACCAGGTCACTGTTCACCACAACCCATTGAGAATGCAACCTACCATCACTGGTGTCGAACCAGCCGATATCAACTGGTCCAACTTGAGAATGTTCTGGTGGGAAGCTATGACCAGAAGAACTATTGCTTTCGTTGCCATCTGTGCCTTGATTATCTTGTGGTCCATTCCTGTTGCATTTGTCGGTGTTATCTCCAACATTACCTACTTGACCAACAAATTGCCATGGTTGAGATGGATTTTGAAGATGCCCCACCAGTTATTGGGTATTATCACCGGTTTGTTACCAACCATCATGTTGTCTATTTTGATGGCACTTTTGCCATTGTTCATAAGAGGTATGGCCAAGGTTTCTGGGGTGGCTTCCGCCCAAGAAGTCGAAAACTACACCCAGAGGGCCTACTTCGGTTTCCAGGTCATCAACGGTTTCTTGGTCACCACCATTGCATCCTCTGCTGCATCCACTGTCACTCAGATTGTTGAATCTCCAGAGAGGGCCTTGTCTATCTTGGCCGGAGGATTGCCAAAGTCTTCCAACTTCTACATCTCTTTCCTTATTTTGCAAGGTTTGTCTGTTGCTGGTGGTTCTTTATTCCAAGTTGTTGGGTTATTCTTGTACTACATTTTAGGATACCTCTTGGATGGAACTCTTAGAAAGAAGTATGCCAGATTTAGTGGTTTGGGCTCCATGGGTTGGGGTACTACCTTCCCTGTGTTCACTAACTTGGCTGTCATCACCTTGGCTTACAGTATCATTTCTCCTATGATTTTGTTGTTCGCTACTGTTGCTTTCTTCTTGGTTTACATCACTTACTGTTACAACTTGACCTATGTCTTCATTGAGGCTCCAGACAACAGAGGTAGACACTACCCCACTGCTCTCTACCAAACCTTCACAGGTATTTACTTGGGCCAAATCTGTTTGTTGGGTATCTTCGCTGTTGGTAAGGGATGGGGTCCTATTGTCTTACAAGTCATTGGTCTCATTTTCACTATCTACTGTCACCTTAACATCAAGAGCTCTTTCGGAATCTTGTTGGACGTCGTTCCAGTCGACTGTATGAGGCCATTGGACGGTGTTTCCCACACACCATCCTCTACCAGTGAAACTGAGTACAGAAAGAAGATTTTGGACAGAAGAAACAGAAAGTCCAAGAAGCTTGAGAAGGAAATTGAAAACGAGAAGGAAGAAAATGAGAGGGTCAAGAATAACTTGGCCAACGATACCGAGTTTCAGGAGGAGGGCATCGTGCCTTTGCTTGCGGACCGTGATTTCAAGACTCTCAACACACCCAACCCATTCTTTAGATTCTTTAGGCCAGACGTCTACTTGAACTATAGACACGCCAAGGAGTTGTTGCCAGCCACCTTCAACATTGAGCCTGAGCAGACCAACTCCAAGCACGCCTATAACTTGCCAGCTGCTACCGCTGCTTGTCCAAGCGTTTGGATCCCAAGAGACCCTATGGGTTTGTCCACCATTGAAATTTCTGAGATTTCCAAGGTTGTCGAAGTCAGTGACGAAAACTCGGGTTTCGATGAGAAGGGAAAGATTAGATTCCTCGGCGCCCCTCCATTGTAACTAGCCTAGAAGTTACAGTTGTAATTGAATAATAATACTAATAGTAATTGTACCTGGTGTAGTCCACAACACGATAGATCAGCAAAACTTTGACGTTTTAATTTTAATTTCACACTTTTCTGGCTCATTCCCATCCTAAATTGCTGCTAATAAAGTCTCATGGCTGAAATTTGATGGTTCAATCAGTACCAAGTTCAACTTACGTCTACAATCTGAATCCTTTATTCATTGAAAGATTATATCTCAGAAAAGATTGACGTTCTTCAATTGCGGAACAGGCTTGCACATGCGGTACTAACATTGCCAAGCGTATGGTAGTGACCGAGAGAACTTGCAATCTAGCCCAGCCAGCCTCCATTCCTGTTATGAGAAGCGCCTTTCGCACAACGAACTTTCCATGCATTAGGCAAGTTTGACAGTTTTGCACAGCCATGTCAAATGCCAGCTGCAAATGCGAATGAAAGGACAGACAATTCTAGACCCACAGCAAGCGGAACCGATAACATGATCCTTCAATCTGTTTGGAGACGCACCAAATTTGAGTTACAAAGCGTTGGCCCATGGCTCTTGCTGTCAATGTCACCAAATTTCATGTTTTAACTCTCGTTTAACTAAACGAGATGTCCTCAGGAGAACGATGATGGAGGCGGCGCCGAGTTCTCTAAGAATAGAAAGCCATGGCTGGAAATAGCAGCCTCACGAAACTGGGGCATATCTCAGCCATAGTGGATTATTCTCTTAAACTTAAACCCTTGTGCGAACCATCGTATGGTCTCTGGGCTGTAGAGGTGCTCTCTTCCACGCCGGGCTGGCGGCTGTCCCCCTTGGGAAGCTGCCGGAGCCCGCCTGGTGGAGAGTGTCAGGAGTACCATCGTGTCACGTGACATCTATCACGCGCATTTCTGCTTGCCAAAATCCTCCAATACACTGGACATCCAACACTAACAACAGCATAGTTGGCACCCTCCGGCTTGGACCTCACAACAGCAACCACATAGGCCAATCCCAGGGGACATCACGTGCAGCCTGTTACTTTCTGAACCGCAACGACGCGTTTTATCACTACAGAGTGCCACAAGAACTTCAGCTCCGGTGTCCGGGATAGACACTCTTATGGTGGACTTCAACAAAGACAGAACCACAGCTGGCCAAACGCCCAGGAGGGTTAAGGTGTATTTGCTTCAAGGTGAGGATTGGTTGGACAATGGTACTGGATACTGTGTGGGGGAGGTGGACGAGACTAGCAATATGCCGTTCTTCTTGGTACGAAATGAACTCGACTCGGGAGACGTGATTCTCAAGTCGTTCTTGGAAGGATCCACCCAGTATCAGAGGCAGCAGGAGACTCTTATCGTTTGGACCGATTCTTCTGGCAAGGATCTTGCGTTGTCCTTCCAGGAGACCGAAGGATGCGCAGATTTGTGTGACTTCATCATTAAGGTACAGCAAGATAAGCTCTGTCCCGACATTTCCCTCTACTACGTGATACCCAGCATGTCAGATGGTGACGACATAACGGAATTGATCACAGGACCCATCAACTACCCCGAGGACCCCACCATGGACAACCTAGACACGATTCTCGACTTGATAAACCAGAACTCCAACTCTCAATTTTCCAGAACCAGCATCCTGAACTACATCATCGAAAATGACTACTTTTCGAAATTAATCCAGGCTTTCGACGAGGCTGAAAGTTCCAAGAGGCTTCCGCACCTATACACATTGAGCGAGATCATGAAGACATTGGTTCTATTCAACGAAGCTTCGTTGATCGAAGAGTTTTTGTCTACTGAGGAAAAGATTCTTGGACTCGTGGGGATTTTAGAATACGACCCCGAGTACCCGAATTTCAAAGCATGCCACAGGGATTACCTTAAAAACAAGAGTTTCAAGACGGTTATACCTGTTGACAAGGTGGGAATATTCAAGAAGGATTATCATTTCAATTTTTTGAAGGACGTGGTACTAGCAAGATTCTTGGATGATCAAACCTTTAACCTACTCTCTTCCTTGATTTATGTCAATCAAGTGGAGATTATCAACTACTTGAAGGATGCAAGCTTACTAGAAAAGTTGTTTGAAATCTATGACGAATCCGAACACTGCAATGAACAACAACTAACGTTGAAGAGAGACGGAGTTAAAATGTTGCATCAATACGTGTTGATTGCCAGATCCCTCCAAACACATCAAAAATCCAACTTCTTTTCTTTCTTAGTTAAAGGAGGGCTCTTCAGAATGATTAGTTTTGCATTGCAGGATGCTGATAGCAAAGTTCGTGTTTTTGGGACTGAGTTGATAGTGATCATTATAGAGCAAGATGTCTCATTGGTGAGCGCCATAGATAATGAAGAAACGATAGATAATTCCGACCCTCCGTTGAATCCTGTCATTGAAGAGGATAAGGATGATACCATAGTGGAACCCAAGAATCTCAAACTAAAATTGTCGGATGACATGACCCTAATTTCCATTCTTACAAAGCTTTTGGTTGAAGATCGAAATCCAGGTTTGAAAGTACAGGCCTTTGAAGCATTGAGAATTTTATTAGATTCTAATATTGCTTCCAACGGTGGTAACAATAGCGATTTTGAGATGGAAAATCCCAGGAATGAATTTTCCTCAAAAGACTCAGCTCATTGTAATGGGTCTTTAATAACTGATGAGTTTAACGACATTAACACCAACAATTATTTCAAAGCTTTCTATTCTCAAGTTGCTCCTGAGCTATTCAAAAACTTGATCGAATTGGCTTCTGTTGATCAGATTGCCAACAAGGATGAAATCTCAACTCAAATTCGGCACGATGTATTACTATACCAACAATTATGTGAACTAATCTCATTCTGCACCAAGGAGCATGAGGTTCAAATTTCACGTCCATTTTTTATTGAGAATAATATAATATTGGGGTTGGGAAAACTTCTTGACACTAATTGCAAGCTTATACTCAAATTGAGCATTGTGAGGTGTTTGAAGAACTTGATTTTGTTGAACGATGACTTCTATTGCCGCTACATCCTCAACAGCGATATATTGGGGTACTTTTTCAGGTTTTTTGAGCTGATCGTTGACCAAAATAACCTTGCAAACTCTGCTTGCGTGGATTTTGTGGACAACATTTTGAGGAACTGCGATGCAAATATCAGCATCAAGAGACACAACTTCAAGCTTATTGCTAACTATATCTACAAAAATTTCCGGCAATTCTGTGGTACTCGTCTTGCGTACGTTAATACTGGCCGGGAATTGATTGACTTGGTGGAGAACGGCTTTTACGAGGATTCTTTGCAGAACGGCAAATTCGACGACGGCTTTGTGGACGAAATTTTGGAGGAGCACGATGTGCTGACCCCCATCAACGAGGATGCCACCAACAACCCCACTCCTGTCGACAACAGCTCGGACGTGAGCCCAGACACCAGTCCCCAGGGCAGTCCCACCGTTTTTGCAGGACTGCAGGTGGCAGATTTGGAGCACGTCAATTCTGATTTGGCGTATACCACCGAGGCTTCCGGGAGGTTTGGCGACCCCGAGGCCTCAGGCAGGTTTGGCGATCCCGATTCCAATAGTCCGTCGTCCAGCAGTGGCATGGATGCAAGTGATGCTGGTTTTGGTACCCCCACGGATCTTTTCGCAGGCATTGATAGCGAGGCCCTGCGTTCGGTTGGGCTGCCCAAAACTACCGAGCCCATGGGGGTGTCTAAGCCCGAGCCGCATCAAGGCCGTAAGAAAAAGCTCACTACCACCATCAAGAATAAATTGACCAGTGCCAGCCACAAAATCACCCGAACCCTCCAGAACGGTTCCAACAGCGCCGACTCCGCCGTTCCCCAGCCCCCAGACCTGACGCCCCGCACCAATGGCGGTCCTACCTCCAACTAGCCTGTGTATATTATGTATAAAGTTGATAGAGATTAATTTCACGCGCACCGTCCCGCGCGGGGTACTGCCGTGGCAGCCCCGAGGTCTCGCTACGTTCTAGCACCAGGCCCCGCGCTAGCGGGGCCATATATATACCACCACTGTCCCACCATGGACCACCAGTAACCATGGGTTTAGATCAATCGTTCGTCGAAAATAGCGTGTGGAAGCCCGATTTGTTCAAGGGCAAGGTAGTCTTTGTCACAGGTGGAGCAGGCTCCATCTGTCGGGTGCAAACCGAGGCATTGGTGTTACTTGGAGCCGATGCTGCCATTGTGGGCAGAAACGTCGACAACACCAACAAGGCTGCTAAGGAAATCGCAGCTTTGCGTCCAGGCGCCAGGGTCATTGCCTGTGGCGGCACGGATGTCAGAGAGGTGCAGTCGTTGGTCAAGGCAGCCGAAAAGACAGTGGCAGAATTGGGCAGAATCGACTTCGTGATTGCAGGCGCTGCCGGCAACTTCTTGAGCGACTTCAACCACTTGTCGTCCAATGCGTTCAAGTCGGTGGTTTCCATCGACTTGTTGGGCTCCTACAACACCGTCAAGGCCACCTATGACCAGTTGCGCAAGAACAAGGGTGCCATTCTTTTTGTGAGCGCCACCCTCCACTACTACGGAGTGCCCTTCCAGCTCCACGTCGGAGCAGCCAAGGCAGGTGTGGACGCGTTGTCCAACGCTTTGGCAGTGGAGCTTGGACCTTTGGGAATCAGATCCAATGTGATTGCCCCTGGTCCTATTGGTGATACTGAAGGTATGAAGCGGTTGCTGCGTGGCGACAACAGGGAGTCCAAGGTGCCATTGCAGCGCATCGGGTCCACCAGAGACATTGCTGAGGCTACCGTGTTCTTATTTTCGCCTGCTGCCAACTGGATCACCGGTACCATCCAGGTGGTAGATGGAGGTGCCTGGCACTTGGGGGCCACTGGCAACGAGTATCCCAAATTGGTTGCGGACGCCAACCGCGACCCCAACTCGAAGTTGTAGTGGTCAAAGGCAGACTAAGAGTGGAGTAACCAAGCTTGAGAAGTCACTAATTAGTAGATTGAACTGCTAGATTAAGAAGTCATTGATTGAAGTATACTTAGCTTTTAGATAACTAGCTTGCAAAGGACACTAAATAGTGGAGTTGAAGCGCTAGCTTAGGAAATTCACAATTTCTCAATAATGTACAATATGACAGTACCTTCTACATGATGCGCTAATGAAGAGTGGTTAGGGGGAGATCAGATCTCACCAGCAATACTAGCCATAATTCGTGTAAAGAAATTGATCATTATATCTTGAGATCCGGTATGTTTTGAAATACTGTGGATGGGCAAAGACTAGGAAGAATACACGTAAAGTCAAGCCCAAGCCTACTTTGCAAAAATCTACCTGGCAGACATAGTAATTTTCTGGACGACACCGAGTGTTCTAACCCGTAGGCTGCCTCTAATTAGATTCTCTGGATACAATTCAGAAACTACGACGAGGGCGACGTGACCACCCACTACGAGTTGGCACAAGCACGGCAGAATAGTAAGTGTGGCCCATATGGCCTGTCAGAGGTATTGTCGATGTTCAACTGGCGGCCGCAGCTCATGTCAAGAAGAGTATTGATATTCATCTGGCATTGTCATTCGCCCTAATTCCCATCGAGGCTCCGCTGCGAACCTTCTTTCGCTCGCTAGCACTACCTTCACGCTAGTGGCAGATTCTTCTTTCGCTCACTAGCACGGATCGTTAGACACACCAGCACTCCCATTCTTGCTCGCTAGCAACAGATTTCTCTCTCCACTCGTACTGCTCTCTACTTGGTCTCCTCCACTTGCACCCCTCCACTTGCACTGCTCTCCACTTGCACTCCTCCACTTGCAATCCTCCACCGCACCACGCCTCCTCTCCCTACCCGCGCGCTTCTCGCGTCGTGCGCGGCGTTATTAATCCATATCAACAACAGCCAGTCCATTCATCACCACACCAATGTCCATCGATCCAGAAACCAGAAGAAAGTTCTTGCTCCTACAAAAGAACGGCGACAACAAGAAGTGCTTTGACTGCGCCGCGCCAAACCCCCAATGGGCCTCTCCCAAGTTCGGGATCTTCATTTGTTTGGAATGTGCTGGTATCCACAGAGGGTTGGGTGTCCACATCTCGTTCGTCAGGTCCATCACCATGGACCAGTTCAAGCCGGAGGAAACTTTGAGAATGGAAAAGGGCGGGAACGCCAGACTCAAGGAGTATTTCACCCAAAACGGCGTGGACTTGGCGTTGCCAGCCAAGGCCAAGTACGACAACTACGTGGCTGAGGACTACAAGGAGCTCTTGACCTGCGACATCGAGGACAGGGAGTACGTGCCCAAGGACCACTCGGGTGAGTCGTTGCCAGACGCCAGCACCACCAGCGCTGGCGCTACTCAGGCTGCTTCCACTCCCCAAGAGTCCATCCAGTCGCGTAGGGGTCGCGCAGCTGATAAGCAGAAGAACGAAGCATACTTTGCGGAGTTGGGGTCAAAAAACGACCTGAGACCAGACCACTTGCCTCCTTCGCAGGGAGGCAAGTATGCCGGATTTGGCAACACACCAGCTGCCAGCGAGAGCAGCGGAAGTGGTGGATCGTTGGCAGGTTTCACCGTTGAAAAATTCCAGTCGGATCCACTTGGCACTTTGTCGAAGGGATGGGGCTTGTTTTCGTCAACCGTGGTCAAGTCTGTCAACGAGGTCAACGAGTCTGTGATCAAGCCTAGCATCAGTCAGTTGCAGGAGAGCGAGATCAGTGCCGAGGCCAAGAGGGCCATGGCCCAGTTCGGCCAGAAGATGCAGGCCACAGGCAAGTATGGCCAGGAAACCTTCAACTCGTTCACCAACGACATAAACCAAAACGGAATCAACAAGACCATCGATACCAGATTCGGCAAGCTCTTCGACGGGTTGCTGGTGAGTGAAAAGGAGCCTGTCCAGCCGGCATTCGGCTTTAAGGCTGCTGAAAAGACGAAGTTAGAGGGGTTTGCAGGTGGAAAGAAGAAGGAAGAGGATGACGACAAGTGGGACGATTTTTGAGCACGATAGAGTGGTCCACTCAGGTAGACCAGGCCCGCTGCCCATACCAGATATTCTCAATGCATAATTATATAGAAATAGTACAGGTCTATGCCGGGAAAGTCTGTAGTTTCTGCAATTTCAGATGATCGATATAGGTAAAGATAACTTATGTGAAGGTCACAAAGACTATTAGTCTACAGAATAATTATAGGTAGAATAATAATAGAGACTGAAAAGATTTATTCAAGAAATGAGTCCAGAGATTTATTCTTCTGTAACTTCAAAGACACAACAATGATAATAGCGTATTGCATAGTAATGGCAGAAATAAGGTCTGGGATCCGATTCATCATTCATCGCAATTTCGATAAAGTGGATTATGGGTCTTTCATGTCTGTGAAAAAGTTCACTGTTAGACTGCTCACGAATATCCCCTCCCCTGAGTCCTTTCCATTCACAGTTAGTGATGGCAAATTCTACCCTTCGTGTACACTATCGATGTGACTAATATTATTCATAGTATTTTTATAGAATTCCGAATTATATGAATATTTCTTTTGCATCCCCTAGGCCACGATTTCCAGTTTGATATTGATATAGAGGATGTAATTAGGATTGTCCAAGCCAGGAGTTGGACCCTGGTGATGCGTAAAACTCACAATGACGTAGCAATGGAGCTATAATAAGACCTTTAAGTGTCTACTACTGTCTTTTCAATTACAAGTGGAATGCCATTGTTGTGTGGTATCAACCCAATTAAAGTTGGTCTTTACACAGATTTCAGTGCTATTATTTTCCATGTATTCTATGGTAATTGAGGTCGGAATTGAATAATGCCAAAGCGTCACTCATTCGCAACCAAAAATGCTAATTAATCCTCTTCTATAATCATCAGGAACTTTTGGGGTCCGACCCGTAGAAATGAAGGATGCCGATGCAATTGACTGCTCACCACACTCAGCGAGGTCGTGAAGGTCTATGACGAGAAGCGGCCTGAAACTGGCCTGAAGCTGGCATATGACGAAGGTGGCGTTCCACCTAGAAAACTGGCCATGATAACTGGCTGGTATGGTTGAGTCGGAATTTTCCAGAGTGATATGGATGCAACGAGCCGTTACAACTCTATGACGAGACCACTCACCCATCATCCACTGTAGACGTCCACCCTAGACACCTCCCTTGGCCTGGCGCGCTAACATCACGTACATGTCGTACTCGTCCTTGAACGACTGGTAGTTGTGGAAGTAACTGTCTTTGACGTAGAAGAAGTTGACGAGTCTCCAGCCCAAGATCCAGTCGATGAACCCCACGTCACGAGCCACCGTGATCACGGCAAAGTAGAGCATGCCTAGCACCACCCCAAACATGAGGCCCACACACACCTGCTGCAAAGTGTGGTACAACAAATAGACCCGCGACAACGCCACCGCTACCGACACCACCATCATGAAGAGGCAGCCGGAGTAGATCTGGAGGTCTGACAAGTGCTTGACCCGGAACAAGAGGGTGCAGATGAAGTAGCCAGCAAAGAAGCCCATGAACTGCGAATGGGCCGAGGGCATGCCATAGGTCAACGAGTAGGAGCCAGAGCCGAAGTCCTTGTGGAAGTCGGGACGCGGCTGCTTGATGATCTTCTTGATGATCTTGTTCAAGATCTCGCCTGCCAAGTGGCCTCCCACCACCACCACGGGCTCGATCTCTCTCGACAACAAGAACCAGGCGGTGTAGAACACCATGGTGTAGATGGGCAACAACGAGAAGTGCACCGACACCATGGACACCACGTCCTTGGGGTCGTAGAGGATGTAGGTGTGGTCGAAGGGCACGGGGTTGTACTTGGAGTCGCCTGGGTAGAAGGTAGGCATGGCTATGGATGGAGATGGAGATTGGAATTTTTCGGTGGGTTATATATGCCAGAGATGGAGGTTTACGGTTTACGAGGCGCCTACGGTGAAGACAACCAACGAGGGTTGGGCACCCGAATCTAGAGGCATTGTTGCGGAAATATGGCCCGGGTGCATGGACAGGGATGGGTGCCAGAGGATGCATACAATAGACTAGTTGCCAAGGGCCCACGCGAGTGGGACGTGTAGTGGGACGTGTTGGGGTGCGCAGTGCGAGTGCGTAGTGGGAGCGCGATGATGCGTGGTGGAGCGCGCAGTTGCGCAGTGAGTGCGTAGCGAGCCATCGCGAGCTGCTATTGGTGGGAAGGACGGTTGTAGACAGACACCAGGGATGCGGGTGCTAGGGGTGCTGCAGCACATGAGACGCTGGGTGGGAGTCCCAGCGACCTGCAGCGTGCTTCTCTTGCGGGACCACGCAGCCAATTACCCGTATTGGGATAATTCCCACGATTGTTCGCAACAATGCATCGCACCGAAGGGTCTGCCCAGCGAGTCGCACCAGTGGCCTAGACGAATGGCCAAGAGTACTAATCAGGCTGGACGAACACATGCTCCACAGTGGCCCCAGACTACGCGGAGCAGTCACCAGGGTAGAGCCGCTCCACGCAACGGATTCCGCTGCCTCCCTGCTCCTGCGATCTGGCTGCGTACATACTCCCGCTGCTGTGCCCTCACCGTACATCTCCTGCTCCTCGAGGCATACATGTGCACATATCCTGTATTTTTTGCGAGCCTGGCCCTCTTCTGTCCGGTCCAGATCGATGTCTTATTTGGCTCTATTTAGGTATATTAACGAATTCGGATCTCATCGAACAATCAACACCGTCCCCGCGTCGTTTGCACCAACGGCTGCCACCGTTGGCCAAGGCGCTGTCTCGCGTGGCTCCCAAGGACTGCCGTTTCCTCTTCTCCATCTTAGCCTACGCCAAGTTGCCCGCGCAACCTCGCAGTATTGACAAATATCCCTTACCTCGACGCTAGCTTTTATACCCAATTCGGACATTTCACTAATTATTTGCAGATCTGTCTAAATGCGACCAAAGTTCCTGTCCATGGCCATCATTTGACCACCGTTTGGGACAAATGCCAGTGACAATGCAGCGTGGCCCGGACTGCATGGTGCTGCTTCGGGCCACTAGCCGTCCCCCATCCGAATAAGCTTTCCGGCAAAGCCATCGAACTGGCTGCGACGTCGTGACATTTGCCTGCTTGCGGATGCCTGCTTGCGGATGCCTGCTTACGGGTGCCTCCTTTAGTATTTTATCTGCACCACCAGGAATGGTCTTATAGTTGCAATTCTCCTTGGAGGGTATTTTCCGAGTGGATTTAGTCAGCATTCTACATTTTCAACTGGAACCGAATGCCATGCTGGTGACGTCCCGAAGTGGTCAAATGAGGCAGGAGTAATGCCGGGACAGTACTGGGTAGCCACGGCTACGAGTTACTTTACTGAGAATCTCCTCTTCCGTGGGAGGAGCTGGACATATGCCACTCTGTATTATTGCAGGTGAATTACTACAACTGACAAGTGGATTTGGTCAGATATCACTCCGGGTTTATATTACTATAGAACGTAGTTATTGTATGATATTAACCAGAGTGCAACTAGTGGAGTTGATATTGTTACAGACTGAGAGCAGAGTTTTAATTACTCAGACTGATTAGTGGAGTTCTAGCACTAAGACCATATGACCGCTATTATTCACAGACGGCAAGTAGACAGATTTCACTATGGACCGTAACTCGTAGTCAAATTTTACTGCGGTCTAGGCAGTTCTACAACAACGCGACAGACTGAAGCTTGAACAGTAGTCTGAATGGCCATAACCTGTTGGTTTTCTACAATCATACGTTCTCAAGTTGGTAGACAATTTTTGTTTGTCAATAACTAGTGCAAAGTATACACTAGACCCAAACCTGTACCTTAACAGCTACTTAGTCTTTTTATATGAGAAATGTGTATTATATACATAATGTATAGAGATGTATGAGAGGGATGTTATCTAATAACGATGACTATGGTATGAATGAGATGAGGCTGAGAGATGTGAGAGGGGTGAGAGGTAATGAGAGATGATGAGAGGTGATGAGAGAAGTGATAAGATGAGATGAGTTGAAAATGTAATAAATGTAGAGGTAAAATGAGAGGCGTGAAACATGACAATTAATGAATAAATAGGAAAGCACAACAAACCACCCTGTCTGTGCAAGGCAATGAACTGGGATATTTAACACAAAGTTGACACTTCGCAAAGTCCACAGACCGATTATAAAGCCATTTGCTTCTTTTGCTGGTCTCTGGCCCATCTGGCGGCTTCCCTGGTCTTGTCTTCGAAGTACTGGTTCGATCTGGTCTTCTTGATGAACTCGGTGATCCAGGGTTGGAGGTATGCTTGCTTGAACTCTCCTTGGGGATACATAGCAGCCAAGTCACCCAACAATCCAGTTGCAGATCTGCAAACAGCATCAGTGGCAGACATGTTGATGTCACTCGCAACCCTTTCCAAGAATTGGAAGATAGCTCCGATATAAGGGTGGATTGCCGCAGGATGGTCACCCAAGCCTCCAACAATTCCAACAAAACAGTCCAACACGGATTCCTTAACGTTCAACACGTAGTCAACCGCTTCGATAGATTGATCTTCAGGTTCAATTTGAGATGCATGTATACAGATTTGCATGACGATATCGAGGTATGGCTGGAACGCAGATCCAATTGAGGTAGCGACGTCACCGAAACAAGACAAGATTGCGGGCCTCAATTCCTTTCTGACCTCAGCATTGTTCAAGTTTGCACCCAAGATGTTCATCAATCCGTCCAAGTATTCCATCAAACCCAATCCTAAGGATTGTGACAAGTCTGCGACCAACCCAACGGCAGTGTTGCAGGTTGGAGAATCGGTATTTTGCAAGGCTTGAGTCAAGTAAGGTAAGAAGGCCCCCATGTACTTGTTGAAACCGGAACCAACCGCACCAGCAACTGCTGAGATAGCAATAAAGATATCTTCTTCAATCAATGAGTTCTTTTCTTGTGCACTCAACAATTTCAAGAACATAGACATCAAATTGTCAGCAGCTTGAGCAACATCATTACTCAATCTTCTGATAACATTGGTCAACAACGATAAGATGTTGATTTGCAATTCTTCCAAATTACCCCTGTCTTCACTGTTGCTGACTTGAGATTGCATACTGATGGTAGTCTCCAATCTCGACAATACTTCTGTGGCAATGTTTTGGACGACTGGCATGGTGTCGTTGGCACTGTGGGTAACAAAGGTAGAGAGGGCCTCGTATGCAGATGCTCTTGAGCTGAATTCATTGTCGTTCTTACCGGTCAATTGAATCAAAATTGGCACAATGGTGGCATAGAAAGGTGACATCACACTGGAATCCTCGAATGAAGCATTTGGGCACAACTTTTCTAAAATATTTATCAATGCCCAACAACAGTTAGTAGAAACCTTTGGGTGATCTTGCAAACCAGTCACCAAAGCCTCCAAAATGGCAGGCAAGTTGGAAGGATCAATGGCAGCAATGACCAAGTCAGCGATTCTACCCAAACACCAGGCAACAGTTTCCTTGACTTGCAAGACGTCGTCATTGATTAAACCAAGAATGGGCTGTAAGGCTTGCGGAATGACGTCTTTCAAGTTATCAATATCAGGGTTTTCCAATATCGAGCCAAAAGCCATAACAGCAGCCTCTCTATTTCTCCAGCTGTTGGCATCAGCGATGTTTGCAGCTACGAAATGCACAGTAGGTTCAACGATGTAGTTACCGACATTCTGGGCGAACAATTGTAAACATGCACCAGCAGCCATAGCAACAGACCAGTCATCATCCTCAGGATCTTCATTTTGTCTGGTCAACAAAGTTAACAAGGTGGGCAAAACATCTTGGATAGCGACCAAAGCGAAGTTGTAGGAGACCAAATCTGGGCGGGAATCGGTCTGAGCAGCACCCAAGCCCAAGTCCTCTCTGCGGTAGGCAACTTCCAATTCTTCTTCACAAACAGTGGACCAGAACTCGACGGCCATACAGGCGACCTTTTCATCGTCGCTTTGCATTCCAGAGACGGTCAATCCATACAATGCCTTCTCCATGTAGAGGGACATGTATCTGTAGTAGAGAGACATTATTCTGGCAAGACATCCGAAGGCACTGGCCTGCAACTCGTTGTCGTCTGCCTGGGTGGCTTCGCAAACCACTTGCATGATGTAGTTTCTTTCACCTTCCTTCTCGAAATTGTGCTTGATGAAGTCCAACGAGCTGAATAACGCGTTCAAGGCAGCAAGGCTGACTTCCTTGGAGGTTTCGCTGCTCTGAACACCCTGGATGATGGCAATCAAGATTCCGTTGGCCTGGGCGATGATGGCAGGGTTGTTGGGGTCCGCGTTCTCGCAGATGTAGCCAATGGCGGTGTGCGAGGTCTTCTTGAGGTTGACGGAGTTCTCAGGCTTGGTGTTCTCGATGATGATGGGGATCAAGTCAGGCCACTCGCTCTTGGGTAACTCAATGTTGGCGATGGCAGCCACCAATTGCGCGGACGACGCACCGACCTTGTCGTCGCTGTCGCCCAAAGTCTTCAACGAGATATCCTTGATCTTCTGCTTCAACTCGGTGTTCAATGCGGCCCATCTCTGGGCCTGGGCAATGCGGTTCTTGTCTTCTTTAGACGTCAATTGGTTCTTCAACCCGATGGCTGCCAACATACGGACTTCCCGCTTGGCGTCCTGGTTGGCTACCGCATCTGCCAACAAGTTCATGTACTCGGGAAAGTGGTTGTTGGAGGCTTCCGCCAACTTCAACTCAGCCTCGGTTCTCTTGTTGGGATCCGGATTCAAGATGGCATTTTCCAAGATCTGAAGCATCTCCATGGTGGCGGTGGGTAGTGTGGTTGTACTTGCTGTGGTAGGGAAGTGGCTAGGACGTGGTAGCACGACGGTGGTGGTGGCAGTGACGGGAGCAGTGGCAATGGGGGAGCAGAGCGGGACGATTGCGCCGTTGGCTCTTGATAGCTAGTGACAACTGGTAGTATCCGGGGAAGGGATGCTTACACGTAGAAGATGTTGATAGTCAACAGTGTCAATTTTTTCGAAAAGAATGATCCTCGTGATAAGCGAGGGGCGGGAGTGCGAGCTAGCGAGGAATTAGGGAGAAAGTAGGGAGAGGAATGGGAGAGAAAAGGGAGAGAAATTAGGGAGATGCGCAGGGAGATTGGCAGGGAGATGGGCAGGAAATGGTGCCTACAGGCAATAGGGATTTAGGAACGGCATGTCGAAGTAGGTGGCCTGTAGGTGCATGGTAGTATGACGAGGTTGGATGTCGTGGTGGGCTGTGAGTTGACGAGGAGAGCAACCCGTAGACGGACACGCGTGCGACGTGGCACGGAAGGCCATGGCGAGAGCTGTGAAATTGGTGGATGCGCGGTGGTGGTACCACAAGTACGCACCATTCCCCGCCGTTTCGCGGTGTATCCACCGGCACTCATTGCACCGTGATTTGCGGGCCACTGGTTGCTATGGTGTCGCAGAGAGCGTAATAAGGATATTTTGCTCCATAGTGCGGTAGGTACGACTGGCTTCCTATTTTTTGTGTAATTCAGTGTATATTCCTAGGCCTTTCGAGCCCCAAATGTATAATCTCTCTCTGCACGCAGTGGAAGTCGTAGAAGTTTATGGTGTGGATGGACATTCTGGCACTAGTAGCAGGTAAAGCGCATTCCGTACGGTCCTTGAGCCCCAATTTACTCTCAGTACAAATCTGGTTTGGGTCAATTTTATTTTTATCGGATAGTATCGCTTGGTGCATTGCAGGTTTTTTGATATTATTGAAAGTTCTTAGTATAAGAGAATTAATTCCTAATTGAAAACACTTAGATATTTCAGCCGTGGTTGAGCAAGGACAAATAAAAGAGCTAAGATGTCAATGTCAAGGGGTTTATGCGAATTTCTAGTTATGGGGCAATTTATGACTTCTGCACAGATAACTAAGACCATTAACGTTAGAAAGTACGGTTGTATCGGACACACAGTGGGGCTTAGCCGTTGCTGGGATAGTTTAAATACATAGGAATGGAGTCGCCAACCAGTTTATGGCTGTACGTAAGTTACATGCCGATATCGACGCTAAACTGGTAAACTCTGAGGGTTGCAGTCTTAGTTCTTTATGTACTATTGCCTGCAGAATTCCCCGGACTAGGTAAATCCGGCCACAATTTCAAACTAGTTATCTCCTTGCTGTTGGTGGCTAGAAAAATTTGCTACAGTGCTAACTCCGATAGCATCCAGAAGACCCATTTGCTATCATTAGGAAAGTAGCATCTGAAAATCAACACGAAAGGACAGTGCTACTATTTTTGTCTCAGGATGCCTTACATTATTAGAAACCGACAAATTTTGAGCTAGGCTCAAATTACCGTGTTAGTACTCTTTGACCGGATAGTCAGCCGTACGTGATCGCTTCGCATTAGTAAAATCTTGTAAATTAGTGCGATTTGTAAGCACTAATATCCACTACATGGGAACGCTTAAACCCCACCCGTAACCACCAGAATGCCCATGAAGGGCCCAGAGACTTCTAGAACACAGTAAGATGGTGGAAGCATTCTAGAATCGTGACGGTCACTAGCGCTGCCAAATTTGCAACCAGTCTCTGCCAATTAGGGCTTGCGCATCACTAAGCTGCATAGTGCGGAGTGAAATGCACGTCAAATGTTATCCACGTGACTTTAGTAAAGTTAGTAACGACTTACATCCGGTTTAATAATGCCTGACATCCACGATTGAACAACCAGCTAAGCCCGCCTATATAAGGGGGTCTCTCTTCAGTTGTTCTGCTTCCAACTAAAATTTTTTCAAAAGTAAAAATCCTATCAATGTCCGCTTTAAGAACTATCAAGAAAATCATCTACGCCCAGGAACAATCCGAAGGCGTAGGCGCTCGTGTCCGTCGTTCCATCGGAGGCATGAGCGCCAGAAACTTCACCCCGTTTCTTATGCTCGACCACTTCTCCAGTGGAAGCACCAACGGGTTTCCAGAACACCCACACTCGGGACAAGAAACCATCACCTACATCTTGAACGGAGCCTTGGCCCATGAGGATTTCACAGGGTCTAAGGGGATCCTCTACTCTGGCGATCTCCAGTTCATGACGGCCGGAAAGGGTGTGGTGCACTCGGAAATGCCCATTCCCAGCGAAGATGGCTCACCAAATGTTGGCTTGCAATTGTGGGTGGACTTGCCAGAACACTTGAAGAACGTAGAGCCCAGATATAGAGACTTGAGGGCGTGGGAGATTCCAGAAGTGGTACAGCAGGAGGGTAAGCTCCGAGTTAGGGTCATCTCGGGAAAGAGTTACGGAGTGGAGTCCGTCAAGGAGTTGGCCTACACTCCCATCAACTATTACTACTTCCAGATGAAGCCTGGGTCCCACTTCAAGCAGGAGCTCCAGAAAGACTTCAACTACTTCTTGTACGTGTTGAAGGGAAACAGTTTGGTTCTCAACAACGACACCCTAGCAAAGCAACACCACAACCACTTCTTTGATGTGGACGGTGATGCCGTGGAAGGACTCAACCCTGAGTCGGGAGAAGACGTCGAGTTCGTGATTATTGGTGGCCAGAAGTTGGACCAGAACATTGTCCAACACGGTCCATTTGTGGCCACCTCCCAAGCCGGAATCCAAAAGGCATTTGTCGACTACCAGTTTGCTCAAAACGGGTTCGAAAACCTCAGATCATGGAAGTCCTTGATCAGCAATGGTGTGTCCAAGGAAATGATCCAGGGCCCATTGAACGGCAACTTGGAAAAGAGAGAGCAGGCTAAAAACGCATACTTGGCCAAGCACCAGAGTCACGAAGTTTGAAGACGTTGGGATTTCAGTAATCTAAGTAACAGATACTTAGTTCACTGAATAACTACTTATCTAATTTTGTTTAATTCTCTTATGTACTATACCAAAATATATTGTGATTGTTTACATTTCCTGTAGAGTCAGTCAATAATTATCTATTATAGCTACTCTTTAGTTAATTTATGTTCTATTCATTTATTCTCTTTTAAACCATTATCCGTAAATTTAGATTCATACAAAGGATATAGCGGGGTTATTGATCCAATATTATCATAATCGCAGGAGTATGGAATCAAAACGTAATTCTGATACGTTGTGCAAAACTTCGCCAAGACAGTAGCACCACAGATTTAATAATTTCTTGCAACCGGAATGCATAATGCTTGATAAATTTCTCTAGCTTTCTAGGTGAAATAACTACCGTACAGGTAACAAGACGAAGAACTAAATATTATTTATCCATATTACTTTTGAAGAGTCTTTCTAACATATTCAACATACTATTATTGAAAAGAAGTACTTAATGCAATCTTAAACGGACGCCAAGCTCCACCCAAGGTGAATTGATAGCCATCATTGGGCAGTAGCTAACGGACCGGAAAGGATTAATAAACCTTGAGCTTAGTTGAATCATTCAAGGTTGATATATCAGAAAACTCACTACTCCACGACCTCTACATCCTGCTCAAAAACAACTGTACATCAGTATAAAAATAACACTATGCCTCTGTGTCGGTTTCTGCCCTACCAAGAGTGTTTACACTTTCGGTCTCCGCCAAGGACTGGTCCTCCGCGACTGGGGGATCTTCAACGGTAGACTCGCTCTTTGTGGGGCTTTCCACAGCTAACTTTCTTTGTCTCTCGAGCTCCAACCTCTTCATTAACGACTTCTCCTTGGCCTTCAACTCGGCGGCCTTTTGCTCCAACAATGCGGCTCTACTGGCTAACTCCTTTGCACTGGCCATCTCCATTTCTTCCAATTTCTGTTGTCTCTCCAAGATTCTTTCGTGTCTTATCACGTAAGGAACGGTCTCGGAAATTTGACGCAACTGGTTGCGCTGAGGGCCAATCGACAACCTCTTGAATGCAGTGTTGTTGGGGTTGAGGTTTCTGGGTGGGGGAAGGTATTCACTCTTGTTAAAGTTTGTGTGGGGGACGTGGTGCTCCAACGATAACGTGGAAGTGGAAGATGAGAAAGAAGGACTGTCCTTCAATTTGGGAGATGGCATTTCATTGGATTCGTCTTCCAACAACATCGACTTGGACTTCTTGACAGATGAGTCGGCCGACGTAATCGATGAGTCGTCGCCATTGGCTTCAGTCAACTCACTGCCTGATGCATTGGTGATCTGGGCCAAATTGGACATGGAAGGCACCGTGTCGTTGTAGTAGTGGTTGGAGTTTTTGGTGGAGTTGTCTTGGTGGTGCTCCACAGTGTCGTGGAACTCGCTGTCATCGTACTCTTCCTCTGCGGCATTCTTGCCGTTGGAGCCAGCAGTGACCTTGGTCAATCTCTCGGTTCTGTAGGTCTCGTACAAGAAGTCGTGGGTCAAGTCCTTCAAGTCTTGCAAGTGGGAGCCCAAGATTACCGACTTCAAGATCGGGAAATCACTGTATTTGGGGTCGTTTATATCCACCAAACCCCAAGGATACTGTCTTCCTTTAATTATTCTGGTCTGGCCATTTCTGGAGTCGCGGACCTCGAACTCGTGTTCAGACGATATTATAGCAAAGGGTTGAAGGTTTGCCAAGAACTTACACTCCTGGATCAACTCATGGTCCTCATCTTCGTCATACTCGTTCAAGTAGTTGTCAAATTGGAAGATAGGCACGTTAAACTTCTTGATGTCGATCTTGATCTGGGTCTTGAAATGCTTCAATTCCGACTCGGTGAATGAGTCGGCCTTGCCGATTACGGGGATGATGTTGACGTACTTGGATAATCTCTTCATGCACTGGATGTCGATTTCTCTCAAACCATGACCAGTAGGAGTGATGAAATACAACAAGACGTGCACTCGGGTGTCGACAAAACGCGGGTTTCTCTTGATACGGGTCTCTTCGGCCAACACCAAGTCGAACTGTTGCTTCAAGTAGTTTTCGATCTCCACGAAGCAGAGCTCGTTGTTCAAGTTCTCACCAAATCCCGGGGTGTCGATGATGTTCAACAACAACTTCATGTTGTCGTCGTCGATCATCTCGACCTTGGTTTCTGTCAACGCGATTCCCGGCTCTTCGTTGACGGTACGGGGGTTGAACTCGTGTTTGGTGAGAATGGCAGTGTTTGGCAACGCCACCGACTTGGCGGACGTGAAGGTCAAGGTCTTGGTTTCGCCCACGGTTTTGGCATGACCTGAGGCTGCCTCGTAGCGGTGACTCAACACCTTCTTGTTTAACAAGCTGTTGATGAACGTGGTCTTTCCAGTGCCCAGTTCACCCACAACCATGAAGGTGAACTTGACGCCTTTTTTGGCGTCCTTTCTGTAGTTGATCATAGGCGAGTTCTGGCTCATGGAGGGCGACTCGTACGCGTACAGCGAGTCCATGGTGGCGTGGGATCTAAGAAGATGTGTGACAGTAGACGAGGGCTCGCCTAGTAGGGGAATCGTCTAGCGGAAAACGCAAGGAAAACGGCCAGCGGACGATGTGAGACAATTGCAGGCAGTGGAAGGGACGGCCCAGACTGAGTAGGGGCAGTGAAGTGGGCGACTCGTGATGGTGGGACAAGAATCGGTGGTAGTCAATGGCTCAGTAGGTGTTTTTTCATGGACTGTTGTTCAATGGTGGTGTGTGCAGGAGGACACGTCGAGACGAGCAGGGACTGGTTGAGGGAGGCTATGGAGGGGCAGAGGCAGTAGGGGCAGTAGAGGCAGAAAAGACAGTAGAGGCAGAAGAGGCAGTAGAGGCAGAAGAGGCAGAAGAGGTGAGTGTTGTGGAGCAGGACAGAACGTGCCAGCGACAGAATAGCAGAAGGATTGGAACGGCGTGGTGAGAGGCGAGAAAGGCGGAGTGATTCTGGGAGAATTGGTTAGAGGTGTCTGGGAGAATTGGGTGGAGGTTCCTGGGAGAATTGGTTAGAGGTGTCTGGGAGAATTGGGTGGAGGTTCCTGGGAGAATTGGGTGAAAATGCTACTGGAGAAGTGCTACATAGTGGCTGCTAAGGGTCTTGGGGTAACTCACCAAGAGTGGTTAGGCTTGGAGTCCAGAGACTTGTAACAAATGGGTATTCGCGGAATTGGCTGGTGTCAAAATTCCGCTTCAATTTTCGGCTAGCAGGGTCTATCTAGATGGATACAGCAACATTTCCATGCTTTGGAGGCAATGGAACAATGTAGGAAAAGCGGTGGATTGACGAGACGACTATAAATGTAGACCTGCACTGTTACATTTACGCCAAGGGTCAGTGAACAATAGCTGTTGATGTAGAATTGACAAGGCCGCCTAGTAAAAGCTTCAGAATTGCCTTTATCATTTAAATCATCATAACCTCTAGTTTTGAAATAAAAATAATCGTTGATTATCATCATGATTGCTCGAAAATCACCTTATTCCAGTATTTTCCCATGAATGTATACTATTTCTGGCTGCATTTAACTCACGATTAAGCCTGCAATAGCCCGTACTATACATTACAATTATTTCGCCATTCTTTCTCGATAGTGTCACACCACCATATCTATATCTATAGAGGGGCTTATGAGCTCCAATTTGTCAAAAAATATTGTAGTAGGGAACATCCCTACAATACTCTGCGAGGCGGTTTGTTCAATTCGAAAACCACGAACTCCTTCTTACTTGAACGACTCTCAAGCGATACTCGGGAAATTACTTCCTATCTCGAAAAGTATCATTAATTCTTTAGTCGTCACCTATTTTGTGGCTCATTACCAACAATTGGCTTACGCAATTGAACAATATTAGCTTGAGAGAAGTAGACGAGATGCAAAATCTGGAAACTTTTTCAGCAAGATCAGAGGTAGACGCAATGAATGTACACACCCTTGTTTAGCAGTGAATCACATCATTACTTATCGGAAGGTATACCACTAATTAGTAAAGACTTCCTGAGTCTCCAAGTACATCACGTGAGTATCCACGTGACAGTATCAGCAATCATCCGATTCAACTTCTCCGAAGCTCCACGGACCCAAACGCATTAATCCCGCCCTAATGTCGTTCAAGACCCTTTCAGCAGCCGCAGCAATCCAATTGGACAAGGAATTGATGTCCACTGGTGCCTACTCCATCGACCAGCTCATGGAATTGGCAGGATTGGCAGTGGCCCATGCCATCTACAAGCAATACCCTCCATCCACCACGCCAAATCAGGCCAGCAAGACGTTGGTGCAAGACTTCACTCCATCAAAGTTGGCAAACCGTGTGGTGGTCTTGGTGGGTCCCGGAAACAACGGAGGTGATGGTCTAGTTGCAGCCAGACACCTCCAACTATGGGGAGGCTATTCTCCCGTGTTGTACTACCCCAAGAAGTCCAAGTCAAACCAACTCTACTCCAGTCTCCTCAAGCAGCTCCAAGACTTGGAGGTTCCTGAAATCTCATCGTTGGAAGAGGTTTTGGCAGTGATAGACTCGCCCCAAACTTCCCTTATCATCGACTCGTTGTTCGGGTTTTCGTTCAAACCACCCATCAGAGACCCCTTCCAGGACTTGATCAAGCACTTGGCGCATAGCCATGGCAAAATTGCCCCCATTGTGTCCATTGACATCCCGTCTGGCTGGGACGTGGAAAACGGACCTGTCGATTTGGATATCAATCCTGCCATGCTAGTGAGCTTAACTGCACCCAAGCCATGTGCAGCTCATTTCCACAACGAAAATCGGGTCCACTACTTGGGAGGACGCTTCATTAACAAGCAGATCGCTGTTAAGTACGGATTGGAAGAGATAATCGCCAGATACAAGGGCGATGACCAAGTGGTGAAGCTTTGAGGGATTGTTAATGTCTAGGAAGGCTTCGTTTTTGTTGTAATGGATGCCATATTTTGCTTCCCAAACGAGGAGTGGTGTAATATTACTTCCTTGTAAAGACCTTCTTCATCATTGAGCCCAAGAGAGGTGACTCCTTGAATGGATGGCATGAAGATACTTTAGAGGAAGACTATAAATCTATCAATCGTGCCTCTTCTACATTGACTAGTAATGATCTATAATACATGACTTATGAACTAAACAACTGTGGATATCACGCCCTCGGAGCGTGGTGATATGCTGGCATCTAAATTAAATACCTGGCCCGGTCTCCGAATCTATTTTGTCTTTCTGGAGTGGAGGGAAGTGCCTTGCTCTTATTGGCTTTGCCAGAGATATTAGGAAGCAGGACATTTCTGGGCTTTGTGTCGATGCTCGAATTGGATGTAAAACTATGCTGGGCCCTCGTAGGAGACTTTGTTGGCGGCAATTGGGCGATAGATGTTGCTGAAATTGCTGGCTTTAATGCAGGAGGTGTCTTGTTGGACCCTGTGGGAGATGTGGGGGCCGTATGAAATGATTCAGATGGATGAAGAGACGTGAAATCGCTGACGCTTCTTTTCTGAGATGCAGTGTTAGCGATGTAGGAACTATCCCGTTTTTCGCTTGATTCCCAAATTGACTCTTTTAAATCTTGAGAATAAGGATGGGAGGACCCGAAACCTCTCGAGTGCAAATTGGGAGATTTGAATGAATGCATGCTTCTATTGGCGTCTCCAAAATCACTCACACTCCTGAAGCTTTTACCAGCTTGCAGCGAAGTGAGATTGCTTTGTCCTGAGCCTATGCTTCCTTGGCTGGTTGCTTGGGCACTTGGCTCGAAGTTCAAGCTATTGCGTGATTTAATGTTGAAACTAGCGGATCTCTTATCCGACTGTGAGTAAGATCTCGGTCTCGTCTTTCTTTTGTCAACAGATGAAACAAGACCGTACTTGGAGTAAGAGTAATCGCTTCCGCTATCTAAGCAGAAACTGAAAGGCCGCTGTCTCACGTACGCTTGAAGATCACTTTTTGCGTCATTTAACTTGGTTGATCTGCTTGAAACTGACCATTGACTTTGATTAGAAGAGAACTGAATAGAGTGCCTGTCCAGAGGCTGCCTGCTTTGTCTATCCATGGCCTTGCTAGATGAAACCGATAGTCTATCCAGATGATATCTCAGGTTCAGACTAACAGAGTATCTATCCAGGGCTTTTCTTTGATAACTTTTGAGGTTTCTGCATTTCCTTACCTGAAGTGGTTGCTGTTCCTTGGAAGATGTTTCCGATTTTTTCTCTATTGGGACGCTAGGAAGGTCCTTGTTGGTATTGACAGACACACTAGACAGATAGCGATTCAGGTATGGAAGCATGGGAACACTGACAGTTCTATTTGGTTCTCTAAAGCTCTCGAATTCAAGATCCATACCAGAGAATAAACTGTCCTTTAAACTAATATCATCTGGGTGGACTCCTAATTCTGGCTCGTGTGAAAGGAAATCCTCAAGCTTCGCTTCTTCAAATGTACTAGGTAAAATAGATGAAGTTTCTGAACCACAATCTAATTCCTTATTTGATTTTTCTGTATGGTGAAGGGCATGTTCATGTGAAACGAGTGAAGATGCAGCAGATGACAACGATTTAGATTCTGAAGCAACAAAACTTTCATCTATGCTCAAAGACTCCGAAAAGAGACTATCATTGTCATCGTCAATAACTAGATGTTTTGGAATATGGAAGTCAGGAGTGTGAATGCTTCCGTAGTACTTATAAATCTCATCAAGGTCCGCACTTCCAATGCTTGTCAGTGGTGAAGTTTCCGAGTGAGTTGTATGAGGGCTCGCAAGGGTCTGGACAGGCTTCTTTTCAGGAACTTGTGGCTTGGAGGGGTTTTTGCGAACTTTTGGATATGCGATGGTATGATCTGTTGAACGGATAGCGTAAGGGTGAATTTGGGAGACTGGAGAGTCGCTGTCGGGAACAGAGAATCCGTTCTTGGCTGGTGGAGATGGTGGAAGGAGCGATCTATCCAATCGGCTTGGCGATTTCCACACAATTGGTGGTTGAAAATGTTGGGAAGATGATTGGATTCGTGAATCAGAAGATGCGGATTTGGCTGGTGATGAATATGCAACCATGGCAGGCTCCAATCTCAGTGGACTAGAAGAGGTGGGAGTGGCTGTAGATAATGGGGGTTCTGATGGTGGTGAAAACAGGGTTTTCATGGGCAGACCGAGATCGATCGCAACAGGTCCCGCTCTTGAGGAATTATGGGACACCTTAATGCCTTCCATGATGCGAGGCACGTTAGTGGGAGCCATTCTGACGGGCGACAAGGGAATGCTGTCGACAGGAGTGACGACACGGGGAGTCGGCACGGATGCAATTGGCGATAAGCCTCCTGAGGGGGCAGATTCAGGTGAATCGAGCGGATCAGCGACTCTACTCATGATCCTGGGGAGCACGTACATCGAGACAGCTCTAGGGTTTTTGGAGAGCTCTTTCTTGGGCAAGGGTGGTCTTGAGGGGAGAGGGTCTTGCTCAAGAGGCGGTGACGGCAAGTCCTTTGCTGGGCTAGGAGGTGGTGAGTACGTGTGTGGAATTACGGGCATGCTGACGACTCTGCGGTCGCCTTTGCGAGGCCGTTTCAAGCGCCCAGCTTTATCGAAAACAGGCAAGGAAGACGGGAGGTCCCATGGCTCGAAGGTGCTGGGTCGGTAGCTGGCCACTGCGTGGGTCAAGTCGAGGGCATCGAGCTTGAGACCTGCTGGGATGGTTGGCGGGAGGTCCTGAGGCGAGAGAACCTGCTTCGAGGAGTTGTCGTGCTTCATGGGATTCGATGGTTGCAGGATGGGGACTGGTTGGATGGGAAATGGGCACAGTCTGGAGTTCAACGACTCTCTGAGTGAATGGAACGGAATAGATGGCGCTAGGTGGGAACAGTTAAGTGGCACTGCCTGGAGTTCAATGAGCCTCCCTGGTTTGAATGAGCACTGGCTGGATGGGAACACCAGTTGGATGAGAATAGCAGTTGAATAGCACTTCCTGGAGCTCAATGACTAGAGTCAAAGACTGGAGTCGATAACAGCCTCTTAGAAAGCCTGAATAAATGACCGATTAATGAGCCTCCTATAAAATGGCACTGACGTCGTAATCAGCCTCAATTGCCTCAGTATGATGCCTGGTTGATAGCTTCGTAGAATGCACTGTCTCGTGCTGTCACTGTCGTGCTGTCTGAATGCGCCTGGCGTGGTGTGCTTTGACAGCGGTTGTGGGCATCGCCCCTTCACTATATACGTTCCAGCCACTGGGGTTGATTCGCTGGGGTGGCTGGTCATGGCTGGATGGGGAACAATCGCCAGTGCTGGCCTATGCAGTTCGCTTGATCTATTGTTCGCTGCGGCATCGTTGTCAGGAGAAAGTCAACGCATGGAAGACAGCGCCAGGCTGGTGACAGCACTCTGTCCGAGGAGCCCCAACAGGCTGTGATAGCCACCAGTGGTGGTGTTCTGGTAGTGGTGGTGGTGGCGCTGTAATGCTGCAAAAGATAGACGCCTAGGCTAGCCGCTCAGTGCGCGCACTGCGAACAAATAAAATGTGACCTGGTCTATATAAGGAGCGGTAGAGCCGGTAATTTTTACAGCCCACTGTGCAACGCCAGCAGAACGCCCCCAGAACGCCACCACCGCCAGTTGACGACCATGCAATCCATCGAGGTCAAGGAGAGCGTGTGGAACGGGCTGGTCAACGTGCGGATCGTGTTCCGTTCCGCAGGTGGCCCCGTCCAGTACTTGGCTCGGGTGTACCGGCAGTCGTACTTTGCGGTGGAGTTCGCGGCCTTGGTGGAGTACTTCGGTCGCCACGACAAGGCGGTGGCCACGCAGCCAGTATGGTTGGAGTACGAGTCAGTCCCCATCAAGTGGAACCTCCCGGTGGGCGTGCTCCACGACTACCTCCATCTTCCTGTCCGCACCACCAGTGCAGTCTGGACCCTCACCTTGCGGTGCGACCAGTACCCGCGCGACCACATCATCCCGTTCATCTACACCACCGGGAGTGGGACCGTGGACTACGCCCGATCGCTCCAGGAGACGGTGGTCAACCTGTTGAAGCAGTCCAGCTTTGTTCTCAATGGCAACGCCAAGGTCATCATGGCGCTAGGCGAAGCCGACTCCAACGCCTGGTGGCACGCCATCGTGGCCCACAACTTGTACCAGTACGAGCGGGTTGCCCGGATAGTGATGCCGTCGCTCAAGTTCCAGCGCGTGCCTGTCAAGGTGTACGTGTGCGGGTCCACCGAGGTGATCCAGGCGCCGATCTACCCCACCAGTGCCAGTGGTGCCGCCGTATCGTTGGGCGCCGTGTTGAGCGAGGTATTGCCGTCTTTATTTGCCCAGGGAACCTTCGCCCGTCCCTACATCCAGGGCTTGGACATGACTGCATGGGTCAACAACCCTGACTGCGGAATCTTGGACTTGTGGAAGGCATTCAAGCATCTCGACAACTTCTTGTACATCACGGTGTTGGTGGCCAGCGGGCTGGCCGAGATCGACTCCCGAGATAAGCAATCGATATCTGGATCGTAATGAGAATTAGGAAATCAGAATTCACGCCAAAACTCGAGTAAGATACTATATTCTAGCGCTAGAAATGAACTCTCGTCATACATTACAAGGTGTAGAGTGGGTGGAATAGAACTTAATAATGAATGATCATGCCGCTAATAAAGTCCATATTTAAAAGCTCTTTATACCTTTTTGTACATCCAAGGCAACTCGAAAGAAACCAACCCATAGATGATAAAATCAATACTCACAAGGTTTGTGAGAAGATTTCACTTAACAGGATGAGAAACTCACTTATTCCTTGAAAATCAAAATCACTCTTTGCAGCCGTGAAAGGTGGTTTTAGAGATCAATACCTGTCAATTCAACCAAGTGAATTGGTTTGTTTACGTGATGAATAATTAAGCATTGTCAAGATCAGACATTGTAATAATTAGGCATTGTCAAGATGTGACCCGCTATAGTTACAATTGATAAAAAATCCAAAATCACTAAACACCTTCCCTGTCGCTACCGGAGGACATGATTAATCAAAAGACAGATAGATAGCAAATGCCTGGACCCTGAAAAGTGATTGATATTACTATTGTTTCTGAAGTTCAATTTCCAAAATACTAGAAAAACACAGGCTCTTCCCAATATTAAACTTTCTTGCCATTTACCATTTTGGATAGGTTTATGACTATGAACATGAAATTCAGAGAAGTAGAAGTAAAAGATGAGTAATTGCAACGACCAGGTAGCATGCAACGTTGTCATCTAAGTCTTTCTCAGTAACACTTGGTTTTGCATCTAATGATAATTTATGGGCACACCCACAGTCATAAGCTTAGAGTTACTCGTGCTGAATGTACATCGCCAAAACCCGATTTTCTTTCGACTTTGAAATCATTTAGGTACGAATTTAGAAAAAGATGTCTTGCTGTTTTTCAGCTGAACTTAATCGTATACTATCCATGATTACTCGTATCATTTCTGCTCTAGACATCTCGCCAATTAATAATATCCATTTTTACTAACCTTGCTTGCTCGTTGCCTTTCTCAAGCTAGAATCTAGAGGTTTTTCTATTCGCTTTCGCTATCGTTTATATCAATTTCACTTATTACTTACATTATATCTAATATGCCGTTTTAACAGTCTATGAGTCTACTATATCTACACCCCTCATGCCACCTCAAACATCGCCTGGAGCCAGTTTCTGTACATCTTAAACTGCTTCTTTCTATTCACCAACAACCGTCTGTCGGTGGCGATCTTGACCTCCTTGAACCCGCCCATGGTGCCAAAAATCTCCCGCAACTCATCCTCGGTGAAAAAGTACACTCTGGTTCCGTCGCCTCGGATGTAGAAGTTGTCCTCCAACAAGCGTTCCTTCTTGAATCTGACCTGTGCCAAGTCGTACCTGCCGTAGTCACGGAACAAGATTTTTCCTCCTGGTTTCAATACCTTGGCGAGGTTCTTCACAGCCTGGGCCCACTGGTTGGGGTTCAAGGCCAGAAACACGAATACCATGATGACGATATCGACGGAGTGGGGCTCCATATCGTCAGGAATCTGGCCCTCGGGGTTGGCCAAGTCCCACACTGACGAGTATGCCACTCCCTTGTCGTGGTTGGGCTGGAACTGCTCGTTGGACTTGACTACATCCACAGCCACCTTCAGGTAGTCACATCCGTAGATCTTCAAGTGAGGGTTCTTGTTCTGGTTCAAGATAGGGTAGAAGGTGTTCCCAGCACCGCAGCCGATCTCCAAAATGGTACAGGGGTCCTGGTAGTCGGCGCTAGTGACCTCGAACAACAATGGAAACTCGATCTGGAGCCAGTTGCGGTCCTTGAAGAACTTCTCTCCGTTGTTTTTGTAGAAAATGTCCCAGAACTTGGCGGGATTCTCGTTGTACATCTTCTTGTCGAACTCGCTGACAGGATGGTCGTACTGCTTGGCGATAAGCTCCTTGGCCTGGTCGATCTGCTCTTGGCCCCATTCCGCATGGTCCCAAGCATTGTGAGTGAAAACGTCCTCTTCGTTCTCCAAAATCCGTCTACCGAACGTGAACGGCAAGCCCTTGCCGACTGTGGCATCAGTGCCGTTTCTGACCTCCAAAGGTGGCTTGGAGATGGTGGTTTCCTCGGTCATGGTTGGGGTTGAAATTTTTCGATGAGCTTCGCAAAAGTGCACTGGTACATGGTAGCGCCAGGTGATATCTGGGTATTGCAGCGACGAAGTAGAACATGCTTGGGTGAAAGAGTGAGTGATGTGATGCTAGCATCTGAATTACGAGTCTATTTGGTCTTTGATTTCTGTTTTATTTCAGTATATGGCATATTGGCTCTTGTCTAAGTGATACATACTATGATAGAATTGGGGGTAGTTGAGCCATACCGTATATCCATATACTTGGACACATACTTTGGGAGTTCTAACATATGCTCCGCATGTAGGCTTAGTTATCAAATATCGATGGATAGTCATGTACTATGTACTAGCTATTAAGTATGCTTGTATGGAAACAGAAAATTCTCATGGACTTCAGCTAATTTCGCATCATTCAGTCAAAAGCAGACCAGCTGTTTGTTCCTTAACTCGGTCAATCTACCAAGAGTATCTACATTGGTAGTTTTTCTTAGCTAGAAATTTTTGATCGAAATCAGTGTACTTCACTTAGTACTATTCTTCAAGCTTCCCAAGTCATTATTGAAACTGAGTTATGAGTGTAAAATATCGGTAGAATGTTTTCCTATGCTTATCTATATGCCAAGGTAAACTAAATGCAATCTATGAGCAGGACTCGAAGTCCCATGCCGTTCTTTGAACACAGTTCAAAGCAGTCTCTTTACCAGAGAACGTTCATAATCAGCCCTACTTCCAGAGAACCAAACCGACTCTCCTTCCACAGTAACCGTTCGAACAGCTTCTTCTAACGGTTCAAAAAATGGACATCCCCGTCCAAGTCCTGGAGCCGCCCAGCAGCCTGTTCGCTGGTCAAGTCACGCTGGGCTTCGCCCAACATCTCAAAGCCCACACAGAACTTCTTGACGGTCGCAGACCGCAACAACGGAGGGTAGAAGTGCATGTGGAACCAGCTGGCGTTCTTCTCTTCATCCGTGCACTGGAACGGAGCCTGGTGGATCCCCATGGAGTACGGGAAAAATGTGTTGAAGAGGTTGTCGTACTTGGTAGTCAATTTCTTGAGGATTTCTGCCAAGTCGGTCTTGTGCTTGTCGGAGAAGTCCTCGGTGGACCTGAGGTGTTCTTTGGCTATCAAGAGCGTCTCGAAAGGCCACAATGCCCAGTAGGGGACCACCACGAGAAACGAGTCGTTCTGGACCACCACCCTCTCTTTTTCCTTGATTTCCAATTGCACGTAGTCTCCAAGCATGTGTGTCTGGTTTTCACGGTAGTACCTGCTCATGTTGTTGAGTTCGTGCTGGACCTCGGTGGGCACGATGTCCAAGCACCACGCCTGGCCGTGTGGATGGGGGTTGGAGCATCCCATCGCACTGCCTTTGTTCTCGAAGAGCTGGAGGTACTTGTAGGGCGATCCATGGCCAGCTTCCTGGCCCAAATCGTGGTAAAGCTTCTGCCAGGTGTCGACCACCTTAGTGAGCTCTGCCACCTCCATCAACGGCAACGTGAGGTTGTGGTTGGGACTGAAACAGATGACAAAACATTTTCCCTTGACACCTTCTGTCTTGAGAAGCCTTCCTTTGACGGTGTCTTTAGGCTCGTTTTCCACGTAATCTGGCTGTTCCAACTTGACGGCAGGATAGTCGTTGGTAAACACGTAGGTAGCCTCGAATTTAGGGTTTCTGTCGCCAGTGGCTCGAATGTTTCCTGGGCACAAGTAGCACTTGGGATCGTATGACGGCAAGTTCATCTTCTTGATCTCTTCGCGAGCACCCTGCCATGGACGCTTGGCTCTGTGTGGCGAGCAGAGAATGTAGGAACCAGTCAACGGGTTGTGGCGACGGTGGGAGTGGTTGGTGAAGTCAAAAGATTGCGTCATCTGGTTGGAGGGTATGGGATTGAGGAGGTAATCCACGCGGTTGACTCTCATGACGATGGCAGACACGGATGCTTATATACTGCTGGGAAGGAGATGGGAACGTGTGCTTCGCCTGCTGGCATATATACTGATAGCCAGTTTTTTTGAGTCTCAGCCCTTCGGGTTGTGAGAAAGGCTGGAAAACAAGTGCAACGTTGCAGCGCGGGCCAGGCCAGGTCACGAGCCCAGGCCGTGGAGGCGATATGCAGACACGCATTCTTGGTGCGAATGCAGACACTCATGCACTCCTGATTCAATTTCTCCGGCATGCTCATAGCTAACAATCGTGAGGCATCGGTGTCTCCACTCCACCTGCTGACGTGAGTCCCTGCATACCCCAAAAAATTAATACATCCTGCAACGTTGCTGAGCCAGGCCTAGACTCGCAGAAACGTGGCCCGGGGATCGTTTTCTGCAATGCAACGTTGCGGAAGGATAAATCCACCAGTAAAATCAGAATAAACCTTGGTTAGAAGGCATGGCCCTGGAAAAAATTATCTCATGGAATTCTACAACGTTGTAGTCATGACTCTACCGATTCCCAACACTTCTGCAACGTTGTACTCCTGTCATTTCTCCACAAAAAAACACATCAAATCGAATTTGCTCAGTTTCTGTAATTGAAAAAATAGATACCAATACTCTTCAAAGTCCCTAGGTTGACCAAGATGACAGAGACTCTTTTTGAGCGTTACGTTTTAGTTACAGGTGGTGCTGGGTTTATTGGCTCGCATTTTCTCGAATATCTTGTTACAAAGTACCCCAACTACCACTTTACATGTATCGATAAACTAAACTATGTCAGCAGCTATTCTACTAAATTTCTTGATAGCTTGACCTCGTTGCCCAACTTCAAATTCATTAAACGGGACTTGGCTTTAGAGCTCGAGTTTTTGAAACAGTTATTAGTCTTCAACTTCAACACTAACCGCATAACTGAGGTGATCAATTTCGCAGCCGAATCCAGCGTGGACATATCATTTGATGATCCTTTGTATGTTATCTCCAACAATATCCTCAGCACCGCCAACCTATTAGAGTGCTTTCGACTAGTTAAATTGGCCAATCCAGAGGAAACGTTCAATTTCTTGCATGTTTCGACGGACGAGGTATATGGAGATGAAGGTATCCAATCCGACGAGAGTGCATCCCTCCGTCCTACAAATCCTTACTCCGCTTCTAAGGCATCGTTAGATATGATCATAAACTCCTACAAATGCTCGTGGAAACTTCCAATTTCTATAGTGAGGCCCAACAACGTGTATGGGCCAAGGCAGTATCCAAATAAGTTGGTTCCAGCAGCCATAAACAGACTTTTCAGTGGAAAACCCGTTCGGATTCACGGCAGCGGTAGCAATCTCCGCTGCTACTTGCACGTCCACGATTTGGTACGGGCGTTAGAGCTAGTATGGAAAAGCCCAAACAAGGGCCAAGTCTTTAATGTGGGCAATGGGGACGAAATCCTGAACGTTGCCTTGGTGGAAAAGATATGCAAGCTCTACTTCAAGGATGAGCCATTTGAACTCCAGAAACATGTCGAATTTGTGGAGGACAGGAAGTACAACGATATGAGGTACTCTATGAGCTGTGAGAAGATCGGGGAGTTGGGGTGGAGTCCGAGGATTCGCTTGGAGGACGGCTTGAGCGAAATGATCGAAATGCAAAGGGGATAAAGACGATAATTTTGACATAATTCCATCCAGGCTCCAGAATGTTACTGGAGGGTGGGAATATAGACATCTTCAATATACTTCAGCAGCATAGCTCATACCAGAGCAGCCAATTCGCCCACTTTGAGGTCAAACAACTGGCTCTTGATAGGCATGTCCAACGAGTAGAACGGATCTTTCATTACGTAGTCCGAGTAGAGCACGTACAAATGACGGAACGTTTCACTGGCTTGCTCGTGCTGCTTCTGGAGCTCGCCTTTAGTGGGAACTCCCGAGTCTGCAGCCAATTTTGACAGAGTTTCTGGGGTATGCTGCATATTATGCACAATTGGGTTTGGCGACGTGATAAGAATGAATTTGATCCCGGTTAAGCTCTGAAACACATAGAGATTGAACAAGTCTGTCTCGATGCTCCCCAAGCCTGTTTTGTTTGTGTTAGAGTTCTGCACTTTTCCAGTTGAAAGCAACAACGCGTTGTTGGCGGTGGGATCTGTCCCACTGGTGGTACTAGTACTGTCTTTTCCCACGATGGTTGGCGTCAACTTGGCGGCAATGGCATGGACTCCATGAAGAGTACCTGCCAAAACGAGATAATCGTTGGCAGTTAGCCTGTTAAGAGAGGGGTCGAGGTTGTTCTGATAGATGAGGCCTCCAGCCTTGTTGAGGATGTAGATCGAGTACAACTTCATGTTGGTGTTTGATAGGAAATGGAAACCGGATCTTGTATAGGATAGTGGGGCGTGCGCCTACCAAATATCGCGCCCAGAGCCAAAAAGAAAGCTTCCCCACCAGGAGTCGAACCTGGAATCTTCTGGTTCCAACCGAGAAGTGGTTACTAAATCGTAGCCAGACGCCTTGACCATTGGGCCATGAGGAACGAAGCTTGAACTGTTTCGGAGATATATCAAATACACGGTGGTATTTCTAGGCAAAACATCCTTAATGCAATAGTTAAGGTATTGATATGAAGTTTTAACTACAGGGCCATCCAATCAGCACAAAAGCACAGAATCCTCATGTAATTAATATTTGGGGAAGAATTAGAGCCTGCTCAGAGTTTTGTCTAGATATCTCACCTCAGTACCCAACTATAGCAAAATTCAGGTTCTGGCTTTAGAAGCCTAGAAGCCTCACAGTACCCTTCTGTGGGTGACTTCGAGATAGTTCAAAACACAATTTCGACAGATTTATACTCGAATTGTATCGGCATATTCTTAAGACCCCACCTGACCTAAAATTCGTGTGACTGAAATCATGCTAATTCCAATAAATATTTCGTTAATTCATATTATTCATATGAGATCTCATTGTGTTTCCTACACAAACCTCTAAACCTTCCCATTTCTACGCTATACTTGTACTCCTGTTTATTATGAATTTTCCTTATTCTATGACTATACTACTGTGTCCAGCAATTTATCCGATAATCTTGTACGCGATTCTGGCTCCATAGACCTCGCCTTTTTTCAAGATGACTTGATCGCGCCATTCCTCAGAGTTGATGGCGTCAACGTACCTGCTAGGCTCAATGCAGAAACCACTTCTGGATCCAAAGCCTTTGGTGTCGGTATAATCCCCAGTGTAGAACTGGAATGCAGGCTCGGTGGAGCTAATCACCAATTTAATCTTGGAGTCTGGGTGAGACGCTTCGACGATTTGCTGAAGTTCGTGGCCCCTAGTGTCAATCGAATGGGATTCCTTGGTGACCACGAAGGCAGTGTCGTAGTTGATATCTTTAGTAACTTTTAATGGCTCGTTGACACTTATTCTGGTGTCGGTAATGGTTTTGCCAGTGGGAATCTTGTTTTCGTCTACCTCGAGTACCTGGTTGCTTGCAAGCTTCAAAATGGTGTTGTCATGAGTGGAATTAGGGGTGATGTTGAAGTAGGAGTGGTTCGTGAGGTTGACGATGGTAGCGTCCACCGAGCTTCCGTCCTCGAGGGACGCCTGGTACTCGATTTCAACAGTGTCCTGGCTGATCTTGTACTTCACATAGGTATCGAGGTTTCCAGGGAAACCGTCTGGGGAGTCTGCGTCCTTCAAGTAGAATTCCACTGTGAAAATGCCTTCCTTTTCCTTGACTACTGGGCCCAAGAATTTTCTGGTGTTGTAGCCACTCAATCCTCCGTGGAGGGTGTTGGGGTGCTCGTTCTGGGTCACCTGATAGCTGGTCCCGTTGAGACTGAACTTTCCATGGGCAATTCGGTTGGCCACTCTGCCCACAGTCGTACCAAAAAATGGATTGGTCTTCAAACTATAGTCCTGAGGATTCTCATACCCGTTCACGACCGATACTCCCTTGTAGGAAAGCTTCTGTATAATGGCTCCGTGGTTTAGGAAAGTGACTGACAAGTCCCCATTCTCCACGGTGTGGGCTCGGTTTTCGTAGTTGTCGCCAACAATTTTCCACGAATAGTTGTCTAGATTAAAACCAAACGGATTGGCGCTGGTCCACCTCCACAAGTCACTGCAGGCATCGTCAATGCCGAGTTCAGCTTTCCACTCTAACTCTTCGTTGGCTCGCGAAGGGTTCGCAGTCAAGTCGAGCACATCGCCAGCTCTTCTGCCCACCACCTCGTATGGCAATTCCCTACCTACGACCTTGCAGAAGGCGTGGTAGATCTCAAAAACGGTGGAGCCCTTGCCTGTGCCCAAATTCCACTCACGGTAAAGTCCGCTGGTAGACTTTTTCAAGTAGTTCAAGGCACTGATATGGCCCTTGGCCAAGTCTACTACATGTATGTAGTCACGGATGGGCGTGCCATCGTGGCTGTCGTAATCGCTGCCAAACACCGACAACTTGTCACGTCTGCCAATGGCGACCTGTGACAAGTACGGCAATAAGTTGTTGGGGATGCCCAAAGGATCCTCGCCAATCAACCCCGAAGGATGGGCCCCCATGGGGTTGAAATAGCGCAAAATACCCATGGTCCAGTTGGCCTTGTCACTGGCATATACGTCCTCGAGGATATTCTCGATCATGCGCTTGGTTTTTCCATAGGGGTTGGTGGGGTCGGTGGGACAGTGCTCAGGAATGGGAATCATCAGATTATCGCCAAAACGAGTCACATCGCCGTACACTGTGGCAGAGCTGCTGAAGACCACTGTTTGGACGTTGTGGGCCTTCATGGCCCTCAAAAGCGTGATGGTGCCGTTGACGTTGTTATCGTAGTAGTCCAAGGGGATCTGCGACGACTCTCCCACGGCCTTCAACGCAGCGAAATGGATGACTCCTGTCACCTTGTAGGCTTGGAAAACGACAGCGAGTTGGTCGTAGTCGCGGAGATCCACCTTGAAGAACGGAATCGCCTGTTTGGCCACGAACTCGATCCTGGCCACGGCATCGTAGGAAGAGTTACTTAAGTTATCGACAATAATCACCTTGTAGCCGTTGCTGAGCAACTCAAGTACGGTATGGGATCCGATGTAGCCTGCGCCACCTGTCACAAGGATGTATTCAGACATTGATAGTGTTGGTGTGTTGAATTATCAATCTGTTCAGACGTTAGATGCCTGCGAATTAATATAGCGAGGAGGTCCGGGGAAATTCCCACGTTTACATGAAACGTTACATTATTTTTGTCGGAACAACCTGCCAGCGGGGGGGTTGGGTTGGGGTCTGGGGTGTGCAAATTTGCGATCTTCCTGCAACTCAGAGCGTCACGACAAATTCCAGTGTCGGTTCCAGATTGGGAACGAGCTGCAAGTGGCATTACCAGTTCCTGGAACGGAATGGTGTCTGACCCACGGGTCCTTTGTTGCGGTTGAAATGACCAATCGGATCAACCGGTGTGTGTTGTTTTTTGTTGATGACCGCAAAATCCCCACTCAATAGCTCGTTGCTTTTGCGCGCCCACATTATTTACTATTCATAGTGGCCCCAAAAAAAGCAACTTGAAATGATATTTTTTGCGATTGATGCAGACACAATTATATCTATTGTTCTCCGCATGGGGGACCTCACGCGTGAAAAATAATGTCAGCAACGGGAATGCAACGTTGCAGTTCCCCCACAGTTTCCGGAACATACTCGGCAATCCTCCTGCACCTACCCCAGTGGGCATCCCGGCGGCGTCCAGATCGCCAGGTGTGTTTCCTGGTCTCCTTCACTTTCTTCCCGGGTATAAATCGTCTCACACCACCACCAGTCTATCTTGGCCACCATGATCCCCACTCTTCACGACCTCCAGTTCTACGCCGATCCCCGTGCAAACCAGACTCGATATGGCACATTGGCTCGGACCTTCGAGTCCAATTTCGGGACCTCTCCCCAGTTCTTCGCCAGATCGCCAGGGAGAGTCAACTTGATGGGCGACCACATCGACTACAACTTCTTCTCGGTGTTGCCGATGGCCATCGACGTGGACGTGGTAGTTGCAGTCTCCACGGTATCTGACAGCAACGAAATAACCATCACCAACACCAACCCCGAGTTTAAGAAGTCCACAATCGTCTTGCCCTCGGACGGAAGTGTGGTCACCATCAACCACGAGCTGTTTAGCTGGGCCAACTACTTTATGTGTGGATTGATAGTTGCCCACAAGTACATTTTGGATTCGCACCCCGAACTAGTCTCCGGAGGAAAGAAACCATTGAAAGGCCTCAATATGACCTTCGATGGGAGGGTTCCTACAGGAGGAGGTTTGTCGTCATCCGCTGCCATCTGCGTGGCTTCTACCTTGGCCATTCTTAGAGCAAACCGATTGACTGAGATTCCCAAAAAAGACTTGACAAAAATCACCGTAGTCACTGAGCACTATATAGGTGTCAATACGGGAGGGATGGACCAGTGCGCCTCTATCTATGGCGAAATCTCTAAGGCTTTGCTTATCCAATTCAAGCCCGAATTGAATGCTACTCCGTTCAAGTTTCCACAATTACATGAAGACAACGAGTTGGTATTCCTCATCACCAACAGTTTGCAGGTGTCTAACAAGCACGAAACAGCTCCCTTTCACTATAACTTGAGAGTTGTGGAAATGGCCATTGCATCCGACTACTTGGCTGCGAAACTTGGCTTGCCTCCCCTTCCAAAGGACTCCAATATCAAGACAGGTAGTTTGCGCGGGTTGTTGGACGCATACTTTGAATCTAAGAGCCAGCCCAAGTGGAATGGAAAGGATATTGCGATAGGAATCGAGAGATTAACCGCGATGCTGGAATTGTTGGAGCGTAATGATATCTTCACCAGTGACCAAAAGGAAGGCTTCACGACCGAAGAGGCCGCAAACGGATTGGGAGTGACGCTCGATCAGTTCCACCAGACCTACCTATCCAGTTTTCCCGTTAAGTACACCAAGCTCAAATTGTACCAGAGGTCGAAACATGTCTTCCAAGAGGCTTCGAAGGTGTTACAGTGCTTGGACTTATTACAAAGCTACAACGGAAATCCTGACAAATTCCTCGACGACTTTGGCAACATCATGAACAAGTCACAAGTGTCTCTTGATGTGTTGCACAACTCCTCGAACAAAGAGTTAAATGAAATTTGTGCCATTGCCGTGGCAAACGGGTCTTACGGGTCGAGAGTTACGGGAGCGGGCTGGGGAGGCTCCATAGTCCACTTGACCACTGCTAAGAAGGTAGGAGCCTTGAAAGCGGCATTAAAGACTAATTATTACGATAAGCACTTTCCTGGGCTCACTGAGCAAGAGTTGGCTGAGGCCATTGTGGTCAGTCAGCCTGCGTTGGGAAGCAGTATAGTGGAGTTGTGATTTCGGACAATTGACGTAGAATCAATGAAGAACTAAAGTATATGTCAATCCCAACACACAGCGAAAGCTTAATATTGCCTTGTTAGTTGTGCCCAGAACTATTGGGAAGCTAAAGAAGATCCAATTTCAAACCCCAACAGTGGCAAAGTAAATCCCTAGCAGATACGTAGACAATAGAAATAAAAATATCGGAAAAGGATCCACCGAAAATACTCTGGCGCTATCTCGCAAGCCCAATTTGTCACGACCGGCAGACAAGAACTGACCAAGCACGAGGCCAAGAGTCTTGGATTGTGGAACACTTGCTGGAGGGTCATGGCACGACATTGCGACATGTCGTGCCAGGATCTGGTTCCTGCATTATTGTTGGGATAGTAGAAGAAATCGCCATTTCAACCCTCCCTGTGAGATCCCTGTTAGTAGCTTCTCGGCGTTTGCCAGATGGTGCCACTGGCCCCTACTGCCCAACCTGGCAATATGTCATACTATCAGGAGACTTCGAGACTCATCCCATTTTCATTTTCGCACGTGACATCATCCGATTTTTGCCGTATCAGACCACATCCTCTGGCCACACACTGCTCTCAGGCCATTTGAACGGCTGATCTCGCCGGATTTCTCCTGGCCTGTTAGTGCAGTGTCTCGGGCCTATGATTTTGTAGTTCTCAGGGCCCTCGGCACCGCCTGTGCTTGACATGGCTCCATTTCTTTATATACCATAGTCGTCCCTACCAGACCCCCACCACAAATGAATACACATATTTCCAAAAACTATAACCTTGAAGGCTTCGCCATCAATGGCCTCAAGTTCATCAAAAAAGTCGGTGCGGGCACCTACGGCTTAATCTACACAGTGGAAGATTCAAATGGTGCCCAATTCGCTGCGAAAATGGTGCTCAAATACACCTTGGGCAGTAATGTGGCTGAGAACAAGAGGTATATCGAGCGCTCGTTGCACAGGTACTTCGAGGAGTATCCCAATGGCTCGGTGGATGAAATCAACTTGGCCATGATAGCCAGGGACGGAGTGCACTGCCCATTCTTGAAGGAAATAGCCCTCCATCTCCGTGCGCATCAGCATCCTAACGTAATGACCATTCACAAGGTGTTGAATCTTGGCGATTTGGCCATCATGACAGTTATGGACTACTTCGAGCAGGGCGACTTGTTCACCAACATCATCGACAACCAGCTTTTCCAGAAATGCCCACCCCAAAACCAGCAGCTCCTCATGAAGAATGCCATGTTGCAGTTGATCGAGGCAATTCAATACCTCCACGAAAACAACATCTATCACTGTGATTTGAAACCGGAAAATATCATGATCCATTACAGCCCAGACTACGTCAGACCTTCTGCAGGAACGATATCTCCATCATCCTCGAGCTCCACCTTGGAGTTGGCCCCTTCGATCATCGACTTCAACGAAATCCATTTGGTGTTAATTGATTTTGGGCTCGCAATGGAAGACGATTTGATCTGCTGCAACGCCTGTAGAGGTTCCAGCTTCTATATGGCCCCCGAAAGAGTAGTCAACTTCAACACTAACAACCACATCCAAAATATCATAAACTTAACCCAATATGTTGAGCTTCCATCGACTTCCAAGACGTGCTCGCTATACTTTCCTACTTTGGCAGGGGACATATGGTCCTTGGGAGTACTTTTTATTAACATTGCATGCTCCAGAAACCCATGGCCCATTGCATCTATTGCCGACAAATCTGACGTGAATAACGATGTTTTCAAGACCTACATTTTCCACAACAGGAACATCTTGCGCTCTATTCTACCAATATCAGGCCAGTTCAACAAATTGTTGGATAGAGTATTCCAATTGAGTCCTAATGATAGAATTCCCTTAAAAGTACTTTACGATAACATCGCAGTATGTGACTTTTTCCAAGACAAACCACAGACTTTGAACATTCACCACAACTACAAGACCAGCCAAGTGGTGACACACGAAGATTCTGTGCCACGTTCGTTCTTAGGAGTGCAAAATTTGGAACCCACGGCTGCAAATTCGGACACAAAACCAGAAACGACCACGGCGAAAAGACCTTCAGAACAGTATTTGAAGTATAATGCCAAAGTTCACACCGAATCTGGGCAGGGAAGTGTATCAACAACAAAGCCTCGAAGCATATACCAACTCTTTACACCTCCAGAAACGCAAGACAACCTTGTTGGCCAAAAAGAGGAATCTGGCTTCCACAAGAAGTGTCATGTATACAAGTTCAATCTTCATACCCCGTGCAACAGCGAGGCCAGCGAACTGAAATGAGGCACAGGTCCATAACTCAGCATATAATTACAATAGCAATCCCAGATCAATAGGATACGAAATAATAAACAAATCTAGACTAACTAGGAAATTACGAAAAAAATAGCGATCATGAATGTAGTACGAACTTCCACGAATTGCAGTGCGTGACTATCAAAGCAACCACAAGTCCGAAATGGTTTCAGGCACCGATATGGCACCAATCTGGGCAAGATTTGGTTGGGAACCCACTCCAAATGACCTTAAGCCAGCGGAGTTATGTTACGAAGTTTAAACACATCTTGCGTAATATTTGCAATTAAATAATAATCAGGAGAATTAAAGAGTAGGGTCGTTAGAGTTTGCACTTCTAAGTGTGCTTTTCTTCGTCAGTCGAAGAGTGCAACAAGTCACCTTCTGCGTGTTCGACATTCATCTTACGAGCCAAGTCGGCATCGGATAAGATAGGAACAGTAGGCTCCCAAGAAGCAGATCTCCAGGCAGGGATGCCTTCTTCCCACATTTGTCCGATTTCTTCCAAACGCTTGCCCTTGGTTTCTGGGAATCCAAAGAAGACGTGAATACCCATGACCAAACAGAAAACAGCGTAGATGATGTAGACTTTCCAGTCGATGTTCTTGAAGGAAGAAGGACTGTACATGGCGATGGCAAAGTTAAGAAGCCAGTTAGCACAGGTGGCGACAGCAGCACCTCTTTGTCTAGAAGCGGAGTCACCCCAGATTTCGGAACAGTAGACCCAAATACCAACACCCCAGGTGGAAGCGAAAGAGACAACGAACAAGTAACAGCAGGCAATAACACCCTTGGCAGCAGACTTGTGGTTGTCTGGAATACCGATGGTAACAGAGGAGCTTGGGCCATTGTCCACCTTCACAGCGTATGTGGCCAAGAGACCAGCAACAGCGAACTGGAATGTCATCATCAGGATGGCACCACCGATCAACAATGGTCTTCTACCGATTCTGTCAAGCAAGAAAAAGGCTGGGATGGTAGTAACGGTGTTCAAGACGTATTGAATGGAAGAGGCAACCAAGTTGGTGTTACCCTTGTAACCAGCCATCTCGAAAATGTAGACAATGTAGTACATCATAACATTCATACCAGTTAATTGTTGCCAGATTTGAGCAAAGATGGCAGTGAAGGTTCTGTATCTGTATTTCTTTGAGAACAAGTCCAAGTAAGTGAAGGCCTTGACGTTTTCTTCGACCAAAATTTGGTCCTTGATTTCGGAGATTTCAATCAACACGTCTGGGTCTTCTCTGTTACCCTTAGCTTGCATGTTGGCAACAATGATTTCAGCTTCATCCCACAATCCTTGCTTGGCTAACCATCTTGGAGATTCAGGAATAAAGAAACAACCAATGAACAAAATCACACCAGGCACAATTTGGATACCCCAGGCAATTCTGAAACTGCCTACACCGTGAACATGGCCCAAACCAAATGAAATGTAGAACATAATCAAGATACCCAAAGTAACGGAGAACTGGAAAAGACATCCAATAAAACCTCTAATCTTTCTTGGTGCCAATTCAGAACCGTAGACTGGGGCAACAGAAGAACCGAAACCAACACCGAAGCCAGAAATAATACGTCCAATCATCAACTGAGCTCTGTTCTGAGAAGATGATTGAATAGCGGCACCAACAGACCAAAAGAAGGCACACAAAAGCAAAGAGGCTCTTCTGCCAAATGGTTCAGAAATGAAAGTACAGGCAATAGAACCGAAAACTGAGCCCAAAGCCATACAAGAAGTAATGAACCCTTGGATGTCTGAAGATGGCTGATTGAAGAACTTCAAGTAGTAATGTTGACTAACGAAAGCCGACATGGAGGAAATATCAAAACCAAACATCATACCGGAAATACATGAAATCATGCAAATAACGTAAACATTATGGAGGTTTGGCAAAGAATCTAAGGCAGACTTAACCTTTAAGGCTGGCTTGACCAACTTATCTTCGTAGGCCATCTTGAGTAGTAGTTAGTAAATCTTGAGTGTGATGTAGAAACAGAAATGGTAGTGGGAGGAAATCCGCCGCTTTTATAATTTTGGAAATGGGTCACAGTCCCATTTCATTATGAGATCCTTGCAATGGATAAAGCAGTTAATTTGGGGTCTTGTGTCCGTCATGCGGCATATTTTGTATAGGTCCCACAAACATATTATTTAACTACTTACAATATTATTAATAGTATTCTGCATGCACATTCTGTTTTGGGGCATATACACTGACCACACAACCGAGAACCCCAGACAGCTCCCCACTTTTCCCCAATTTCCTCAAACAAGATGGCTGCGATTGTTGTCACCGTTTATTAATGTCTTTGTGTAATTTATATATGCGCATTGCGGGGTAATTTTCCGTAACTGAATTTTTGCCTGTCTGCACCGAGGCAGACAAAAAAATCGGGGCTGTCGGCCATTAGTCGCAATTGAGCCCCGATTACCTTCAGGCAGGATCTTACGAAATAAAACACACGGGTCGAAGGTCGTCTAGTAGCACGACACAATTTCTTTGTCCCACTTTGGAACCCCTTCGCAACCCACATTGGTGAAGGACTATTAAGTCCCCAGACTTGTTCCGGAAACTACAGACAGCCGGATTATTTGCGCGTATAAAATACGTATTAAAAATAAAGTTTTGCCTTCTGCAATGCATTCTATAACGGTGAACTTTCTGTAGATGTATGAGTGAAGTGCCCTAGTCGAACCCCATAAAGTTTCCTTGTGAACAAATTCCTAGCTATAGATTTTTCTGGCGTCATCTGATGGCAAAATGAAGCTCTACCCGGATAATCGTGTAAGATGTCTGATTCTTGTCCCTTAGGCCTGTATATTGCTTGTTGGCTGACAATGTTGCCGTCCATTCCACCAGTGGAACTAACACTAAAAAAATCCGAATGTCGGCTTACGCGTCCCCCACTGCTGATCTTATTCCCGCGGTCAGTTATTCGAAAGGTTCTACTAACAATAAGACTGCGAACTAAAATCCCGTGATTGGCAGGAGAAATAATCAAAGGAACCCACGACTGCAACATTTTTCTTCTTTCTTATGAGAACTGGGATTCAATGTCCACACTTCATTTGGTGCCGTCTACTGATGTCCCAGAATCTGGAATATCTAATAATATATTGGATTCACAAAGTAGCAAACCAAATAAGCCGCGTTCTCAAGTTGCATCGCCTAATTTGGACGGATAAACTTCATTTCAGCGAACACGCAAGCGGAATTGCCGGAAAGCCGTATGGAGGGTGGACTATTCTAGTGTTTCATGTAAGAAATTTTAGAATGGATGTTGCTAAACCACCTTCCCGAAAAAGCCATTAATTGTGTATAATTCCGTTTCATGGACCATACCCCAGTATGATACCTGACGATAGAATTTGGTATCTGGGTGGATTTGCATACGCCGATGCATATGAGTTGTTATTGTTGAGTGTGGAGAATCAGTGCAGCTTGCGGGATTGCTGCAGGTTCCCGACATGTTGCATTAGTAGACGCAGACAGAAACGAAAATTTATTATCTTATGATGTTCACTAATTGTGTCATCGCTTCTGGACCCTCAGCTAGGGGGTGGGTGTAACATTGCATATGCCCTAGTTTGCCGTCCTCGGATCTTCATGGTTATGAGTCGGTGAGCAAGATATGCGCCAGCTTATGATCTCTAATAACAATCCCCACCCGACGTTGCGACAGTCTGTGTGCTGAGCCTACAAGGTAAAAGTTGCTTCCTACCCCATGGCCTCGAGGAAAAATTCCCCCGGTCACAACTTAAACCTAATTCCGAAAAATTGTTAATTTCCGACTAACTTCCTTGTTGGGAGAGGACGTGAGCGTTGGCAAAGATTTCTGAGTTCTGGGGTCATCTGGGGAACTGCTGGGGAAAGTGGGACGACTTGAGTGTCCGTCATAAGATGCCGAGTTACAGTTTAGTCTTTTAACCCAATAGGCAAGTACCATCGGCCCCACATACACTATGCCTTGTTCCATCGCTTGTCGAGGTGTTTTTGGACACAGCAACAAGCCCTGCTCTAATTCGTGTGGATTTTCCTCTCACCTGAGAGGCCTACTGAACTGAGCCTATTCCCGGTTCCGGCTCGGAACTACCTAATGCCGAACGAGATCGCTGGGCACCAAAAATGGGTGCAAACATGGCATCGGCTTTAGTCTCTGTCTTCCATAATGAGCCTACCGTACTGGACACAAGTCGGATAATCACCTAGGATGGGCTGCGGAACAACTAGTTATGCTAAGGTTTTGTGCGACAGATCTTGACTTGTTCAAGAAAGCTTGTTCACTGACTTTGACCGTTGAAACGGCCACCCCAAGCGAAGCAGATGTATAACAACGAAGAAGGACAGAATGTAAACGGGACAGACAGCTTTCCGGAAAAACTTGGAAATCGATATATTTCACTGAATTCACCCCAACTAACCGCGCCTTTACCGGCTGCGAACGGCACCACAGAGCTGCATTTGGGCGGAATCAAATATGAAACAGGTTACTCGTTGTGGAATTGAGAAACCACCAGGTCTAGGCGACTGAAATGGCCCCTTCTGCCGACTTAGCCGCCTTTTTCTCGCGGTCACTCGCCTCCAGTTCAGAATTTAAGCGACATTTTTGGTCCGAAAGCAGCAGTGCCCATCAACGGCTTCGTATTACTTCTTACCACTCCACTGACCGACTTCTGCTGTATGTCCCAATTTTTGTCACACCTCCACGGCTTGCAGTAGAGATGCCTAATCACCAGACGACGATTGGCTAACTCTGGTCATGTGACCTTTGTCCACGTGAACCACATTACCTCCATCTCTGCGATGAGTTTTTCATCTGATAGCCAGTCACCCTGTTTCGTTCCATCTTTCCCCAGCCTAGCCGTTTCCTCGTTAGACTCATGTCCGAAACCAAGAAGCTCAAGATGACCCCCTTAATTTGTACCCACTCAGGCTCCTTCCACGCCGACGAATCCTTGGCCGTGTACTTGATCAGACTCCTCCCAAAATACGCCAAAAGTGAATTGGTCAGATCCAGAAACCCAGCTGACTGGGAGCGCAGTGACATTGTGATTGACGTCGGTGGAAAGTATGATGGAGTCAAGTTTTTTGACCACCACCAGCGTGAGTTTAACTCCACCTTCGACTTGGACCACGACACCAAGTTGTCTTCAGCAGGTTTGATTTACAAGCACTTCGGTAAGGAAATCATACAGCACGTGTTGGATTTGAAGCCAGAAGACCCCAACGTGGAATTGTTGTACCTCAAGATCTACAACGACTTTGTCGAGTCCTTGGATGCCAACGACAACGGTATCAGCAACTACTCCAGAGAAGTCGAGGCCAACAAGAAGTTCAAGGACAGAAACATCACCTTGCCAGCTATCGTTTCCAGATTGAACCCAAGCTGGAACAAGAACCCCACTGACGCTGACTTCGATGCTCAGTTTGAGAAGAGTAGTGAGTTGATGGGATCCGTATTCATGGACCTCTTGGAGGGCTATGGCAAGTCCTGGTTGCCAGCCAGAACCATTGTCGAGCAGTCGTTTGCAAGCAGATTTGACGTCGACAAGTCTGGGGAGATTCTCGTCTTGAGTGAGTTCTGCCCATGGAAAGAACACTTGTACTCCATTGAAAAGGAGAACAATGCCGAAGGTGTCACCAAGTTCGTTTTGTTCAAGGACTCGAGCTCCAAGTGGAGAGTTTCCACCGTTTCCGTGAACTCAACTTCATTCGAGTTCAGAAAGGGTTTGCCTGAGCACTTAAGAGGCTTGAGAGATCAGGAATTGAGCGACAAGAGCGGTGTTCCTGGTTGTATTTTCATCCACGCTGCTGGTTTCATTGGAGGTGCTGAATCTGAGGAGTCTGTTCTCCAGTTGGCCCGTATGTCCTTGAACTAGGCTATATTATAATACATAGTAGTGCTGAGCACTGATGTAATTCTTTTCGTCGTTTTGCTGTAGAGAGAAGCTATCTGTCAGAGAGTTTAGCTAATTTTGATACATTTTTCATAATTGTTATATTACTGTAGTATCTTGATCTCGGCGACAATAATCCAATTGTAGCAGTGGGCTCTTCAAGTCAGAGAATCGAAGAGGTCCGAAGTAAACTAATGTTTCTGGCCAAATGGTGGTGGTTCTTGCCAGTAATTACATGGCAATGGGCTGACCCAAAAGTGCACCGTGTGTCTGGCGAATACTAGCGTAAGCGCATAGGGGTCATTTAGAAAATTCATAGAAATACGTATAATTAAGCCGAGTTATTTCATCTTGGCACTTAGACTGCTGAGGCGATACTCTTAATTATTTGTTTATTGTAAATAGGTAAATTTCAAGGCGATCAATTTGTTGCTGGTGCTCCGAATTAGTACGGGGAATGACAGCTCCAAAATTCAATTTCGCCAGGACTCAAATGTTAATTTTCATTTTCACAGTATAATATTGTGACTAGCATTCCCTACTCTCGAGGAGTCATGGGTGATTAGCACTGCAGCACTGTAGGTAATAGAAGAAGTGCCTTAGTCGCCTAATTATTATTATAGATGCCACAAAGCATAGCCCTCTGGCTAGCTACGATACCATGAAAGACCTCGCTAGCGCTCTACTCAACTCAATTATCCCATACGTGCCCATTCCCCTGTAATTCCCGTTTCTCTTCCCCCTCCTCCTCCTCCTTCTCCCCTTTTTCTAATTTTCGTATTCGAATTAATTGCAATTAATTGCATCCACCAGACTACAGTGCGCGAAATTCCAGCATTTTCGCTGTTCCCGAGCCAGAATCTATCTCAAACTAAATCTACAATGCTTCACAACACCACCAGTAGATACCCCTAGTCTCTCCCAGCATCTCGGTACCTCCCCCAACCACCTCTTTCAACCACGTCTATCCCACGCTGAACCACCTCGTCTCTCCCACGTGCCCTTCAAACCGTTTTCTGTCTTGGCAATCGTAACCATTTCCCGGCTCAGCCCCACCATCTCTTCGCATTCCAGTATATAAGCGAGACAGTCTCCAAATCTCAATTGCCATCTACTTTGCGAAGCCCAGGATTTATACTGTCCGCTGTGTGTTGAACGCCGTTCCTACACCGCCTACTACAGTCTAATAAACCAAACGTCAGCTTCCAGTTCCAGTGGAAAATAAAGTCTTCTAAATTAGCACCCGGAGAATCTAACGATGACACTTACATTGATCAGAGCCATGAAGTTCAAGGCAGTCAAGAACCGCCTGCCAGTAGCCTGAGCAAGCTGGGACTCTCGTCTAAAGACAGAGACCTCTTTGAAAAACCGCCTGTCTCTGGCCTGAGCAAGGCGAGAATCTCTGAAGCTCAGGGCCCTCTGTCTTATGAACCAGGTCTGACTGAGCCGTGGAGACTCTCTCCCGATGCTGTTGCTGCTACCCTCGCCACCTCAGTGGAGTCAGGGTTGCTGGACTCTCAGGTCCAGGGCCGCCAATCCACCCATGGCCTCAACAACCTCGGCGCTGAGGAAACGATTTCCGTGACCAAGATCTTGGCCCACCAGATCTTCAACGCCATGGTGTTGGTGTTGATCATCTCCATGGTGATCGCGTTGGCCATCAAGGACTGGATCTCGGGAGGAGTGATTGGGTTTGTTGTGTTTATAAACATTGCTGTGGGATTTGTCCAGGAATACAGAGCTGAGAAGACGATGGGATCTCTCAGGTCGCTCAGCTCTCCCTCTGCTAGAGTGTTGAGAAACGGTAGTGAAACCTCCATCAACGCAGAAGAGGTTGTTCCTGGAGACATTGTGTTTATCAGAGTGGGTGACACCATCCCTGCGGACTTGCGACTCGTGGACTCTATGAACTTGGAGACAGACGAGGCGTTGTTGACGGGTGAGTCGCTTCCCGTGGTCAAAAACCACCTTGATATCTACAAAGACGAGGCGCCTGTGCCTGTTGGCGATCGTTTGAATATGGTCTACAGCTCGTCCATCGTCTCCAAGGGAAGAGGGTGTGGAATCGTGGTTGCCACTGGCTTGAACACGGAAATTGGTAAGATTGCCGACTCGTTGAAGTCCAGCGATGACGCCCTCATTGTCAGGGTTGACAAGTCCCAGAATCCTGTTTTCAAAGACTACTTCTTTGCTGCGTGCAAATCCACCTGGAATATCATCATGAACGTTTTAGGCACCAATGTTGGTACTCCTTTACAGAGAAGATTGGCCTGGTTGGCCATTATTCTCTTCTGGGTGGCCGTGTTGTTTGCAATCGTGGTCATGGGGTCTCAGGAAATGCATGTTACCAAAAATGTGGCTATTTACGCTATCTGCGTGGCCCTTTCGATGATTCCATCGTCATTGGTGGTAGTTTTAACCATTACCATGGCCATCGGTGCCCAGGCCATGGTCCAAAAACATGTGATTGTTAGAAAATTAGACTCCTTGGAAGCTTTGGGTGGAATTAATGATATCTGTTCAGATAAAACAGGTACCCTTACCATGGGTAAGATGATTGCCAAAAAAGTCTGGATTCCTAGCGTGGGTACCTACGTTGTGGCTGATTGCAATGATCCTGTTAATCCGACTGTTGGTTACATGACCTTCAGCGATTTGTCGCCTCAGCAAATCAGAATATCCGATGAAGAGATCGATTACATGCCCAAATTGCCAGATCCTAGGCCTAGTGAATTCAAGCGCTGGTTAAATACTGCAACTTTAGCAAATATTGCAAGCGTTAAAGAGGCTGATGGGAATTGGGAAGCCCATGGAGATGCCACTGAGATCGCAATCAATGTTTTCACTTCCAGGTTGGGTTATCAAAGAGAAAAATTCGTTGAGAAAGAATCCTTAGAGCATCTCAATGAATTCCCTTTTGATTCTTCCATCAAGCGTATGTCTGCAATTTACAAGGATAGCAATCAGACCTTGGTCCATACCAAAGGTGCTGTGGAAAGACTTTTAACCATTTGCAATACTTGGTATATTGGTGGAAAATTGGTCGAACTTAGTCAAGAGGACAAGCAATCCATTGAGGAGAATATGATAGCATTATCTGCCGAGGGTTTGCGTGTCTTAGCATTTGCTCAACGTGAGATCAACGTGTCTAAGGAGGACCATACTAATCGTGAAGTAGTTGAGTCAAACTTGACATTCTTAGGGCTAATTGGAATCTATGATCCTCCTAGACCTGAGTCTGCCAGGTCCGTTAAGTTGTGCCACAAGGCCGGAATTAACGTCCATATGTTGACTGGAGATCACCCAGGAACTGCTCGTGCAATTGCCCAAGAAATTGGGATTTTGCCTGCCAATTTATATCACTACAGTGACGAAGTGGTCCGGGTTATGGTAATGACCGCAAATGAATTTGATGCATTGAGTGATGAGCAAATTGACCGCCTACCTGTATTACCGTTAGTCATCGCAAGATGTGCTCCGCAAACGAAGGTCCGTATGATTGACGCTTTGCATCGTCGTGGAAAGTTTGTGGCAATGACTGGAGACGGTGTCAATGATTCGCCTTCTTTGAAAAAAGCGGATGTGGGTATTGCTATGGGTCTTAACGGTTCAGATGTTGCTAAAGATGCTTCGGATATTATTTTGACAGATGACAATTTTTCATCCATTTTAAATGCAATTGAAGAGGGTAGAAGAATGTCTTCCAACATTCAAAAATTCGTTTTGCAATTATTGGCCGAAAACGTTGCGCAGGCATTATACTTGATGGTGGGTTTGGCTTTTATTGACGAAGATGGCTTCTCAGTATTTCCTTTGGCTCCCGTGGAAGTGTTGTGGATTATTGTTGTCACATCTTGTTTCCCAGCTATGGGTTTGGGACAGGAAAAAGCGAATGATGATATCTTGGATCAGCCTCCAAATGCTACCATTTTCACCTGGGAGGTGATCGTGGATATGACTGCTTATGGGTTCTGGATGGCCTGCTGTTGCCTTACATGCTTTGTGTGTATTGTGTTCGCAGTTGGTGATGGGGAGCTCGGAAGCGATTGCAACGCTTCCTCAAGTAGTGAGTGCAACCTTGTTTTCAGAGGTAGGGCTGGAGCTTTCGCAGCCTTCACCTGGTGTGCCTTGCTTCTAGCCTGGGAGTGTATCCACATGAGATCGTCGTTTTTCAACATGAGACCTGAGTCGATCGTACCCTGGTGGAAGCAGTTGGCATCCGACTTGTGGGAAAACCAATTTTTGTTCTGGTCTATTTTAGGGGGATTTCTCACCGTGTTCCCGGTCATTTACATCCCCGTCATCAATGACAAGGTGTTTTTGCATGCGCCTATCGGGTATGAATGGGGCTTGGCAGTTGCTTTCAGCGTTTTGTTCCTTATTGGAGCTGAAGCGTGGAAATGGATCAAGCGAGTCTATTACCGTAGACAGGCACTCCGCAACCCTGCGCACTTGGAGATGGAGAACGATCCATTCCTGGAGTACTCGACGATCTCTAAGAACAACACCGCGGTGTTTGTTTAGCGGTTGTCTTTAGAATCGGTCGCTTTTGCCTTGGGTGCAAAATTAATTTTCCACTTTGGGTAATGGCAGCCATTTTTTTTAATTACTTAAGGGTCCAAGAGGTTTTTATGGGTTAGAGTCCCATTCCACCCATGAGGGTTTTCCTCTTGGAACTAATAGATGTGTATGCTTGTAATTTTGGGCCTGTTGCTCCATATTTTCACTCGTAGACCAACTGTGAAATACTTAATCTAAAATTTTTAAATGTTTATTCAATATTATTTAGTTCTATTCTCAGGGTCTTTTCTTATGTTTGCTCGCGTGGTTACTCCTGGGTTCCAACCACTGGATGTTTCTCAGCAAACCTAAATCATTAATGGTACATTGTACCAGAATTGCACCAGTATCATTCTATGGGTGTCTTAATCCGAATCATTTTAATATTCTGATTCAAATTTAATACTAGCGGGGCTATATGTAATCCATGAATGCGTATTCCCTACAGGAATAACCAAGACTACACAATACGTGATAGATGGACTTTTCCAATATTCTTGAATGGTGGAAGAAACAAAGGCCCGCGGCCGGAAATTTCCACTGAAAATGACATGCGAATGTTGATAACTGTTAAGCTATGGGATCATTTTTAATCTATTTTCCTCATTTGTGCCTCTACTCACAATCTCGTTTACCCAATCCATTTCCATTGCGCGCGGAATTCACCGCCATGCCCCAGAAAATAAGCCACCATTCACAATTGACGTGAAATTTTCACACCAGGACCATCACCGCGAACCGTCCACCACTTATGCCCCACCAAGAACTTTCCACCGTGTACTGTCCGCCAGACCCGCCTCTGCAGCCTCCACAGCATCGCACTAAAGGTGTTTCACCACCACTGCCCCACACCTAACCGTTGCAGCAATGGTAGCGCGCGGGGTTTGCCCAACCACCAAAGTAAGAATAACCACCCACTTATCCGACCTGGTCTACCCGACCCGACCCAAACTCTGACCCCTGTCGTGACTGCCCCATTGGGCTTTTGCTCCAGGATTAGCGTACCAAAGCCTCCTCTCTACACCATTCCCCGCGGTTCCACCTTGGTACGCAACCGCGCTTCCCAATCCGGCACTGGCGGGGACCCGATCCCGCACCACCACCGTCCCGATCTATCTACGCGGAGGGCCTCTTCCCCAGCCCCCGTTAGGGGCCCCCTAATCCGCACTGTGATAGTGATAAGCTCCACGCACCTCAGTGCCACCCAGCGCCTAGGTCCGCGCTTCCCCTTCCAGCTAGCCGCGGCCTTATCAGTATAAATACATTTGAGTGTCCGCGACCACCTCTACCCCAGAACCACTCCTTTACTCCACTCCACCACAACTCCACCACCATGACTATTAGCTACGAAGCCTTTTTGACAAAGGACCCGCTCGACAACTATGAAGACCCCGCCAAATTCAAGCAATACGCCACCAAGCTCGACAAGTACAGACAAGACTTGGAGGACGCGCTTGTCCCTGAGTACAAGGTGGAATTGCCCCAGCCCATTGACCAGTTGATCGAGAAGCAATTCAACGCCGTGGACTACTTGTACCAGAACAAGTTGTTGACCCCCAAGGAGTTCGAAATCACCGACCAGTCGGCAGTCAGTTTGGCTGCCAAAATTGCCGATGGTGTCTACACCTCGGTGGAGGTGCTCAAGGCCTACGCCAAGAGAGCAGTCATTGCCCACCAGTTCACCAACTGTGCAATGCAGGTGTTCATCGACGAGGGCCTCGAAAGAGCCCAGTACTTGGACGACTACCTCAAGACCCACGGCAAGACCGTGGGCCCCTTCCACGGTCTCCCAGTCTCCTTGAAGGAGCACATGGACTACAGGGGCAAGGTCACCCACGCTTCCTACGTGGCATTGATCGACAACGTCACCGCCAAGCACGGTGCCAACACCCAGATCTTGGAGGACTTGGGCGCAGTGTTCTACATCAGAACCACCCAGCCCCAGGCCATCATGCATTTGGACTCCAACAACAACTACACCGGCTTGACCAAGAACCCCTACAACTTGAGTTTGTCGTCTGGAGGCTCGTCCTCGGGCGAGGGCTCGCTTGTGACCCTCGGAGGTAGTGCTTTTGGTGTTGGTTCCGACATCGGTGGCTCCATCAGAAGTCCAGCTGGTTTTTCTGGATGCTATGGTTTGAGACCCACCTCCAAGAGAGTGTGCCAGTACGGAGCCCAAGGTGGAGGCAGGGGCCAAGAGGCAGTTATGCCTGTAGCTGGCCCCATGACCCGTTCCATTGAAGACATCGAGTTCTTCATGAAGCACTTCATCAACGATGGTAAGCCATGGGACCACGACTTCAACTCCATCCGTATTCCCTGGAAGGATGTTCCTCAGCCATCCATCAAGGACTTGACCATTGCCGTCATGTACGATGATGGACTCGTCAAGCCCACTCCTCCAATCTTGAGAGGTTTGAAGGACACTGTTGCCAAGTTGGAGAAGGCCGGTGCCAAGATCGTGGAATTCAAGCCAATTAAGACCAAGGAGGCCTACGAGGTTGTCCACAAGATGTACACAGCTGACGGTAACTCGGTTCAACGTGGCAAATTGGCTGCATCCGGTGAACCTCTCAAGAAATTGACCAAGTGGTTCTTGAACTACGGTGACGGTGCCAAGGACATCACCGTCTCCGACTACAAGGAGTTGAACGCTGCCAGAGACGACTTGAGACATGAATACAATAAATACTTCATCGACAACAAGGTCGACCTTATTCTTAGTCCCGTCTACAACAATGTTGCACCAAAGCCCGAAGAGGTGTACAACTGGTCCTACACCTCGTTGTACAACATCACCGACTTGCCCAGTATTGCTATCCAAACCGGTCTTTTCCAAGACCCAGCCATCGACAAGTGGGATGCCGACCACGCCAACTACAAGTTCAGAAGCGACTTGGAGAAGTTGGAGCTCGACAACTACAAGCCAGAAGAGTTTGTTGGCGCCCCTATCAGTGTGCAATTGGCTACTAGAAGATACCACGACGAGGAGCTCGTTGCTGGTACCAAGGCCGTGTTGGAGGTCTTGGGTACCGATTTGTATAAACATTAGATATGACTAGAATACATGAGATATGAAAAGAAGACCAGATGTATCTGATCATACCTACGGCCATGGAGAGTAATGACTTAGAACTAATCTCAGACCATTTTTTTTTGTAATATTCTACCTAGTTCAAATCAGTCGAGGACTTAGTGGAAGTATGACATCTGTTCAACTATTCTGTTCCTTGGCCACGTATACCTACTATATTATCGCAAGTATGTCATGTAAATCTAGGAATAGCTTTTAAGCAAGAAAAGTCTCTGCCACGTATGTCTACATTATTGGAAACTTGTCATGTAAATCTAGCCAGATCTCCCAAAAATTCTGAACGTGAATCCAGCCACAGCACCTAACCAATATTGTTCCCTGGCCACGTATGACTACTATATTATCGCAAGTATGTCACGTAAATCTGATCCTTAACTCTGCCAATATAGCCAGCTAAATACGTGTCTCTTTGCCATTGGGCTATGCTTATCGTTGGGCTGCCTTATCGTTGGGCAGACCCCTGCACCCTGATGCATGTTGGGTCACCTGATACCCAACGGTGTGGCATCCAGTCATTAATGGCTTACGTCAACATTTTCATGGCATACCCCAACTTTTCCCAAAAGGGAAGGAGCTGACAAATATTTCAAATCATTGCTTAGTAGTGACAAGCCGTGCTTAGAAATGCCACGTAGGGCCTTGCAAACGTATAAGAGGACAAGTAGTCCCGTAGTGATCGACACGCCATGAGCTCATTAGAATCGGTAATCAGGCTTGACAATCAAATGGATCTCGATCCGCTTAGTGAAAAGGATTTTAACATCACCACCTCGCTGAGAGAAATTCTTACCCGTAAATTAACCAAAGGTCAGTTGACCACCAGCGAAGTGTTGGAAGCTTTCATAAAACGGCCTGTGGTCGATGGGGCCAGAACACGGGCCCTGTACCTCGAAGGTGTGCGGTCCAAGTTGAAGGAAACAGATAGGCTCTCTAGCCAACAATTGCAGATGCTTTCGCAGCTATACTATAGAGAGCAGGCCAATTCGCGGGTTCCCCGGAGTAAGTACTAGCTTGCTGGTACATTTTTCAGTTCGTGTGTCGGAAAGATAGATAGGATATGACATTTAATTTATAGGAATAGAGGTTTTAGATAATTCTGGCGGTTGTAGCACAAATACGCTGATACCAATGCTGAATCTAATCGTGGAATGTTATTGTTGAAGTAGAACTTATAGATATCATCTCAGGGACTGGAGAGGGAGGAAGACTGGAAAAGGAAAAGATGTTTGAAATCGGCATACTAATTAATGGTAATGGTCAATTTGTGGGTTTATATTAGCGGCGATTTAAATTGATTCCGGATCTTTTCTTGGATTTCATATAAGGGCAAGTCCCTTACATTGTTTCAAAAACATGCTTCCTGCGTGGATGTGTTTAGTGTAGTGTAAAAGCACATTGGAGGCCCTATCGTTCTTCATAATACCTGGTGAGTAATCTTCGTCGTAGTGGAGATTTTCGCAGCCGTCCCATATTATTGCACAAGAAGTAATGCAAATGACTGATTAGACGGATGGCTTGACGTGGTCCAACTACAGGAATTTGTCGAGAACTTTACATTCAATCATTCAATATATAAGTATAGCGTATACTTTCAAGAGAAACCTCGCAGGAGATGAACCCAAAATTCATTGGCCACTAAATGGCTATTGGAGAAGTCTTGGCCATTTATTATGGCATACTCATATCAATGTGTAAAAGAATGAATTAATTGGTCCACGTTGCCAAATAATCCACTAGATAATTCCAGCTATCTGGTCCGAACTTCATGGCCACAAGATAGCATTTCTTTCGTACCTACTTCTTTGTAACTGCATGTGTTTTTAACATCCTTCTATCTATCGTCCTTACTATCGTAATGCTGGCTGTTTCAAAAGACTCTACAAAGTAAGTCATTATAAAAATAAATGATAGGACGTGGTCAATGCCATAAATAACATTCCTGTTCTCTCTATATTCGTGTTATCTCCACCTATCATACAATCATCACTCCTTAATAATTCCTCTTTGAAATCCCTGTCATCGAAACTATTTAATTGAATCTAAAAAAATCTACAATCAATCATCTCTCTCCTCTCTTCTCCCACCACTTCGCTGACTTCTGTTTGTTCAAATACCACCATTTCATTCAAATTCGCATAGCCACCGTCAGCTGCCGGCTTTGGAATCACTGGTTCTACTCCTCTCACCTTCCATGTACGCACAACCTCGTCTTTGCATCGCCAATTCGTCTTCTCTCCCTGTCTCTGCTCACACTCACTCGTTTTTGTTGCTCTGGTTTTTCTGACCAGAACTATCTTCTTTCTATCTCCACTCCTTCCCATCCCAACTCTTGCTCTGCTCCTCCAGCGACCTCATCTTACTCTCTGTCATGGACTACGACGACGATTTAGACTACTCTTCGGGCGGCGAAGAATTCAACGAGGACTCCCTCACCAACGAGGAGTACGACAAGCTCCACGAAACACTCCCCAAGATTCGTCAGCTCCTCAAGGACTACAACGACGAAGTGCCTGAGTTGGACTTAAAGGAAGCGCTCTACTACAACTATTACGAGTTGGCCCCAGCCGTGGACGAGATCAAGTCCCGGTTCAAAAAAAGTACGTATTTTTATCATTTTTCTGTGGATTCATGACTCTTTTTTGATTGATCATCCAACTACTTTGCATGGAAGACACCACCACCACCACCAAGGCCCCGTCTAAGTTATCGCAGTTGGCCAAGCTACGGGCGCAAAAGTCCGAAGGTGGCAAACTAGCGGCCCTCGCCAGGGCCAGATCTGAAAAGCTAGCAGCAAACGTGTCGGGCGATGCCACGGCGCCAAACGCCTCCAAGCTGCCACCAGGCTCCCAGTCCATAGCAATTCTCGACAAATTGAGCTCCAGCGCCAAAAATCCTGGTTCGAATGGCCCCAGTGGCAACTCGAAGATGGCTGGGCTTCTTGCCAAGAGGACAGGCACCACTGGGTTGAAGAGGCCAGGACTCATCTCCAAGCCGGATCCAGCGCCAGAACCAGTGGTAGCTCCAGTGGTGGAACAGCTGGAGCCAATAGATGCCGTGATGAAGGAACCTGAAGATATCGAGAACAACGTGGACTACGATGACTCCATTCTTTTGAACCATCCAGCTTCGATCAACCTCAGCACGCGCAAGAGATCCGTATCAATGGACGAAAATAGATCAAAAAGAAGGCGACATGACCAGCAGCTATTCTACCCACTTACTAACGTTGAACTCAATATAGAAAAGATCTCCAAGGCGGCACAAAACTTCAATGGTCCATCTCCGGATGATAAGATCATTAACGCTCAAAAGGCAGCCTTCGAGGACAAGTTGGGCAACCTTCAACTCTCTGAGTCCTCGGAAGCTGCCACCAAAAAACCAGTAAAAGTCACCAAACCTACTAAGAAATTGAACTTGGAGCACGAACTTTCCACAAACAAGACCTACTCCAAGCCACACAAGTCGTTCGTGGTGATCGGACATGTGGACGCCGGTAAGTCGACCTTAATGGGAAGAATGCTTCTTGATTTCGGGATTGTGGATATCAAGACGGTCAACAAACTTGTCAAGGAAGCAGAAAGAGCCGGTAAGGGCTCTTTTGCGCTTGCGTGGGTCATGGATCAAACTGCAGAAGAAAGAGCTCATGGTGTGACTGTGGATATCTGTGCCACCGATTTCGAAACCGAGAAGACCAGATTCACTGCCATAGATGCCCCTGGTCATAAGGATTTCGTTCCTCAAATGATTGGGGGCGTTTCCCAAGCCGACTTTGCTTTATTAGTGGTTGACTCAATCACAGGCGAATTCGAGGCCGGGTTTGCCATGGACGGTCAAACAAAGGAACACACTATCTTGGCCAAAAACCTCGGGATTGAAAGGGTGTGTGTTGCTGTCAACAAAATGGACAAGGAAAACTGGGATGAACTCAGATTCAATTCCATCAAATCACAGTTACTCGAATACTTAACCAGTGATGAAGTGGGCTTTGCAGCAGATCAAATTGACTTCGTGCCTATTTCTGGATTAACCGGAGAGAACGTCGTGAAAAGAAATTCGAGTCTTGAGGCACTTTCATGGTACAAGGGCCCTACCTTGGGAGAGTACTTAGAAACGGTTAAATTGTCTAGCGACATCAATGCTGACTCCATTTCCCAGTTACTTGCAGAAGACTTCTATTTATCTGTGCACGATGCTATCAAGGACAAAGGAGAAATCAAGGTTAGTGGTAAGATCAGTTCTGGTGTGATTCAAGTGGGCGAAACTATCGTTTCTGCGCCAAACGATGTTGCCTTGCAAGTCAACGGATTGAAGTCTGCGGGCAAACCAGTCGATTTCGCTGTGAGGGGTGAATTGGTCCAAATGTCTTTCAAGGCAAGTCAGATTGAAAACGATACCATCGAAGTATTCAGAATTGGAGATTTAGTTTCCAAGGTGGGTAGCCCTGCAAAGTCAGTCAAGAAGCTTACCATCGCATTGCATTTGTTCAACATGACCAAACCATTATTGGTGGGTTCTCCCTTTGTCTTGTTTAGGAACAACTGTCAAGCACCTGCCAGAATCACCAAACTTATAGAGGTCACCAGCGGAAAGAAGAAGAAAAAGTTGTTGCACCTTGTTTCCAAGCAAACTGCTATAGTCGAGGTGGAAGTGGAAGGCAACGCCCTTCCTGTGACCAAGTATTCTGACAACAAGATCTTGGGAAGAGTCGTTATTAGGAGAGAAGGAGTGACAATCGGTGCTGGTACTGTGGTCGATTTCTAAAATATATAGACTAAATACATAACGCTAAAATGGCTGTATTCCAACGAAGGGGTCAGTAACTATTGCCCTGAAATGAAGGGTAATCGCGAAGAACAGAAATCTATGGCACCTAATGAAGATTAATGTCGATAATTTCCTATGGATTTAACCGTTTTTAAAAGCTATAATTATCCACTAAGCGCCAGTTATTACCCTGGTAGCCTCAAATGAGCCTAATACACATAACACGGCTAAACCAACATAATTACCGATAGCAACTGCTAAAAAGACACATAATCCACCATCAATAGCAATATACCCAACACTATTCCGAGGGTCACCAACATGTTTGCACCCTTTTTGTTCCGGACCGTGGCCTTGTTCAAAGTCCTGTTACCCATCTGAACGTCAATTTCCACCTGCGAATGACTATCCAACAAGTTGTTGATCTGGTCTGCCTGGGTCTCCAATTGGAACGTCAATTCTGTCTGGAGATTCATCACGTCGACCATGGAAGTATGCAATTTTTCGACCGAGCTCAACTGGTCCACCTTGGCCTTCAACAACGCTTTGTTTTCTGTCTCCAACTCCTGTATTTGCTCCTGGCTGAGTTCCTGCAAGAATTCGGGTTCTTGGGGGATGTCGTTGAAGGTGTCTGGTGCTTGGAACAATCCGATGTCGTCGTCCTCGGCGAGATTCTGGAAGTTCAAGATCTTCATCTGTCTCTCTCGCTCGCGGCGTTTCTTCTGCAACCCTCCGAACTGGTTGCTGACGTAGTTGAGGTTGTTGTTCAAGTCTCGCAAGATCTGCATGCGATGGGTGCCCACAGTGGTGAGGAAAAGCTCTTGCTGAGTCGGCTGGTCGTCTCCAAGGATGCTGTTCAACCAGCTGCCTTCCTTCTTGGGGTTTAGTCCCTGGCGTTTGGTCTCGTATGTCTGTAAGAACTTCAACTTCTCGTACATTTTCTGGAGGCGAATATTGCAGTTGTTGTCGATCTGATCCTTGTCATTATCACTCAATCGCTGCTGTCTCGAGTAGCCTTCATCCGTGGAGAGGTAGCTGGACTTGATTTCGGCAATCAACTGGTCGAAACGGACTAACTCCCGTCTGAACTCCACCGTCTCCTTGGTGAAGGTATCGTCGATGACAAACGAGTTCTTTTTGTTTCTGACCTGGACCGAGTCGAAGTCATCTTTGACGGACTCTGCAAGCCCGCTCTGGACGATCGACACACACTGTCTGAAGAGGGGGGTTAGATCAGTCATGGTGGTGGACATTGTGCATCACGTGTAAAAGTGATGATGTGGAGGTGGTTGCGCGACATGCGACACGCTGGGTAGGCAGGAAGTAGGTAGCTCAGGTGGGTAGTCAGATTTGATTGGCTCAGGGGGGTTGCAACCCAGTAGCTATCTCATTCAGGTGTTGATACTAGTCAAGACTAATGGAATATGGGCGTTCTGCATGTAGATCTGGTGCTGCTACTTTTTGTGCTAGGGGTGCATTCGAGCGATACCTGGCATTTACATCCTCGATCTGAACATTCGTATCCAATTATCTGTTATTCCGTGGTATTATATTGAAGAAAGTAAAGACTTGGCTTGTATTTACGATGTGCTTCTTTCGTAAAATTAATCTATTTTGGCATAAGTTAATTCCAGAAGCTGATGAAAAGCTACCTAATGATGATTTGTTCATCTGATTAGGTATCATAGTTGATGCCCCTGGTCTTTTGAATAAGTATATCAGTACAAATACAGGTGTTTCTACCTCAAATGTAGCGAGATACCTGGAATCGTGGATACATGACTATTAAATTTGAAGTGAAAATGTCGCATTTTGCGGCAATTGGCCAGCTACATGAAAAGGTGTTTCCAGAGTATGCAGAAAGGACTGGTGTTCAGTGAAGCTTACTTCCCAAATAATCAAGTATACGTCTGAATTAACCATAATACGGGCAACAACTCTTTGATAAATGCACAACATAATGCTCCCTTTTTAATTTAGATTGACCATTAACCTACCCATTAAGATAGTCGATGCACCGGGTGATCTCGAGCCCCTCGTCGTCAAGCTCGATCCCTTTCGACTCGTACAACATGTTCCACCGCCCAGGCATGATTTTTCCACTGACATTGCGCACGTCGTAGTTGTACTCTCTCCTCTCAGCTGGAGTTCCTCGTACGTACCTCACGTACTCGGGAACCCCACCAGCATAGCTATTTGCTGCCACCACCACGGTTCCAGGCGCTATCAAGTTCAATGTTTCGAGCACCCGCAAATCGGGAATGAACAACTCCTTTCCATGGTCCAAGTACACGAAAGCAGGTGCCACATACGAAAGACGAGCCACCTTGTTTCCAAGACTCTGCAACGAGTTTGAGGCCTTGCCGTCAACAATCTCGATACGGTTGGTCAAGCCTGCCAAATCAACTAGCTGGCGAGCGATTTTGGCGTGCTCCTTGTTGCTCTCAAACGAGTAGTATTGGGCGTACGAATCGGGAGCCAACTGATGGCTGAAGAGGATGGCAGAATAGCCAATGTAGCCTCCAAGCTCAAGCATCACTTTGGGTGGATTTTTCTTGTACTGAGCCTTGAGGTGGACCACCACTGCTGCTGCTCGCTGGGGGCTAGTTATGGTGAGCAGGTGCTGGGCTGAGAACTGCTCGATTAATTCACACACCTTGGCAGGGTGGCCTCTGACGGCCTCAAGCTGGTGCTGGGGGAGTCCGAAGATGTGGTCTGCCAACGCTTGTTCTCTGGACATGGGTGGAATTACTCAGGAAGTGATGAAAGAAGTAGTCGATGATTACTCAATGGAAATTAGATCAAGTATCTGAAGTAATTACTCTAGGAATTACTCAATAAGCTATACTCAATGAAACAGTTTTATGAAGAAAATACTCAAAGCCAAAGTATAATCAATGGAACTGTATAAGGGGAGTCTAATCTTGACTCAATACTCAGGTTATTCAATGGAAAGTAGATCAAGTGATGAACGTGTTTCCCAGTGAATTATACTCAAATTATTCAGAAAGGATCAAATATGCTCAAGAATTACACAATGGGTTATAGTCAATGGAAATTACTCAATGAAGTTAGATCAAGTCTCTCTAGGAATTGTTCAATGGAAAATACTCGATGTAAATTACTTGAAGATTCACCTCGACAGACGCAAATATAACTCAGGGAAATTGTCAACTACTCTTGATGGGAAGTAAACACACAAGGAACACCCAATGGGAAATATGCTCAATGAATCAACGGAAAGTGGATCAGTATACTCAATTACTCAATGAATTACACTCAAAAGTAGATCAGTGTACTCAATTGCTCAATGAATTATCAACGGTCAAATGTAATGGGAACTCAATGAAGAGATCAGTAGCTACACACTATTTCCCAATTATATCGGAAATCACTCTGGATCATCCGACGGCTTCCGCCCCGCAAAAGCAACCCATTGGCCATCCGCCATCTAACTATGCGCCAAGCGATGGAGCCCTGTTGTTACCGCATTGGGCCCACCCAGACATTGTCTGAGGTATTTGTGGGGTAGTGACACGCAAATAGCGGGTGATCTAGAGTGTTCTACTTTATCAAATACTCCAATTAGCAGGCCCGCCAGTATGGACAGGGTCCTCCAATTACTACGCACACACTCTCCCTAACTCTCCCTAACTCTCCCTAACTCTCCCATCTCCCAAATTTTCCAAATCTCCCAAATCTCCCAAATCTCCCAAATCTCCCAAATCTCCCAAATCTCCTAAACTCTCCAAAAACCACCTCCCTCCCTGTGGGACCACCTCCGTTCACGCCGAGAGTGTTCCGCGACGCCAAGGGCCCGTCTTGAGCACGGTGGCTGGCGTTGTACCACCGATGGCTGGTGGTGCGATGTCGTGATGTCGCGCCAGCCAATTATCACCAGATCTCTGGTGCAACACCACCAATGGCAGACCCAGTCACCGACACAGATGTGGCGTCACGTTTGGCTAGGCTAAAGGCTCTCAAGGAGAAGCGCAACCAGTCAACTAAACTCAACAAACAAGCCCTCTACCAGGACAGCAAAAAGCCGAAAGTGGTGGCCAAGTCCTCCGATCCAGTGGATGAGGTGGAAAAGACTGAACGCCAGAAGAACCTCGAGTACACCCTAGAGGACTGTGAGAGGTGGGAAGCCAAGAAACTGGCCCAGCGGGCCAAGCTGGGAGGAGAGTACCAGAACTTCAACCATTTGGCCCAGCAAACCTACAACAAAGCCATTAAGGACCTCGAAGTCGATAAGCACGATTACCACACCCGCAAGAAGAACACCACTGAGGACATCATTCCTAGCAACAAGCCAGATGCAGTTGTTGTGCAAAAGTTGGCCGACTCCATCAACGAGACCAACGCAGAACGTATGAAGAAGAAGAGAAGACACGAAGAGGACGCTTCCAGCTACATCAACGAGAAGAACAGGCAGTTCAATATGAAGTTGAACAGAGACTACAAGAGCTGATTCACAAGCCTATTGGAGCATAGCAGGACTGAGATCATCTATGTCAAGTCAGCACTCCCAGCTTTCGGAGTTCCACTGTGTTTTCAGGAGCGAACGCCAGTTTTGGTGAAAAATATGCAACAAATAATCTTGGTATAGTATTCAAGGATGTGTATCGTCTATTACCATTCGATTACTGAGCTGGCCCAATCCTGTCCACAATTTGAGATATTCGTTCTCCATATACTCGATTCAAAGATTTACTCCAATGAGAACTTGTGAGAGTTGCTCTTCTCGGTATTGCTTGACTCTATGAGAATCGGGAAATATGCCTGGATTTAGACCATTTTGATCATCCACGGACCGAACTACTTCCCACCACCGATATGTGTGCCACTCTTGTAAGACATCGAGTAGTTAGTCACTTTCAACAAGTGGAAAACGCTACAATTGGGTGCGAAAATGGTATGCACAGTATATAAAATACATAAACTTAATAAAGCCCATACACTGACTCCATATTCCTCACCGTTGGAATCGAGCAGTTTCTGGTTCGCTGCTATCCTCTGAGCACTGCAATATTCCACTCATCACAATTTGAGTAACGTACTTTGATGATGTTTAGTTACTTTCTCTACTGGCTAGCTTAAGAATAACAACAATATCTCCAAACCCACACAGCACGCCAACCCAAACCTACATTTGTAACTTAAAGCATCGCCATTGTCTGTTCTCCCGAAACACCATCTCCTGCTATGGTGCACATCCGGTCTCCAACTTCTACATAGTGCTCGTGGTTCCAGTTTCGCATCCATACTTTCACCACCAAAAAGCGCAGCACAACACCTCAAGCAACCTCCAGACATACACAACGAGATGATCTGCTCCTTTACGGTAATGCTTCTCCCACACAGGCTCTCCCTCCCCGAATCACGCCAGGGACCCTCCCAACCTCTCCTAGTCACAGTCCCATATCAATCTTGGACTTCTCCGCGGACGTTACCCGGACTTCGAGAATTTTTCGATTGAACAACCAAAACACCTCCACCATAACCCTCCACCATCGTCATCATCTAGATAGGTCAGCAAGAACATCTTGGCTGTCAGTCTCGACGAATTCGACACATATCAACATGGCCCGAGAAGAGGAAGAGAGAGAAATCCGTGATGATGTTTCCAACAACAGCTCGGACGAAGATGGAGACAATGTGTTAGACTCTTCGGAAGAGGACGACGACGAAGAAGATGAAGAAGCAATGCAAAAGGTGCGTGAAGGCTTCATTGTGGACGACGATGAGGACGACGACCGTATCAAGAAGAGAAAAAAGAAGAAGAGACGGAGAGAACGTGAACGTTCTAACCAGGTCGAGGACGATGCGTTGGACGAAGACGATTTGGAATTGTTGCTCGAAAACTCCGGAGCAAAGCCAGCACAAGCCAAGTCCAGTGGCAAGTTCAAGAGACTCAAGAGAGCACGTATAAGTGGCGAGGATGACGAAGAATCCGAGCCTGCTCGTGGCAAAGATTCCGCCAGAGACCCCAGATCTGGATTGACCGACATATTCTCCGATGATGAGGAAAGACAAGGCGAAGAGGATGAAGAGGAGGATCGTGGAGTTCAAAATGATGGCGAAAGAAACATTTTGGACGAGTTCGAAGATTTCATCGAAGAAGACGAGTTTTCGGACGATGATGACGAAGCCAGAAGAAGAGAAAAAATTGAACAAAGACAAAGAACCAAAAAGAAGGGACCCAGATTGGATACTTCAAAATTGTCCAATGTTGATAGAGAAAGTTTGCAACAATTGTTCGAAGTATTCGGTAACGGTCAAGAATACGAATGGGCTTTGGAGGCTCAAGAAATTGAAGATGAAGGCAATGGTGAGTCCTTGGAGCCAACCTCTTTGGACGAAGTCTTCGAACATGCCGAATTGAAGGAACGTATGTTGACTGAAGAAGACAACTTAATCCGTATTATAGACATTCCAGAAAGATTCCAAAAATACAGAGCCAATTTAAACTACATCGACTTGGAAGGAGAGGAATTACAAAACGAAAAGGACTGGGTAGCCGGTATCTTGTTCAAGGAAAAACAAGACTTGTTCACAGGATTCTTGGAAACTCCATTCAAGGAGGCAGTTGGAAAGGTGGTTGAATTTATATCCAAAGATGCATACGAGGTCCCATTCATCTGGACTCATCGTCGTGACTTCCTTCTTTTCTCTCAAGAAATCAAGAACGAAGAGGGTGGTGTTGAAAACGATGTCCACAAGTTACTCTACGAAGATGACTTGTGGAGAATTGTTCAACTTGACGTTGAATACCACTCCTTATACGAAAAAAGATTAAACACAGAAAAGTTGGTCGAATTATTGAATTTGGACGACGATTTAGTCAAAGACATAAAGTCTTTGGACACTATGGTTGCAGTCCAGGATTTGCATGATTACATTCAATTCACCTACTCTTCAGAAATCAGGGAGTTGGCCAAGAAACATCAAGAAAACCCTCAAGAAGTCTCGGATAATGTGGAAGGACTTGAAATCGCCAAGTTTGGCAAGAAGCATTCTAAATATGCCTTGTTCGAGAGAATTAGATCAAATATCTTATATGATGCAGTCAAAGCTTTCGGTATAAGTGCTAAAGAATTCGGAGAGAATGTCCAAGATCAATCATCTAAGCGTTTTGAAGTTCCTTACAGAATCCATGCTACTGACGATACTTTGGAATCACCGGATGATTTAATTGAAAAGTTATGTGAAGATGATGAAATCATTTTCAAAGAAGAAAAGAGTGCTCGTGATGCAGTGAGGAGAACTTTCTCCGAGGAGATCTTCCATAACCCTAAAATAAGACACGAAGTCAGATCAACCTTCAAAGCATACGCTTCTATCAGTGTGACTATTACTGAAAAGGGAAGAGCCACCATTCACAATCACAGTCCATACGCCAATATCAAATACGCAATCAACCGCTCGCCAGCGGACTTGGTCAGAAACCCAGACGTGTTGCTTCATATGTTAGAAGCTGAAGCTGCTGGTTTGGCTGTTATCAAGGTCGAAACCAAGGACTTTGCCAACTGGTTCCAATGTATCTTCAACTGTTTGAAGTCTGATGGTACCTCTGAAATTTCTGATACTTGGAACAAGGAAAGAGAATTGGTGTTGAACATGGCCTTCAAAAAGTTATCCAATATGATTGCTTTAAATACCAAAGAAGACTTGCGTCGTGAGTGTGAAAGATTGATTGCCAGTGAAGTGCGTAGAAAGTTCTTGAGCAAGTTGGACCAAGCCCCATTCACTCCATTTGGTTTTGACAAGGGTACCAAGCCAAACGTTCTCGCTTTATCTTTCGGTAAAGGTGACTTTGATAGTGCTGTTGTTGGTGTGTTCTTAAAAGAATCAGGAAAGATCGATGAGTTTTTCAAGTCTGAAAATAACCCTACCAGAGACCGTGAGAATGAAGAACAATTCTTCGGCCAATTGAAAGAGTTTTTTGACAAGAGTTTAGATTACACTAAGCCCGATGTTATTGTTGTTAGTGGTTACAACGCCAACTCCAAGAGATTGTTTGACAGTGTCAAGAAATTCGTCGAAGAAAACTCCATTACTGCCAATGTCGATGATTTGCCCAATATCAGCAATGCTCCCTTGATCAGTGTTATCTGGGGTCAAGATGAAACTGCAAGATTGTACCAAAACTCTGATAGAGCCACTGTTGAATTTGCTGACAAGCCTACTCTTGCCAAGTACTGTATCGGTGTGGCGAGATATGTTCAGAACCCTCTTTTGGAATACGTTGCTTTAGGGGAGGACATTTTATCATTGAGTTTCTACGAGCATCAAAAGTTGATCCCTGCTGACCTTGTGAAAGAAGCCATTGAATCTGTCTTTGTGGATATTGTCAACATGGTGGGTATCGAAATCAATGAAGCTGTGCGTGAGCCATATATCGCCCAGCTATTGCCATACATCTCAGGTTTGGGTCCAAGAAAATCTTCAGGATTAATCAGAAACATTATCTCCAAGCTTGGTTCTAATCTTTCCAACAGAAGTGACTTGATTGAAAATGAACTCTCCACTGCTAACATTTTCATCAACTGTTCATCGTTCTTGAACATTCCATTTGATGAAGGTTCCACTGTAAGAGACTCGTCTGTCGAATTATTGGATGCCACTAGAATTCACCCAGAAGACTATGATTTGGCCAGAAAGATGGCTGCTGATGCCCTTGATTTGGACGAAGAAGACATGGCACATGTTGAAGAGCAAGGTGGTATTATCTATCAATTGATGCAAGAGGGTGTCAACAAGGTCGATGAATTGAACCTTATCGCCTATGGTAAAGAATTGGAATCCAAATTCGGTAAAAAGAAATATGCCACTTTGCAGATTATCAAGGAAGAACTTGTCAACAATTTCGAAGAGTTGAGAAGATCCTACCACGTTTTGGAGAGCACCGAAGTTTTCCAAATGTTGACTGGTGAAACTCCTGAGACTTTGTCGAGAAACACCATTGTGCCAGTCTCTGTTACTAAGGTTGGTAAGAATTATAGAGATCCAAACTCCAAAATCAGATTCGCCAAGGTTGCTACATCGTCGTTAATCCAAGGCAGTGTTGAAGAGCAGAACATTCCTGATGACATGGACCTTGACCAAGGCCAAGTAGTGCAAGCAGTGGTGTTGGAAGTGTTCTATGACAACTTCAATGCCAATTTCAGTTTATTGGAGGAAGATCTCATGCGTGCTAATGCTCCTAAGTTTGTCAAGGAAGCTGGCAAATGGGATTTTGAAGCTGAGGAATTGGATTTGAAGAAGGAGGCTGCCAAAGAAAGAGCCAAACTTGCAAAGACCAGAAATATTCAGCATCCATTGTACCATAATTTCAATTTCAAACAAGCAGAGGAATTCTTGGCCCCACAATCTGTTGGTGATTGTGTGATTCGTCCATCGTCCAAGGGTTCCAGATACTTGACTATCACCTGGAAGGTTGCCAATAACTTGTTCCAACACCTTTTGGTTGAGGAAAACACCAGTGGTCATATCAAGGAATATATCGTTGACCACAAGAGATATGCTGACTTGGATCAGTTGATTTTCCAACACATTCAATCCATTGCTAAGAAGGTCGACGAGATGATCCGTCATCCAAAGTTCAGAGAAGGTACCTTGTCAGAGGTTAACGAATGGTTGGAATCTTACACCAAAGCAAACCCTAAGAATAGTGCTTATGTGTTTTGTTTCGACCATAAGATGCCAGGTAGCTTCTTATTGTTGTTCAAGGTCAATGTCAACACCCCTGTCAGTACATGGCATGTGAGAACTGAGGTTGATGGTTACACCTTGCAGGGATTCTCATATCCAAACATGCTTCGTTTGTGCAATGGTTTCAAGCAAACCTTCAAGTCTTATGTTTCCAGTTCTAGGTCCAGACCTGCCCAGCGTCCGCAATCTGGATATGATGGTTATGGATATTAGATGTATTGTAAGTAATTGAGTGTATAATTAAACCAGTGAGCTAGCGGAGCTAGCCATAAAAATAGTATTTTTCCGTTACAAGATGTAGACGATATCTAACATATGATTCTAAATTGATTCAGAATATCAATTTAAACCAGTCTGTCCAATACAAATATTTATTGCCTGTTCAGTATTCGAAACTACATTACCGGAATTCGTACGGGCAATTATACATTATAATTATTGGCAGAATTTTACAGGTGCTTTTCTACTAACTTTCTAGGCCAGTGCTCTCCTTGCAATTCTGACCCTGGACCTGAAACTGTCCCCATCAACATAGCATCCCATCAACCATCTATCACCTCCATTTTCGTCAGAAAACTCCAATCTCGAGTGCAAAACTCGCCTGTTGTCGAAAACTACACATGTCCCCTCTTTCAATTTGACCTGCAACTGGTTCTGAGGGTCGTTGATAAAGTCTTCGAACAACTGTAAGCCTCGTGTGAAGTCCTTGAATAAGTGGTGGGCCGAGTTCTCTCCAGCTGCACTGGCTAGCACATTTACGGAGTTCGAAGATGTGCCACTATTGTTCTTCGTGATTCCCAACTCAAACGGCCCTTGGAATGGAGGCGAGTAGTTGACCTCCTTGATGTAGGGATAGTTCGTGGCTGGGTCGATCAACTCTTTTTCCACTATCAATGGTCTTTGGTAGTAGTAGTATTCGTTGTCATTGTCGTACTGGAAGGTGATTGGCACCTCCGTCAAGGCGAAGTACGCCTCGGGGTCCTTTTCTCGCACATGCTGAGCGGCCAAGAAGCTATCACAGAAGACGTTTTCTCCACCAAGAGTGGAGTTTTGGATGGCGTGCAAGAACTGCAAGCCGGGTGGCGACTCGTAGTAGAGCAAGTCCATGTGCAATGGCAAGAAACTGTTGGTGTAGGCGATATTGGTAGCGTCCTTCTTGTTTTTGACGTCAAAGAGGGTGCCGTAGAACGTTTTTTTGATGTAGCCAAATTTGTTCGCTATGGTGGAAATTGGCCAGTTTGGACTGTTCTCTTCGTTCATCTCGCTAAGTGTGGGATGGGGCACGTTGTTGATGAAAGCGATACCAACGTCATTGAGCACGTTGGCTACCCTGAAGAAATCTGGCTGATTATTGACGTAATCCGAGTATTCCACGTTCGTTGCGGCGAAATCTCGGTCAATCTGGTCCTTTGCCCACAACTTCCTGGTCGCCTCGAAGAACTTGTCACGCCTACGGCTGGTGACATCGGAATAGCGCTCGAGGAAGCTGTGTGGGTATTCTGAGGTGTGGAGCTTGCCTCCTTGGTTCCATTCGATTTGCAACGCCGGTTCGTTGTTTGCACTGGTGATAATTTTGGGAGGTGAGTTGATCTGGAGGTTCTTGGAGATTTCAGCCGTGGTGAACAACTTCTGCTGCGAGTGTGGGTCTACGGATTCTGGCGACCGGCACGAATCACGAAGAAACACTGTGCTGTACACAAGTGTGTGTTCCTTATTGAGCACCACTGTGACGTACTCGTTGGAAACTTTGCCGAGGGCGAGCGAGGTGTTGAACCGTTTGAAGAGACGGAGCATTTGGTATAGGGCTGGAGAGAGAAACGTCCGAGAACGGCTGCGATTTATACCCCAGATTTTGATTAGCCCGAGGATGAACGCACGTGATGATGGAAATTCCGTGGCCTGATTTAAGAGTTCCAAGCTGACTTCTGCCTGCCAGACTCGGAAGCAAGGCCTGAGCAGGGCCTGAACTGGCCCTGGACTGGCCCTGGAGGCAGATGACACCGGTGGAAATGGGTCATTCTGTGCTGCTATTGTGTGGTGCCACTCTTGGCTCAAAGGCCCCCAGGAGCCTCCACGGTTGCCCAGGCGTCCCGCAAGAACTCATTCTTGTCGTACAAGTTGTCCAAGTCCTTGTACAAGAATGAGTTCTTTTCGACGGCAACGCGGTGGTTTTGGGAGATAATATAGTGCCTCCCATCCTCATCGAGAGCAAAGGAAATGTCTGGGAACTGCGCGGAAAACTGGTCGGCGGAGAGCGAGTAGTCGAACCTGCCGGGGTTGGCAGAGGCAAAAGCGAGGGACGCGAGCAGAAGGTAGACGAACGAAAGCATGGTGGTGTAGACTGGAGTGGATTGGCTGGATTTTCATCAATAAGCCAAACTAAGGATAGGCTCATGTGATAGCATTCCTGCAGGCGCGGAGGAGAAGAGGAGTTTGGGGAGGAATATTCGCGGCAAAAGGGGAAAAGGGTTGTGAAAAGTCGGATCTGCTGGATACGAAGGTTGCTCTCCTGGAGAGTAGGCGAAAGCGAACTATGGTATGTGTTGTTTAGTACGAAACTCTAGTCGTTGTGACTGGATTAAAGTGGTGACACTAGTCTGTAGGGCGTCAGGAGTGCTGATTCCCCAAAATCCTTTCCAGACCACCAGCCTGCGCTACCTTGTATGGTCGTCCTGAGCCAAGAATACTTTAATCTATTGGTAATCTTCGAACAATATTACGAATTTTCGTTGCTTTTAATTGTTTCCTTACTGATATTGTTAATTTTCCAGAATTATGGCAGAAATTGTCCGAAATTCAACGAGGATAAAAAATCCGCACCACAGCAGTAGCGATGGCCAATATTGAACAGTACACAGTCCAAACCAGATATTATCCGTTTAGTATGCACAGGGCCCGTGAAACAGCTGCTACAGCCCATTTCTGCTCACTACCTACACGGTATATTTGGTGAAAATTGCACCACAACAGGAATTGGGTACTCTGGCCGAGTTGGTCTAAGGCGCCAGGGTAAGGTCCTGGTCTCTCCGGAGGCGCGAGTTCGAATCTCGCGGGTATCATCACACCAGCAATTCCCACTAATTACCTATTTTCCTTCTTTTTTGCATCCGCCAACGTCTCACTGGCCGTTGTCCCCCACCACCCTCTGTTCTGAGCCCTAATGACTGATCTCTTCAACAATAGAGTCTGACTACATATGCATATTGCACCACCACCCGTTCAGTGTCCATGCTGAACAGTCCCTTACTTTACTGCGACCGCACCTACTGCCACCTAGCTCGCACCACCTCTACCATCACCTCTCGCTATTCGCACCACCATCATCTTCACCTCTCGCTACTCTTCGCACCACCGTCACTAATCTTTTCCTCGCCAGCTTCTTGCCGTTCCGCGCGCTGCCCGCACACTAAACGCGTCGTTTTCACCTTCAAAACATCCACCACACATTCCATTCCAGTATCCATAGTGGCTAGCTCGACACGATTGGCCAGGCGGTGATTCAAACTACTCGCGTTCGTTCCACCACTACCTTCGTGCCTCCATCTGCCGTTTGTTACTCCATCGAAGAAGCGTGTTTTCTGACCATCGAAAGCAGCGTGTTTTCTAAACGCCAGCACTGCCACCACCATGGAGTCCAAGCCGCCAGCAAACCTCCCCAACGTCAAGAAACGGTTGCACATGGGAAGCGCCCGGCTTCCCTTGCAGGAAACCAGCGGAAACATCCCATCTCCCGTTTTGAAGAAAACCAGACTCAACAACACCAAGCCTGCCCTCCAACTCAACCACGACATCCCTGCAGAACACCACCAGCATGAAGCAGGCAAGGTCAACCTCGCATCCACAACCAAGCCCATGTTGACCAACGAGCGTCTCCCGTACCTCCAACGTCCCCATCCACGCACACACCACACCAAGCCTGCCAAGGTAGAAACCGCACCCCAGGCAAAGACTACGGGACGCCTTGCAGGCGAGGAGTTGTACAACTGGCAACAGTCATGGAGAAAGATCATGAAGGAGTCCACCGTGTACTTCGAGGGCGTCACCGAATACAACCCCATCCAGCTCTCGGAATATAAAAAGGCTTCCAGGTACTTGAAGCAGGTGGGGTGTGAAATAACCCCTTTCTACGACAACGACGTGACAATCATCATATCTCGGAGACCATACAACCCATCCAAGCCGTATCCTCCCAACGACATTTTCTCCAATGTATCCAATCTCAAGATCAAAGTGTGGGACTACGATAAGGTGTTCAGGTTTCTCAAAAACTTGGGCATAAACATGACTGTCACTGACGAAAACTCCATGAACCCAGCAGCAGCAGCCAGCGCTTCCACTAGCACCGCATTGAATGAAACAAAGTCAAAACACAAGGATAACTTGTACAACCTTTTGAAGGAAGAGAAGATTTACGGTACCAATGATAGAGATCCAAATGCTAAACGTGATGATTTACACTATTTGGAAAAAAATTACTTGTATGTTTACGATTTGTTACAAAAGGTCAGACCAATTGCTATCAGAGAATGGCAGGAAGACAGTTATCCAGTTTTGAATTTAACTCTAGATGGCAAGTGCCCATTTATCTTTGACAACACAGAGTCGAGCAACAGTGAGCGTAAAAAGTTGAGAAGATTGCAGAAATTTGAAGTGACAAAGGACTATAGAAGCTTATTGAAGAGGGCCACTTATGATATCATCAGTAACATCAAAAATGGAGTCAACATGAACACTTCGGGATTCAGCGGAACCAGTACTAGCACTGACAGAATAGGCGAAGATGAGGTGACGATAATCCAAAACTCAACCAGCTCTAAGAAGTTGAATAACATCGAAGATAAGGAAGGAGAAAACGATTCATATCAAGAAGAACAAGAAAACCAAATAGTAGAAGAGGTCACCCCTGAATCTGTTTCAGTGGAATTGAAACCTTCAGAGCTTGAATTTAAAAATGAAGTGGCAGTTGCCGCTGAAGAAGAGACTGATAGTATGAAACCTTTGAGATATAACTTTAAGCATCCAAGTATCCCTGCCTTAACTAGAAACTCATCATGTGTCCAGCTGAACTCTAACTCTAAGTTTTATGACGTGACTGCTTCTGGTTACAATGGAGCATCGAACGCAATGAGTGTTTCAATGGACACTTCTCTCAATAGTAACGCAGCAAGAGGCAATGGACTTGGGCCCATGGTCTCGCAAGTTCCCTCTAGGAATCTCAACAACTTGAACAGAAGAATATTTATTAAAAAGAAGAAGCAGGAATCCAACAATTCATTCAATGAAAAGGCGGGCAATGAAGAGAAGGAATTGACACCAGGCTACTGTGAAAATTGTCGGGTAAAGTACGATCACTTCGAGGACCACATCAAGTCCAACAGGCACAGAAACTTTGCGTGTGACGATCGTAACTTCAAAGACATTGACAACTTGGCCAAGATTCTACACGAAAGAAGATCGCTGGGTTACATCACTTCCAATGGAGACTTTGCATACTCTTAGACCTCCTTGGTAAGCCAACTCCAGACTACCGATCTACCAGGGAGCGACGAGCAGATTGCTCACTACCAGCTTACCCACTCTAGCATATCTATTTCTATAGCATTTATTGCAATGTACATTAATTTTCAATTCTGAACAAGAATAGCCGAGAACAATCAAATTGCTCCACGAAGTGCTATCCATATCATTAATTTAGGTATCAGGTAGAAACTATCTTATGTACCATAATTACAGAAGTGAAGATCACCAAGTTTGAATTATACATGATTATTCCATTGCAATCAGTCAATACTGGATACTATTATAGTGGTGGAATACCCTCACTAGAAAGCTTTTTTCCTCGCTAAATCTAGCGAGGCCGCCCCGCAAACCGCTCGCTAGAGCTCGAACAAGACTTGACTCTCGCACCGTGAAAGCCTCGCAGGCTCTATCTAAATCTCACTAACTTTTCAAGTACAAAATTTTACCAGCCATGATTACAAGAACCTACACAACACGGACGTTCTTGAGCAGGATAGGCCAAGAGCGTCAGCGTCGTCACTATTCCGACTTTCTCAAAAACTTGCCTCGAGTAGGAGGAGGGATCTCCAAATTTGGGAAGGCGCCTTCCATCCAAAAGAACATCCCACCTAAAGACAACTTGACGTCTCCAAACTCCGTTCCAAAGAAACAGCCACCACCTCAGGGCAACAATAGGTCCAATCAGCAGAATTCCCAGCAAAAAACGAACCGATTTGCCCAAAAGTATGCCAATCCAAAGCCTGCTGTAAAGGCACCCAAACCAGTCAATCCAAGTACAAAGTACGAGGAGATCAGAAAATCCCTCAGAGAGAAGCAGGCCAAGCAGAACCCCGCCCAGAAGAAGGTGCTGGTGCCATCCAAAAAGAAGAAGGCTGCCACGCCTCCCATCAAGATCAACTTACCTCCGTTCATCACAGTTTCCAATTTGGCCACCATCATGAATGTGCCGTTCACTGACGTGTTGAAGAAGTTAGAGAACTTTGGCTTCGAAGACCTCCGCCACAACTACATTTTGGACAAGGAAAATGCCACCATGATTGCTGACGAGTACAATTTCGAGGTCAATATCTCAGAGTCCTACGACGAGGACGTGTTTCCCGAGCCTCCAAAACCGGAACTCTTGAAGGAAAGACCTCCAATAGTCACCATCATGGGCCACGTTGATCACGGGAAGACCACCATCTTGGATTTTCTTAGAAAATCAAGCATAGTCGACAAGGAATTCGGAGGGATCACCCAGCACATTGGTGCGTTTTCGGTGTTCACACCCATTTCCAAGAAGAAGATCACTTTCTTGGATACCCCTGGGCATGCAGCGTTCTTGAAGATGAGAGAAAGAGGGGCTATGATTACCGATATCGTGGTTTTGGTTGTGGCGGGAGACGATTCAATCATGCCACAGACCACCGAGGCCATCAAGCACACCAAGAAGTCGGGTGTGCCCATGATTGTGGCTATCAACAAGTGTGACAAGCAAGGGATCGACATCGACAAGGTGTTAAGAGACTTGTATGCGCAAGAAATTGATATCGAGGATTATGGTGGAGAGGTCCAAACCGTCAAGGTTTCAGGCAAAACCGGGTTGAACATGGACAAATTGGAAGAGGCCATCATCACCTTGAGTGAAATGAACGAGTTTAAGGCCGAGCAATCCAATATTCAGTCAGAAGGCTGGATTATTGAGTCCTCCATCGAGAAGGGTTTGGGCAACAAGACTAATTTGTTGGTGTCGAGAGGAACCATCAAGGTAGGTGACTACTTGGTCGCAGGAACCACCTACTGCAAAGTCAAGGGTATCAGGGACGAGAACGGTATGGCTATCAAGTCGGCTGGTCCTTCCACCCCCATCCAAATTTGGGGCTGGAAAGAGCTCCCTGGAAGCGGAGACCAGGTTTTACAAGTGAAGAGCGAGCTGGTGGCAAAGAAGGTCACTGCCAACCGTATTGCAAGAAACAAAGAGCTTTCGATGGGTAAAGATATCGAGGAAATCAACAGAAAGAGACAGGAAGAAATCAACGAAATCAAAATGAAGGAGAAGATGAACGAGGTCAAGCTTTTGGGACTTGATGAGGGGGTAGTGGCGAACGAGCTTGAGCAAAAGGCTCGCGAGGTTCGCTATATTGTCCGTTCCGACGTGTACGGCTCCGCAGAAGCCATAAAGGAAAGTATCAACGAACTTGGAAACGAGGAAGTTAGATCAGTGGTACTTAATACCGAGGCTGGTGTGCCCACCGACTCTGATATCACTTTGGCCAAGACGTTGGATGCCAAAATCTTGTGCTTCAACATCAAGGTGCCCAAGCCCATGATGATGAAGGCAGACAAGGAGGGAGTGGTTATCAAGGACTACAACATCATCTACCGGTTGATCGAGGACGTTACCACCGAATTAACCAGTCACTTGAAGCCCCGGATCGAAATTAAAACCGTGGGTGAAGTCGATATCAAGGACGTATTTGTGGTGACCATCAAGAAGTCCAAGGTCAAGATTGCGGGATGTAAAGTCACCAACGGGCTCATCAAGAAGTCTTCCAAGATCAGGGTTCTCCGGGGTGAAGAAGTCGTCTACGATGGTACCCTTGGTTCCTTAAAGTACATCAAGGACGATGTTTCCGAGGTTAGAAAGGGTAAGGACTGTGGTATTGCGTTCGAAAACTGGGACAAATTCGAGGCAGGTGATTCCATCCAGGTGTACGAAGAGGTGGAGCACCAGCGTTTCTTGTAAATAGACTAGCATGGGTAGCGATAGCTGTATATAGAGATCATATTGCTACAACATTTTCTGAATAGATTAACTACCAGATGAGTATCTTGCAAGTAAAAGTGATAGATACTGCTTTTGTATGGCTTTGTGCTGTAGTAGTAATTAGCAGTTTAAACCTGCCCTGTGCTACGCCTCCTTGTTATTACCCAATAAATTCCAACTGCCTGCCAGCAAACATCCATATACTTTCGTGGTTTGCCAGATAGTAAAATCGTCCTGTGACTAACTGTGATTCATGTGGGCCGAATATGTCACAGCTTGAATAACTGTAACTTCAGCATAGATACGGTCTATTTCATCTTATTCTGTAATTTAAAAGGACCCTTTTTATGATCACGTTACATAAGTGGATCATTCCTGGCTTCTGATAGTAGCTTCGTGGTCATTAAGGATACGCTCACTTTACTGTGACTGAACAAGATAACAACCCATCACGAAATTAATAAAATAATAATGAATAGAATCTCCTCTTTTATAAGGATAAATAAAGACAAATGAAGCCATTATAGTACGTCATCTCACCATCCTCCCACCATCCTCCCAGTATCCTTAACGACCCAGTTATGAATTAACACTATTTAGTCTCATATTCTCTGCCTATCCGATAATAGTGCGAGCGCACAGCTCATCTTGATCATCAAAAATTTAGACAAACACCACCAACACCACCACAACACCAACATGTCCTCACACGACGAATACTCCTCCGACGAGGAAGACCTTTTCGACACAGAAAAGTCCAGCGTGCTTTTGGGATTCGTGGACGGAGAAATCGTGTCTGACGAGGAGGACGATGAGTATGATGAGCCCTCCATCGAAGACACCTTCATTGGTGGCAAGCCTGTGTGGTTCGAAGGCAGTGCCAGACCAGCCAAGAAATCGACTTGCTGTGACAACTGTGGTGCCAAAATGGCGTTGTTGCTCCAGGCTTTCGCTCCTTTGGACGGTAAGTTGTACGACAGAGTGATCTACATCTTTGCGTGCAAGAACTCGGCCCAGTGCTCCAAGAAGAAGGGAAGTGTCAAAGCCATCCGAGGAATCGGCAAGAACCCCGAGAAGGTGGCCCAGATCAAGAAGGAACAACAGGAATCCATCCAGAAGCAGTTGGATGAGAAGTTGCAGTTGGAGAACAAAAAGAAGTTGCACATAGAAATGACCAAGGACTTGTTCACCAGCGACAAGCAGGCATCCAATCCGTTTGGGTCCAGTTCCAATCCATTCTCCAACCCATTTTCTACCCCCTTTGCGGCCAAAGAAGCACAGAAACCTGAGGCCCCAGAAAAGGTACAGCCCAAGGCCGAAAAGACCTCTTCATACGCCAGCGTTGCCTCCAAGAACGCACCTCCCGCCAAGAAGCCGGAAAGAGACACCGATGACGAGAGACCTAGCTATCCTGGGTGCTTTATCTACGTTGAGCAAGAGAAGTTCAAGAAAGAAACAGAGGACTCCGAGTTGGAAAAGTACAAGCATTTGATCGACATGGACGTCGACAAGGACCAGAAGTCAGGCAGACGTGGGTCCACGTCGTCCGTGGGCTCCAGTGGCCCATCCGTGGGTCCAATGGACCCTGGCGCATCCAAGATCAGCAGCATGCTCGACGACAAGTACTTCGAGGCCTTTACCAACACCGTGAAGAGCAACCCCGGCCAGGTGTTGCGGTACGACCTTGGTGGAAGACCATTGTTGTACAGCGGAAGAGACGAGGTGGCTGCGAAATTCGGCAAGGACATTGCGGTGCCAAAGCCAGCATACAACCCGTCGTCGTTCCGTCGCTTCGAGCTTCAGCTCATGCCCAAGGCCATCATGGACTTGGAGCGTCTCGGCAACAGTGCTAGTGTCAGAGCCATCCTCGACGGTATGTCCTGGGGAACCATCATTGTGTGCACCGACCACGAGGACTATATTGCACCTGAAGAATTTGAGGACCACGCTGCGTACGTGGAAGAATGGTGTGGGGTGCAATGGGAAGAGAGCGTTTAGATGGACTAGACGGGAGAATAGACTGCCAGACACATAGCCATGGAAGCGACGAAGAGCCGGTGATTGCAACCTGACAAACGAGTGATTTCACGACGAAGGAAATGATTGCAACGCGATAAGGGAAGTGATTGCACCGATACATAGCCACGGTGATTGCAACGCGACGGAGTGCCTCACAGCCATTCGTTCGCGATTCGTAGGCGCAAGCCTCGAGGAATGTCAACACCAGGGACGCTTTGACGACGCCAAAAGGGCGAACTCTATCTCGATTTTGTACCAGTTTTAAATACTAATATACATGATATCAGACTAGTTTCAGAGTGGCTCAGGCGAGTTGCACATACCAGAGTTTCATTACGTAAGCGATGACCAAGCAACGCCAGCTGAAACACCCATTCCGCTGCCAGGGTGCAACGACAAGCCCCTGGCCAGCAAGAGTCGGTGGACCACCGCACCCGCACCGCGTTCCCGCCTGGTAGGCACATTCAGGTGTGCCCACCACCACCGTCCATCGATTCCGCACAGCACCGCCTCGCGACGTCTCTTCGGTTCCCTACGGCTACCTGCAGCTCCCTGTGCCACCCTGCTAGCTGCCTCCCGATCCTCCCTACGCACCCCTCCACTGTCCCTACGCACCCCTCCACTCTCCCTACGCATCCCCCATCCTCCCATCCCTCCCGTCTATCTACCACGCACCCGCGCCTAAGTACCAGGCTGAGGCCCCCTTCCGCTGCGCGGTGACGCAATGGCTGGGGCTCATAGATTGCTTGCACCCTCTAATAGCGTACGAACTCTGCTGGGCTCTCCTTGTCAGCACGTCAACTATTGTGTCAAGATCAGTGGTCAAAATTTGCTTAACATCCTCCTTCTTTCTTACTATCGTTTAACCTCCGCTAACAGAAGTTGGCCTACTAGAAGAACATCAGTTGCTACAAGCATAGCACCTACTGAAACACATCAGCGTCTACTGAAACAACATCAGTGTCTAGTAGATCGTCAACTACCAGATTGGTCTACACTTAGAAAAGAGTATAGACAGCACATTAGAGACTAGAGACTAGATCAATAGAACTAGATCAATAGACAACTAGCAACTACAGTACTAGACAATATCATCTAGATCATCGAACCAACCTGACCATTAGCATACTAGACCAGATCAATACCATCCCACCAACTGGATCATCTACACCATTAGAGACCAAGAGGAACTAGCCAGGTACACCATCTAGATCAGCCAAACCAGCTATCCATCACCGCCTAGTCCACCTTATTATAATCATTTACATCTAGTCCATCACCACATCCACCATGTCCCCCGATCTGAGCTCGGACGATGAGCAAGACTTCAGGTCCAGCATCCACCTCCCCAACTTGGACTCGTACCGCCGCGCCCAGCACAAGCCATCCACCAACCCTAGGACAAACCTCGTCAAGGCTGCCAAAGCTGGCACCAAGGCTGGCAAGAAATTAACTGGATCCAGCAAATCAGTACGTTTCCCCGACCTGTATGCTCCCAGAGACACCATCATCAGTAACAACTCAGCTACCACCAACTCGGACTCCGATCTCGAGGAGTTGGACAATGTGGGACCCCTTGACTCCACCTTACCCAGCTTCAACTTCAGAGGCAGCGAGATGGCCCACGATTCAGAGTCCAGCGACGACGAAGACCCACTAGACGCCGCCGACCAGGCAGACCCCAATATCCCAAACTTCAGAACCTTCCGCAACCAGCCCCAGAACCTTGTTCAGTCCGACTCCGACGACTCGGAGGACAACTCGTCTAAGTCGTCCAAGAAATCCAAGAGCCCTCTTGCGTATGTGGGACCCGAAACCGATATCGCTGACCAGCACAAGCGCCCTTCCATCACGTCAGGAGCCTCCCGTGGCTCAGAAGAACGTGGAGGAGGTGGGCTCAGAGGCATCCTCCGCAAGATGTCGTTGGCAGAACATGCCTACACCGGAGGATATGCTCCTCAGACCGTGTCTGCATCCGACGGCTTCTTGGGAAGCGTGATGAACATGACAAGCAACCAGGGAAGCTTGAGTGGAGGTGGCTTGGTGCCTGGTGCCTCCCACTACTCCCGAGAGAGAGAACCAGACGAAGAGGAGAGGATTGGTGAGCTCCCAGGTGCCATCGAAATGCAGCCTTTGGGGTTCGAACAGTTGAGTGAAGAGGCCAAGAACTTGATTTCGTCTCATGTGCCAGGAGTTGCTCGGGATACTCATGAAGGCAGCTCGTCCAGAGTCTACAACGAAGACAACGGATCCACTGCCAATTTGATCAACCCCGATGACTACAATAGCGAGCCCAACACCCCTACAAAAGAAGGGTTTTATGCTCCCAACCCCGAAATGTTCTTGAGAGGAGAGAACAACCCCGATTTTGATCAACAGGACGACTTCCTCCTCGACGAGGACACGGAGGACGGCTATATAGCTCCTCCCAAGCAAGTTCACGCTGGTGTGTTGTCGTCGTTATTGAGATTGTATCAGAACCCTCATGATGCAAAATCGGCTGCCAGTCTTACCTCCAGAAGCACCGATGCAACCACTTTGGCAGAGGAGAGCAACTTTCTCGAGAGTGCCGATACTACTAGACATTCCACAATGGACTTCAGCAAGTGGAAGAACGAGTTAAAGAAGGCCCCCAAGAAATTGACCAACAAGTTCCCTGGCCACAAGAAGGGCGCAGCTATCACCTCGGACCCAGATGACGAAGGTTCCTTTGACGAGAAGGATGCAGAGGGTGCACATTTGCCCTCGTTCCAAAATGCCAAACCCAAGGCTCCAAAGAAAGTCAACGTGAACAAGGTCAACTTGAAAAAACTCAAGAACCACAAGAACAACAAAAAGGCAGACAGACTCCGAATCACAGTGCATATTGCTGACATCCTTCAGAGACAGCGGTTTATCATGAGAATGTGCAGAGCCTTGATGTTATTCGGTGCCCCCACCCATAGATTGGAAGAGTATATGATCATGACCAGTAGAGTGTTGGAAATCGATGGGCAGTTCATCTATTTCCCAGGGTGTATGATCGTGTCTTTTGGTGACGCAGCCACCAGAACCTCCGAAGTCCATTTGGTAAGATGTGCCCAGGGTGTCAACTTGTCCAAATTATCTGATACCCACCGAATCTACAAGGGCGTTATCCACGATTTGCTCGGTGTGGAAGAAGCAGCGTTAAAATTGGAAGAATTGTTAAGAAAGAAAAACATGTACCCCCCATGGTTGTGTGTTTTCCTTTACGGTTTGGGGTCTGCGATGGTGTGCCCATTTGCATTCGGTGGTGGATGGGTAGATCTTCCCATCGCTTTCGGGGTTGGGCTTTGTGTTGGATACTTGCAGTTCATTGTGTCGTCCATTTCCAACTTGTACTCATCTGTCTTTGAAGTCACTGCCTCGATTGTTGTTGCGTTCATTGCTCGTGCTATTGGGTCGATCCATCATGGTTCGATCTTCTGTTTCTCGGCAATTGCCCAGGGTTCGTTGGCATTAATTTTGCCTGGTTATATTATCTTAACTGGTTCCTTGGAGTTACAGTCCAGAAACTTGGTAGCAGGGTCCGTCAGAATGTTCTACGCCATCATTTACTCGTTGTTCTTGGGTTTTGGAATCACGTTGGGAGGTGCCCTTTACGGATGGGTTGACAAGAATAGTGTCTCGGCCAACAAATGTGGGGACGACCACAGCATGGACGACAAATGGAAGATCTTGTTCGTTCCTATGTTCTCCCTCAGTCTTGGGCTTATCAACCAGGCCCGTTGGCAGCAGCTCCCCGTGATGATTTTCATCTCTTGCGTGGGATACATTGGCAATTACTTTGCAGGAAAGCATTTCTCCACGGTCACCGAATTCACTGCCTGTATTGGTGCGTTCATCATTGGAGTGTTGGGAAACTTGTATTCGAGAATCTGGAAGGGGATGGCTGTGAGTGCCATGCTTCCTGCTATTTTCGTGCAAGTGCCCTCAGGTATTGCTTCGCAGAGTAGTTTGGTATCTGGTATCCAAGCTGCTGACCAAATCACCAAGAGTAACGATAGCTCAGCGGACGGAAACGCCACGGTTTCTTCGGGCTCCTTGAGTTTCGGTCAGACCATGGTCGAGGTTTCCATTGGTATTAGTGTGGGTCTCTTTGCGGCTGCATTGGTTGTGTACCCACTTGGTAAGAAAAGAACTGGTCTTTTCACTTTATAGAGAATTGGTTATACGGATATATTGTTCCAGAGTGCTATGTAGAAAAAGCTCCGTGTGAGCAGAAGAGAGTGGGAGTTTTGCGGGTTGCAACATACTCTTGAGTGCTACTGGAGTAGAATGGTGCCTTTCTATATTTGGTCGTGCGCTCACCGCAAACTTATCAGTACGAAAATGGTAGCTATCGTCCCACAACCCAAAATCACGGTTTTAACCCCAAAAGTCCGTCTTCTTGCCAACCCCAGTGCCTCCACGCCATGTTACAACTGAAGCAAATCTCGCGGCTTCTTACCCAAGCACTCACCCCCATCCCTTCGCACAACAGCCATACATTGTCCAGCACCACATTAGCGACGTCACCGCTTTCATTATCTCTACTTTCACCCAGTGGTATTCCTCTCACCACCGTACTCAACACAATATTGCTCACTGAGATTGGCTTGTCGCCAGATAACCTCAAAATTTACTCGTTGGTGGGTTTCAATCACATTCAAAACGACTCGTGGGGCTTACTAGAGGTCGAGAAAGGACTTAAATTGGTGATAAGGAGATTGGATATCGAGAACGGGGATCATAAGGACGATACTACTGCAAGTGAAGGAAACCATTTGTACGTGATTCTCTTTTATAATGAACAGTTTCCCGATGCCATAGCCAAGCTCAAGCTAGACAATGTCAGCGAGATCTTGAATGCGGGACTAAAAGGGTACAGAGGATAAGGTATCTAGGTATATAACTTCCTAATAGAATGTGCATTTGAGAAGCAGTGTACGGATAAATTAATTCTCGGAAGAATGAATTAACTTAGGTCTAGGCTTAAACAGGGGGAATATGGAAATATTAATCTTAAACAGATATCGAATAGTGGATATTCAATCCAATTAAAATAACTCCTTCCATTTGTTCAAGTCTTTGACCACCTATTGATTTTCTTCATGCTATTGGGCGTGGTATAATGGGCAGATGTATAATAGTTGTAAGATCTATTTAATGAAGAGCTCCTATAGCGACGACAGGAAAACATATGTGGAAAATTAGTTACAGAGAAATAATAGTTAGATGCCGAATAGACAGAGAAAAGACACATCTCGTATGAAGAAAAATGTCGAAAAGATATCGAAAAATATGTACCAATTCAATCCTACATTCCTTGTCTAATTAGTATTTATTAAACATATAAACTTAAAAACAACAGACCAGAAGAAAAGAAAGGAAAATTAGTTAAATAAAATGACGTGAATGTAAATGAAAATAACTAATGCAGAGAATAAAAAGAAGTTCGTTCGTTAGCCAATATGAGCAACCGTGGCACGCAGTCACTTGGCGATCATGTCAACATCGTCGTCTTCCTCTTCTTCTTCGTCATCGTCTTCATTGTGATCTTCCATGTCATCCATCAAACTTTCTTCGTCAAAGCTTTCTTCCTCCTCGCTGTCATACCAGAAGTCTTCGTCAACCGGTTCATGTTCCAACTCTTTGCCGGTGCCGTTGTTGGCACCGAATGCGTAAAGCTCCGACTCAGGCATGATGAAATCTTCGGGAATGTCTGCCTTTGAACGTTCGACTTCCTGAAGCACCTTCTTCTTGTAGGCCTCGGGGTTCTTTCTCAACTCGACGGATGCGTCGATGTTGGCAGGAGAGGACACGTTGGGGTCTTCCAAGAGCGATATGATGGATATGAGGACCGACTCCACTGTCTGGGCAGGGGTCCAGGTCTCGCTGTCGGGTTCGTCGGATGTGGGGTCGCCTCCCTGGTGAAGAATGGAAATGCAAAGTCTACCATCTCTATAAACGTTTGGATGATAGATGGCAGGGGTGAAACGGAAGGTTGGAGGGGCGAACGGGAAGTCGCCAGGGAACCGCATCTGGCCCTTGAAGTATCCTCCGTGGTAGACGGAGTCCTTGTTCAAGACCATGATGCCGATGTTCCAGAGGAAGATGTTGTCGTCGTCCAACTCGATGTGGAACGAAGGAATGCCCTTCTTGGGGTCTGTGAGGTCCTTGAACTGCCGTTGCAAGATGGCTGCTGCGGATTTGGAACTCATGGTGTGAAGCGGGGGTGGATGGAAGGTGGATGGGTGGTGGATGGGTATGATGTTGGTGGGTGGAAGCGCCTATTTGTACTGGACGGCTCCGATGATATTCAGCGTTTGTGGCAGGAGAGGGTGGAAGCGTTTGTAGCTTTCAAAACTGTTTCCTGGTATGGCTTGCGAAGCGCTTTGATGGAGATGCTCTATCGACTGGGCAGTCACTGGCTAGCTACGCTGGTCAGATGATGGCTGGTGATGCTTACTAACCGACTGGTGGTAAGTAAGTGGACTGGTGGCTGTGGTGGTAGCGGTGGTGGGCTACTGGCTGGGTGTGAACAAGTGTGGTCCGATGGCACGAGCAGGCGTGGTTTTGGCGATACTTGCAAGTATAAATGTTGTGGTTATTGTGGTGAGGGTGGTAAATTGTCCTGCTTGCGGGTTACTAATAACGTCTGCGTAGGAGTGATAACGTGATGCGAGAAGACCCAAAACGTGACTGGGAAGCAGAGTATGGTAGTACGGGTGCTGGAAGTGCCTGGTGGGTGACTAACAGGTAGAGAACAGATGGAGGTTTGCGGGAGGAGGTGTGTGGCAGGCCGACTCGTGGTTGTGTCGAGTCTTTGTGGAGCTGAGATTGAGTTTCTTTTTTTGGGTAGTTGAGGAATACAAAGAGATGAGGAGGCGGGGGAAACCTCGAGGGTGCGACGCCAATAGGAGAGCTCTGGCATGTCGATCATGCCAGACAGGCTGGCGAGATCAGCCCGAGCTGAGGCAAAAAGAAATGCGCAAACCCGGAATCGAACCGGGGGCCCAACGATGGCAACGTTGGATTTTACCACTAAACCATTTGCGCTCGTGTTGAAAATCATGGTGGGGGCAGTTTATACGCGAAGCTAGTTTTGGACAAAAAAGTGTCATTTTCGGTCTCTGGGCTCTGCCAGTGTGTATAAAGGTATCTGGTATGAAACTAGAACCTCGAGAGAATATATTAAGCCTTTTTTCAGAAAAAAGACGTGTTCCTTGACAGTATCGTCGAATGGATGAATGCGGCATCCCTCTCAAAAATCAATACAACGCTATAGATACGATAGCTTGTGTAGCAATTTCGAGATCGCCATATCCTTCCATGTACATGAAATTAAAATTTGCCATCCTACACCAATTATAGTCAACCACGCTTCTTCTACTACCACGGAGACGATGCAATGCGCTATTCTGGTGAATTATTGTAGAATAAGAGCCCTTTTATGATATTTTAAGTTCCTGTATTGCATTCACTATTGTGCTGAATTGAAATCGTAACTGAATGGCTGCGAAATAAATCTTTCTGTCAATGAATAATCAATGATTGTGAATATTCCATATGCATCCCAATGGATAGCTTTGTAGCTAGAAAACTAGTATGATCAATGTGCCCAATTTCCCTGGTCCCTGCAAAAACACGTAGAAAACTAGCAATAGAGTTACATACCGAACTGAAGTAGCTATCCGTAAAAATTCCAATGATCCAATATCAATTGCATAGTATGACCAATATTGAAATTGAAGATGTGCTGATAGCAATTTTTGATCTAAAAGAATACAACTTCATGGAAAACAATACATTAAGTTGAAATATGGCTATATTACTTGACATCTCATTCTTTTCCAAAGCCGCAGCAGTATTAACGAGAGGCATGTCCCATATTTAATGCCGCTAAACCGTCGGATACTATAGCAGTGGAACAAGTAACTTTCACATTTCCCAGAGCACAACAATTCTTCGAAATACTGAGGATTTCAGAAGTAGCACAGCTTACGAAGCTCAGCCACTCCCTTAAAGCATATTTTATAATATACATCCTTACTATCCACACATCACTTTTGTCAGGGGTACTTTTCAGCATTTTGATGATCAATACAACTTAGAATCAAAGTACTTATATACTTCTCGCTGAGCTCGGATACATCTTAGCACGGTGATGTAACAATAGTGTCCATATGGAATTGGTTATTTTTCATAACTCGCTAGTTTCAAACTATAATCAATGAACAGGTTAAAGCATGGCGACAAGAGTCTACTCAATACTGTCTGCGATGGCTGGTACTTCGCTAAGAATTTATATCCCGACCATTCTTATCTTGTAATTGAAACTCCTTTGCAGTTAATTAATATGCCGAAGAATCTCCCTTTGGGGATCGGAATAAGCAACTAGTTTGTTTATTGCAAACTACCAGCTTCTTCCTTTGCATACTTTGTAGATATCCACAATTTTCCTCCGCATCTCTCAAATAGTTAGTACCATGCAAAGTGTTGTCAAATAGCCTCCTAATTTTTCTCTTGAACACTAGTGTAATAAACAGAAACAAGTTATGTCTTTGGTATAAATCTAAGGTATAAATGACGTATCTTGGGAATACATAGTAGGGTAATTGGATCACTTCATTTTCCGATTCAGTTTAAGGGGCTCCTCCACTCCGTATATTCTTGAGAAACTCATACAACCTGGAATCAACTCTTCTCCTTGCGCAATCATGGATATCTTCTATATCTATTGCCGAGTGATCGTAGATAGTCGACAAAGATACAATAGCCCAGTCACTGGCATCTCTGATTTCAACATCATACGATTGCAACTTGTTTTTCGTGATATACCTGGCAGATAATTCACCAAGAACAGCTAGCTGACCTTCCACTTTTGATTTAATAATTACAATGAATCTTGATTTTTAACTGATCTTGAAAATACATGATTTGGTGTCCAAATATGTTAGTTCATCATAAGATAAGATCTCGTTGTTGACTGATGAGAATTTGACCATAATAAATGGGCAATACCTCTTCTTGAGTGACTCTTCCATCTACAGAAACCAATGTATATCAAGCGTGACATAACGAGAAAAGCATTATTGCAAGCTTCTTCCATAATTTGTCCCTTCTTTGCCGATATCCCACACCTACAGTAATGCTTATCTTTCTATCTGTATTTGCACTATTCTTTACAACACATGGGTAATTTCCGGAGCCCGAAATGACTCGGTTCTCCGAAGAATCGCCCTTCTTCATCGGGATGTGCTACTTTTTGTTAACGTCCTAATCTTAGAAGGCAGCCAGTTACTTCTGTGGCACAATTATTAGATATCCGGACTTATACTCTTCATCTCTGAAATAGGCAATACTACGGCACAGATAAGCCACTTCTAATAATGACATGTCAAATAGTCGATTATTTTTTCTGAATAGAAGTATAAGATAAAGAACAAAAGCAATGCGAATAATATTAGACTTATTATTGACGTATATTGGAAATACATAGCATAGTAAGGTAACCGTAAATGACAATGAAACACATTAATTGGCGCCCAAATATGAGGGTTCATCATTTCTTTGTCGCTACCAAACGTATAAAGCATTATTTTGCAAAGACTAATGTTTGGGTAGGCGTTGATCTCGTTGACTTGTCAGAGATCCATCGATTCTAGGCACTCATCGCCCATTTTCGGTGTTTTCATCTGCATCTTGCTGATAAATTCGATTTCGGAACAAAACCCTTATATATTCCAAACTTCAAAAGCGCATCCACATTAATCATAAACTCCTTACGGCTCGTATATTCTGCAATTGCACCTCAAGGAATGAGTATTTCCTTTTATTCCATGGCTTCAATGCAAAATCAATAATCTTGAAGAATGACTCTCCCACAGTAAATTTCTTGGAAGCTTCTCACCTAATTCATTACTATTTAATGGCGGCAATTTCTCAGCTGAGAATTCACATCCTCTTACTTCTATCTGAATTTGCATCGCTCATACTTGAAAACATCCGTACCCTGAGCATAAACTGTTTTGGCTCCCCGATGAATTGTCCTTGGACATCGGGGTGTGCATTCTTGAAAAGCAGCCAACTATTTCCGTGGCACTTACTAAATAGCCACACTTTTCCTCCTCATCTCAGGAATAGGAACACCTTGTAACAGATAATCTACTTCAAGTAAAAGACCTATGATTTTTTTCTCCACAGCCGATGAAAAGAGAGAGAATCATCAGCACAAGAAGTCCAGGTCTTACAGAATGTCTTGACTATTTTGAAGAGACCAGATTAAGGTCCTCGACCGTAGCTTCAACGTGAGAGGCTCGGCAAAGGATGCAATTATTAGTGAATTAAGTATTACTTCCATTCAACCTAGAGTCCCACGATGCTCTGGATGATTGTCCATTGGAATACAAGATTTGGAAGAGACAAAATGAAGTGAAGTGCACTAACATATTTTCACAGACAAAAGTATGAATAAATAATACATTAGGAGTCATTTGAGTGGTGCATTGTGTTTGGCTTAGCTGAAAATAATTTCCCAAACCTGTTGATCAGTAGTAAAGTTGTAATTAACTCCTAAGTGACAATGTCGGAACTAATCTAAAATGCAAACTGCTACTCAAAAGGTTAGCTCCAGAGAACCGTAGTATCATAGAAAGAAATTTTGCAACAGTGAACAAGATGCAAAAAGAAATGCGCAAACCCGGAATCGAACCGGGGGCCCAACGATGGCAACGTTGGATTTTACCACTAAACCATTTGCGCAANNGAAACTCCGCGACGGGGAATTGAACCCCGGTCTACCACGCGACAAGCGGTAATTCTAGCCACTAAACTATCACGGATGATTTCTTGAAGAGGTTTGATGTTGCTTTGTTGTAACAAATATTTTCAATGAATTTTTTTCTCTAAGTTTACGTACTTTACATCTCATATGAGACATATTGGAGAATCTTAACCCATTTTAATAGATTTAAAGTCTTTTATGGATAGCTTTGGCTAATAAATTGGTGACTTTTGGGTCATTTAGATAGTAAGCTAATATTTTTTCAGTACAAAAGATACTAAAAATAAGAAGCACTATTGATCAGAGCTCCATTAATATGTTTAGTCGCGTATTTGGAGTCTATTATTACTAGTATATCAATGTTGCATACTTGGTTTACTGATTTACGGTTTTGGAAGATAATCTGAGCTTGTGAGAGGTGTACAGCACTAAAAATCAGTAGCCACGACCAGAATCTACTATTGTGGGTATTCGGCTGCACTAAAAGTATAAAAGTTATTAGGTGCTTAATTGTTTTGGAATTATTATGCTAGAAAACTTCATTTTTGAAGACCATCTCTTCCAACTTGCCGCGCAGTTCGATATCATTGCCCAATGAGATTGGCCCAGCCTATCTTTAGGTTATCTATATTGTAGATTATAATATACTTACTACTATTCTTCGCTTCCCATTAGCAAGAAAGAATTTCCTAAAAGCTTACCGTTCTTGGCTGGTTACCCCTGTAAGGAAGGCGAATTGGGTGCAACTGTCTCCAAAAACAACAGTAGATGAACACCAGAATGAGCAGTGCAAATCCAAGCCGATATCCCTAAAACACCACCATTTTAACTCTATCCTTAATGTGATTATGAGTTAGCTTCTACTCCGATAAGGAGCACGCAACCACATCTACGCACGTGATCTCTTCTGAGCTGAGCCATAACCTTACTCCGACTTCGCAGTTGCTCAGTCGATGATCCAAGACCAGCTTGTCGCCTACTGATTCGCTCTATCCTAATCCTGATAAGCTGCTCTGCTTTTCTTCCAAATGCTCACTCGATCTTCCCGGCAGAATCCAAACTGCTTTTTAAGGCTAACCAGATGCTACGCAACGGCTGCTGATGAGTCTATCAATCACTACGAACGGCTTGGGATCGCTCCCAACGCGTCGATCAAGGAGATCAAGATGCAATTCAAGAAGCTCAGCAAAAAGTTCCACCCAGATTTGAACGCACACCTCTCGCCAGAAGAAAAGGAGGCAAACAGCAGTAAGTTTGTCAAGATCGTTCAAGCTTACGATATCCTTAAGGATGTGAAACGGAAGAAGCAGTATGACCACGAGCTCAGAGTAGCTGGAGGACTGCCAATGCAGTCGATGCACAACCAAAGAAGATCGCCAGCTTCAGAATGGCACAACAAGTACTACGGAGAGGCCAAGTACTATTCTAGATCGCGTTCGACCCATGATACATACACTGCGTCGGGTCTAAATACCAAGCGGCACCATGTACACTATGGAGAAGGGTACGACGGATCTGCTCAGTCCAAATTCTCTGGGGAGCACAAGAACTACGGTGATCGCTTTGACGTACCCCATTTTGATTACAACCAACACTTGCTCAGAAACTTGAAGTTCGAACAACGAATGATCACCAGAAATATTTCCGACGACCAACGGAATAAGATTTTGAGCCAGTTAAGCAAACTGGGTGAAAAGTTGAGTGAAGAATTGATCACCAAGCACTTGATGCGGCACGTACACAATCGAGACTCGGAGCCGTCCTCACATTCCAACCATTCCAAGGGCAGGGCAGAAACGTACCAGGCAACTTCATCCTTTTCAAATCCCAACGCTCAGTACATGTACAGAGGCCCCCAGCTGTACGAAGAAGAATCAGGCAGTGCCGTATTCAAAACATTCATGGTGCTAGGAGGCGCAGGTAGCTCCCTTTACTTACTCTACAGCATTTTTCACTAGAGTAAATGACTTATGTATAAAGATCAATATATTATAGAATGACAGAGTGGAGAACCACTTCGATCATCGTAAAGTGGGGTCAGTACGATGATATATGTAATGTAAAGGACTAACTCTTACCTATCAAGGCGAATTCGTTATGTAATCCGTTCAGCTTGTGAATGACTCACGGTATAGATGAATAATTTAAGGAATAATGCCAGAATGCATAGCATTCAGTAGATTCGTCTAACGATCAACTTCTCCGAACACCAAATCCATAGTACCAATAATGGCAACAGCATCAGCCAACAAGTTACCTCTAGAAATGTGGTCAAAAGCACCCAAATGTGGGAAACCAGGAGCTCTGATCTTACATCTGTATGGTCTCTCTGAACCGTCAGAAACAACGTAGACAGCCATTTCACCCTTTGGAGCCTCGATGGCAGTGTAGGTCTCACCAGCTGGAACAGCGAAACCCTTGGTGAACAACAAGAAATGATGGATCAAGGCTTCCATATCTTCCTTCATGGCAGCTCTTGGTGGAGGAGAGATCTTGTAGTCTTCAACCTTGACTGGACCTTCTGGCATATCGTTTATACATTGGAAAATGATTCTTAAGGATTGTCTGAATTCAGCCATTCTGATCAAGTAACGATCGTAACAATCACCGTTAATACCGACAGCTACATCGAAGTCGACCAAGTCGTAGGCATCGTATGGTTGTGATTTTCTGATGTCGAATGGTATACCGGAACCTCTCAACATAACACCAGAAAGGGAGTAGTTCAAGGCGTCTTCAGCAGAGACAACACCGACATCAACGGTTCTGTCCTTCCAGATTCTGTTATCGGTGACCAATTCTTCGGTTTCATCGATTCTATCACCAAATTGAGTGGCCCACATGTAGATATCATCCAACAATCCAACAGGCAAATCTTGGGAAACACCACCTGGTCTAACGTATGCCGCGTGCAATCTGGCACCGGAGACACGCTCGTAGAACTCCATCAACTTTTCACGCTCTTCGAAACCCCAAAGGAAAGGAGTCAAACCACCGACATCCATAATATGGGACAAAACAGACATACAATGGTTCAAAACTCTGGTGATTTCTCCGAACAAGGTTCTGATATACTTGGCTCTCAATGGAACTTCAACGTTGAGCAACTTTTCCACTGCCAATGCGAAGACCAATTCGTTGGTCATCATAGAAACATAGTCCAATCTGTCAAAGTATGGCAATGCTTGCATGTAGGTCTTGGATTCTATCAACTTTTCAGTACCTCTGTGCAACAAACCGACGTGAGGGTCAGCTCTGACGATTTCTTCTCCGTGTAATTCCAAAATCAATCTCAACACACCGTGGGCAGCTGGATGTTGTGGACCGAAGTTTATGGTGAAATGTCTGATTTTGGAGTTTTGCTTTTCAACTTTTTTGGGGTCATCGTCACGTCCAAAGGTCATGTCGACTTCGTCCATGACCTCCGAGAAGGTGGTCTTGCCGAAAGTGCCTGGCTCGCCCGAGAATCTTTGGGCTGGCTGCCCCATAGCATTATGGAATGGTTTGGGTTCGGAGGAAGGGGCAGAGGCATTCAATCTGGAGACAGCACTGAAGTGTCTGACTCTGCCAACTCTGCCTAAGTTCCTTAAGGTGCTAGCTCTTAACATTGTGATGGAGGTGTTGGAGTATGGGAGACAAATTTTTGAAAAACGATTTGAAAATGAGGATTGTTCATTGGATAGAGATCACGCGCGCGTGAGCACGTGACCAGCACTATTCGTTCTCTCCACTCAGTGCGACCAATGGGGCCAATTCCGCTCTGTGAGTGGGTGGATTGGCTGTTCGCCGAGTGGCTTGGGCGGGATGTGGTAAGGATGTTTGGAGCGAAGCCAAACGCCCAAACTCGGCCGGCTGTCACGTGGGCCTTACCGCTATCAGAAGGCTTCCGTCACGCCTGTCGATACATAATATAAGGGTGCAATGTACGAAGGGCACACTGGGTGGCAGAGTCTCACACGACCCCAGATCACGTGACTGCTCACGTGCAGCCGCGCGTCTTGGCCCCAGCTATATATTCTCAGCCATTCCCACTGCTGAAAAAAGTCTTTACCAGCCCAGCTTGCCCAACTCCAAACCTTCCGTTCTCCAACCAGTGCCTACGTGTGACAGCCACTGGGACGTGAAAATTAACCCTACTATCGTGCCTCGCGTGCCTTTGTAGCTCGCCCTCCTTCCTTCCACCATGAGTTTTGCATCTAAAAGAAAACGAGATGAAGGTGGTGCAGAGCACACTAAAAAGACTCGAAATGGCGAGCTTCCCACCCAGGAGTACACCACCTCGGACGAGTGGCCCATCTACGCCCACCCAGAGGGGGGTATAGTCAAAATCACCCCATGGGGCTCGCTCAGACAGTACACCAACGACAACGGCGACCATATCACCAAGTTTGAGGATGTGTCGTTCGAGGACATCTCGTTTGCCAAGCCTGGGGCAGCAGGCACCACCCCGCAGGACGACTACATGCCTTCGACGCCCCAGTCGTTGTACAATAGCCAGCAGTACCAGCAGACCAACCACCAAGCCAGCTACAACCAGTCACAGCCCACGCCAGTGCGGCCCACCATCAAGCTCAGTCCTAGCGACGAGGCCGAGATGTATGTTGTTGATGGATACCGGGGAATGGGGCCTGGTGCTGTCACCCCTCCCCAGCAACAGGGCCAGTTCGAGCAAGAACACGAAAACTACTTTGGCATGAACGATCACACCGAGACCGAAGAGTTTGATTATTCCGATCTTCATCAGGACGGAGATGCGGAGATGTCATTGTAGCTGTATTATACTGTAAAATAGATGTACTGGTAAGAATAAATGTATTAGTGAAGAGATGTAGGGAATTTGGGTGCAGAGATGGGGGTCATCTGCGGTATTCTAGTTTAGGTGCTACTGTAGAACTATGGGTGAGCTTAGCAAATAAAATGGAATTTTGGTCTAGGTAATAGTCTGGAATACTGGGCGAGTCAGATGTACCTTCACAAATACTGGGAGAACGCTGGAACGGACAAGGAGCAGCGGTGAGTGAAGCAACCTGCACGTGAGCACCCAACTCTGTTGGGGCGGCCAGTGAAACATCCTGTACTGTTCCGCCAGGAAGGGTTGGTCCCAGTTGGGACCGCGCTTACGTAAGCCATCTCCGTTTCGGGGCATCTATTACCTGCGCCGCCTCTGCGTTATCAATGACGAAATAACGCGCGTAATTTGTGGTTTAGCCAAGCTCGTCAGATGAAACGCACCACCAGTTCTCCGCTTAGGGGGCTGGCCATTCGCCTCATGGGATATTGCTTCGCGTCATCCGGATGGTTAGAATTTCCCGCGTCATACGTGTGGTGTTTCCATGCCCCGCAGTGCCTATTTGAGCCTGTTTTTCTTCGCTGGGGTATTTTTCAGAATTAACACCGGTTATCGTACATGTGAAGCTGGTAGCGAATAGATAAGTATCAAGACGGGAGTCAATAGCAGCCAGTCCACGTTAGATAGTTAATGGCAAGCTGTGACTCAATGGAACTGTTCGTCCATGGAAACTGTAATTCAATGGGAACTGTAAGTCGATGATAACTAGTAATTGCAAGCTGCAAGTCAATAACAACTAGCAATGGTAAGCTGTAAGTCAATGTCACCCGGTCAATTCATACAATGTCAGTCAATTGCAAGCACTATATCAATGACACCTAGTAATGGCAGCTGCTCGTGCACGTATGTGTACACCATCTGTCATTGATCAACGAATCGCTCAATGAATGTACCAATAACGTAGCCTTTCCGACCTACAATCTCTCAATTGGAATACATTACTAACTAAACAAGGATCAACCTTACTTCTGCTCAGAGAGTTCCAATGGGGTCAAACGCAAGTATGGCTTGATGATTCTGAACTTAGGGAACAAAGTCTTGGCCTCTTCGTTGGACACTGATGGGTGCACAATCACATCATCTCCTGGAACCCAGTTGATTGGGGTGGTGACTCTGTGCTTGTCACCAGTTTGCAAGGAGTCAACGACTCTCAAGACTTCAGCAGTGTTTCTACCAGTAGAAGCAGGGTAGGACAAGATCAATCTGATCTTCTTCTTGGGGTCGATGATGAACACGGATCTGATGGTGAGCTGCACACCCTTGTCGTCGACGTTGGTGGCATCTTGGTAGTCGATCATGTCGTACAAGTGAGCAACCTTTCTTTCTGGGTCAGCAATGATGGGGAAGGTCAACTTGGAGCCAGTCACCTCATCAATGTCCTTGATCCAGGCCTTGTGGGAGTCGGTGTTGTTAGCAGACAAACCAATCAACTTGACACCTCTCTTGGCGAATTCAGGCTCCAACTTGGCGAAGGCACCCAATTCGGTGGTGCAGACAGGGGTGAAGTCGTCTGGGTGGGAGAAGATCACAGCCCAGCTGTTACCAACGAACTCGTGGAAGGAGATTGGGCCGTTGGAGGTATCGGCTTGGAAGTCTGGGGCGGTGGAGCCCAATCTTAAGGTGGTGTGTTCAGGCATTGAGCTAGTGAATTGGTTGAGGAATTGGCTAGCTAGGGCTCAGTACAGGCATTTATATAGTACGGGGTTCAAGGGTAAATTATCAGGATCACCGTATATCACGTGATATGTTGTGGGTATTGGCAGGATCGCCACGTGTAATGACGGGCAGGCCACAACAATAAGGGTCGCCGTACTCGAATGGGTATACGATCAGGCGACATGGCGGGGTGCATAATGGGGCGTTCATCTGGTGGTAATGTTGGAGTTCACGGTGGATTCGAGACAGGCATATTTGGTTCCCACAAAATTACCATTGCAGCCGAGACAGCTCATTGGCAACAATGGTATGGGTTTCAATGGCTCCACCGCCCAAGCAATGCCATGCCGCCGGCATTTCATGATTGTCGCTGGATTCTCGCTTCGATCCTAGGATTCTCTTGATCCCCGCGAGATTGTCGCTATTTTCCTCGGAGTCGATCGTCGCTATTTTTCGCAGTTTCTCCTAATCGCTATCCATCCGATTGTCAGAGGCCACAAGAAGCACCTCATTCTCCGGGTCCTCCGCCTCGAGATCGACGCCATAGTCGTCCAACCGCTCGCCCACGTCGTTGACCCATTTCTTGCGCTCCATGGTCGAGCGTGGATCGAGCCGTTTCTTCAACAACGAAATGTTTCTGTAGTCCGAGAGCTCGATATCGTCGGTACAAGTGTCGCGAACAAACGCGGTTTGCTCCTGGTGGCCACCATCTGGAGGCCACGGTAAGTTGAGCTGGTCGTCCTCAAGATACTTCGTTTTGGCGGGATGGTATCCGCTGGAGCTGGGCTCGCTCCACGGCATGAGCCAGGCCCAGGGGTAGCCCAAGATGGCAGTGAGGTTGTTCCACATCCCCAAGTCATAGGGAAAAACGAGGTCGTCAGGTGTGAAGTTGGGAGGCACCACCAGCTCGTCGACTGGAGCCGTGCCTGCTTCGTGGGCAATAGCCTCACGCTCGTCCATTTGCAGGAGCACTGCCAGGTGGTTCCATGACGTCAACTGGGGCATTTTGCGGCCATGGAGCGTGAGGTAGTTGCGATTGATCTGCGACCACATCCGCTCGGTATGGAACTGGTGCTCGATACGTTCCCACTCCCACACCTCGATCTGCGACATGCCTCTGCCCACCCAGTTGATGAGGCACCGGATGGCCAACACGAGGATGGTCAAGAACACGAATACGTCCACGGGAAGGAGAAACACCACTGCCACCAACTCGCGCTTGTCCACGAGGTACGACGGGAGTGCACGGTCGTGGTAGTACTGGAGTGCCACCAGGGCCAACTGCACCATGGCGAAGCCAGTGGTCCACAACACCCAGGCCAAAAACCGCAAGAAATGGCCCATGTTGCGGTGTCCCACGCAGTTGTAGGTCCAGGGACAGTGGTGGTCCATTTGCAACACGCACACGTTACAGGTCTTGCAGTGGTGGGCACGTTCAGGCTTGTAGTTCTGGCACTTCTTGCACCAGCGACGCCATTCGCCATGCTTGGGCTCGAAGTTGTGGGGAGGCAGCCCAGGGGGGATTATGATGGCGAGCGCATACGACACCCACACCATGGTGAGCGAGAACTGGAACCATGCCTGGGTGGAGGGTTCCAAGCGGGAGGAGAACACGAAGTAGTGGGAGCCGTAGCCGAGAATTGCGATCAATACGCAGGGGATCTGGGGTTAGTTTGGTGTCACGAAGTGGCCCAGTCGAGGGGAGACTTAGAGACGTGAAGGGGAAGAAGCGAAGGAGGAACGTGAAGGCGGAGACACGTAGTTCTGACAAACCTGAGAAGCCGTGAAGACTTGCACTGGAAAGACCCACAGCTGGGACGGTCCATTCTGAGCCTCTGTATTCTATCAGCTGGAGGGCCGGCAATACCTGAGTAGAAAGACTTGACAGGAACTGACGAGTCAACAGGCAAGACCAACAAGAAGCCCACGATCAGAACTGAAAGGTAAGACCTTCGAACTGAGAAAGCAGACGAAAAGCCTGACGAGTCGGCCTCTAGCTGGAACAACCTCGCAGCTGGACAGACGACAGAAGCCCAAGCGAGACCTCCCCGCCTGACGGACCGATCTGATAGACCAGCTGGAAAGACGACAGAAACCCAAGAAAGACCCCATAGCTGCTTCAGAATGCCAGGCTGGAAAGGTGACAGCAAGACTTCCCAGTCGTCTCCGGAGAAGTCCATGCACAGCCTCTGGAACTCGCAGCTGGAAAGTCTAACAAAAAGATGCCTGAGCTTACTAGACAGACCTCCAACCCTTACTAGACCTCTAGCTGTAAACCAGACCTCTTAGTTGGAAAGTAGACCTCTAGCTGCCCTTATTAGACCTCCAGTGGCCTGGATCAATAGTCTATCTTTTGACTTCACTCAGCCTTCTCTCTTACCTTAACTCTCTCTGATTTCACTCTATTCTCTCTGCCTCTGCCTCGCCTCCAATTCTGCCTCTGAATATCATCCATACGTACCACAACCCCAAGGATCGGCCATTTCAACTGCACAGCCATGCTGGATCTATAACGCGGTCGTCTCTTCTACTCCAAATCACCTTAGACTATAGGTCACGTGCGCCTCCCACCACCGTCGTTTTTCGCCTTTGACAATCACCGGTGGCAACCGCCAACTCTCTACACATTACATCAATACGCAATGGTACGTTAACACCCGTGTGATGCCATCGCAGTGGCCAATGGCGCCTCCAGAGCACATTGTACTAACAATAGACTTCAATCGGGACTGGATATGACTTGTCCAACAGTGTTTTCTCGCCAGGTATGTATCGGTAGAGAAGGAACCAGCGACTCGAGAGCGTTGCAAGAGCAGATCGACAGCATTGGTGATTGATCAACCACCCTATAGACACAATTTTGGCCATGTTTAGGAGCTCTACTATTACCATCAGCATATCTGCTCCAGATGTTTCTTGCAGGGTCACTGACAAACGCTTCATAGGCTCAGTACTAACAAGCAGACGGAAGAAACTTCCAAGTGGAATACGCCATGAAGGCAGTCGAAAACGGAGGCACATCCATCGGAATCAAATGCAAAGACGGCGTGGTGTTGGCGGTCGAAAAGATCATAAATTCCAAGTTGTTGGTTCCTGGCAGAAACAAGCGTATACAGACCATCGATAGACACATTGGGGTTGTGTACTCGGGTCTTTTGCCCGACGGACGCCATTTCGTGAATAGAGGACGTGACGAGGCCCAGTCCTTCAAGTCCATATACAAGACCCCGGTGTCTGTGCCCCACTTGATGGACAGATTGGGCATCTACGTGCAAAACTACACTTGTTACAACTCTGTTAGACCATTCGGGGTAGTCTCTATTGTCGGGGGTGTCGACGACAACGGCCCCCACTTGTACATGATTGAGCCCAGTGGAACATGCTGGGGATACTCCGGTGCTGCCACTGGTAAGGGCCGTCAAACCGCCAAGTCTGAATTAGAAAAGTTGAACTACGAAGAGTTGACGGTCAGAGAAGCCGTCAAGGTTGCGGCCAAGATCATCCACCAAGCCCACGAAGACAACAAAGATAAGGACTACGAGTTGGAAATCTCGTGGGTCTCTAAGGAAGAAACTGGTGGCTTGCATCAGTTTGTTCCTGAGGAGTTGTTGGAAGAGGCCAGAAAGCTCGCTGAGGACGACGAGGGCGAGGAAGACGAAGAGATGGAATCATAAGCCATAGATTTTAATCAATAAAAAATACGAAACTCACCACGGAACAACGGTCCAAGAAAAAGCCATGTAGTGTAGCTAGCCAAGAAGAGGCGCATCTACAATAACTGGAAAATGGAGCTACTTTCGATTGGCTAGCTGACAGTTCCGTTGAACGTCTTTTTGCGACTACAGAGTATGCCTAGAAGCAGCTCATGTAATGCAACAATACTCCACCTTTAGAGGTAGACCATATATACGACATACCTGAACACCGATAGTTTGTACTGTGGTAATATCAATAAGACACATCTACTTGATGTAAATCCTATACAGTAATTCCTCCCATATCAAAATCTTATCTATGTATTGTAGTCGTAGCTATTCATTCACTAATACGTACTTCCTGTTCTGTTTGAAACTATTCAGTCTAAGCTTAGCAGCCCTATCTAGTAGTTCTTCCTCTAACAGTCAGTAACATCCCTACCTATTAGTAGTAGTAACCTGTCAATAGTAATCTTTTCAGCAATAGGTTATAGACACTACCTGACCTATGTAGTATATAATATAACTCCTAGCTGTCGTAATACTACTTGACACATTAAGCGGGCTAATCTTACCTGTCCAATTTCTTAAATTTATTCAGTCCTAGTCAGTAACTTACTGTCAGCGAATACTACTAATCCAGTAATACAATAACGCACTCTGTCTGTTCGATTAATCCGTTCCTATTGAGTAATATTCCTATTAGCGTGTTTTTCCGTACTAGTCCTCCTCCTAGTCAGTGATATTCTCAGTCTTATCCCACCTATCACTAATAATACTCTCAGTCTTATCCCACCTGTCACTAATAATACTCTCAGTCTAATCGTACATATTTACTAATATTACTTATTGTAAATACTATACTCCCTATTGACCTACTCATTGTCAGTACTACTCCTTCTTATTCACTAATATTACACATTGTAAGTATTACTCCTTCCTACTCATTAATACTTCCCAGTAATACTTCTCCTAATCTTCGTAGTACTACTCCCTACCTCACTTTATCCCATGCTCGCTTCGCAGTTACGCGAGATCCAAACCCAAACAAATGAAACCAGCTGGAAACCATCCCGTAACCGAACTCCACATTTGGCCTCCCACAACCTTGCCTTCCACATCCACGTCTCACCATGGTCAGCATGACCCACGCTGACGACAGCGAAACCCTCAATGTCTCCGACAATGGCAGCGAGTTGTATGGGCTACGCGACAACACCTCTAGTCTCAACAGTGAGGATTCAGCCTCCAGTCCGTTCATCACCGACCCCAACATCCACACCAAGACTGAAGACGCCAGTCGCCTCGAGCTCCTGAAGGTGTTGGAGCCAGCGCTGCACGACAGCGAATCAGAGCAGTTTCAGGACGCCTCCGACGTCATGGCCCCCAACACCAGCCACGAGATGTCACAGGCATCACACGCCAATCCCAACGTCACCTTGGAGGAAATGGACGCAAGCATAGCCAGCTTACGCGAGTCCTTGGCCAACATGCGTGCTGGCGAAGACAGTAGAAAGGAGCCGGATTTCCACAACTCTACCATTGATACCACCCGTTACAACGACACCCAGGCCCAGTTGGACCAGGACATCAGCTTTGAGAAGCCCATGACATTCACCTCCTCCAGACCCAAAACCTCGTGGAGAAAGTTCAGGTCCTCATACACCCCTCAGGAGCAATCGCTCTCATTCAACCCATCACACGCAGCCAAAGCCAGTATCACCCTGCGAAACTCGTTCCAGCCACAGGACGCCTCTACTGCGTCCAAGGTGGACGACCTCAACAAACAAATAACGGGGTACCGTATCCAAATCAAGTTCTTCAAACAATTCTTGCAGAACTTGATAGACAAGAGCCGATCGGGTTCCAACAAGGAAAACGACTTTTTGGATTTGGACGAGTTGACCCGCTTCCAGCAGAGCTTCAATGGCCTTTCGCCATTCAAGACTGAAGAGACCACCAAACTAGAAACAGACTACAATACGTTGTTGAGTAATTACGACGAGATCTTCAAATTAAACGAGGATTTGTACGAGAACTTGGAAGCATTCCAGTCACAATTACAAGCGAAGGAAACCCAGGTCCATCAATTGAACGAATACATAGAGGCATGCACCCAAATAGTCAACCTGATCCTTGGAGTCTTGATTCAAAATCCAAATACTGATGCTCGTACCAAAGAAGCGTTGGCCAGATGCATGGATACCGACAACTCTAGCAGGCCCCTTGAAATAAAGCTACAAGTTATAAGTTTTGAATTCGGTCAGCTATTGAATAATTCGCCGGTAAAGTCAGTACCGATCCCACTTAATACGGGAAATCAAGAGGAAACTCAAAATCACATAGCTATAATCAAAGAGTTGATAACGTCAATTGACCATTTGGAGGAGAAATTTTCTGCTCAAAGAGCAGAGACTGCCAGACTAGAGAAGGATTTAAAGGATGAAGTGGAAGAAGCACAGAAAGTCAAGAAGAGCTATAAATTGATAAGCGAAAAGTTTCAAACCTTATGCCTGACACTTGAAAAGAGCGATACATATAAGTATTCCGAAGAACTAGAAAAAGTTCAAGCAGAGAACGCTAAGCTCAATGCTATTAACAATGCCGTGGACGCCAAGTTTGACGAATATCAAAGGATAGTTGACAAACTTCAGCTTGAGGTAAACGAATTCAAAGAATTTTCCAAAAATACGGCCCGTAATGGTAGCATTACAGAAATTCTGGGTGTTAATTCAACAAGGTATACTATGGAAGACCAAGATCTTCAAGGCGAATTACTTGAGTCTCATAAAGCATTGAGTGAGTTGCATGAAGAGCTCAATGATATAAGTGAAAAGTATCGCAAGCTTCAAGAGGAATCCTCGAACACAATTTCCTCCTTGACTGACCAGTTACACCAAGGGCAACAGGAAATAATGCATTGGAAAGCAGAAGAAAGAGTGACAGAAAAGTCCAAGAAGGATCTTGATATTGCAGTGGAGAAGCAAAGAATATACAAGTCAGAAAACATACGGCTTGCCTACAAAGTGGAGTCACTTACCAACGACAAACAGTCCTTGCAATCAACTATACGAAGCTTGACCGACAAGGTGACTGCATTAACAGTAGGGGAGACGAATGAACACTCTGATGCTCATAAGAGATTGAATGTTCTAGAGTACCAGTGCAAGGAGCTTTTGGCTGTGGATGTGCATGAGTTCCACAAGCTCTTGAAGTCGTTCAATAAAATAGCGGATGATTCTTCGGTTAAAGATCCATCAAGAAAGTTGGAAACGTTATCCAAGAAACTAGTCAAAATGGATGAGACGTCACTTGATAGTTCCGACCTCAATTATATGAGAGAGCTCCACAGGTCCATATTTGACTACTTCGCAAGAGCTGTGGAGATGATTGTCAATGACCATGTCAAGCTACTTTTGAAAGAGTCAGAGGGTAGTCTACAGAACAAGGAGTATATCGATAAACTCCACCGGCGTATTGACGAGCTCAACAACCTTAACGATTCTTTCAACAGACTGGGGGTGGAAGACCTGACCGAGGTAGCGGAATCAGACTCTCCCAGAACAAAGCTACGGATGGATGAGTTGTGGAACCGTTGGAAGTCAGAAAGAGAAGCTAGGGTTTACGAGAGCAAACAGGCCAACAGGAGGCTCAAGGAGCTAGAAATGGAGAACTCCCGGCTTCGAGCAGAGCTCGTGAAGGGAAATAGCTAGCGAACATAGACGAGTTACTCTTAGCTGCATATTAAGGAGCTACATGGAGCTTGTGGAAGCCAGCAAGGACAGTCTGATTTTAGTACTCAGCTGCTACCAATAAGCCAGTTGTAAATGCAACAAAAACTATGTTGTACATGCCAGGAGAATTCACAAGAATTATGTCCACCCAGATCAGTGCCATAGAAACTAAATTGCGACGAGAAGATAGTGTATAAAAGTGTAGAACCTAGAGGTGGCAGTTCCACCACGCGGTACCGAAACTGTTCGCAAGTCGCGTGAACCGCCCCAGAATTCTCGCCAGACTCCGCCAGACTTTTCCGAATTTCTCACTGCGACTCTCGCTAGATCGCATCACCAAATCACTCAGTCGCGTACCACAGCGAGGTCGGACTTCCACTTATTGGATGATCTCGCATTTCCTCTAACCGTGGCAGTAACACCATCACGGATCGGGGTAGCCTAGAACCACCTCTCACCAGTAAGACCCTTCCTACCATCGCCGTAGCCTCCCTCCTACTTGTCCTCTATCTAGCTGGACCAGGAACATCTGCCCGCGCACGCCCCGCTACCATAGAAAAATTTTTCACCACTAAGATAGACCCGTTATCAACCACATCATGGACAACTACGAAGAACTCGAAAAGGAGATCAGATTGGACGACATCGACTTCTCCGACTTAGAGGAAAAGTTCGAGGTCAACGTCGGCTTGGACAACTTCGTTGTCGTCGACGGCGCACCAATTGCCCCAGAAGCTAAAGCCAGTCTTTTGACCAACTTTATCAGAAAGAAGTTGAGCACGGTGGGAGAAATCGTCGAAGGCGAGGAGGGAATCCACATGCCCATCGAAAACGGACAAACCAAGGGCTTTTTGTTCGTGCAATACACCACTGCCGAGCTGGCAGACGCTGCTGTGAAACAATTGAACGGTAAGCCATTAGACAAGAGTCACAACTTGAAGATTAACAAGTTGGCCGATATCGAGAAGTACTGCACCGAAGGCAACGTGGCCAACGAGTTCCAGGAGCCAGAATTGCCGCCATTCAAGAGTCACGGCTACTTGAAGTCGTGGTTACAAGACGACGCTGGAAGAGATCAAATCGCCTTGCACTTCTCCGAAACCGTGGGTGTTTACTGGAACAAGAAGAACAACGACCCAGAGCCCGTCATCGAGCCAAGAAAGGCGTTCACCTCCAAGTACGCCAAGTTCTCGCCAAAGGGTACTTTCTTATTCTCAATCCACCCTCAGGGTATCCAGTCCTGGGGTGGTGCTGACTTCCACAGTGTGTCCAAATTCATCCACAACCAGGTGCGTTTGGTGGACTTCTCTCCAAATGAGAAGTACATGGTGACTTTGTCGCCATTGCCCATTACTGTTCCTGACAGTGCTGCTGAAAGAGCCCACTTCCCGTTCGGACCTGAGAGCGAGGGCCACAAGTTGGTCATTTGGGACTTGGCCACTGGTGAGCCTGCCAGAACCTTCGCTTTGCCTCCATACTTGGAAAGCCAAAAGGAAATGCCATGGCCTTTGGTCAAGTGGTCTTTCGACGACAAGTACTGTGCTCGTCAAGGTCCAGGAGCCTTGGCCATCTACGAGACCCCAAGCTTCAACTTGTTGGACAAGAAGTTAGTCAAGATCGATGGATTAATGGACTTCGAATGGGCTCCAGCTGGTGTCCATCTTGCCAACTCCAAGGTGGAGAACGGTGAGCATGTCTTGTCGTACTGGACCCCAGAAAGCACCAACCAGACTGCCAGAGTAGCGTTGATGCAAATTCCTTCCAAGCAGGTGTTGAGAACCGTCAACTTGTTCCAGGTCAGTGACTGTAAGATGCACTGGCACGACGAAGGTAAACTCTTGTGTGTCAAGGTTGACCGTCATACCAAGTCGGGTAAGACCCTCTTCACCAACTTGGAGTTCTTCAAGACCACCGAAAGAGATGTGCCAGTTGAAAAGTTGGAGTTGAAGGAAGTGGTGGTGAATTTTGCATGGGAACCAAAGTCCGAAAGATTCGTTATCATTTCTTGTTTGGATGACGGCACTCAGAACGCAGCCTTTGCTAAGAACTCGATTGTTTTCTACGCTCCTGATGCCAAGGCTAAGGGTAAGGTCACCAGCACCACCTACAAGGTGCAGCAGAAGTTCGACACCAAATACTCCAACACTATCGAATGGTCGCCAAAGGGTAAGTACGTGGTGGTTGCCACGATCTCCAGAAGTCAAGGTGAGCTTGAGTTCTACGACGTCGCTTTCGAAGAAGAGAAGAAGAAGACTCCAGGCACCAACGTCAAGTTGTTGAGAACCGACAAGTTCTCTGGTATGACCAACTTGGCCTGGGACCCATCAGGAAGATTTGTTGCTGCTTGGTCGTCCTCTTGGTTGCACACCATTGAAAACGGTTACAGATTATACGAATTCACCGGTAACTTGTTGAAGGACGAGTCCGTTGACCAATTCAGAGAATTCATCTGGAGACCAAGACCTGCCTCCTTGTTGTCTGCTGCTGACAGAAAGAAGGTCAGATCGAAGTTGAGCGAGTACAGTGCCCAATTCGAAGAAATCGATGCCATGGAGGCCGATGCTGCTGTCAGAGAAGCCATCTTGGCCCGTCGTAAGGCATTGGAAGAATGGAGAACTTACAGAGCCCAGTACGCTGGCAAGGCTGTCAAGACCAACGAGGTGCAGGCAGAAATTATCGAAGAAATCAAGGAGGAGATCTTCGAGGAGAAGGAGGAAATCGTCGAGTAGTGTATAATAGTATACTTGCATTAGAGAATCGGTGTAGACTTGTAAGGCAGTTTGAAGAATGGGAACGGAAGGACCATTGCTTGTATGGTAGTGTCAGATATAGCTCAGATAGGTGTACGTAACAGAGTCAGTGCTTGCAGGGCCAGAAAGAACTGTGTTGATATCTTGGTTATTGTCAAACCCGCNTAAATGTTATTTAAAGATTATGTTTCTGATTCGTGAATTTATAAAAGTTCTGCTATAGTACTCTGTTGCACTTTTGTATAATTCATTCAATAAGTGGAATAGGAAATTAGGATTACTTTGTTTCACATCTTCTAACTCGCTTGTTTTTATTAGTTCTCTATCACCTTAGATAGCACTATATACAATATTTTGGTGTCTATATTTTTTATGGGATGATCCAGTACTGGATATCTAAACTTTTGGAGTTTTGGGGACTAGGGTACTTTTCCTGGCAGCTTAATTGTAACTCGAAGTTACCCAGGGACGCTTTTTCAATCTAACATCCTCTCAGACAGACTTGGTCTGTAACTGCAACCCGTGCCACTGGGCGATTTCGTCCTTCAACACCTCATTGACTAAACGATGCTGCTTGATCATGGGAATGCCCTTGAACTTGGTGCTTTCCACGGAAATGGCAAACATGGACCCACACCCTCCAGACACATCTTTGACCTGTAAATTCTTAGGATCGAATTCTTGCTTCAAGATGTTGTAGATCTTTTCCTCATAGGCGTCCATGGAAGGGGCAGAATAGAAGCGCAAAGCTCTTCCGGTGAAAGCCGAGCGAGCAGGAACGCCTCTCATCAAAGTCTTCGTAAACATGCTTCTCATCTTGGTGTGGAGAGATTAGTAACCGGCGAGTCTAATAGGTGCGATGGATGGCTCCCTTACGTAAGCTGCGACCCCAGGTTACATAATCCAACCTGGTGATAGAGGCAACCACCCACCAGTAGCCGACCCTAAACTGACTCGACGGGCCATTGTTGCCACCAGCAGATCCTACACAGATATTTTCCGACCCTCTTAGCTGCTAGTGCCCCCACCCCCGTGACTTTTCCTATGATGGCCGACACTCTTCGAGTAGTTGTCTGTGGAGATGATTCAGTGGGTAAGTCGTCATTGATCACTTCCCTAATCAAGGAACAGTCGGTTTCAAGCGTGCTGACGATCTTGCCACCCATAACAATCTCCAAAGCAGACTACACCAACAGCATCGAAGGAGCTGACGCCAAAAAGAACCCTCGGAAGGGAGACAACACTCCAGCCAACAGGGTGATTCTGCAACACATTCCTAACAAGACGGTGGTGGTCGACACTACTTCCACAGATATCGTATCACTCCAGAAGGAATTGAAACGCGCAGACGTGATTTGGCTCGTCTACTCCGACCACTACACCTACGAAAGAATATCGTTGCACTGGATGCCCATGTTCAGATCGATGGGAGTCAACTTACCGATCATCCTATGTGCTAACAAGTCCGATATCATCCCCAAGGGTACGTCCATCAAAACCCTGAACTCTGACGAATTTATCCCATTGATAAACGAGTTCAAAGAAATAGAAGCATGTGTGCGGTGCAGCGCCAAGACCAACTATAACGTGGTTGAGGCCTTCTATTTGTGCCAACGAGCTATTACCCACCCCATATCGCCTATTTTCGACTCAAAAGAGGGCAATTTGAAGCCAGCAGCTATAGCAGCACTCAAAAGAGTATTTTTCCTCTGTGACAAGGACCAAGACGGATATCTTGATTACAAAGAGTTTTCTGATCTTCATGTCAAGTGCTTTGAACGGGATTCAAGCTCAGAAGAATTCGACAACATTATTTCGTCCATAAATGCTGTGATATTTCCGGAGGCCAAGGCCTCCAAGAAGATCTCTGAAGATGGATTTATTCTCCTCAACAAGATGTACGCAGAGACTGGTCGCTATGAGACCGTATGGGGTATATTGCGGGCTTTCCATTATACGAATTCGTTGTCGTTGAATGACAGATTTTTGTTCCCACAATTGGACGTAAACCCCAATTCAAGTGTTGAATTGAGTCCTACAGGATACAGATTCTTGGTCGACTTGTTTTTGAAGTTTGACAAAGACAACGATGGAGGGCTCAATGAGGAGGAATTAAACAATTTATTTATTCCCACCCCAGGAATCCCCATGCTTTGGCAAGACTCACAATTCCCAGCTTCGATCGTGTGCAACGAAGAAGGCTACGTCACCTTGCAAGGATGGTTGGCTCAGTGGAATTTGACCACATTTCTTGAGCACAAGACCACGCTCGAGTACTTGGCGTACCTTGGATTTGATGATGGTGCATCGATCAAGGCCATTAAAGTGACCAAGCCTCGAAAGAGAAGGCAAAAACAGAGTAAGTTCTATCGCCAGGCTGTCAACGATCGAAACATCTTCAATTGCTTTATTTTAGGTGCACCCAAGGCGGGAAAAAGCTCTTTGTTGGAGCTGTTTCTTCGTGGATCATACAGCGACGTCTATAACCCCACCATCCGTCCCCGGTTGTGTGTGAAAGACATCGAATTAAGAGGTGGAAAGCAGTGCTATTTGATTCTAGAAGAGCTAGGCGAGCTTGAGCCAGCCATCCTCAGCAACCAGCTGAGATTGGATCAATGTGACGTTATCTGCTACGCCTACGACTCCTCCGACCCCGAATCCTTCCAGTACTTGGTTGACTTGAGAAACAAGCACTCGCACGCATTGGATGAGATCCCATCGATATTCGTTGCTTTGAAGGCAGATCTCGACAAGCAGCAGCAACGTTCGGACGTGCAACCAGAGAACTACACCAGAGACCTCTTCCTCAACTCGCCTCTCCACATCTCGTCTGCCTGGACCACGTCGCTCCATGAGCTTTTTATCCAGTTGGTCGATGCTGCGAAAGCTCCCAGCACAGCCACCCCTGGTCTCGAGACAGAGCCCGAGTCCAACGAGAACGAGAACCTCAAGCACATTGTAATGGCCGGAGGGGCTCTTACCATCATGACGGCAGTATCCATCTGGATATGGAGAAGCTCGCTCCAGAGCTCACGAGCATAATGATATTGGGTCGTGCGCACCCACCAGTTGATTTTTCAAGCTCATCGGATTTTTGAGAAGAGCTAAAAGATCCACTCCACATCCGCCTCCAGACACCAAAATGAGCGAGGAAAAGCAATACAAGCCAGTGACAGTCGACAAGCCTATCCCCAACACATTTGACTTGGGAAACTTGGCCACCTTCGACACCAACCCCCTCGATAATGCGTTGTTGAAAGATCCCAACACCAGAGAAGAGCACTTAGCATCGGTCACCAGAGACAACTTGCAGTTGTTGGTCAACCAATTGTTGTCGTTGCCCGTCAAGACCACCAGCGATACCCATGGACTGTCTACGGGCCAGGACTCTACCATGACATTGATACAGTTGCCAGACCCAATAACCGAGTTGCCCCGTGAAAAGGCGATTCCAAAGGCCAAGGCCCCTACCAAGTGGGAACAGTTTGCTGCTAGAAAGGGAATCAAGGCCAAGGCCAAGGACGGAAAGATGGTGTTCGACGAAGACAAGGGCGAGTGGGTGCCTAAGTGGGGCTACAAGGGTAAGAACAAGGAGTTGGACAACCAGTGGTTGGTTGAGGTTAGCGATAAGGTGAAGAACACCGACCAGGAGTTGATCGACCCTAGAACCTTGGGCAGAGCTGAGAGAAAGAAGTTGATCAAGAAGAACGAGTTGCAGCATAAGAGAAACTTGAAGAACCAATCGCAATAAACAACCCACGCGGGTGTCCCTGAGCGGGACTGTGTCGATCAGCCACTGTGCCTGGTCTGGCATCATCATCTACATCTATTTCTACATACCTGTATATTAATGAACCATTTAGCAGTAGATCAGATGTAGTGAGGAGGATGATCCGTAACTTGGAAGTCGAGGCGCAGTGATTATGGTGAATATCCGTAATTTAGCAGACCAGGAGAAGTGAAGTATTGATGTTATTCTGAAAATCAGCAGTATCTCAGAAGTATCTGTCTACTAATTGACCATCTACCCGTAGACCAGAATCGACCATGTTATTATTTATTAATTTAATAAATTCATTCTTTAAGTTTATCGTACGGATTTTTAATCTTGGGTAATTTCGAAGAGACCGTAGTAGACATCTATTCTGGTGCAGATTCTTTTATTTTACCGGTCCACCATTCAGATGTGGTCCGAACCCTTTATATTGATACGAATTACTAGTAGATGTTTACTGCCATCTAGAGAAAGAGTATTGACGCAAGAACTTATCTGCAAAAAAACGGTGCTGTCAGAAGTAGACACATGTCGTCTGCGAAGAAGGGTGCTGGAAAGCCTATACTTGCATGGTTGACCAGTCTACCTGTGTGGTGGTGGTGACCCCTGACGTAGCGGTACTGCACACAGTCCGATATAACTGACTGGCCCTGTGTTCCATCTCCAGCAACAACATGAGTGAAACGTACTCCCCCGAGAAGTACCTACCAACGATAGATGTACGTGGCACCGCTATGAAGTAACAGGGATGTCGCCAACACTAATGGGTGCAAAAGTGCCCGAATCGGAAACCTGCAATGGGGCTGATATTCATTTGTGCTCGAATGGTGCTGATTCACAATAGTACCAGTAACAATTGTTCATGATCTTACCAACCGGCAGAACTAACATCTAGGCGATTCTTGGCGTAGCGGACCTTGAACAGATCACTGTCAAAAAAATCCGGAATGCGTTACAAGAGCTCTTTGGGGTGGACCTCCTGGACCATAAAGTACGTAGTGGTGGATAATGGCAAACGCTGGCAGAAAGACCACGAAATGCAAAATGCAGTAACACCTGACTGCAACACTGGAATCCTACTAACATTCAGAAAGAGATCAACGAGTTCATATTGGCTAGATACTACGACCTTATAGACAGGCGAACCGAGGAGGAAAAGTCGGAAAAAGAACGCAAGGAAGAGATCGAAAAGCTGGACGCCTTGTTGGCTGCGCGGCTTCTGAAGTCCGAGGTGTCCGGGCCGTTGATGAGAGCTCGACGCCAGAACAGGGTGGTTAAAAAGGCCCGTGGGACGGGCCAGAGTACTGCCAACAACGCAGGCTTCAACCGCGAAATGGTGCTCTCTCCTGAGCTCCTGGTGGTGGTGGGACTGTCCAAGATGTCCAGACCGCAGGTGGTGAAGGCTATGTGGGCATACATCAAAGCCAATGATCTTCAGAACCCAGACGACAAGAGACAGATCGAGTGTGACTACCTGTTGCAGGGAGTTTTCAAGAAGAGTGAGTATAGGTACAGGCTGGTGATGGTGGATTACACTGGCTGGTGGTGGTGGATCACTTCATGGCTGGTGATGGGTACATAACCAGTGATATCAATCACATCACAGAGGGCAATATCCATTGAACTTTACTAACGTTTAGAAACGGTGGGAGCGTTCGAGATGAACAAGATCCTCAACAAGCACATTTTCAAGCCGGAAGAGGTGCTGAGTAACGGGGTCAAAAAAGAGGCCACTTACGAGAGCGACGAGGATTCGGGATAAGACTCACGAAAGTCACCCAGAGCTCCGTTTGTATGATTGTAGTATAGAATAAACGATAGCACATGTCAGGGACCGGTGGGGTACTCGTCTAGGTCACGTGCAGAAACACACGTGATCAGGTCCTCAAAGGCGCCAGCAGCACCAGTTCTCCACCACTACCAATGCTTCCCAGGCTCAAAGATGGCGGTCCAAACGGTGCTGGCTCCGTTGGGAGTCCCAACGGACGCGCCCAGAGCTTGGCATCGCAAGTGATTTTGCCAGACGACGCCGCCTATAAGGGGGTGGACATCGAAAAGCTCTACGAAAGCGTGTTGAAGGTGTACATTCTAGAATATGTGAACGAAGCCCGTTTCAGAACTCCCATAGTCGAGCCTCGGTTGACGTCCACCACCTCTGGTGGATCGGGAGGCTCCGGCAGCACCGGATCCGGCAATAATGCCTCCAACTACTCCAAATACTACCGAAGCTCCAAGGTCTTTGATGTGCAAGATCCCAAGCTTCCAAGCTACTTGCTCTCAAGCCTTGAATCGAAACTTAATGTGATAGCGATGAAGAATGGAGGAAACTACGACGATATGACCAGAAGATCATTGTTGCGATTCTACAGCGAGCTTCTAGATCCCACATTCAAGAACGACATCTTGCGAGTGAACAAGCCAGAGTACTTGGTGATGAAGTTCGTCTCGTCTGCCAACAAGGAACTCGTGAAGATTGGCACTATACCCTCCAACGAAATCAGCGAGGCCGTCTTCAAACAAGCTGGCAAGTTTGTGCAATTGTTGATTGGATTGATCAAGAAGGACAAAGACAGTGATGCAATCATTGCCAAGTTACAGGAAAACAAGGAGTCGCTCAAGCCCAAAAAGCCAGTTTCCGCAGATACTGGCTCGGAGACTCCTACGAACGTACAGTACCCCAAACCTTCGTTCAAATTGAACGATATGGACCAAAGCATCATCAAACTACTCAAGAGCCTCTTCTCAGTGGATCTGATCAAATTGCAGCAAGACATAAATAAATGGAAGACTTTGGTGCTGCAGAAAACTTTGCATAAAGATCTCCAACAGGTGACGTTTTACTTGGGAAAGAACTTGGGCCAGTTATCGGCCAAGAACTTTGAAACTACAGACGCATACCATGACTGGAAGAATCGAGAGGAAGAATCATGCAACCAATTGTTGAAGAAATACCAAGTCCCTCCAGCTATGAGATTGTTACCCGTGCCAGAAATCCCTTCGGGAGAAGATTTCTATGTGTTACCAAGAACCCAAGCCCTCAAAAAATACTATGTGGTTTTGGTCAAGTTGTGTTTTGAGTTGGAGCTTAAAGAAAGCTTCAATAGCATTTCGGATCCCGATAAACCATTGTTTCCAAAAACTTCTTCCAACCTTTTGACAACTTGTGCCAGAGTGTGGAGAATAAGTGTGCCAACAAGGGCAGTTGCAATTTTTACAGCCGCAACATTGACAGGTATAACCAAGGATAAGTTGATCAACGATCCAAGCGAACTTGCACCTATAGATTTGGAGGCATCCAAGAAAATATTTCATTTGTGTAAAATCACATTGGAAAACGGTGAAATGGACTGGGAAGATAAATCTGTATGGTCCATCCAGGATCAAGAAGAATGGGTCAAGAACTTGATGAGCACATATAATGAAACCTTCTTTTCCATCAAAGATTCATTGCTGTTGATTTTCAGCAAAACCGTGAAGCCCAAGTTTGGTCCATGCTTGACATTCTTAGGTGAATATTTGGAATCAGACAGTCTTTTCCCCAAAATAGAACAATCGGGATTGGTTAAAAAATGGGAGAAAAAGCTTTCCAAAGCATTGTTGAGGTACTCCGAGGTTCGTTACGCTGAGCTTTTGGCGAATTTACCTCGTGATGACACATTGAGCATCATACATGTACTCAATATTTGTGATAGTATGATTGAAGATATAAAAATGCTTCAGAAAAGGTACAAGAACCCACTTTTGGGCTTCTTGGATGTCAAGAGAACTGTGGCTGCCGTCGTCATTGCTATGTTTGCTGCTGATGCCAAAAATATTTTGAGGCACATTGATAGCTATGCTAAGAACAAAGGAGAATTTATACCCTATGGAGATGCTTTGGAGGTTTATAGGGCTCTTAGCGAAATCAGGAGTATTTATGCACAGGTCGCCACCTCCAAGTCTAAGTTTCAATTTGATTTGGAGAAGTTCTTCTTCCCATTCCTAGAATCTTGGGTTGAGGAGAGTGGAGAAAAGATTCAGGGTATTGTCGAGCAGGCAATCAAGAATGATAATTACGAGGCCATTAATCTTGAATTTGACGATAAGAAGTTTTCGTCAGCAATTCTAGACATTTTTACTCTCATAAAGGAGTTTTTGAAGATATTGAATGGCTTGAATTGGGCCAATGAGTACCATTTGTCAAAGGTGTTTACTACGTTATTGAAGAGTATATCTGATGGTGCTCTCTACTATGCCAATCACATTTCAGACAAGATTATGAAAGAATTGGATGAAGAGGAACAAAGGAAGTTGGCGCAGCAGGAAGAAGATGCTAAAGGTGATTCGAAAAAAACTGGCAGTAACTGGTTTGATGAAGTGAAAAATGTGGTTTCCAACATGAACAACAATCCCAGCAAATTGCTCTTGGAAGAGCCATACAATTTCATGCCAAAGACATGCGTAGCTTTGAACAATTTGTCGGCTATGATGCAACAGCTTACGAAATTAGAAGACGTTTTGGATCCTGAAATGATTTCCCAATCAGTTGCTGCATTCGATCCTAAATCACAGCACCAGTACACCAGTCACATCTTCTCGTTGAGGCTTATCAAAGCAGAAAATTTGAGACCATCGGTATCATCCTCGTCCTCAACTAGCTTGCGGCCATTTGTAACATTAATTGACACCAAGGCCAAGAGAACCATCGGCAAGACCAGAACTATCAATAACACCGCAGACCCGGAGTGGGATGAAGAGTTTGAATTGACTCTCCCTCCAAATTCATCATTAACAGTTTCTGCTACCGTGTGGAATGAGAAGTTCGGTGGTTACTCAGTATGTGGAAGGGGTTTGATCCAGCTTGATCCGAGAAGATTCAAGCATGATGGTATTCCACAGGAAATATACTTGGATTTGGATACTCAAGGAAGATTGCTAGTCGAAGTTGCAGTTGAAAGTGAAAGGGCAGATGCCATTTTCGTAATGGGAAGAGCACATAGAACCCTAAAAAGATGTCAGGAACGTTGCATTAAGCGTATTGTTGAAAAGGTGTCCAGATTTATACACTATTGCTTCTCTAGAGCAAACTTGAAGTCAATTTGTGGCAATAACGGCCAACTTAAACCCACACAAGATCAAATGGACAACGCCATGATGCCGTTATACAATTATTTAAACATGAACCTCCAAGTGCTAGCCGAATTCTTGACAAAAGATCTATTGTTGAAGGTCATGTTGGCAGCTTGGAATGTGGTAGTTTCGTCTGCAGATGTCTTACTATTACCAAAGCTTTCCAGTGCAAAGACCTTGAACTTGCCAAATTTTAACTCCAACTCGAATGGGGCAACCGGTGGTGGTTGGCAATCTGCTGTTTCATCCGCAGTAGCAAACGTTACCAATTCTATCGGTATTATGGGTTTTGGGAACCAGCTCACGAACAACGAGTTGGAAACTGTGTTCTCGTGGCTCAACTTCTTATGCTTCGATTTCTTCCACAATGATGGGAATGGTCCACCTGTCAGGGATTTGAAGAATGAGCAATACCAAGCATTATTGCTCCTTCCAGTTTATTACGATAGGGATGTCCACTTTTTAACTCAAGAAGTGGAGAGGCTTTCGCCTGCGTTCGTCAGATCACTTCGTGACAGGAATAATTTCGATAGTGACCATACCACTACGGACGAAGACCATCCCAAGAGAAGTCTCTCTAGAGCCGGTAGCATCTATAGAAACAAGACAATTCTGGCCAATGCTACTGCCAAAGCCAGAGCACAAGCTGCAAAAGATGCTCAAGAGGCGAGATCGGATCCGATTGCTGCTCAGACATTGGCTGAAGATATTATCTTAAGACTCTTGATCTTGAGGGATGAAAAAGCATTTGTGGCACGGAGGCTAGATCAAAGAGAGAGGTTGGCCAGAAGCATTGCTACCGAGAGATTAGCAAGGGCCGCAGCAGAGGGAAGGTTTCATTAAGGAGCATGCCACACCAGTACTCACCCTGGTGCTTGCATTCTTATGACACTTTCTTGTGTGCCCTCGTGTACAGCTTTGTAACATCAAGATTTCATGTCTTCATTTGCTAGTATTTCATCGCGCTCATATAGACGTACACAATTTTATTAATATAAGAAGAAATAAAGAGGTTAATAACTATACATTTTTACTTTGGGCATATTCAGAATTAATCGCTATCGGGCTTTTTAGCAGATTCTGAAGGGGCTGAAGTAGTTTCAGTTTGGACTTCACCAATCATCGACGCATCGTCCTGGTTGACAGTAGTCTCATCATTCGTAGTATCATTAGCATCCTGGTGAATAGTGGTATCGTTGTTGTCCTGAATGACAGTAGAATCGGCATCATGAACAATTGGCTTGGAAGGTTCGGGAACCGCAGCTTCCTCCTTGGATACGGCAGCAGCGACTTGTGTTTGTTCCTCCTCGGCGTCTTTCATTTCAACGTCTCCATCCTTGCTAAAATCTTTGTAGGCTTGAAATCCTTTGTCGAACAAGGTCTGGGTTTTTTCTTGCAAAAAGTCACCATCTTGATCGCCATCCAAAGTTTTCTTCCATCCATCGGCACCATCGATCAATGCTTTTAAGGACTCCACCTTTTCTTCCTTAGTCTTGACTTCCGCTGGTTGTTTAGAAAAGACAGCATTTGAGGTAAACTCGTCCAGTGTATTGGCTTCAAAGAATAACCTGTATGAGTTCTCACAAACAGAAACCTTCAAGCCAGAGCTGACACGGCCGTCACATTGATCTTCATCCACACTCTCGATGAATGATCTTGCGAAGGGCATGTTGATTTTTGAGGCAGCAACACCTTCAGTAGGATGAGACATGACAAAGCTTGTCACATAGTAGTTGTATTGCTCCTCAGAATTTTCATGATCATTGATCGTGAGATCATCAAGACTAACAAATTGAATATTGACAGAATTATCAGCTTCCTTGAAAGAAATTTTGAACATATTTTCATCTGATGCCATTAATGATCTGACCTTCATACGATACAAGATTTGGTCTTTGGCAGTTGAAGTTGGGTTTGATCTATCACCTTCAAACAAAACGATCATATCCGAAGTCTTACTGTCTGACACCATGGTATGCATGTGCTTTACCATGGCCTGAACGACCTTATCAATGGTATAAATTCTGTAAGCCTTGTTTCTGTATCCTTGACGCAATGACTCCTCGAACCATTGATGCTCAACTTCACCTTCAATCAACTTCTCGGACAAGTCCAAGACTTGCAAGTAACAATCCTTGGATCCAACAATCTCCACTCCCATGTCCTCGAGTTGATGTGAAAGTAAATTCAAGTCTTTAGCAAACTGTGGAGTTTTGCGACTTCTGATCTCCTTCCCAACTTCTTTGTTCATGCTCTTAATTTCCTCTAAACGCTCGTACAATGTTCTTAAGTGTCTGAAAAACACGTAAATGGTGGTATTACAGAACAAATTGTACTTTTCACGTTTTTGATCATTCTGCTGTTCATCTTTCAAGTTGAACTTAGTGTTAGCGGTCTTAATCCACAACTCACTAGATCTATCAAGGTTTTCTGCAAACTCTTGTTCATCGGAGTCATTGGCATTGCTTTCTGGAACATCGCTGTCGTTCTCCTTCTTCGATTTCGATTGCTTTTTCAACACATCACGCAATAAGTCATTTTCACGACCACGTTTCTTCGAAGCTTGCTGAGGTTCTGAACTATCATTAGACTCATTGCTAGATCCTTCCTCCTCTTCTTCAGACTTATCAGCTTTACCTCTGGCAGATAAAGATTTGTCGATGGTCTCATTTGAAATTCCGAAGAATAAAGATACGAAGGATTGAAAAAACTGTCCTAATTTTTCACGATCGTTAGCTGAGTAGTTAGAAGATTTGAAGATAAACACATCTGCTAATCTCAAAATATCCATCAACACTTCATGATCGTTGAATACGTAGTTCAACTGTTCTTGAGGCTTTGGTGTTAATGGATGAAGTCTCTTGTTTTGCTGTTCAACCTTGACAGTGCTGATTTCACTAACTAACTGCTTAACAGTTAATAACTTTTTGTCGGCTTGCTTGAAGGTCAAACCAAGGTGGTCCAATGATTTGTGGAACACCTTTTGTTCCATTTCACGCCAAACTTTGTTCCACTCTCTTTGTGCACGCTTCCACTCTTCATCCTTTTGCTTCAATCTTTTCAAAACAATTGGAACTGCAACGGCAGGGTTTTCATGCAAGGCATCGATAACCTCGAATCCTCTGTCTTTATCATAGATTTTTCTGATAACCTTTTTGTAGATGGTGGTGGAGTTGTGGCCCAAACCGGGAGGAAGTTTGAAGTTAGCCTTTTGTTCTGGTGTCATGTTTGCAATTCTATTAGCGATAGTTTCCAAGGGTTGGATTGTTCTCAAATTAGACTCCATGTAATAATCGAATTCCAATCTTTCTTCCTCAATCTTGAAGAGAATTTCCTCATATTGATTCTTACGATGAGCAATAAAACCAGAATCTTCAGATGCCCAGGTTGGATGACCAACCCATTCATCATTCAATACTTCCCAGCACATCTCATCCCTTCCTGAGCAAGGCATAAAAGTCTCAGCCTTTGGTAATTGTCTATAGGAAGGACCGTATGCCTTACACAATGACAATTCCAATTGATGCTTTTTGAAGGTAATATTTTCAATGCTCTGTGGTTTATCCTCGTATCCAACAAACATTTTGAACCAGTTGAGTAATTCAGGATGCGAATCACCCAAGAAGCTATCAGCACGTTCAACCAACGTACGCTTATCAATAATATCTTGAGAGTATAAGTTCAATATCTTCAAGAAGTCGTTGTAACTCTGTCTGTTGCCAATAGCTTTTTTGACCTTATCAAAGAATGAAAGCTCCTCCAGTAAGGATGAAGATTTCACGGACGCAGATGGTGGTACTGGCTCAGGAATGCCTGGCACAAGAGTAGGATTCACAATAGTGGTAACAGTACCATTCTTGATACCAGCACCAGTGACAGACTTGGCTCTAGGCTGGTTGGCGGAACGCATGCTCGAGACCTGTGCTTCTTGGTTGTAATTATTTTCATAGGCATATGCGTCTGAAATAGACTTCTTTTTGTTAGGAAGGAGCTGATCATGAGCAATTGCATTAACATCTGCACCACCATTAGGAGGGTATCCGGCACCTTGGGCATGTTGTTGAGAGCCGTTAGGGCTTAAGCCACTAGTACCTGTTGGAGGTTGGAAATTACCCACCGGTGGTAATTGAGAGGTGCCGTTTGCTTGAGCAAACGTGCCCTCCTGGGCCTGGTAACCTTGGTTGCTAGTATCTGGTAAGAACTGCTTGAAATCATCCAACAAGTCTGGAGAGTTGGAGAACAACACCGTGACTTGCTCATAGACCTCACCAATAGGCTTCTGTTCTCTTTGGTAAGTTTGCAAAATCTCCAAGAACTGTTTGTAAATGTCAGGTTGATTTGCGAACCGGGTCTTGATCTTGTTCACATAGGAGATAGCGTGGTTGAACTCAATTTGGCCACCTCCGTTTTGCTGTTGCTGCTGTTGAAGAACCTGTTGCTCATGGGCAAATTGGCCCACAGTCTGTTGTTGTTCTTGGCTCTCGCTTCCCCATCTTTGACCGTAGGAGCCACCGTGGATGTTTGGTCTCGTGGTGGTTCCAGTTGGAGTGGTGACTCTGATGGGATTGGGGTCTGAAGGGTCAAGAGAACACTCAATCCTGTAGCCAGGAGGCAAGAACGTGTTAAACCCTTGAATCAAGTTGGGGTGGCCCTTGAACAAAGTGGACACCCGATCAATTACGCCTGGGGTGTCGATACTTTGGGACTTGAAATCCTTCATGATGTCAAGGAAGTTATTATACACGTCTGCCTGATTGTAGAATTGGATTTTGACTTGATCCAAGTAAGACAACGCATCCTTGACGTTTAACGGTCTGTACACGTTGGAGACCGAGGCCCTGTTTGGCACACCCAGAGGGACCTGCGATTGTGGGCCCACAGGCTGTTGTGGGACCGCAGGCGCGTGGTGGGACTGTTGATGGGGCTGTTGCGGTTGTTGTGATGGAGGCTGCTGCTGTTCAGAGGTGGCGGAAATGGATCCAGGAAGCGGCAATTGAGCTCCAGGAGTGCCTAGCACGGCCGAGGGCCTGCGGAGCTCGTTCTGTCTCGATGGATCGTGTTGCTGGAGGTTAGTAGGTGCTATAATTCAGGCAGAAGTTTTGCTTGATTGCGATATTTGCAAGCAGTACGTACTTGATTGATGGCAACATCGTTGGATGTGTTGATGGAGGGGATGTTGAAGCCATGGCCAGGGGGGTGGCCCGTGCCGTTCCCCAAGCTAGGCAAGCTGTGGAGGGGGTAGAACGATTGTCCTCCTATTGGTTAGTATGCGATCCCGGCGAGTCACGGTGCAAATTGATACGTACCAGTCTCCAAAGTGGCAGGAGGAGGCAAAACAGGTGGGTGCTGGCGGCTAAACGTTAGTGGCTGGTTGGTGGCGAGTCCCCGCTGAGGAACCACGACATGCTAGCGAGGGCATGTGGGCGCTAATGGCGTTGACAATGCTGTCACTCCATTTCAACGCACATGCACGTGCCAGCAATACTGCAGATCCGTACGTACTTGAACTGCTGTCCTAACGGACGCTGTTGGCTGTTCCAAGGGTCTTGTTGGTTCGTCATCGTCCACGGTGAATGAAAAATGTACCACAACTAATCGTCACGTGGGGCAGCAAGAAGGTGATCCACAAAAATCTCAGTTGGAGGAGGCGATTTGCGGGTTGTAATGATACAAGGGTTGTTTTAAGCAGAGATTGTGGTTGGATATCCTGCCAGAATGGATGGAGTATCTCAAACGAAGTATGCGCTGTGGAAGGTGGTGTCCGGGTAACGGGTGCACCTCGGAGTGCACACAGGCGTGGAGGAGCTGGCGCGGGGCCGAGACACGTTACCCGGACAGATAAGGAGGAGTAGGAGGATAGGAGGGGAGCGGGGGTCGGAGGCGCTAACCTGGAAGCACTGGTAGTACTAGTGGGACTAGCTGCCCATCGCTGCCAGCATAACGGGTAAGACACCCACTCATGGCCTCGGGAGATGCCGCGGATATGTATCACGTGACGCGGTTGATATGCAGGCGCTATTTACCTTGGGCGATGCTCCGAATCGAGCGCGTGCGGCGCCTGTGCACGTGAGTCGCTACACCTGACTTATGTGAAAATTCACCGTTCACTCCACAACCGTCTCCCACAAACCCCACCATGAACGCCCCAGACAGATTCGAACTCTTCATCTTACCCGATGGCGTGGACAAGTACGTGAACAACGATCCCCCGAGCGAAATCCCGAGTCAAATCCGTCTCCTGGAACCTGAGCTTCGGCAGTGGCGAACGACTACTAACCTCTAGAATAAAAATAACACCTGACACCAAGGTGCCCAACGCTGCCATCATCAAGATCGAAAGAGAAGACCACACATTGGCCAATTTGTTGCGTGCGCAACTCTTGAAGGACGAAAAGGTCATCTTTGCTGCCTACAAAGTCGAGCACCCATTATTCGCCAACTTCGTGCTCCGTATCCAAACGGAAGATGACTACTCACCCAGAGAGGCATTGAAGAATGCATGCTCGGGGTTGATCAGCGACTTGGACGTGATTAAGACCAGATTCAAGGACGAATGGGCCCTTAAATCGTTATTGAACACCGAGGAAGACTACTAAGGACGAGTGGGCCCTTGAGGCTTTTTTGACACCGAGGAAGACTACTAAGGACCTAGATGGTTCCACCTGGCGATGCTCAGCATCTCCCTGTACAATATAATACATCAATACATAGCGAAAGACTTCAGAGAAAGGAAAACTAGTAGTACAAGTACAAGGGGAGGGAAATTCATCCCTAGTAGTGAAGCACAAGATAAGGAGGATGGGCAGTAAAAATTACAAGTTGGAGAAATTCATGCTCCAGTAGTGAAAACTTTAGGGGAAGGAATTTGGCCAGTACAAAAGGAATTAAAATAAGTAGTAATAATCGAGAGGAAGAAATCCACCACTAGTGGGGCAATGACTTCTACAGGAAGGTAATCCGTTCACTAGTATGCGATGCTAGTCAGATATCGAGACAAATAAATTTTCCACCAGTAGGCGGTGGAGAGGACAACACGAAAGAAATCATATCCACCAAAAAGCACTTTAGAGGACGAAAACAAGCATTGAAAAACACTAGTTGAGACCACATTGACTCGAACCTGCTTAAACAGTGCTACACTTCTTATCGGACTGGTATATTATTATATAGTGATCCTTAAAATCGAACATTAGCAGTAAGAATGCAAAGGATATAGAAGGGTATTATGCTAAAAGTGAAGTAACACGGTTACTAGGGAGAAGGAAGTCGTGAGGAGGGGGTGAATTGTTTCTGGCTGTAACCATGAAACTATGCGCTGCTATCCTTGAAGGCCTTTCTCTTAATGGCCTCCTTGATAACGTTGATTTTCTCCAAGCATTCGGGTACTTCTTCCACAGGGAAGTTTCCTTCCTTCAACACCAAGATCAAGGGGTGGGTCTGTATTATTCTGCTAGGACTGATGTGAGTGATGGCCAAACCAGACTTGGAAACACAGATTTTATGGTGATCTTTAAAGTTGAATTGGAAGTTACCGTTGGTCATTTCAAACATAATATAATCGGAAGTCCTGCTGTACCTCCTCAAGAAAACCGTCTCCTTTCTGTCTTCATTCTCACTTACCTTTGATAAGTTACTGTTCATGTACTTAGCGAAGAAATCAACTATTTCCAATTGTCTCTTCACCTGAGATGGAGGATGATGGATCGAGTTCTCAATGCATGTCCAGCCTTCGTTTTCGTGATAAATCAACTCCATGAACTTCGAACCATTGTGCACCTTCAAGATGGTGTTTTCGTCGTTGAACAACACTCCGATGTCATCGTTATTCAATTGGTAGGAGAAGCCATATTTGTTGGAATAGTCCACCCATTTACTGATGAGAATAGGGTTCTCGCATCTTGGTAATTCTTCTGATACTATCTGCTCGTGTTTGGAGTATTCCAATCTTCTCATGTTTTGGTAGGTTTCGAAGCATATTTGATTTAATCTCTTAATAGTGGTGGAGTAATTGCTGTTGAAGTTCACTCTTCTGTTGGATTTGCCCAAAACACTGGGGTTGACTTCTTCGTACTTGTTTCTCGTATCGTTGGGGGATAAACTCTGAGGCAATAAGCTCTTGGGCTGTTCTGATTGTAAGTCTGATCTCAAGATTTCCACTGGGTTTTTGTTCTTTGGAGTGTAAATACCGGCACTAGACTTGGTGTTGGTGAAGTTGATGGATGATTGGGTCTTGGAAATCTTGCCGAAGCCAGGAGGTGTGCTGACCAAGCTCTCTTCGTAAGTCTTGTCAGGGAATGGACCTTTGAACCAATCGTAGTTCAAGATTTCGTCGATGGTAGGTCTGTTCAAAGGGTTCAAACTCAATAAGTCCTTGATCAACACCTTGGCTTCTTCCGAGATGGGTTTATCGGCAGGGAATGCGTATTCTGTCTTCTTGATGCGCTCGTAAATGACCTGGACATCCTTGGCCTGGAAAGGAGGCTTTCCGACCAATAAGGCGTACATCATGATCCCGATGGCCCAGATGTCCACCTCGAACGAGTGGCCGGTATTTTTGCCGCCCAATACCTCGGGAGCAATGTAGTTGGGGGTGCCACAGATGGTGTACTTTCTGGAGTCGAGCGAAGGCAAAACAGAGGCCAAGCCAAAGTCACCAATTTTCAAGTTCATCTGGGGGTCGAAAAAGATGTTTCCCAACTTCAAATCACGGTGGATAACACGTCTGGAGTGGAGGTATTTGATGGCGCCGATGATCTGGACCATGAAGTACCTCACCTCGGGTTCGGACACCCTTTTTCTGGTTTTCAAGAGCTCCATCAACGACTGGTTGGGGCAGATTTCCAAGAGAATGTACACGTTGACGTCGTCCTCGAAGCAGTCGATGAAGTTGACGATGTTGGCGTGTTTCAACGACTTGTGGATCTTGATTTCCGACAACAACTTCGTCTTGGTCTTCTCGTTCTTGATGGACGCTTTGGCCACGGTTTTGGCGGCAAAGATCTGTCCCGAGGCGTCCTTCATTTGGAAGCACCTGGCAAACCCTCCCTCGCCTAGGAAGTTCCCACGACGGTAGTCTCTTCCGTTTCTTGTTCTGACGATGGAGGGAGGAGTCTTGCAGAGAGCACTGAGTTTCTCCTTCTTCTTCTTGGGTTTGTCGGCAGCCACTGCCACTGGAGGCGCGGCGGGCACTCCATGGACAGGCACAGGGTCGAATTGGTTCTCCTTGGACCGTCTAACGCCCTTAATGGGGGTGATATTGCCCCTGTTATTGAGCTGGGTGTTGTTGAGCGGCTGAAGCGGTTGAGCACGAGACATCGTAGCGCAGTCAGGATTGGGGGAGGTGGTGAAGACGGCGAAGGCGATGACGGAACAGACGGAAAAGAGTCTGGCTCGTTGCAGTTGTGGACCAGGATAGTAGCAGGTAATATAGTGGAAAATTTGAAGTATAGGTGTTATGGTATTGCCGCATTGAGGGTATTTACAAATGGAGCCGATTGGGCGGTCACGTGGATTTCTCAAATGATGGGGGATGGGGACGGGAGCTCGGATGCTAGGATGTTTACCTGGGCAGCTGGTGGGGGCAGGGGGGTGGCAGCTGCCCGTAATAGTGTAGTGGAGGAGGGGGTGGTGGTGTCGTAGGAATGGCGTTGTCCTCGTTGTCTCCTCGCTAGTCTTACCCTGGTATCACTGGTGAATGGTGACGTTCTCGCACTGAAATTGCTACGGCTGCGAGTCCCAATGGGGTACTATTTTGATGAGATCGGGTCGCAAACAAACTCCACACGAGTGGAAGTGTCAGAACAGAACACTGCTGGGTAGCCGGCTGGCAGTGTAGGGTGTAGGCTGGCAGTAGAGGCTGTGCGGTGCTCGCAGTGCCGGCAGTGCTGGCCGTGTGATGCTGGCTCTAAGTGCTGGACTTCTGGGTGTTTGTCTTGCTGGCACTCGCTCGTGCTCGCAGTGTGGGACTCATGTGTCCCATCAATAATATTGCCTATTTGGTGCGAATGCCGTTGGTTTGTTGATATTTACCAGGTAGATTGTTTCACATCCGTGCATGCACGGATTAAAACTGGAGTACGAGACAGCCTTGGCGAGTGGTGAACGGCAGATGATGCATTGTGTGAAATTCGTTGCTGTGGAAAATCGGTGATCCAAAAGTGGAAACACAACTAGAAACTACGAATATGACTGGGAATACCAAACAAACTGGAATGAACGGGTCAAATGAGCATCGTACTCTGGAACGACTAGCAAGCTAATTAATTACGCGATATACATCGTGCTGGGGGAGAATACTAACAAACTAATTAATTTAGACATATGCATCCGCTCTGGAAAAGGCAAACTCAGTAGTAGTTAAGCAGGTCCATCGCACTCTGCAAATACAAGCCCCGGAGAATTAATTTGCCAATTAATCATCGTACTCTGCACAAGTCCCCCTACAAGCTACGAACCAGTACTAATTAAATTGGCTACTTACTCCTTTGGGGAAAGACGAGCAACTAGGTAATTTAGACCATATTAACTTTTACTAATTTATTGCAAACATCGCTACTATTTCATATGTTTCGCCTGGTGTTTCATATTTCCCCAGCTTTCGCATGCCTCCGGATCTGATCATCGCCGAATCTCCCCGATTTTCCCCTTCCACTACAACGTAAACAATAATTACTTCTATACATGGCATTGTTATTATCTGACCGAAACTGTCTTTCTATAATACAAGATGATGTCATCTCCTGGCAGTCTCTTCTAGTTGAGCCACCCCTTACACCCAGGCGCTCCACACAAGCACCGGATCCGCTCCTCGTCGTTGGTCTCCCTCTCGAACTTGTAGTCGTAGGTCAACTCCTCATTGGCATCAATATCGCGCAACGCATAGATGACAATTCTCTTCTTGCCCTCCACCTTGATGATTTTGGCAGTGCAGCTGGGATTGCAACAATGGTTGATGAACCGAGCAATTCCACCCTTCTTGGTGGCATCGATCACCGTGTTTTCGTCCACCCGGAACAAGTATGACGACCCGATTCCCGTCTTCAAGTAGCTCTTTTCCCTATGCTCGGCCACCTGCTGACGTATACTCTCGCCCACATACTCGATGATCATCTCCTTGGCTGCAATGGGCTCCATGGCATAGAGCCCCCAGTTGTGGATCGCTGATCTAGCAAAGGACACAGGTTTCTTCCGCTTGGTCAAAGTATTCAAACTCAACACTTCCGATTCAGTACCGATTTGGGCCGTGATATCGGCTGCGAATCTCCGGTTCTTTGCCCTATTCACACGCGAACTTTGTACGTTGTTGGTGCTGGTGCTGGTACTGTTATTGTTCGATACCTCCTCCTCTTCCTCGAAGTCGTGCTGGACAGTCTTCAACGGCTTGTGTATTTTCCGACGGTGAGGCAAGTACTCGATCTTATCTGCATCTGCGATTTGTCTTTGGCCCTCACTTCTGAAAGATCCAGAGCTGCATTCAAGTCTGGGGTCCAAGCTTTCGATCAAGTCCACATCCTCGGCAATTTCCTCGGAAGCGTTCCTAGTGTCCATTTGCTTCCAGGCCCAGTACTCCATGTTTGGAATGGGCTCGGGCTTCACTTCCTCGAGTACCTTCATTGCCAAACTCATATCTTCATCGTCCTTAATGACATCCTGCAACACCTCCAAATCAAATACTTCAGTAGGCAAAAGTTCGCTTTCGGGAAAGACGGTGGAGGGGGTTTCTGTTGGTTGATATTGCTCCTCAATGGTAGAGTAGTCAATCTCGTTCTCATCCGCAGCTTCGTCTACTACCTCTTCCCCAGCATCTTCTTCTACCTCACTGGACGATTCGGATTCGTACAAGAACGACTTTTGAAGCTTCGTCTTCTTATGCTTCTTTGCTTCTATTTCTTCCTCATCATCGGGTGATGTAAGTGCTGATGAACGGTCTCTTTTACTAGCAACTGGAGTAACTGATCTGCTCGAATCTTCCTCGTCATCATCAGACTCAGATTCAGATTCACGATCATAGTTAAGTGCATGTTGCATTGGAATCAAGTTCCGTTTAACCTTTGGTCTTTCGATCTTTTTCTTGAAAGACGGTAAACTTGTTTGTGCCTGTTGCTGCTTCCTTTGCTTGGCAAGGAGGGATAAGGCATTCTGCTTCAAGTATCCATTACTGCTGACCACAGGTGCCGTTACCTTCATGGCAGCTTCTTTAGCCTTCAATGATTCCACGAGTTCTGGGTATTTGTCATGCCCCAATAAATCAAGAACCACAGGTGCTATAATTCTTTCTCTGATATCTTTAGATAAATACATTTGAAACTCTTTGATCAACATGTTAACACCTTCATCAACAAGATCATTTTTTCTGGTTTTTGCTTGAATTCCCTCATCATCTTCGTTGTCGGAACTTCTATTAAAGCCTTCTGGAACTGCTAATTCCATGTACATCTTATACTCATAAAACTTTCTCCCATCCTCATTAAAGAAGCATCTTTTGGCTTCGTTTAATGAGTTGAACACAATAAAGAAACCTGTCTTATCAGATAAAATTCTAGTCCAGTCATACTTATTGAGTGCACGTTTCAAATCTTGGGATGGGATTCGCTTCGTTGGAATATACCTGTCGTGGATCAAGATGTATGGCCGTTCCTTTATATATTTCTTCAAGTCCGAAGGTAAAAATACTCCTGGCACAACCTTGTTATTGTGTCTGATGGAAACCATTGTTGAATTTGGTTGAAACTTCTCAACTTTCAAGGTAGCTGCAGCTTCTGCTTTCTTTAATGCTTCTATCTTTCTATTTTCCTCGTCAATGCGCTTTTGCTCTTCATGTCTCCTTTGCTCTTCCTCCAATTGACGTTTCAATCTGCGCTTATCCTCCTCTGCTCTTTTGTTTTTAGCTATTCGTAATTTTTCATTGGCAGAGTCAATTCTCTTTTGGAGTAGCTCTCCATCGTGATCATTCAAGCCAATTCGAATCTCAACTCCATCTATCTTTGCTCTTTCTGCTTTCAATGTTTGAATCAATTTTTTGGCCAATCTCTGCGCCTTTTCGGGGTTACCCTGGAACTTGAATGTTCCAACCCCTAGCGGAACCGCATTGATGGGATCGTTGATGAATTTCATATCTTTGATGGGGTCCCCATAGCTTCGGAAATAATTTTCAAGGTAAACCTCACTGGTGGTAGCAGGGAGGTCCCAAACCACCAACTCCGTTTGTGGCGGTGGGCCCAAGGAGTCCTTGTCGAACACGAACTTGGACTGGGGTAACTGTTTGAAGGGAAATTTTTTCGTCCTTTTGTTGGGTTTCTGGAAGTACTGTGCTATGTTGGTTTTCCGGGGATCTATTACTTGGGAGGACGACACTCCATCACCTTTAAAACGTAGCTTCCTCTGTTTGGACTTCCTCTCTGCTTTCGATAACGTTGGATCAAGCTCTGGATCGTACATAACTTTGTAGTTCTTCGATGGGTCCGAGGATCGTGTTTCTTTCGGTACGCTGAAGTCGACGTGGTGCATCAACTTCAGAAACTTGGAGTCGTGGCTGTTCTGGCCTGTTTTGGGGTCTGTACCTGCGGGTTCCTCGTTGCCCAGACGGGCATCGGGAGTGGACTGGTTGCGTGGGGTACCCGCAGATGCAGTTCCTAGCGGCGTAGACCCGTTAGACGCGATAGCGGCCTTGATTCCTCTGGAGCTGGGGGAAGGAGGGTACTCTGAAGGCGTGTGGCTGTTGTATTCGGAATGGTAGCGTCCACTGTAGGACGACGAGGACCTCGAGTCTTCATCGCGCTGATCGGGGTACCGTGACCGTTTCCACGGCTTCTGGGAGTACCCACTCGGGGGGTACGCGTTCCCGTAGCCACGATGGTTGTTATATGACATAACTAGATCCCTTTGGGGGAAGTGGATATGGAGCCTTGGATTGTGGGTGGTGAAATAGTGGTAAAATGGCCCACGAAACTGGGGTTGGTGCAGGCGCGCGGGTAGAAGGCGCCTAGGGTACTGACACGGACGTGTTGGTGATAGTCGGAGTGTTGCACAGCGTTCAGATGCTGACGATACTGGAGATAGCTTCACGTCTTTGTTAGTTTGGGGTGATTTCGAGGTAGTGCGAGCGTTCGGAACAAAGATAGCAGGTGGAGGGTGGAGGGGGAACACTGGCGGGAATAACGGAACACTGGCAGGAGAGGCGTGTCAGAAGAGGATGTGGTGGTTTGTGGGTGTGTGTGGAGGTATTGGGACTGAAAACTGGCACTTGGTAGAGGACGGAATGATTTGGCAGGAAAGAACCAGCGCGTAGTTGCAGCCGTTAGAGAGGCGAAATGGGAGTGATGAGGGATACAAACGAGCACCACGAAGTACTGCTACAAAGCACTACGAATTAGTGGCCTACGGAAGAGCCTAGAAGGACTCCGAGGTCTGGCCAGGAGTATCTGTGAAAGAACTGCGAAGAACCGCAAACAACTGCAAAGTGCTACCACGAACTCTACCACGAACTCTACTACATCTACCCGAAGTCTACCACTTTACCACGAAATCTACCCGAAGTCTACCACTCTACCACGAACTCTACCCAAAGTCCACCAACAGCGGTAGAACTAAAATCTACCAAGTCTACCTCTGTCAAACTACGAAAACTACCAGATGGCCTCCACGGTGATCTCCTCCTGGGACTCCTCGGCGCTGACATCCCCAGCTCTTCCCACTTACTACGCTCCCCCTCTACACTTTCCTGTACTGTCGTTGTATTACTTTACTCACTTGGTTCTGATATGCTTCAATGGCCCTGGGGAATGCAAAAAGTTGTTGGCATATTCCTTCTTTCTGAAATGCTTCTTGTTGGGCTCTTGCACGTAGTGATCCCATCCTTGTCCCTGTGCAAATCTGATGGCTGCCTCCTTGGTGTCGAATTTCATGATGGTACCTTGCATGTAATCGGCAGACCCTTGGTAACCCATCAAGTCGTTTTCCCATCTGTTACCCTTTCCTAAGACGTCCCAGTCCAATTTCCAGTGGTGTCCGTTGTGGTTGCTTGATTGTGTGGCTGGCTTGGATTCCTTATAAATTCTGACCACTCTGGATGTCACCAAGTCTTTTGGTGCTCCCGAGACTATTTCTTTGGCGGTTTCATTGTGCTCTGAAACTTCGTTGACTCCGTTTTTGAGGGCGACGTTCTGCAACAACACGCTGCGGGTGGAGAGCGGACGGATGGCTTGGAACCCCGTTCTGATACTTCTGGACAACATGGCGGATGGGTGTGATTACTATGATGAATAAAATTGTTCTGGTTGGCTGGCGCACTGGACGATGCATCACGTGCCGGCTATCACGTGACCTAATCCTAAAATCCATCCTTGGTCACCGCCACGGCCTCCAACTCCATCCATGAACTCCCAGCTCAAGCAGTCCTTCCAAGACGTCATCCCCACCTTCCAGGGCCAGCTTCCGCCCGAGGTCCTCACGTGCGGTGATTCACTCTACCAATTGAGTCTTCAAAAACAACCAGTCCTTCCAAAGAGATGCGAGATCGCCAGATACCATATCTGTGCCTACTTGGCTGCAGAGAAGTACCTGGAGCAGTTGGGGCTTCCTAAGCCTGAGACCAACAAAATTCCGCTTCAGCCCAAGCTCGTCTCCAAACTTTTGGACGATTTCAGAGAGAATCTACTCTACCAAATACGATCTACTACAAGCACTCCGAAGTCTAGTCCCAAAAAGGCTGGTGGTTCCGTTTATAGCACACCCATGGGGACTCCTTCGAGGACACGCAACTCGCCGGCCAAGGTCAGCTCGCCCCTAAAGAGATTGCAGGAGTTGAAGGATGAGCATCCAGCCAAACGGACAAAGACAGACAATTCCGACTTCAGAGACGTGGATTCTCCATTCAACCCAAAGGTGAAAGACTCATTGGACCCACCCAGTCCTTCCAAGGTCTCGAAGTCTCCTAAAAAGTCTCCCAAGAAATCAAGTCCCTCAAAGGGAACCCCAAAGACCACAGTCTATAAATATGATAAAAAGCACGTCTCTATCGAAGACTTCATTTCCTTTGCCAACAACTTCTACATTCCCCCTACGGTCACTCCGAAAATGATCGAAACATTTCTTGTTCACAAGCACAAGTTCACCAAGAAGAGCGAGTGGCTCTTGGCATGTGGGATGGTCAACGCAGCATACACCCGGATTAACCACCGTCTCCTCACCAGCAAAATGGGAGCCAAGTCCCAGCTTATAAATCATCTTTTCCAGTACCAGAAGGGAGGTCTCATGAAATGGAATATGCAAATCTGGTGCGATATAGTGGACGATTGGGTCAAGGACGAGGGATGGGTGCTAGAAATTGAAAGAACCTATATGTACGAAAGTCAGAGTATGGAAGAGGTGGAAAAGCGAAACGAAATGCTTGGACGAAACGGTCGTGGTTGGGAATTGTTGGATAAATTCGGTAGTATGATCCACGGAGACGTGCTCTACGATGGAGACATACAGGAGACGTACTTCGAGAACTGGAAGACCAGGGTGATGAAGGAACTTGCGAAAAACTAGAATTGATGAACCAAATTAAAGGAAAACGGAGGTTATCTATCGCCAAGATCTAGGATTGACAAACCTAATTGGAATGAAATAGAGGTTAAATTATCTATTTGACGATTAGACCGTTTGAATTGGTTTTGGAAAATTCTCTACCAGAGGCAATTTAATGACTAGGGCGTTAAGTTGATTTAGGAGATGCTGAACCACCCTCCATCCCTTCTACAAGTGGCTAGAGAAGCCGAGAGGTGTCCACACACCCTAATGATCATACTACACCCAGGAGTCTTCGCAACTCTATTCTCGCAAATGGGCGGAAAAAAGCGCTTCTACAACGCTTCCAACGACAAGCATTTCAAGCCAGCAGTTCTGGCAACTCACGCTCGTCACGCTACCTGCAGACTAGCATTACCAGCCAAGTCCCGTCCGTTCTAGTTCCTATTCTTCCCCAGGATGTGGTGATACCGTCGCGCGAGGTGTCGCCCTTACCCGGACACGCCATCACACTACCAAACTTTTCACCTTTATAGTTAAATACCCGGGACGAATCAACTCCACAACCATCTATAGAACCCTTCATATCGCTGCATCCTTCGCATTATACACATATCCCACCTTTCCATTAACAGCATAGATTACAACCCGCAAAATGACCAAAAGAAAGTTATCCAACGAGTCGTTGAATGGAACAGCACCAAAGAGAGTTGCAATCGAAGAGTCTCTGGACGGCGAATACTACTCAGAAGCAGAAACGCCGATCTTCTCGGAGTCCTCATCTATAAAATGGCAGGAAGCCATCACCAAGGTGGTCAATGCGGTTGTTTCCATCCAGTTCTCGCATGTGACCAGCTTCGATACCGAAACCTCCATCGTCAGCGAGGCCACCGGATTCGTGGTCGACGCAGCCAGAGGCTTGATTTTGACCAACAGACACGTGGTGGGCCCAGGTCCGTTCTCGGGATACGTTGTGTTCGACAACCACGAAGAAGCAGTCGTCAAGCCCATCTACAGAGACCCCATCCACGACTTTGGGTTCTTGCAGTTTGATCCATCGCACATAAAGTACCTCCAGTTGACCCAGCTTGACTTGAAGCCCGATTTCGCCAAGGTCGGCACCGAAATCAGAGTGGTGGGTAACGATGCTGGTGAAAAGTTATCGATCTTAGCAGGTTTCATCTCCAGATTGGACAGAAACGCCCCAGACTACGGTGTCTTGACATACAACGACTTCAACACAGAATACATCCAGGCAGCAGCGTCTGCCTCTGGAGGATCGTCGGGGTCCCCAGTCGTCAACGAAGACGGATACGTCATTGCATTGCAAGCAGGAGGATCGTCAGAAGCGTCCACAGACTTCTTCCTCCCAGTCTACCGTCCATTGAGAGCTTTGCAGTGCATCCAAAACAAGCAACCAATCACCAGAGGTGACATCCAGGTGGAATGGCAATTGAAGCCATTCGATGAATGCAGAAGATTGGGGTTGACCTTAGAAGCAGAAAAGCTTGCAAGAGAAAGATTCCCCTCCAAGATCGGTCTTTTGGTGGCGGAATTGGTGCTCCCTGAAGGACCCGCTGATGGCCTCATCAAAGAAGGTGACACCTTGATTTCCATCAACGGCACTCCAATTTCAACCTTCATCAAGGTCGATGAAATTTTGGACGACAACGTGGGAAACGTGCTTGAATTTGAAATTCAAAGAGGCGAAGAAGTCGTCAAGCATTCCATCAAAATTGGCGACTTGCATGCCATCACTCCGAATGAATACGTCGAAGTCGCTGGTGCGTCTTTCAACGACCTTTCCTACCAGATTGCCAGATGCTACTGTATTCCAGTCAAGGGAGTTTTTATCAACGACTCCTTGGGCTCGTTTGAGTTCGCTTCCTTCGAGAAATCGGGCTGGTTGTTGGAAACGGTGGATGACAAGCCTACTCCCGATTTGGCTACCTTCATCGAAGTAATGAAACAAATTCCCGATCGCCAAAAAGTGACCATCAACTACCGTCACGTCTCTGACCTTCATACTGAGAACATCCAGGTCATTTACATCGAAAGACACTGGCAATCTACCTTCAGAAAAGCTATCCGAAACGACGAGACTGGTCTCTGGGACTTCACCGACTTACAGGACAAACCGTTACCTCCTTTGCCTAAGGAGCCTCAGAACGCCAAGTTCATTGATCTTCCGTTCGACGAAGAGAAGCAAGGATGTGCCTCTTTGGTCCGTTCGTTTGTTCAAATCAAGGTGGTTTTGCCTATCCCAATGGACAGTTACCCCTACAGAAAGGAGACCTGTTACGGAGTGGTTGTCGACGCTGAGAATGGATATGTGTTGGTTTCCAGAAGATTCGTGCCCCATGACATGTGTGACTTGTTCGTTATTTTTGCTGAATCGATCGACGTGCCAGCAGAAGTGGTGTTCCTTCATCCCAACTTGAATTATGCCATCATCAAGTATGATCCATCTTTGGTGTTGGCCGACGTCAAAACGCCTAAGTTCAGCAACAAGCCCTTGAAGAGAGGGGACAAGAGCTACTTCATTGGATACAACTACAACTTGAGATTGGTCAGTGACGACGTCAAGGTCAGTGGAATCTCCTCTCTCAACATTCCAGCAACCTCGTTGTCGCCCAGATACAGAGGAACCAACTTGGAGTGTGTGTTGGTCGACAACAAGATTTGCCAGGAATGCAACACTGGTGTGTTCGTGGACAATGATGGTACCATCAGATCGTTCTGGCTCACTTACTTGGGAGAAACCAACTGTGACCAGACGAACGATATCATGTACAGAATGGGCTTGGACGTGGTGGATGTGATTGACGTGATCGAAGGATTGAAAGCCAACAAGGTTCCTGACAATCTCAGGCTTTTGGACGCCGAGTTCACTTCCATGACTGTTTTGCAAGGTAGAACCAGAGGTGTTCCCAAAGACTGGATCGAGCGTTTCGAGCAAGCGTGTGACGATGAAATCAAGTTTTTGGCGGTGGACAGAGTGGCTGTTCCCATCCACAAGCACGTCAATCCCTTGAAGATCGGAGACATCATCTTGTCTGTGAACGGCGAAATCGTCAAGACTATGAGGGACTTCAAGGTGATGTACACCCAGGAAAAATTAAACTTCAAGGTCATAAGACAAAAGAAGGAATTGGAGTTGGTGGTCCCAACCGTCGACACCAAGAGCATCAACACATCGCACATCATTTTTTGGGCAGGTGCCATTCTTCAGATTCCTCACTTTGGGGTCCGTCAAATCATGGAGAACATTCCCTCTCAAGTTTACGTCACAAGAAAGAGTGCTGGTGGCCCTGCCACTCAGTACGGCATTGCTACCAACAGTTTCATCACCCACGTAAACGATGTTGAGACCAAGGAGTTGCAAACCTTTATGGACGTTGTCAAAGATATTCCCGATAACACTTACATCAAGTTGAGATTGGTTTCCTTTGACAATGTGCCCATGGCCATTTCTATCAAGACAAATTATCACTACTTCCCGACCTCAGAAATGAAGCGGGTGAATGGTGTTTGGGAAGAAAAGGAATATAAGTAATAGAGCTTAATCAGGACGTTTTTGGTTTAGAGTGAATTATACAGAGTAGATTTGGGGCAGAATGAGTTGAAGTAGAATAAATTACTCACAGTACATTTGGAGTAGAATAAATTATTCAGTAGTGGAATGAATTATTCACAGTTCTCTGGAACAGATAGCTTCAGCGAGGTAACCCCTAATACCAAGAGCATGGCTGGTCTGAGTGGTAATTAGCGATACTGGGTACCCAATTGGTATGGTATATATAGTAACGCACATAATTATTATTACGAGCTTCATATCTCATCAGTACGACTTTGCTGCACCAACAGCAACAAAAGCACCTCGGCTACACGTTTTGTATCTTTTAAGTGGCACTTCAGACAGATACGTATCAGTATCAATGTAGTTGTCTAATTAGTTGGCTTTCGCCTATATGCTTTCGCCTATATATACAAGAAGTATGTGCTGGAATAAAAGGATTATATCCCCTTGGTGGTCTGAAAATTGAATTGCTATTCCACTGCGTCCATGTGGACTCCAGGCTATAATGCCAGACCCCTGTTCTCCAGAATGTTGGATAGTTCAACTAGCGAAATCCTGGATCAGTATCTAAGGCAAGAACTTGTCCAATTTCTTAAAATGCCCACCCTTGTTTCCCACCTTCACAAAAGAGTCCAAGTGGCTCAAAGATGGAGCACTAAACCCACCATTTCCGTGGTTTCTGCCGGCCTGCTTTCTTTTGATTCCAGTTCCTGTCCTTATGAATCTCTTGTCGGCAGCTTTGTGGGTCTTCATTTTTGTTCTGACCTGGATGAGAGTCATGGTTGGCTTCTTGAAGAGCGTCGTCTTCAACGAGAATAACTGGCCCCACATGCTGATGATCGAAGATAGAATAGAGTTAGTCCATTAACTGGTGAAAATTTATGGACAATGCGTGCGCGGCGCAAGGACCGCTTACGTAAGCGGTTATTGTGGTCACGTGATCATTCGTCCTCCTCCGACGAGTAGGCACCAAGACCAGCCACTCCCTTGGTTGGAGGTGGGGGATTCGCTTTCTTAGTCAAGGTCAACTTCTTGGGTAGGCTGGGTGTGATTTCCGGCAACGTTCTTTTCCTGCTGTGGTCGTTTTGGTTGTCTCTGCGTTCTTCCAACTCTCTCTTCGCGTTCTTCTTCTGCTTGAAAATGGCTAGTTTCTCTTCAACTTCCCGCTTATTCCGCTGTTCCTTTTCCAACGCTTCATTTTGCACCTTCTCGTAGAATTTGGCCGACTCTTCGTCCAATTTGAAGGAACTATTCCTTATTGCCATTTGCTGTTCGAATTCCAACTGCTTCTTGTCTAGAGATGTTAGTTAAGTCTCCAATGCGATGTCTAGCTGGTACTTACCTCGATGCTCCTTCAATTGGTCGTGCAATGTCTTTCTTGGTGGGTCATCAGGAGACTCCTCACTAACGAAAGACCCCACATGCGTGTGGTCTTCCTGGTCGTGTGCTGGCTTTTTTGGGGATGGAGCTTCACCCTCTTTGACAAAATCAGGCATGATGTGCTTAGGGGAAGACGGGGTGGTGATATCTGTTCTGGAGTTGTGTGATGGATGTTGATGATTCGTGATTTTGCACGTGATTTGCGTGCGGCAGTAATTCGGCTATGTGCAGTATCCTGATAAGATAAGCTAGAGGTGTGGGATGTTAATTGGCAGAATTTGGCATTCAGGATAGAGTTTTGTAAGTTTACGTTGACTTCGAGTTGCAAGGCTAGTTTGGATGCTGTTGATACGCCACAAGGGGTCAATAGGTGCATTTTAGGATCCGATAATACTGAACTAGTGGGTGTTGTAGCATTGACTATTTCATACTGTTGGGCGTAGCTTCACTTATTCACTCCATGTCTAAGATTGAATCTATAGGCCTAAAAAATTACAAGCATGTTCAAGTTTTTTAATTTCAATAAGGATTTTTTGTTTCAAAAATGTATATTTTTCAGAAAAATTAGATAATCTTGCCACATCTCAAGCAAGTCAGAACAACCACTTGGATGAAAGAGTTCAATGAGACCCACAGCTGGAAGAGGCTATTCCCCTCACCAACACCGTACCTCAGCCTCGTCTTGTGACCTCTTCACAAGCCCCTTCACTTGCCCCAGTTCCGAGGACATTTTCCGATTAGATTGCGCCAAATTGATTGCGCCAAAAAAGAAACGAAGGTTTTTCGCAACTTTCGGTTTAGCTCGGAAAAACGGAATAACTGTGCAAATGGCCGCAAATTTCGAGCGTAATATCCTACCAAATTTGATGTATCATATATTTCATCTAGTATATATAACTAGGATCTATTCTCTATATCTAGATATCTAATCGACGATGTAAAGACGTCCTTCATAAGGAGACAAGGTGGCTTCGTCCTGAACATCGACGTTGGAGTTGACCAAGGTGTATTGGCCTTCAACCAAACGTTCGAACTTGGCAGGCTCATCCGAGAAGTTCAAGGTGACAAAAGCCTTGGGAGAGCTGGTCTCGTCGTTCTGGTACTTGATGAAGGAGTACACCTGTTCGTTGTCTTGGTCAAGGGTCTTGTAGGCCCCGTAGATGAGGAGATCCTTGTGCTCCTTTCTGACCTTCAAGGACTTGGCCCAGAAGTGCAACACCGAGTTAGGATCATTGAGCTGTGACTCGACGTTGATTTCCTTGTAGTTGTCGTTGACTCTGGTCCATGGGGCGACAGGAGAGAATCCAGCGTACTCGCTGGCGTCCCATTGAACTGGTGATCTGGCGTGGTCTCTGGCAAGCATGTTGATGCCTTCCAAGATGACCTTCTTCTGCTCTTCGAAATCAGCATCCTTTCCGTGGATTTCCACCCAGTTTCTGTAGTAGTTGATAGTCATGATGTCGAGGTACTCGTCAATGGACCAGGAGGCTGGCAAATTGGCCATAGCGATTTCTTGGCCCTGGTAGATGTAGAGGGTACCAGTCAACGCAGTTTGGAGCATAGCCAACAACTTGGCCGACTTGAAGTTGTATTTGGGGTTCAGGGAGCCGAACTTGGAGATCGATCTGGGCTGGTCGTGGTTCTCAAAGAATACAGTGGACCACGCATCGGTACCCTTGATGAACTCACACTGGTTTTCAACCGCTTGCTTCAATTCGCTCAATTTCCATGGGTTGGCAGGCTTTTCCAACCTGTTGGCGTGGACAGTGCCCACGTCAACCACGTCAAAGAGGAAAATCATGCTCATCTCCTTCTCCTTAGCACTGACGTACTTGAGAGCATCTTCTCTGGAGCAGAACGCGACCTCACCCACGGTCATGGCATCGTACTTGGAGGTGACCTTCTCGAACATCTCCTTGTGGAACTCGTGGATACGTGGCCCGTTGTGGGTGTATTGCATGCATGGCTGGAACGACTGGTCTGGGAACACGATAGGAACGTCGAGGAATCTCTGGTCCTTCGAGTACATGTTGGCCACGTCGATTCTGAAGCCGTCCACGCCCAACTCGAACCAGAAGCTCATGGCCTCGTCGTAGATGGCGTTTCTAGTGGCTGGGTTTTCCCAGTTGAGGTCTGGCTGCGACTTGGCGAAGAGGTGCAAGTAGTACTCGTCGGTGGTCTCGTCGTAGGTCCAGGCTGGCTCCGAGAAATGGGTGCTCCAGTTGTTGGGAGGGTGTCTGTTGCCCTCAGCGTCGTACTTGGGCTTCTTCCAGACGTACCAGTCCCTCTTGTCGTTGTCGAGCGACGAACGGGATTCTTTGAACCAGCGATGCTCGCTCGAGGTGTGGTTGACCACCAAGTCCAAAACCAACTTGATGCCACGCGAGTGGGCCTCGTCGAGCAACACCTTCATGTCGTCAACCGTACCGTACTTGGGGTACACCTTCTTGTAGTCGGAGATATCGTAGCCCATGTCGTCCTGGGGCGAGTCGTACATGGGACTCATCCAGATGACATCGACTCCCAAGTTCTTGAGGTAGTCCAACTTGGAGATGATGCCTGGAATATCTCCAAGACCATCACCATTGGAGTCCTTGAAGGAAGCAGGCCAGATTTGGTAGACGGTAGCGTCTTTCCACCAGGTGTAAGAGATAGTCATAGTGTAGCAGCAACGAGGTGTAGAGGTTGGAGCAGATGGATTTCGAGGCCAATGGCGGTTTCTCCCCCACTTTATAGGGTTTTGCAATCTGGGGTAATTTCCGGCAAGTTTCCGCTGGAGGCACCGTTTGTGGGCCAAGATAGACGAATTCCAAAAACAGGTTGTGGATCCGATTTCCGAAGACAATTGAAGGTGTGGGGGATGTCGCCAATCTTCGGACAAAGTACGAGCGAGGCTTACTCGCACGCATGACAGTTGTCTTGGAGGGAGGAGTAGGAGGCGGACATCAACAGAACAGTCAAAGTGCGGGTCTGGGGTCGAGGCAAATCTTGACCCCCCCGACGCGCGAGTAGCCGATGGCAGTCGGCCCCGAGGAATGCTGTCGAGTCATGCCCGAAGGTGGCGGCGATCGCTGCACACCCCTCCGAACAACGGTTGGGTGTCGAAATAGACGTGTGCAGTAAGCGCCCGCCGTATGCGGGCATCTAGGTACGAGGGGTATTAATAGAGCGCGTCGAGTGGAGTCCCAGGGTTGGTACGGCAACCGCGCCCATGCCAGGCATACACAGCAGGGTGCATGGCAGCATGTCAGAAGCTGGGCACCTGGCGGTGCGTAAGCGGGGCATCGCAAACTTTCTCGCAATTCGCAAATGCGCAATCAGCCCCACCGATAATCCGGGCAAACTCCGCACAAACTATAACTCGCACCTCCCATTCAGGGCACAAATCTGGGGAAGCCCATCCATGACCGAAAATCATACCCCAGATTCCAGTGCTCGCAAATATGCGCAAATATGCACTGGTGTGCTTCCAGGTACCCCACGGCCAGGCCCTTAGCCCCTCCTGGGTGGGGCCCTCCACGATCTTGCCAGATCTCAATTTCCGCAGAACTATGTGGGGTGTATGTGGGGCGAGCTATTATCTCGTATTTAAGCGAGAGCCGCACATCGCAGCCAGAGTATAAAACCTGCCTGATCCCCATTCCATCATAAGCATCACTACTCATCTGATCCACTAACCAACACCAGCCTAGTCTCATCTCTACAGCCTAGATCGAACGGTTACAATGACAGAATTTGTTGAAGACATCAAGAAGGACGGTGCCATCACCGTCCACGACCCCATCTCCAAGAAGAACCTGGCCTCCTCCATCGACGACCAAATGGACGAGTACGTCAGCAAGTTCCTCGACATGTCCAACGAGGCCAAGTCCAACGACCACAAGGAAAGAAACATGTCTTTGGGCGAGGGTTTGAGAACCTTCCCCAAGGCCGTGATGTGGTCCATCATCTTGTCGTCTGCCTTGGTCATGGAAGGTTACGACACCAATCTTTTGAACTCCATGTACGGTTTCGACGCTTTCAACAAGAAGTTCGGAGACTTCTACCCAAGTCTTGGAACCTACCAGATCCCTGCCAAGTGGCAGACCGCCTTGTCTATGGGATACCAGAGTGCCTCCATCATCGGGTTGTTTGTGTCTGGTATCATTGCCTCGAGAATCGGGTACAGAAAGACCTTGATGACTGCCTTGATTACTTCCGTCGGATTAATTTTCATTCAATTTTTCGCACCAAACAGAGAGGTGCTTTTGTTGGCCTACGTCTTGTTGGGTATTAACTGGGGTGCTTACCAGACCTTGGCTGTGACCTACGCCAGTGAGGTTGCGCCTACGACGCTTAGAGTCTATCTTACTACTTACGTCAATGTGTGTTGGGTTTTCGGTCAATTAATTTCCTCGGGTGTGCTTAAAGGTGTCACTCAGATGAAGTCCGACAACGCTTACAGAATTCCATTTGCTATCCAGTGGATCTGGCCCATTCCTTTGTGTCTAGGCGTGTTCCTTGCTCCTGAATCCCCTTGGTACTTGGCCAAAAAGGGACGCGATGAGGAAGCCAAGCAGTCCCTTAAGAGACTTCTTACTGAGAACAAGCACTTGCCTGACAAGGACGTTTTGGCCCAGGCCATGTTGACCAAGATCCAGTTGACCATCAAGGAAGAAGAAGCCACCTCTGCCAAGGCTACCTTCAAGGACTGTTTCACTGGTACTGACTTCAGAAGAACTAGACTCGCAGCCATCACCTGGTTATGGCAAAACATCACTGGTTCCGCTTTCATGGGTTACTCCACCTACTTCTACATCCAAGCTGGTTTGTCCACTGACAACTCGTTTACCTTCTCCATTGTCCAGTACGTCTTAGGTATTGCTGGTACTGTTGGCTCGTGGTTCCTCTCGCAAAAGGTGGGTAGATTCCCCATCTACTTCGGTGGTTTGTGTGGCCAGTTCATCATTCTTATCATTGTCGGAGCTTTGGGTGCCGCCAACCCATCTGGAGGCTCTTGGGGTATTGGTTCGTTATTGTTGGTCTACACCTTTGTCTACGACTTGACTGTGGGACCAATGACTTACTGTATTGTCTCGGAACTTCCATCCACCAGATTGAGAATTAACACCGTCATGCTTGCTAGAAACCTTTACAACCTTGCTGGTATTGTGGTGGCCATCATCTCGCCATACATGTTGAACCCAACTGCCTGGAACTGGAAGGCCAAGACCGGATTCTTCTGGGCTGGTTTCTGTTTGATTGCCATTGTCTGGTCGTGGTTCGAATTGCCAGAAACCAAGGACAGAACCTACGCAGAATTAGACCACTTGTTTAGACTCAAGATCAAGGCCAGAGACTTCAAGAACACCGAGGTCGACGTTTTCGATGCCGGTAAGTTGATGGAGAAGTTTGGTGAAGACGGTATCAGAAAGTTCGTCGAAGAAAAGAAGAGAGAGGAGGCCGTTCTTGACGACGAGAAGGCCTAGATCACCAGAATGTGACATACTGGTCGTTAGCAGAGCTAGCGAAGGTGCATTCTTGGTGTATGCGCTTCAATTCTTCACTACTACGGTAGATTTTATAACGATGAATAAATGCAAGATAATTTTAGAACCGTAGATGCAAGTGATTAAAAAAGGAAGTATTGTTTGAGATCGTGGTAATAATGCGAAAGATCAATTCAGCAAGAGGTACGGGACGGTGACAATGTAAGGTACTTTTTGAATCTGGTGGGTAATGCAAATGATGCTAATTATAACATGCAGAACAACTGCAGGCGGCCAGCTTTGTATTCGCAACAGGAGATTTACGTCGATGTAATTCGGTAATTCTGAACAGAGAGAAAATTAACCAGTGCTGGTTGAGAAATCCACGGCAGCCCAAGATGCAAGCTGACCAGGACTCAACACACCCACGAGCTCCCCGCGTCACAGCTCATCTATTTAGATTGAGGCGACTGGTGGCGATCTGGAAACAAGAAAATCCGAACGACTAAAACAGTAGCAGTAGATAGAAAATAATCTGGGTGCAGCCTGCACTCACACATACGCCGCGTGTCCAATCACACTCCTGTGAGATAACAGCGAGGAGTGCACACGGCTGTCACTAGACATGCAGGACATGCAGCCACTGTTGTGACGGGCGCCTGCATGAGTAAGCGCATAGTGAGTTGTGCCGGGATGAGAGGCGCGCCAGCGGGGCACGACCCCGCCTGTCCCGGACCGCTTGCTGCATAGCCTGGTCACGCAGGCGATCCGTCACGTGACCAGAACCGCCTGTCATCTCCCACCTCCCGCCATCACCCTTTTTGCGGCAATTGATGGGGTGATTTCCACGCCTGACCAGCCCCCCCGTTTCTGGCCCCGGCCTGCCCATCCCCTCCCCCACCCTGTCCCCCACTCAGCACCCCCACGCCTCCCATCCCCTCCACCCCTTTCCTCACCATCCCTCTCGTGACCCCCAATACAGTTGTCCGAGCTATATGCAGTCCGCCAATATTCCGCGACACCTCGAAATTTTGAATGATCAATTTTACCCTGATAGTAATTCCAGGTAATCGCTGAAGCTGGCGAAGAGAACCCCGTTGTTGCTCGTTATCCCCCATACCCTCCCCCACCAAACCATCACCTTGGTCCTGTTCCGTTTTTTCCGCGTTCCTGTGAAGAAACCGACACTAACCGTCGTCTCCATCCAGATCACCTCCACCCAGCGCTTCGTGTCGACACAACCACCACTCAGCCGATGCCAGGATGGAGTCTATAGACATCTCGTTCAACTACGGCAAGCATCTGGAAGAATCGTTGGTCAGGCTCTGGAAGCTTACCCGCAATGATTTGATCAGATCCAAGTTTGCATCAGTGGAGCGCTTGAACAACCGATCGTGGCGCATCCTCAGCCGGAAGGTGCTAAAGAAGACGTCCAAGGAGCAGTCTTCTGAGGTTGACGCCCAAAAACCGCTCCACGACTCCATCACAGACCTTTCCAAGGACTCGTTATCGGACTTGGCCCCAAAACAGTCCCAGTTCTTATCCGATCGGCCTTCGTTGTTCTCCCATAGCTCCAACTTGAGCTTGCACAGCAATAGAAAAAGTACCAACAACAGCAGCTTGGAGTCGTACAACCCCAAAAACAACCCCATCCCAGACTCCGAGGAGGACGACGATGACTACGACATTTCAGACATCTCGGATATCTCGGAAGAAGAGGAAGACGAAGACGAGCCTGTATCTCCAGATCAATCAAGCCCTCATCCCGAGTTTGTAAATAATCAATTGACTGACCAAACCAAGGCACATTCCTCGCACAGTTCCCACAAAACGCCGGAGCAGTTTTCCTCTCAAAACGGTGAGATCCCAAGAAGTCCGGTCACTTCCTCTCACCTGAGCCAACTAGCTAGATCTAGGGCAGCCTCCTCCGCCCAAGCCCCACCCTTGGGACGTTCTAGGACCTCATTTGTAAGAGGCTTTTCTCCAAGTCAAGTTTCCATTTCGCCTGCATCTTCTTTAACGTCCAAGAGGCAAGGCTCAACAGTTTCAAAGTCATCACTTACTCATGAAGAACCTCTACAACCACATCCACAGCCCCCTAACAAAAATATATTCTATTTGGCGAATTCTCCATCACCTCCAGCCTCAAGTGACAAGTCAAAAGAGGTATCTAGCTCTCCAAGATCACCCAGGACTCGTGATGCGTCTAGACAACTTGAGCCTCGTCGTCAAAGTTCAGTGTCACAACAAGTTTCTAATAGGAGCTCAATTTCTAATCAATCATTATTCAATCAGTCAGCTTCCGAAAGGAATTCCAACAGAGGCTCACAAGCTGTTTCTTCTAGGGCTTCACTTTCAACACAGTCTGGGCAAACAGGTGACACGAATCAGCCACCAATTAAGAGACACAACTCCTTGTTCAATAATTTCCAGATTCAATTCAAGAAGGACGAACCATCTACCACTCATTCCTCTATTACTCAATCATTGAGGGAACCTGATTCAGAATCGAAAGATGATGGCTACTCCTCCACAGATATTTCCGAGGATGAAGATGATTACAGTGATGATGAAATTGTGGCAATTCAACCAAAAGAAGCTCCCGATGAGTTTGTTTTAAAAAGAGACCGTAAATCGTCTAATGCCACCCAGATGACTACGGATAATGATTCAGAATGGTTATCGGTTTCTTCGGAGGATGATGACTTGAAATCTGAAGAACCCAAGTTTCATCCATTGCAATTTAACAAAATCCCTACAATGACAAAGAATATAAGTAATTCTTCTACATCAACCGATATTTTGCCCGTTGAGTTGAATGATTCTCAAAAACACAGAAAACGCAATTCATCCCCAGCAATTACAACAAAGCCGAGATCATTACTTTCCGGACTATTTCTTAACGAGTTAGCTGCACAGAATCAGCAGAACTCTCATATAAGCCCCAAACCTGTATTGAAAAGATCATCAACTACAGGAGTAATAACATTTGATCAATTCAAAAATGGAAATAGACTAGGCAGTGTGACTGAACTTGCATCGAATTCCAAACGACCATATATTATGTTCACCAAGAAATATCCATCTTCTACGGATATATCAAAGAATTATCCTCATTTTCATAACAACTCTGTCAAAAAGGATATTGTGCAAGAAGACCTGAAGTCTAATGATGATGATGACGATTCGGTTATGGGTAAACAGAAGTCCATCGTTGGTATTTCAGACTTCAATGCCACAGCTTCATCATCAACAAGCATGGTAAATGAAGATATGGAAAGCTCGGGAAGTATACACCATACATCGCCCGAGCCTGTCAGTTCACATGCAATTCTTTCATCGAGTCTCAAAATGTCAGGGTCGATGACTAATAATTCAATTAGAAGTTTGTTATCTAAGAGCTCCTTGAACATAACAAAATTGTACAATAACTCCAAGTCCATGTTCGGAAGATATGACGGTAGGGACGAACGAAATGGAGAAGAATCGAAAGAAGAAGATAAGCCATCTGAACCCAAGGTAAGTATACCAGTACCAGCTGAGAAGTTTGATTCCCCCAAATTGGGGTCCCCACATTCAATGTCGACTCCAATCACGGCAACACCAGCTAAGTCACTCAATGATGATTTGAGTTTGTTCAAAGAAGGCAATCAAGAAACGGCAGATAACATTAATGGGATTAAATTGTCGCCCAAGTCAACTAGAAGATCGATGCTTTCCACAGAATTGAGCAATTCGTTGAAAGAATCTATCATTATTGACTACAAATTGGGCAAGATTCCATTGCCCAAAAAGGTTTTTGGCCCCAATTATGAAGGGATGCCAGATATTGGCGAAGTGGACGCGAATGATTATCATTCAAAAGGTTGGTGATAAGCTGATACTTGCGATCAAGTTTATTTGACCCAAAAGTTATTTTATTTCAAAAGTATGAAAAATTCCTTGGACGAAGTGACGAAAAATCAATTCATCATGTCTGAATTTTCGAAAATAGGTATTTATTGGAGTTGTATTATTGATTTTAGCCTGAACTTTCATAGGAAAGAGCTGTAGCCTAGTAGCAATTTGTCCATATGGATGACGCTCATATGGACATCTCAGATTTGCACCCAAAACGAACCTAGTCAATATTTTCAATGCCCATATTAGGGTATTATACCATGAAATAACGGCCTAAAGAGTCGTTTTGCTCTATTCCGGACCAAATGGTACCAGACTATGAGAACTATTTACGAATAAAATGAGACAGGCGGAGGATAGGTGCGATCAGAAAATCTACAGCAATTATACTGGTACGGAACTGGAATCCCAGCATACTAATTCATATCCGAATTCTCTTAAATACTATCAAAGTTCTAAGCTTGGAACACTCCAATCTTTTCGTTTTCTGGTGCCTTGTAGGACTTAAAGCCCACGAAGTTGATGCCATGAGCTTGAAAACACCAGAGCTTATCGCGCACGACCCAACATCAAAATTTTAACTCGATTCACGGTTAGTCCATTAACTTAATGAAAACAGATTACTATGAGCTCCTAGGAGTGGAGACCTCGGCCACCGATACAGAGCTCAAAAAGGCATATAGGAAGAAGGCTCTCCAGCTTCATCCAGACAAAAACCCTCATGATGTGGAGGGTGCTACAGCTCGATTTGCATTGGTGAGAGCAGCATACGAAGTCCTCTCAGATCCACAAGAACGTTCATGGTACGACTCTCACAAGTCGTCGATCCTTAGAGACGACGATGACTACGACATTCCAGCGGAGGAGGACATGATAATACCGTCGATTTCGCCCGACGAAATTATGAGATATTTCAACCCAGCTTTATACACCAAGTTTGATGACTCACAGCAAGGTTTCTACTACGTTGTGTCACGGCTTTTCGAAAGACTTGCCTGCGAGGAGATCACCCATGGAAAGGCTCAGAGCCTTGATGGCTACTCCAAATATAAAGATGACGATCTAACCAACATAAGTGTCATTGACGAATCCTCCTTGTTATACCCTCGAATGGGTGGAACCAGAACCCCATATCAGGATGTCCGTAAGTTCTACGCTCTGTGGTCTTCCTTTCAAAGTGTGAAATCGTTCAATTGGAAGGATGAATACAGATACTCCTCCGCACCCGACAGAAGAACCAGAAGATTGATGGAGAGAGAAAACAAGAAGGCCAGAGATGTTGCCAGAAAGGAATACAACGAAGTTGTAAGAAAGTTTGTGCTGTTTATCAAGAAAAGAGACCCTAGAGTTAAGGCAGGAGCTGAAGAGTTTGAAAAGGAAAAGAAAAAGAAATTGCAAAAAGACTTGGAGGAACAAGCGAAGGCCGTCAAAAAGGACCAGAAGCTTTGGAACTATACCGAGCAAGACTGGCAACAGCTCTCGCTGAAAGAATTGGATGAATTAGAGAATATGCTCAATGAAGAATATGACGTTTCATCGGACTCCGATAGTGAATTTGATGAATTTGACAACCCCAAGGAAGATGAAGAGTACGAATGCATAATATGTGACAAGGTCTTTAAGAGTGAAAGTCAGTTTCAAACACACGAGCTGTCGAACAAGCATAAAAAGAAGTTGAATAGATTGAAATGGGAAATGAGAAAAGAAGGGATAGAGTTGGGATTGGATAACGAAGACGATGACGAATTTGAAACGGCGTCAGAAGAATTGGATCTGGACGAGGATAACGAAGAAGATGATGATGACGATGAAGAAGAATTCGAACAAATGGATGATGTCAGCATTGAAGATATAGAGGAGATACAGGACATAGCTGAAACTCCTGAAACCAATGTTAAGCTGGAACAGCCACCTGCCAAAATCAACTTTGATGACTTTGAAGTTGATGATGACGTGGAATTTGAGGACGAGATCGATTTCGTGTCAAGCAAGAATTCCACACCCAAACCCGAACAGAGCACCAAGTTTAAGACAGATACTGTGGACGAGGAACTCACCAAGTTAGCAAATGGTCTCAAACTCGACGATAGTGACGACGATTGGACGTCAAACAAGAAGAAGGGAAAGAAAGGAAAAAAGAAGACCGAGAAGTCACAGTCGCCAGCCAACCCCGAGCCTCATTCGGAGGCCAAGACAGGCAAGGCTTCCAAGGCTAATAAGGAGAAGATAAAAATACCAAATGGGTCTGAAAAGTGTGTTGTATGTGACGAGATTTTTTCTTCCAGAAATAAATTATTTCAGCATGTCAAATCGACAGGCCATGCTGCACCAGTGAAAGAGGTCAAAGGTAAGAAGAAGAGAAAGTGAGTTCTGGAGTCGAGATATCCAGCTACAATACTGGTATTTTCCAGAAGTAAAGATCTATCAGTATGGTCATTAGCATAATAAAGAAAAGATGTCATTAAAAAGTAGGAGATCGAACAGGAATATCTGCACCGACTCGTATGGTCAGCAGTCTCGGTATTATACGCATCGTATCGTCGTATGGATTTAGCTGAAAGCGTAGTCTATAAGTATACCCTCACTTCAAACCAGTCTTAGACTTCTTCATGGTGGCCATTAATGGTTCACTGATACCTCTGTTACCATGGGCACCCAAACCTTCTCCCTTGATCCATCCGAGCTTTTCTAACAATTGTCTTCCAATATTGTCTTTGCCAATTTCTGGTGCAGCAGCTCCAACAATATCACCTTCCTTAATAACAGGCATGCTCAGCTTGTTTCTGCCTCTGGCCTTGTCTTTCTTGGAGTTTCCATCACTGGCCGTGATTTCATCCTTAGGTCTCTTTTGATCAGTTCTATTGAAAATTGGTCTTTGCTTAAGTATGTGGCCAATTTCATCGTACCTAGGCAAATAATGGAATGTTTTTCTGCTCTTCGATAATTTAACATACAGATGGATCCCGTTAGGTCCGCATCTTTTAGAGCCGAAGTTGTAGCACTTGGCCATTCTACTGACCACCTTGCTGCCATGAGGATCAAGAGGAGGAAAGCTCATCGAGTCTCTATTGGAATCGTGGAGGAATAATTCCATTTCATCTCTGATATCCTTGATGTGCAAAGTGTATGGATATTTGACAAGGAGATCGTTTGACTTGAGACCCTTCTGGATCCGGGCATCCTCTTTGGCAAGCTTTCTATTTTTCTTGTTTTCTCTGTGAATCTGAAACTGCTCTTGCAAGGATTCTCTGATTTCGTTATCAAGATCAAACCGATCAAGATCCAACTGTTTCTTACGACCCTTGCCTTTCGTCTGTATGCTCTGGGTTTGAATGTCCTCTATTGAGAATGATTTTTTTTGGTTCTTAGTAAACGCAATAAGGTCACTGACATCGTCTCCCTCTTGACTAGTATCATCGTCGATCTCCTCTTCCTCTTCGTCAGACTCTGAAATGTACACATCTGAATAATCAGGTTGCTCTTCGTGCTTCTGATCAATGAGCCCACCTGTGATATACTTCAAGAAACTGCCAAGTCTATGCTCCTTCACTCCCTTCAGAATCACATAATCCACTACTTCTTCTTGGTCGATCCATTGGTAAGTGTCTGGAGAACCAGTCAAGTCAAGATTTCTTGTGTACAACTGGTTCAGTAATCCATACCTGACGTTGGTGACTGATATTTGAGAGACGTCAAATTCGAAGTCTTCAGGCAAAAAGCCATACTCAGGTTCGTCTTCGTCGTCTTCGTTGTCTTCGTCATCACTCTCAGAATCTTCCTCTTCCGATGACGATGCCATGATGTCAAAATTTGTAGAGCTGATGTATCCATCATCCTCGTCATCACTGTTTTCTCGCATATCTCTGATAATAGAGCTGATATAGTCTCTATATCCTTCGTTTGCAGAAACATCAGAGTCGGACTCCAAATCTGAGTCTGGCAAATTCTTGGATGGCAATTGGGTTGTGATAACTCCGTCCTCCCCTACTTGAGTACGGAGGCTGACCTTTCCGATCGTGAGAATGGAATCGTGTTCCAAGTGTGATTCAGCAGTTGTAGAATCTTTTGTGGATGCATCTGAGTGTTTAATAGTATGTTTTATCAATCGAGACACATCTGGCTTTTCCACATAGGTCTGATCATCAGCCTGTTCATCAATGACGAATTCCGGCTCATTGATGTTTAGATTTTGAACCGAGAGATTCTCAGGGGTGGTTTCGTCTTGCGAGTCCTCGGAATCAGAAGAAAAGGTTAGGATTGTATCGTTCTTTGGTTGTGGTTTATCGGGAGAGTTTAATATGTCTAGTAATTCTTGGTTTTCTGGAGGGATATGGGGGCTATTGATATCTTTAAAAGTGCTGGATTCAGGTTGAGGTTGTGGAGTGTCAGATTGAGGCACTGGAACGGCCTTAACAGTACTATGATGGTCTTGTTTTGGGCTCTCGACCTTGCTTGGATCTGTGAGCTTCTTTATGTAGTCATTGAACTTCTCGAACTCTACCAGATCTGAGTCGTTTCCAGCCTCATGACTCATATCGATATCCACGATAGCGTCGGATTCCTGGACTATTTGCATGGATGACTGCTGGTCGTCTGAGCTGTGGTTCGAGCCTTTGACTCCCCGCTTCAAGAGCTCATTGATCTTTCTTTGCGGGTCGTAGATCTCGGTGGCCTTCACGAATTCTATGGGTCTGTCTCGAAAACTCTTGGACATGGTTTCTCCGTGGTGTCTCTCGGTATACATGGCTTCTTGCATGAGTCTGCCTGGCCGCTTGGACATCGACTTCATCGAGGTGGCTGCTGGAACGTGCATTGACTCGTTCAAGTCCATTAGCTCGGGGAACTCTCCTCCATTACCAGGTTGTCCTGGTCCTCCAGCACCTCCACGATTGTTGGACTTTCCTCTGTTCCTCTTCTTGTTCTTGGAAGGAAACCTGCCGAAGTTGCCTCCTCTGGAGCCACTGGGCTTGCCTTTGGCACCCCTCGTGTTTCTTCTAGGCATGATGTTGTTGGAGATGAGTTTGGTGCAGTGGTCTTGTCAGATAGTGGCGGGGTCACGTGGGGCTATCGTAGATTGGGCACATGGGTGGTTGTGGATTTGCAGGAGGGACAGGCGATGCAACGGACAGGCGAGGCCAGTGTAGAGAGAATCTTGCTTTCTGCAAATTGATACAGTATTGATTTGCCATCATAGTCTTACCTGGAACTGAATTCATTTTGGGAATTAATTTTATCAAAAGATTCGGAACAGTAAAGTAAAAATAAGGAGTCAGATTCTATAAGGTAGGCGAAAGGAATCTAGACAGGCTATCGTAACAGGTGTCTATCTATCTTTCATAGTCCGGCAATAAAGACCACATGAAATTTTATGTATGTAAAATGGTTCACTAAATTTCTAAAATCTGGGCATTATTTGTTATAGACCCCAAGCCATGGCACGTACGTCATCCAGCTTATTATGGATGGTCTGTATTAATTTTTATTGCATTCTACGACTCCAGCAGTTGGGGAAGTAGCTGCTTACGTAAGCCAACCATCTACTATTCTTGATTATGTGTGTATCTATTTAAATGTAGAAAGGGTCACAAGCAATGCCTAGCAGGGAGGGAGGGTTCTGATTTGAGAGGTATATAGTTACAGATAATGAAGTTATACACTGTTTTGCTGGAGATCTGCTTCGTATCAAATTAACCACTTTCGTCATTATTTCCTGATTTACTCAATATCCTCCAGTATTACCAGGCAATAGGGACAAATAACCTGCAAAAGAATCTCCATAAATTATAGATTATAAGTATTTCTAGCGAATGGTCTAGTATTATCCGACACAGACGACTGTCGTTTCCAGCCATAAATAAACTTAATACCACATCACAGACACACCGCCCATAATCTACACGAGCCTGAAACAATTCTCCTAAACATCCTTACTACCGTACTCTGGAAACTTCCTGACTCTTCTGTCCTGAAACACTCTCCCCCTGCTAGTCCCTATCATTATACATCACGTGCGATACCACCCATGCAGGACCCCCACTCATATTAGCCACCAGCAGCCACCACTACTCCCAATACAGCCATGACCACCAACTCCAACGACACGGTCGAGGCGACGTCGTCCAACGAGAAGCTCACAGCCACCTCGACCTCGTCGCTCCAGGCCCATCCGTTCCAAATCTCCCAATTGTGGCAACAAATAACCGCCTTGGCTGATAAGGATCAATCTGCTACCAGTGAGCCAGTGACCATTTTGGGCAAAGAATATTCCGACAAGCACCAGTATGAGGAGGAGATCAAATCCAAGATCTGGCTCACGTATCGGTTTGGGTTTGAGCCCATTGCCAAGGCAGAAGGAGGCCCCCATCCGTTGTCATTCATCCAGTCGTTCCTCTTCAACAAGAGCGTGTTGTTCAGCGGGTTTGGCCAGCTCCCCAACCTCATCGACAACGAAAACTTCACCAGCGACGTGGGCTGGGGCTGTATGATCCGAACTTCCCAGAGTCTTTTAGCCAACTCGTTCCTCCATTTGGCTGATGACTCCAAGGGGGCCAAACACCGGATCATCCAGCTCTTCCGAGACGACCTACAGTCGCCGTTTTCTCTCCACAATTTCATCAGGGTGGCCTCAGACCTGCCACTTAAGGTAAAGCCGGGAGAATGGTTTGGTCCCAATGCTGCCTCGCTATCGATCAAACGCTTGTGCGATAACTTGGAGCACTCCAACGAGCTAGCAGGCGTTCCTCGCATCAGAGTGCTAATCAGTGAAAGCTGCGATTTGTACGATAACCAAATCGACGATCTTTTCTCACAGAAAGTCGATGGCTTGCTCGTGTTACTTCCCGTACGACTTGGGATTGATCGCATTAACCAATACTACTACTCCAGCTTGAAACAACTATTGTCATTATCCTCTTCCGTTGGGATTGCAGGTGGCAAGCCCTCCTCTAGTTACTACTTCGTGGGTTACCAGGATTCCGATCTCATTTACATCAACCCACACAACCCCCAGCCTTTCCAGCAAGAGATCAATTACGACACTTATCAATCCCCCACCTACCAGAAATTGGGGTTCAGCGATTTGGACCCGTCAATGATGATCGGGGTAATGCTCAGAAACCAGTCGGAATATGCCGAGTTTAAGAGTGTTTGCCAGGAAGGTAGCAACAAGATTGTGCATTTTCACCCATTGGCTAGAAGGCTCTCCAAGAACGAGCAGACTCGCAAGAATTCTGGTTTTGTGAATATACAACACGAAGATGTTGAATCCGATGCCGAAGTTATTAATGTGGGCGAAAGAAAGGAAATTGACGATTTTGTCGATCTTGGCGAAGAAGAATTCAGCAAGCTCCCAACGCAGGAAGTGTCGAACAACGTTCCGGAATCAGCTGATTTGGTGACTCCAAACTCAGTATCGCAATCGCTGGATGAGGTTAATGTGACAGGAGCCTCAGAGCCTTTTGAAACTATCCACAGAACTGACTGTGAGCGCAAAACATCCTCTCCATAGCCACTTGCAGGCCAAGTGGGACGAATAATCGTTTGAGCAAGGGCCAAGTTTCGATTTCGTTGATGGGGCTACGTGCTATTCAAACACCCTCTCTTTCATAATTTAGAGTAATTCAAACACCATTATTCATAAGGCTAGAATATGTATCCGTTCGTAGTCCATAAAGCCTGCACTTTGCCCATAACTAATAATAATAGAAATTAGTCAGTGCCTTCATAATCGGTCGTGCGCACACCACATATCAAGACATCTCCCGAACACAACTAGAATCTACACTCTCCACCACAACCGCCTCGTACCCACAAACGAAGACATCGCCTCCATGGTCGTCGAAGACAGTCTCAAGATATGCACAGTGTGTGCTTCCAACAATAACCGTTCCATGGAATCCCACAAACAGCTCAAGGATGCAGGATACAACGTCAAGTCATTTGGAACTGGTTCAGCTGTGAGACTTCCTGGACCCTCTGCTGACAAGCCAAACGTGTACGAGTTTGGAACCCCATACGAAGACATCTACAACGACTTGATCTCCCAGAACTGTCGGAAAATATACGAGGCCAATGGCTTGATTCATATGTTGGATAGAAACAGACATGTCAAGACAGCGCCAGAAAAGTGGCAAAACAACGCATATGCCGGCAAATTCGACTTGGTGATTACCTGCGAGGAAAGATGCTTTGACAGTGTCTTGGACGACTTGATGTACCGGATGTATAGCAAGGCAGACGAAAATGATGTCAAGCAGATAGTACATGTCATCAACGTGGACATCAAGGATGACAACGAGAATGCCTTGATCGGAGGAAAGGGTATCTTGAAGTTGGTGAATATGGTCCATGAGTTTAGAAGTAAGAAGAAGGTAGAGGGAGAAGACGAATCCACCGTCCTTTTGGAGGACCAGATGATGAACATTTTAACTGAATGGCAGAAAAACCACACCCACTTGCCTACATTGTACAGCGTGTCGTACTACTAGGCTCTGCATTACCAGCCAGAGAGGCGAAGGAGGATTATCTCTTGTTGTACACATATACATGCCCAGACGAAATTTCTTGAGACCCAGCGACGTGTCAGATGCAACTCAGCCCAAGTGGCTAGCAGCTGGGTACAGCGACGCTTTGTATGGGGTTGTGGGTTATGATAGATAACCACGAGGGTTCAGGACTGTTCTTTGGCTCGACCGGCGAAATCGGCGCCATCGGCACAATCCCTCACTAAAAGCATAGTGAATGGGCCCTCTGACCCATTCACAGGTAGCAACCACTCCACAATATATACGTAATGATACACTACAGTGACTCCAGTAGAAGACTGCGCTACCTGATAAATGCACGTGACACATACTGTACGCGATGATGTAGTTGAGAATCAGTTCTCCGACTCTAAACCACCACCAAATCATGGCTGCCCCAAAGAATGCCAACGGAAAGAACCCGAATGCCAAGAAGGCCAGGCTATATAACAGCAGAACCATCAAGACTCAGGTGAATGACTCCAGTTTTGTGGACAAAGAACGTCTCAACATTCCTGATTTCCTCCAGTCTAGAACATTTGAGATCAAGTCGTTTGAATTATCCCAGTTGAAGACGAAGAATGCTTCTGCAACCAGAGTGTTTCAAAGCTTGCCCCGTGTTCTTAGAAGAAGAGCTGCTTCCCATAATGTTAAGCGCATCCCAAAGAGATTGAGAAACCGATCGTTGAAGGAGATGAAGAACTCGCTCAATGGTGTACCACCCAAGACAGAGCACTTGAGAGGGAGACAGTTATATCGGTTGAATACAAGGAAGAAACTATTGAAATTGGGTGGGCGATTGAAGTTGCTCAGAAGCTTACCAACAGACGATTTCTACAACCAAAAATTCAATATGAGGGAGAAGATAAAGAAATTAAATGAAGAGATCACGTCTATCCAAGAGCAAGGGGGCAATGGTAAAAATACGGAGAACGTGAAAAAATTAAACAATGCTTGTGGATCTTATGATAACACCGGAATTAACGAAATTGCTCCCAAACCTAGGGGAAATATTAAATTTCATAAACGTCAGCATAAATTCACCTGGTTGCCTACACACATCTGGCATTCCAAAAGGTTTCATATGACCAAGCAGTATGGTTATCAGATCCCTTTGACTCCGACCCAAAAGTGTTTCAGATTAATGAACCGTCAAAAGAGATCAGGAACCATTCTCGTGGAAACCTCATATTTGAACTCATTGGTTTTGGAAATAAAAGACCAAGAAAAACTCAAGGAAGTTCTCTTGTCATTGACTAAATACGTCAAGAAAGTGCCCCAATCTATTGTTAATGGAAATAAATCCTACCACGACTGGATTGAAATAAAAGGCAAAAAAATCGGTAAGGGCTTGGTATACGCTAGTCTTGAAACCTGCAAGATCCTCATACGAGTTCAGCCTTGTATTTACAAATCCTTATTCACAGAATTACAAGAAATCATAGGCAGAGATGGCACAATCTATGATTGTAGCTACTCGTTGGGGAGCGTGGATCTTATTGGGCCTACTGCTATTAACAGCATAAGTAAAGTTCTTCACCTCTTCAAGGATACCAATAAAGAGTTGGTACAGAGCTGGAGTGAGCTATCAAGAACGAATGATTCAAATGTTGTGCCTATTGGGACGACCTTGTCTTTCGATATCATGGATCCAAGGATCTGGAAACGACCCGTAAATCTTCCAACCCCAGCTTCTGAGGGAAATAGTTCTGATTTTACCAATGATTTGATCATTAGATTGAGCCAATGGAACTCAAGTCTCATCACCAAGTCTTCCATTTTTAATCTTCTTGAACCATCTGGAAGACACGATACTTACAAAGACCAATTTTCAACAAAGGCAATAAGTCAAAAGTTTTCACAAACAAAGGATTCCAGTAATAGCATCGACCAGGCATATCATGAAAACTCAAGAATACCCCTTTTGATAACCAAGGTCTCCAAGTACAATTGGACAGTTATTATGCCATGGTATTGGGTATTGCCCTTGTGGATCAAGTTGATAGGAGTGAGGAATATCAAGACAGGTGGATTGAAACAAATTCAGCAGGCTAACTTTGAGGAAGGAGTTCCAAATTTTCCCCAGGATTATCCATTTTTGAAGGATGGCTGGATATTTAATGAATTGCTAGGTAAAATCACGAAGGAGAAACATGATGCAAAACCGTTAAATCTCCAGAATAAGGCAGCACCTGATCTCAGAGAAGACGAAATGGTCATCAGTCCCTTCAATTGCGACTGGAATGGCTTGAAAAATATAGTATACCTCACGAAATACTCAAAGAAATCAGAAGAGGAACTTAAAACCACTGCTCCTAACTTTGCAACTTTTGATGAAAATCTTAATAGAATCGTCAAATCGTACGATGACATTGTCCAGATTGCCAAAACTTTCAAGGCCAGTCTGGAGGGTGTTTCCGTTGTTGAACTATTCGATAAGAACAATCAGTCACATGCTACCTTCAATACCCTTGAAGTTTCCACCCTTAAAGAAGTGGTTCAAGGAAGGATCCCTGTTGCTCAAGTGTCGATTGAGTTAGTTAGTGGGGGTAAGATCAAGGACGGGGCTAGAATTTACACTAAGGATCACAAAGAAGAAGTTTACCAGCCTTGGTCCTTCATTCACTTGGTGGGATATGTCTCGAGTGGTGCTTTCAATTTGAGCAAAGGAAAGGACTCAGGAGTAGGGGCAATTATTCCTAGTGGCATAAGTGATAACGACGAGGTTTTGGTGAGGAATATTGGTACTAGCAAGATGTACACTGCTAAACTCCGTTTTGTGAAGGACTAATTGAGAGTATCTCACTTCTAAATTGATATTGTTCACTTCTGTAATTTAGTAAATGGAATAGATAGAATCGATATAAGTAATGTAATAGATGTGCCCTGATATAGAGGTAAAAATCCTTTGTATTCAACAGGACCAAATGAGCTTTCACACAGCGATGAATAAATTCCTTGTATTTAGGACTATGGACCCATATTACGTAAATGGACACATTTTTATATATTTATATATATAGCTGCCCAAGACAACGTCTTCCCAATGCCTAAAACTAGATGCAAAATCTATTCGGTAGCATCCAGTTGACTATAACTATAGAAAATTTTTTCACTGAAATTTAGCTATCATTTGAATGGAATAATTAGCCAATTCTCTATTTGTCCAGTACTCATTCAACAACGTATTCTTTTCATATTCTTGCACGCTGCTTACAAGTAATGCACATACATACCTCGCTTGCACATAGTTGAGAAGCTGGAACACAATTACCCGGATTCCGCACTACTATAAATACGACGCGAGTTCCGCCGTAGATTTTTTTTCTTCATACTTACCTGGAGATGTTATAGGAGATCAAGAAGTTCTATAACCTTAGTTCCCTAGAGGCATTGCACAGCGCCATGGGGAAGTTTGCCAACTCTCACTATGGTTCGTTCTTGTGTCTTTGGATGCGAGTTTCGGGTCGAGAGTGTGGATCTTGTAATTTTTGATTTCTTTCTTCCTCACAATTTCTTTGAAATGGAGGAGAACCCAGTCTGTGCGTTGTGCTGACTTTCAAGTGGTGATGACGTCCACACGGCAAGATTCCGTGACATTGTCATAACGTTTTTATTGTCGTAAGTCTGACGATTTATTACACTAAAAATACAATGATTTTTGTATATTGTACATATGCTACATGGATGAACCAATAATAAGCCAAGGCACTGGCCCCAGAAGGCAATACCCCTGATGAATACTTCGTTCTTCCGGGCATCGCTTCCCAAATCCGCAGGGTGGTAACTGGCTTCCTCCAAGTTGTGGAGTCTTCGCTTAAATGCCATCGCTTCCCAAATCCGCTGTGCTTGGGTGTTCACTGGCTTCATACTGTTCATTTCTGGAGATCAACTTCGAGTTCTCCCACATCTTCATTAAAGACTTCTTCAACAAGTTGACGTTGTAGTCAATAATTGTCAAGGATCTCTCCTGGGTACCAATGGAAGACTCGCTAGAGCCATCGTTGAGGATCCTTACGTCGTCATTCCGTATCAAAGCCACTAATGCCAAACCTCTGATCATTTGCTTCAAGTATAATATGGATCCGTTGGAAAGATGACTTATGGATTTCAACTCTTTGGGTGTGGCCACCTTCGAGTTGCTGTTCTTCGCCTGCGAGCCGTTGGAGTCCTCGATGTAGAGGTCGTCGAGGTCGATGGTAATGTCTATGAATTCTGCACACACTTCGTAGGTCTGAATATCCACGGGCGACGAGTCGGTGGCCACGTAGATCTTACTGTTGACATCAAACAAGAACACCTTGTCGATGGACGAGTGTTGGACCAAATTGTCCAACATGTTTTCCAAAGAGGGCAATTCGGGGATCAACTTCTGTACGATTCTGGAGAACGCCTCGTAGATAGAGTGGTCGAAAATCGACGTCAAGTAGAACGAAACCTGGACACCCTCCAACCCCAAGTCGAGCAATTCGTCACCAGTTCTCTGCATGATGTCTCTCTGGGCGTCGATTCTGTAGTCTTCGGACAACCCGTCTATTTTGTGGATCAACACCTCGATGTTGATTTTGGGGTTGACCTTGTAAGCAAACTCCACAATCATGGACAAATTGGTCAACGCGTTGAGGTACTCATCCTGGGAGTCGATGACGTAGACCAACGCACCAATGGACGAGAACAACCGCTCCGAGTCGTAGTTGGGCTCGAAGTAGTTGAGCTGGCCAGGCAACTCCATCACGGAAAGATCGATAAGTGACGAAAACAGCTCGGTGGTGGGTTTCGACGTGCTTTCAAGGTAGAGGGTGTCCAATGGCTGCATGTTGTGGAACACCACCTTGCAGATGGACGACTTGCCTCCTCTGCGCAATCCCATGAGGAGAATGGTAGCATTGGTGTCTTTGGGGTTAGGAAGTAGAGTTGCTTCCATAGTGGCTGTTGGCAGTTTCTGGAGACACAAAAAAAGGATAGACTTGGTGAAATTGCCGTGCTGAAGCGGTGGTGTGGTGGAGCAGGTGCGTGTGTTGGTACGAGGTGAATAAAGGCCAGCCCAAAGCTATAAATAAGAGCGTTATCTGACGGTTGACGATGTGGGCAGGTCGCAAGATAGGCCTGTATACAGGAGCCGGGCTCCTAGCTCGATGGGTTCACGCTAGGATTCGCCAGCCATGGCGGAGATTTGGCTGCTGTAGGTAGAGTGGGTGAGTAGAGCAATATCCCAGAGTACTACAGTTGATGTGTTTCTGTTTTTGTAATTGCTGATGATCGAATTAATGGAGATGTGGGTAATTAATGCGTACACCTTATATCATAAGTGAATAATTCCAATCCGAAAAATAACTACCATGTAATTAGTTGACATAGTTGAATGGCTACACACAGGGGTAGTCCATTGGATTAATTCTTCACTGACCTAGAATCATGCAATCTCTATAGGTAAGGCTTACCAGCTATTTTACTGAGAATCAGCAAACGAGCTCTCTAGGAAACGAATTACCAGCGATCTGTATGGGAGTCCACTGTGAGAATAGGCGACAATATGTAGGTGATCCCGTGGATCGTTTAGGAGGCACAATTTACTGACTTATGTAGATATATCTTATTTATTTTGTAGCGCAATCATGGTCTCAATCTTCTAGGATCTCTTGGGAATAACGAGGCTCTTCTGATGTTCTTCAAGTCCAAGAAGAACATGACCACTCTCTCCAAACCGATACCTCCACCAGCGTGAGGAGGACACCCGTAGGTGAAAGCATCAATGTAGTCGTTCAAGCCAGGAACGTTTCCGTCAACGTCGTGGGCCTTGAGTCTTTCCTTCAACAATTCAGGGTCGTGAACACGTTGGGCACCAGAGAGAATTTCTTCACCTCTCATGAAGAAATCGTAAGAGTTGGAGTATCTTGGGTCCTCGGCATCTGGCATGGTGTAAAATGGTCTGATGGCCAATGGGAACTTGTCCAAAATGTAGAAGTCGGTGTCGTACTTTTCTCTGACCAACTTACCCAAAAGTCTTTCGTTCTCGGTGGACAAATCGTCGAAGTCACCGAGCTCCTTACCAGCATCTCTCAACATTTGGATACCTTCCTTGAAGTGAAGCTTGACCATCTTTCCTTCTGGCACCTTGAACTCTTCGACTGGGAACTGCTTTCTGACCACAGCAATTTCCTTGGCGAATCTCTTCTTCAACTCAGAGAAGATAAACACGAATAAGTCAGCCAAGACTTCCAAGACTTCGTCGTAGTGCTCTTCGAAGGCCATCTCCAAATCCAAACCGGTAAATTCGGTCATGTGACGGTGGGTGTTAGAGTTTTCGGCTCTGAAGACTGGAGCAACTTCGAAGACCTTTTCGAAATCAGCAGCAATCAACTGTTGCTTGTAGAGCTGAGGAGATTGAGCCAAGTAGGCGTCACCCTTGAAGTAGTTGACCTTGAAGACGTTGGAACCACCTTCAGAAGCAGCAGCAATCATCTTTGGGGTGTGGATTTCGGTGAAGCCCTTGTTGGACAAGAACTCTCTGAATAATTGACAAACACCCGACTGGATCTTGAAGATGGCAAGGTTGGTTGGGGTTCTCAAGTCGATGACTCTGGCGTCGAGTCTTGTGTCCAAGTTGACGACTGGCAACTTGAGGGCTTCGGCTTCAGCATCGGATCTGGAAGCATCCTCGATCAACAATGGCAATTGTTCGGGGGTCTCTTGGATGGTGAAGATCTTGTTGACGTGGACTTCGACATCTTGGACGGTGGAGGACTTGATGAGCTCGTCGACCTTTCTGACCACACCGTGGACCAACACAATCGACTCCAAGTTGATGGACGAGGCCCACTTGACCATTTGCTTGGAGACAGCAGACTCGTCGGTTTCCTTGTTGGTTCTGACCAAGGTCTGGATCAAGTCGGTTTGTTGTCTCAAGGTGAGGAACAACAAGGTGGCACTCTGTTGTCTGCTACCATGGATTCTGGCTCTGAAGATGATTTCGTCGCCGTCGTTGGCTGCGCTCAAGTCCTTGATGTTGGTTCTGACCTTGCCAGTCTTGAAGGCAGAGTTGTTCAATGGCAACTTGCCGTAGTTGGTCTTGGCTGGATCATTGGCAGCAGCTGCCTCTCTGTCGGCCTTTTCCTTGGCCAATTGTGCCTCTCTTTCAGCCTTCTTTTGTGCCTTTTCCTTCTCTTTGGCAAGCTTCTTGAGAGCCTTCTTGGACAAAGGTTGGCCATCTTCTCCCAAAACCACTTCTTCGGTGGCTGAGGCAGCTGCTTCTGGGGCAGCAGCCACGGCTTCTGGGGCAGCCTTCTCTTGGATGTTCAACTGTTCCAACTTTTCAACAGGTTCGGACATGGTGGTGGATCAGCAGTAGTTGGTAGTAAAAAATTTCAGGGTCGCACCTGATCAATATATCTGGAGGTCAAATAATGATGGTAATAATTGAAGTTCCGTTTGGGGAGCAGAATCGGGAAGTTGGGCAGGAAACTATCGAGGAGAGCACAGTGGGTGGGTGCTTCTTGCTTTTTTTCTTATATAGCAGTGTGTTATTGGGTGTTCTATTTAATACTTGTGTCCCATCCATTATTACGTAAGAATGGTCAGGGCTATAGACACCCATGACTCAGTGAATTTGTAGTAGATTTTAAGCAATGGTATAGGAAGAAAAATGGCCGACAGGGACTTGCGTGCATGAATAGTTAAGTTGGGAACTTGTTGGAGGATTCTGGTAAATATGACGCTCCTTTCATAAATTGTCCGTATAATTTCACTCATTTGAGAGACTGTTCAGAAACTACAGTGGCCGAATTATTGGAATTTGTATATTCACCAAGCTTACTCTAGCAGATTACTCGAGTTTATTGGATTTAGTAGAGTTAGTAAAGTTACCAAATTTAACCTATTGAAGAAAAGACTTCAGTTTATTACAATTCGAACACTCTTCGGGTGAAGGTGATCGGAAATCAGCGAGACGTATGAAATCTTTCGGGGAAAGCTGATCGGAATTAATTTTTGTTCCACAAACTTGACCTCTAGCAGAAATCTGGTCAGTTGACCGAACTTATTGGATTCGTAAATTCACCAACTTCCTCTGAAAAGCACTGATCGCTTAGAGTTGGCTGGTGAAAGACAGATTTGATTAGGCTCTATTCACAAGTAGCATGTTGGGTACTTTTCTCGACTATTGGCTATGGACTCTCTTCTTGGACACCCGAACATCAGGACCAGAATTGAGTATGTAACGATCCTACTCAAATGGATATGAAGTATATCTCAGTTTTCCCCCTACTCTATTGTTGTGTATTCAACTGGCTTTCCTTCTCCCTCTCCTTCAACTCCTTCTCCCTTCTCTTCTCTTCCTTCTGCTTCAACACGCCGTCCCTTCTGGCCATGCCCTCGGCGATCTTCCGTTGCCGTCTCTCCTCCTTGGTCTCGACCTTCTCCTGATGCTTGGGCCTCATGGCCTCAATAGCCTTGTGCAAGACATCCAATTTCTTGAAGTTTTCCCTGAACCTGTCTAACGACAACTGGGTTATCATTCCCAAATACTCCTTACTCACGTACGACACGTAATCTTCGCCTTCCAAGTATCCGATGGGAACGTCCAACTTAATGGAGATTCTTATGGCCACGATGTTGTTGCTTCCTATTCCACTTTCTCTGAACCCACAATTCATGGCAGTGGTGTACAACGCGTTGGCAGCTGCCAAGTTACGGCATTTGACATGCAAGATCAATGGTTCGAACTTGTACAAGATGTGCCTAGTGTTGGAGTTGGTCTCCCAATGCTGGTGGAACTTGAAATCCACATTGTCGTACCATCCAGGTAACTCCTCGGGGTGGTGAGTGACAAATATCCAGTGTCCTTGGTTGCCTTTTGAGCCGATCTTGACTTCTTCTTTTCCTATATCCTTCACGCCTTCCAAGAAAACAGACACTCTTCCCGAACATGTCGACGTTGTGACCATATCTTGGTTGGAGTTGATGAGGTTGATGATGGGTATGCATATTTCGTCGATGGACCCTTTGGGCGACGAGTCGGGGATTCCTCCATTGGTAGCACCTATTTCATGGAGAATAGCCTGCTTTTTCTGGTCAAAAGGGTCTTGCATAGTCTGGTGATGAGATGAGATGGAGTGCAGTTCAATAGTGATCGTGCGAGAAATTCGAAAATGTCTACGGTTTAATGTCAGAAGAGATAGTGATAGTGGTTGGTAATGGGGTAAGAAAGAGCTGGTCCGATGGTCCACTGTTAGCTTAATTGGGTAACACTGAGCTGATAGGATTAGAGGAGGTGTAGAAGAGTTCAAGTGTAGGGTCAATTTTCTAGTAAATTTTCTAGTATAAATAAACTCGCTTACTTTTACACCAAGATAATGCTTTGAATGCTGTCTATTAATTATTGCTCTCTTTCAAGCTATAATCAGTTCCTTTGATCCCTTTCAATTCAGCATCGCTCTCTTTGCTGTGATTTCTACAGTATAATTGCCATTCTGTAAAGACTGGCTATTGTCTTTCGGTACAGTTTATTCCAAGACACCATCTATAAAACCTCTTAGATCGCCTGAGCTCCAGATCTCCAAGTCCTTGGTGCAGTGTAAATGGACCATAGTGGTCACTTTCATTTCAAAGCGTTCAAGAACTTCTTCTCATCTGCTTGATTCAAGTTGAACAACGTCTTGATCACCGGCAACAACTGTTCCCTCTGCTCCTTGTGTTCAAAGAAGCCCAACAACACGTTTTTGAGGTAAGCCACATTGGTCTCAGAGGAATTGTTCGTTTCCGAGGAATTGGTGCTGTTGCTGTGAGTGGAATCTAACGAAGTCTTTGAAGGAGCTTCCACCGCTTCTCCAGCCTTGTCTCCAGATTCCTTCATAGTACGGTACTGCTGAGTTAAGATCTTGTAGTTCTTCGACAACCTCTCAAATTTTAAGTTCGACTCATCATTGAGCTTTCTCAAGTTGCCTATTAAAGTTTGATATTCAGTTTGTTTCTTGGTCAACTCTTGCAATGAATTTCTCAAACTGCTGACGGTTTGCTTCATCTCTTCTTCATGGGATTCTTCCTCAGCATTGTTGGAAACACTTACTGACTTGCCCTCAGTGCTCTGATCTTCCAATTTCTTTTCCAATTCATCGATCTTCTTGATGAAACCAGAGCTCACAGAGCTTGCTTCCGCATCCTTCTTCTTGATTTTCAATTGGTACTTATTCTCTAACTCAATTTTCTCATTCATAAGTTTGTTCAATTCGTTTTTGAAGTTACCTTCATTGATTTTAATTTGTTCTTCGGTTTCCACAAGCAATCTTCTTAATGTGGACGTTTCTTTTATTCTTTCAGATTGCAAGTTCTTGGATTCATTGAGTTCATCCTCGAGGTTTTCAATCCGAATGCCAGATTCCTTGGACTTCATCGCTAATTCCTCGTACTGTTGTTTGAATGATTGTATCTCATTGGATGATGTAGATTTTTCTTTCATCAACGCATCATGCTTAGACTTGAGGGCATCAAATTTAGAGGTAATTTCTTGATTCTTCGAGATCAATTCGTTCAATTCTTTCGTCAATGTAGCTTCTTTTGTGAACGCAGTTTCTTGCTTGGTTTGTAGCTCATTCTTATCGTTTATGAGAGATTTGTTCATGTTTTGGAGATCATTCTTTGTTATCATCAACTTGGTGATTTCGTCCTTTTGAGATGAAATGGTCTCATCTTTTTGGTTAACAATTTGATCCCTTTGTTTCGACAATTCAGCTACGTTCTTCCTGAAATCCTCAATTTGTTGATCCTTATGGTTAATGGAAGTTTTCAATGAAACAACTTCCAACTTGAGAGAAGTATCGTTACTCTTGAACTTTGATAATTCTTTAATTCTTGAGTTTAATGTTTCTCGTTCCTTGATTAAACTCTCGTAGTCTTTGGTATGAGTGTCTATTTTAGAGCTTAATGATTTCTTATCCTCCCTCAAAGTATCGATTATCTTATTGAGCTTGGTGATCTCTGCATCTAAATTTTTCTTTTCCTTTTTTAACAGTTCTAACTCCTCAGTAATAGTATTGACTTGTGAGGTTAAGGCAGCATTTTCATCCTTCAAAGTAGAGACTGAGCTTTCATGGCTACCGAGTTGTTTTCTCAAGGATGATTCCGAATTTTTCAATTCAGTAATCTGATCAGTGTACTCAGTGATTTGACCTTCCAAAGATTTGATCTTCTGTTCATGTTCCAGAACTGCATCCTTAAGTTGATTAGCAATACTTGCCTTATTGTCAGATTTCAAATCTTTAATTTCATCCCTTGCAGCAACCAAATCATTGCCGATGTCTTTCAAAGACTCGCTCAAATTCTCAACGTCTTCTGTTTTAGACTCCAAGGATGACTTCAATTCTTTATTGACTTGAAGAATGCTTTCGTACTTGGATTGTACTTCTTTAAGTTCAGTAGTGAGCTTTTCTTTTTCATCAGTGGAAGTCTTAAGTGCTTGCTCGAGCGTAGATATCTTTTCCTTCAATTCATCTGATGGAACTGAAGATGTTGGCTGAGTTTGTGTTTCTTGCGTAGCACCATTATTGTTACCCTTCTTCTTATTCTTCTTTTTCTTATTCTTACTGCCACCTGTTGAGACTTCCTTAGCATTATCCGTTTGATCTTCCTGAGGCACATCTTTGACAACATCCTTGGCTTGCAATTGACTCTTCAAATCTGTGTTTTCTGCCTCAACGGTTTGGATCTTTTCTTTAAATCCATCAATTTCTTTACTTAAAGACTCGAGCTCTGCCTTGTGGCTATCATTTTTCTGCTTGATTTGAGTGTCAAGCTCTGTGTTCTTTGTTTCCAAAGTATTTACAGACTTTTTGTAAGATTCAACATCCTTAGTCCAAGCCTTCTTGTCCTCAGCAGACTTGGATTCTACCTGAGTGATTTTTTGCTGTAATTCAGCTTTGGCTTTTGTCTCTGCAGCGAGTTCCTCTTTTAATACACCAAGATTTTTTTCAAGAGCATCTTTAGCCTCGGATACCGAAGCAAGTTTGGTGTGCACTTCTTTATCACTTGTATTTTGAGATTGGAGCTCCTCAAGTTTACGATCCGACTCGGTAATTTGAGTTTCGAGCACCTTAATTTTGGCCTCAAGTTCGGCGGTATTGTCTTGGAGGCTCTTTGCGGTTTCTTGACTAGTTGCAGCCTCTAGTTCGGCAACCTTTTTTTGGAGAGACTCACGCTCAAGCTCAATTGAGGCTATTTTTTTATTGTCGGCTTCAAGATCCTCGATCTTCTTGTTTAATTTGTCTATCTCTGTCTGGTCAACAGAAGAATCGGGTTTTTCTGATGCTTCTAATTCCTTTACTTTCTCGCGGAGTTCGCTGACGGTGGTCTTTGAGACTTCACTCTCCTTCTCAAGATCCTTGACCTTCTGAGTCAACCCTCCATTCTCTTTGGATATGCGTCTTAATTCGCTGTTCAACATCACCGTCTTTTCATTCAACCCATTGAGGTATTCCACCAACAAACCCGCATCGGATATGCTGGAAATAGGGGTGTTTTCTTGCAACACCTTCTCGAACGACACGATCAACTCGCCTTTTCTCTTCTCGGTCTTGTAGGCGTCGAGAAGCAACGGATACTTTTCCTCGTACTTGGCGAACTTCTTCATCTTGGATCGGATGGTGGGCGGCAATTCATTCACATCAATTGGTGCAGGCGTTCCCTTTACACTATCAGCTTCGGGAGTGGCCAGCTTGGAGATTTCTCCCTCACCCTCAGCTACTGGTTCGTCCTCCGGCTGGGTCAAGTCTTTGGGATCAGGGGTCTTGGTGCTCAACACTTTGGCTTCGTTCTTCAACTCCCGGATGGCATTGGGTCGACGCCCATTAGCCGTGGCCCCATTTTCATTGAGATTCAACTCGTTGAAGCTCTTGGCCACGTCTTCGGAGAAGTTCTTTAGTTTGGAAAACATAGCCAGTGGAGGAAGCTTGTAATGTTGGAGATATATTCGCGTCGTGCACTTGGGCGAATAGACCAGGCTTGCGAACAGGACCATGACAGTGGTGACACTGGCGAAGGCTGGTAGTCTAGACTAGAGAAGTTCTAGATATTGTAGTAGGGACGGAAACTGAGCTGAGCTTGGAGCTGGCTCGAATACTTGTTGAGTGGCCAGAGAATAATTATAAGAATCTGATTATTCCGAGAGAATAGAGATATATTAGATATAAATCCTTGAAGGAGGAGCAGGCCCACTTAGCTGTATTAGGAGCTCTTTTATTAACTCAGGGAAGTCTTAGGCTTGAAAGAACCGTTTAGGGAATTGCCTTTGGCTGGTAATTTATTTCAGCGTCACTTCTGATTGGGGTCAATTCTAGCATCTCTAGTCTTGGACTCTTCGAGATCTCAAGAGAGGACAATTTGGACAGTTTACCTACAGCAACAATGCTGTAATTTGCCTACTACGAATAGTACAGAGGGTGTACGGCTCAGGCTATTTCTTTGGGGCTACTAAAGCTCAAAGTCACGTGATCATATTTTCCCGAAGTGTTAGAGATCATTTACTCCACATCCAGCCATCTCCGGCGCTCAGAGTTCTGGTGAGATGTTATTGGATATAGCTTCTTGGTTTGCAGAAATGAACTGGCTATTTTCATGTTTTTTTTACATTTTTGGGTGAGGTACTATCTGGAGACCCAGGCACCCGGAAGTCGTCAAATGCACGTGTATAGATATCCGGACAATCCACCGAGATCCAAACCTGGAGATGGACTAGGCCATGTAGTTGATTGCACATGGCGTAGACCCTGTCTATACCCTCGGCTTACTATTTCAGACATAGTGGTACTAAAGGTAATTAGTCCTAATTAGTATAATTATACTATTCAAAATTGGACCCCAGGCTTCGAGTAAATATGAAGAAAATACAAAGGAAACCAACCCTCGAGTCTATCCACCCTATCTGTCGAGTATCGGTGCTGCAGGGCTTTCCTGCGACCAAAACTGCCATGAATGGGCTGTTTGAGCTGTCCTGGAACTGTGGGACATCTGGTCATGTGACCACTTCCCCAGGTCAAATTGCGGATCATTCATCCTTATCTAAACCGCCACTCCACACTCAGAGCTCCTTATCCCAACCACCTTTCCCCTTTCATTTCCCTTTAGAGGTACATATTCACGGGCGGGTAGCTTCAATCCATACAGTAACATCGCATTTGCATCCACTTGAAGCCTTTTGAAGCCTCTTTTCGATTAACGCCAGCCCCCAACACCCAACTGTCATTTCCCTGCTATGCCATCCACAAAAGACGTTCGTAAGGCGTTGACCAAAGTCACAATCAACCTTGATTCTCTTCAATCCAGTCTCGAAGAGAGAGACCGCCTCGTTCAAACGCTCAAACTAACGCCCTCTCCCGATGATAACTACGACTTGATCAACATCATCCAAAAGGTGTTAAAGGCGCTTAATTATATCCAAGACGACTTGGTCTATCTTATTAACCAGGGCGAAGTGGTGGATGAGCTCATCGAGTCGTTCAAGGAGGTATCGTCGAGATACGACCAGTACATTAACGAGCTAACCCACGATGCATACATCACAGTCGAGGAGTATGAGTTCATAAGGAAAGATTTGCCAAAAGAAGAATCAAAGAAACCAAAAACCGTCAGATTTAGAGACGACGTGACTGAGGATAACGAGGAGCTTAGAACGGAGTTGATGGGCACCAGAGCGTTCAAACCGTACAGTGACGACGAGCCACAGACCGACGCGGAATCATTCGACCATGAGACCAACCAACAACTCTTTGCAAAGCACCAGCAGACCCTCCTTGACCAGGACCAGGACCTAGACATACTACACGAATCGATCAAGAGGCAGCATTCTATGGGACGCACCATCAATACAGAGCTAGATGACCATTTGATTCTTTTGAATGACTTAGAGCTGGGTGTTGACGTATCACAGCAGCGGTTGAACTCTGCCACTCATAAGCTTCTGGTGTTCAGAACCAGGGTCGCTGAAAACGGCAGCTTGGTGACCATAGTGGTGTTGACGATCATTGTGATAGTGTTGTTGGTGACCTTGAACTAAAGTTCCTGGGCCGAGTAGGAGTGAGAGATAACCAAAGGGAATTGGATCATTATAGAGTTCTAGATTTCACAATTAGAATGGTGTTCCATGTATTTTTGATCCTCATTTCGTCTCTTTCCTCGGGGAAACAGGTAGATGCTACAGGGTAGTGTTGCTGGAACTCTCGGTATTCTTAACTGTATTAGTGTATGAATAGAATGTAATTTACGAAACGTCGACTGTAATGCTGGTAAGCTCAAATCTATGGAGAATCGCCATTCGAGCCGCTCTAGATCTACCAGAGTGGGGGCTGGGAATGGACGCAAGCTGACGAGGCAGACTTTTGGGATGAAACCAAGTCATAGTATATTGGACCAGACTGCTCAAGAAATGAAACATGTGAGGATAATACTGGCGGGGCTGCTGGAACGCCCCTAGAAGTTGAAGTCGTCGTTTTCCTCCTCGTTCTCGCTGAAGAACCAGATGAACACGATGATGTCTCCGTACACTATCAACCCTCCAATGATACTCATGACCATGGACCCCAATTCGATCAAGCCAGTGTGGTAGAACGTTAAAGGCAATGCAATTCCGCTGACGATCAAGAACCCGGTGAACGACTTGCAGAACTCCAGGAAGGGCGAGGGCCTGTCGCCCTCGTTGTTGTTGAACGTCAAGAAGTCGTCTCTGGAGTTTTCGATGGCTTGTGCTAGGATATTGGGCAAGGGGGCAAGGAGGAAAATGAGGATGACCCACAATGGCTTATAACTATTATACAATGCGCATGACAACAAGATCAAGAGGAACCCCGAAGCCAAGAATGCCGACAAGAAGATGATTTTGTTCAATGGATTCATCTTAGTATGAAGATATGAGTTTATGGGTGAATTGTATACACGTGAGTTTTGGTTAGCGAGGACAAGTGCAGGTTGAGTGCGTGGAGTGAGTATAAGCGAAAGAGGACATGGTTGGGGGGTGGGAGTGTATCGAAGTGTATCGAAGTGTATCGAAGTGTATCGAAGTGTAGTCGGGAGCGAAGTAGATAGGCAATGTAGGGCATGGATGCTGGGAGAGCTGGTCTTCTAGGATATGTTGGCTTGGTTGGCTTTTTGTGCCGTGCCGTCTAAATGGGTTTCCTGCGGCTGCGAAATTGAAACCAGCAGATTATACCTGGTAGTGGCTACTTCGTGTATGTACTGGACTTGACCTTCCTTGGGATATTCACCAGTAATACTTACTGGTGGATATTAAGGGTATCAGTAAATACGCTGAAGTGACCATTCCTTGGTATTCACTAGAGAAATATTAAATGGGAAGAGGCTATGAGAGATCTCCTCTGTTACCTCCTCCACCGTATGTGAAAAAATGTATTCTTGTCATTATTCTTGTTTAAATGAAGGATTGTTATTGGATGTAGTTGTTAAATGTTAAGCAAATATAGCTAAATCTAGTTTCCAGAGTATGGTGAGGATTTTGTTTGCTTCCAAGTATTCCCCAAATATTAATACTATACTACACTAAGCTCTATCTGAATTCTCCTTTCTTTGCTTCGGGCTTTCCTGCTCTGCACGAATACACAAATAAATATGAATTCTACCTGGAATGGGGATACTTCACAGCAATAGAAATTGTACTAGCAGAGGTCCAATTATTGTTAGATTCGATCGGCCATAGAATCTAATGACTCTCTGGTGTACTCGCTCAATACAACATCCTTAATCATGCTCAAATCATAAAACATATTAATCATAGTCACTATTTACAAATACCGAATCCCATACAATACTGCCATACTCTGGCCAGAGCTAAGTCTTATCCCAATCACTCCTCCCTGGAGTTCCAGAACCAACCCCCGTTAGACTTATTAGCACCGTGCTCGACGTTTTCCACCACATTGACCCAGTCCTTCGCATCCAAAGGCTTGGATTTAGTGATCGTCTTAGTCACCAGTGTACCGTCGCTGAAATACTCGGTTCTGATTTCATTCAACTCGACTTCCTTGCTCTCACTGTTCATGTTGTAGGTGGACTGCAGGGAGCTGGAGACGACCTGCTTCGGAGTGTCCAAAGTGGCCGGTTGTGAAGTGGCGACTTCATCAAGTTTCTGGTTCTGCTTGTGGAATCTTCTTCTTCTGTTTGCTCTCTCTTCTCTGGCATTCTGGTACATGATACTCTTCCAGTTCATCAAATCCTCGAGCCTCCTGAAGTAGGTTCCCTTCTCGCCCAAATCAATCACTCCATCCTTCTCTTGAGCACTAGCAGTCTTGATTGCAGAATTGAAGTCTTCTTTGGTGAGGATCCGTTCAGGGAAGTTCTCGTTCTTGTATCTCAAATACTCGACAGGAACCTCGCTGTTTGGGAATAAGCATCTCCAGTAACCCTTGGAGTCCCAGATTGACTCGCCATTCTTGGTCATGCAGTCATTGTAGCTGCGAATGGATGGCGACTTATGGGAGTAGTAGCCAAAGGGAGTCTTTCCGTTCCTGAACGACCCGTGGAAATTGTCGTGGAAACCACTCCAGTTCCCGAACGGGCCTCCAACGAACCCCTCAAAGGTGTCCTTCTCGCCAAAGGGAGAGAATTGCTTGTGGAAGTGGTCTCTGATTTCGTAGAAGCTGGGGTACGCCCTTTCGCCAGTGTTGTAGTTGGATGCAACCTCGGAACCGTGTACCACTGCCCCGGAGCTGAGATACTCGTCTGCCAATTCGTTGGCTCTCTCGTGGGTCTTCTTGTCTAAGTCGTCAAAAAACTTCCACGAGCCTTTCGTCTTCTCATTGATCTCGTTGACTGAATGGAGCGTCAAGTTGTAGACGGATTTGGCGATGGAGGTGAGGTTCTTCTTCAAGTCGTCCACATCGTTCAAGATCTCGTCATAGTGTTGCTTCTTGGGGTCGCCCAGGATCTGGGCCTTTTCGGAGTTGCTCGCGTCTTTGTCGCCGGAAGCTGCCATATCTGTGAGCTAGAGGGTAGTTATTGGTGGAGGGGAATTGGTTTGCCATCCGTGCTTGTAAGGGATGGTCGTGTCGCAGCGCATTTTAGGGTGCAAAAAAGTCCAGAATTTGCCAGAAGCTGGCCAGCCGCACAATGCCAGGAACCGCTGGAGTTGTGGGAGCGGCTGTGAATCTTGATAGACCGAACCTGCTGGTGTACAGCTTACCATATTGGTAGCTTGCAGTTTATCCCCGGGTTTCGGTTTGACGAATGGACCTTGCTAACAATTCTGGGAGCTTGTCAATGTCTCTTTCATGCTTTTATTTAACATAAACTGCTTGTTGGATTTTAATAATTTTAGTTTATTCAAAGTAGTGCAATAAAGCACTATAAATGTGATTCATGGGTGATATCAGCTCAACATCCGCTGATAGCTAAGTTTGACTCAACCTATCTCCGTATGGTGGAGGACTGAAAACTATCCTGAATACATACAATGCCTTGTAGGCAGCTGATCCGTTCGAATATGGAGCCTACACCGGGGAGATTTACCAATAATCGTATACTATTAACTAAACAAGTGAGCGAAATGAACAGTGTCTAATGCAGGATCATAAGATATTAGAAATGGCATGACAGAAGGAATATTAGGGATAAAAATGCAGGTGAACATTAGGTCAGTTTTGAATGCAGAGATAAGGGATGAAGAAATGGATCAATTAACATTAAAACGGAGAAATTAAGGGGAAATGGATGAGACTCGGGAAACTATCCAATAGTAAGTGCTTTGAAAAACGGGACGGGAAACTGACTGGGGTAAAAACTGACTTTATACTGGAAACTGAATTTTGGGAATACTAAACTGACTCTGGGGACTGAAACTGATTTTTGGAGTAAATACTGAGGAGACTTTGAACGGATTGTGATTTCTGGCTGCAGTTCAGGGGATTTCCTGGCACTGGCTGGATGAACTAAACTTCTACCAGTTGCGGCTGCCGTACTGGTTGATGCGGTTCTGCACCATGTAGCTGTGGTCGATGGTGTTGTAGTCGTGCGAGTACTGGGCCTGTTGGTTGGCGCTGACCACTCTTCTTCTCATAGGCATGGCGTTGGGGTTTGGAGGCGTTCTCTTTGGCGACTGTGCCATGTACGCCATCCGCGTCTTGGGAGTGCTCGACATGTCGCCGTTGCCAGGGTAGCTGACCCTGTTGGGGTTCTTGTGGCCATGGTACTCGTTCATGCGGTTGTACTGGAAGCTGGGAGACGCCACGGGCGTGTTCAACAGTGGAGGGCTTAACGTGGGAGTCGACAGCACTGAGCCGTCGCCTGGGATCGCTGGCAAGAACTCCATGTCGGAAAGGACGTCAAACGACTTGTGCATGTAGAACTTGTTCATGATCCCCTTGTAGGCCTGGAGGCGCTGGTTGTCAAGGGGAATGGAGGTGCCGAGGCCCGCAACCGCCACCGTGGTGCTGGCACTGGACATGCCATTTCTCGAGGGGAAGCTCTCCATGATAGTGTTGTGAAGATGCTGGAGGCGCTAAGAAGAATGTTGGTGATGGTGAAAATTTTGGTGGTGCGCACAAATGCAGTCTGGGGAATCAACAGAATTGCACCTTTGACCACACTGCAAAAACATCCACCAATGACCACACCGATATTTGCACCGTTGCGGTTGGTGGCGCTGAGCCGAAGCTATGCAACGTCGCTCAGGGGCGGTAGCAGGCTCAAAAAGGCCGCTAGCACCTCCAAAACGCCTCCATCCATCCATCCTACCACTCCAGTGAGAACTCGTTTTGCACCTTCTCCCACTGGCTATTTGCACTTGGGATCGCTACGAACAGCTCTCTACAACTACCTTCTTGCCAGAAGCACAGGTGGCCAGTTCCTCCTCCGGCTCGAGGACACTGACAGAACACGCTTAGTGCCAGATGCTGAGCAAAACATTTACGACAGTCTCCGTTGGTGCAACATGACAGTGGACGAGGGTCCCGAAACAGGCGGCAAATACGGTCCATACAGACAGTCGGACAGAAAGGACATCTACCAGCACTACGTGCAGATCTTGCTCGACAAGGGCTTAGCGTACCGTTGCAGCTGCTCCAAGGACCGCTTGAACAGCTTGCGCGAATCGGCCATGAAATTGAAGCCACCCACCACCGTCACCTACGACCGAAAATGCGCATTTGACCCCCAACACAGCCATACCAGCGACGACAGCGTCATCAGGTTCAAATCCCCAGACAAATACGAGCAGTTTGACGATTTGCTCCACGGCAAATTGGACCTCCAGCCTCAGTACAACTACAACGACCGCAGATACGACGATATTGTGATCATGAAGTCCGACGGCTTGCCCACCTACCACTTCGCCAACGTAGTGGACGACCATCTCATGAAAATCACCCATGTGATCAGAGGTGAAGAGTGGCTACCATCGACCCCCAAACACATCGCATTATACCGTGCATTCGGGTGGGAGCCCCCCTCTTACGTCCACATCCCCCTCTTGACATCTTTGGGCGACAAAAAGCTCTCCAAGAGACAAGGAGACATCGGCATTTTGAGCATGAAGGAAAAAGGCATCTTACCAGAAGCATTGGTCAATTTCGTGGCATTGTTCGGATGGTCACCTCCACGTGAAACTCCGGGGGTCAGCACCAGCGAGTCAATGACCCTAGACCAAATCATCAAGAGCTTCTCTTTGGACCACTTGACCAAGGGAAATGCTAAAGTTAACGACTCCAAATTGTATTTCTTCAACAAGCACCATATTACCCTGGCAATTAATGATCCTCAGAAGTTCCAAGAATTGGTTGACAGCAACTTTGATAAGTTTCACAGTTTTAGTGGTGGAAAATACAACAAAGACTATTTTGCCAAAGTACTCAAATACCTAGGCCCAAGCTTGTCGTCCTTGGATGAAATAGAAACCCTCCACAGATACATTTACGAACCTGTGAATTACGCAGAACTCACTAAAATTCCATCGCCCGATTTCGTACATATATTGGACAGGCTTTTACACCTTTCAAGTACATCATTTGACGAAAACGTTAAACTTTTGTTAAAGGAAAACCCGGAGCTAACCAAAAAAGACATCTTTCAAACTGTTCGTTTTGCGTTGTCTGGAGGCACTTCTGGTTTGACGATTCCTCTTTTGATCGACTTACTCGGGGAGCAAGAGTTCAAGGAAAGATTGACCAGAGCCACAGAAGTAATAATAAAAAAAGCGTAGGTTATATGCCTAGGAAAACTAATTGCAAGTTCGTGGACATTGCTACATTAATTAATATTGATCTATGGCTAATTAGCTTATCTATTGAAGATCCACAGGATTCATTCCAATCCAAAATCTATCCAGCTACCCGAACAAAATCCATATAGTCTGGATTCTTCGAATCCTTCTCAACTGGCCCTATAAATGGCCCTGTATATATACAATGAACCACCATATCCGGGTGATAATACAAACCTGTCAATAGTTTTGGAGTAACCAAAAAGTATTGTGACTTGTTGTTTTGACAAGCAGTGTGAACCAAGTATCTATGTGCCATTTTTTCATTCTTTGGATCCATACCTTGGTTAATTTCATCCACTACTCGCAATGGAGCATCTGTAAGTCCTTGCAATGCCATTATGAAAAAAATGGTGGAAACCGCTCTCTCGCCTCCTGATTGAGATTGGTGATCCAATACCTTTAGTTCGGACTCCAGTCTAAACTTGACCAAAATCTGCAACTTCCAATCCTGATACCGCTCACTTTTTGCCAATTCAACTCGACCATCACTAGCAACTTTAGAGAACCTCTTATTGAAAGCCACAGATATTTTCAGCACCAACTCGGTGAGTTCTGGCTCCCAAGTTTTTCTGATCAAGGAGATCTGAGAGAGCAAATTTTCCCTACGCTCAATAATTCTTGGTAAATCATTCTCTGCACGAGATATCTCGTCGTTTTTCTTCTTCAAACTCTCAATAGAACCCTGATCGGCTGTAGACTTGATGGACTTCTCGTTTTCTAATTGTTGTATCTTTTCCCTAATATGGTCCTCAGTAAATATTTCTTTCTCCATATACTCTTTTGCTAATGTACTCAAGATTTCCTTCTGTTCTGGAGTGTATTTTTCACTTTGTTTTCTGATTTCATTGGCTGCCTGACTGTTTTTTATTTCATTGTATTTTTTCTTGGTTTCCAGAACTATCTTGCTCAATTCCTCAAGTTTTTTTCCTATTTCTTCCATCAACACTTTGAGATTGGCATCCTTATTTTGTGCCTGAAGGAGCTGTAGTTCTGCTATGTTGAGACTGATCTCACTTCGAGCCAATTCGTGAGAATATTGGGATAATGTAGACATTTTCTCGCATCTAGCGGTGTATTTTTCCTGTATTTTAGCTTTGACCTGGTTGATCTTGTCGGTATAATCCTTTTGTGACTCACGCTCCAATGTTTTAATTGCTTCTTCTTTAGATTTGATTCTACCATCAAGGTTTGCCTGTGCACTTTTCAAATGGCGGAGTTCATCGATCTTTGACTTCAACGTGTCCAGCTCATGAAGGAGGACCAGTTTCTCGTCATCAACTAGTTTGATTTCATCTTGAATGGACTTAACTTGTACCCTTGCTTCTCTCTCTCTATGCTTCAGTTCGAGAATCCTCTCTTGAAGATCTTGCTTAGCTTCAGAGGTAAGGCCGGTGGTACCAAAATAATGTGATCTGGGATTAATCTTTTCCGTGGAGTAAAAGAGCTGTCTTGAGCCATAGTTGGATCTTTGGACAGTAAACAAGAGATCCCCTGCAATAAATTTACGGAATGGAATCTGATCATTATTCCCTGGTGAGGTCAATCTTTGGATTTCGTTGTCACTCAAGCTTCTCTTAGAGACAGGAATATTGTGGATTTTGGAGGTATCAAACAACATATTCAACACCTCGTCTGGACCCGAAATATAATCCGACAAAAATCCCAGAAATCCATAAGCGCTCAATTGCTCTTGCAGCATTGATGGTCTGGGTTTTTCTTTTTCGTTTGTGAATCTGACTGGAAAATTGAGCTTCTTGACATTGAATGCATAATCAGTGATCTTCCTGTAATTTTCTTGTGAGGACACAGTTATAGAGAACAAGGTATTGTTATCAATTACCTTTTCTAAGTAATGCGCATAACTCTTGTCTGTCACGTCACAGCATACAACTGGTGCTTCGGAATATAAACCCTTAAACTCTGGTTTTGCCCTTAACTCGACATGAGCATTGTATGAACCGTCTCTCACTGGGTTATGATATCTCGGAGTTGGCTCCAACACATCGAGCTTGTCTTTGCTGTTCAATTTGTCTTCGTATCTTTTGCAATCATTCATTGCCATCTTGAGAAAGTTGTGTGGACGGGCTAAGCTATCGTTCAAGGTCTCCAATTGGGAGTTCTTTGAGTCTATAAGATCTTTCCTGGAATTCGATAGATCCACCAATTCTTTCAACTGATTGTCATCAACCACTTGGACCTTGCTACGGCTTCGTACCAACTGCTCTCGTTCGGACCTCAACTTCTCCAATTGCTTCTTCTTATCGGCAGACTTGTTTGTCAATGCTTCTGCTGTTGCAATTAATCGATCGATATCCAAGTTTATGGTCTCATACTCGGATTTTCCGATTGCAAAGTTCTTCTTGAGGTCCTCGTTGGAACCTTGAATAGCTTCGAGCGCTTGTGCGCTCTGCCTTACAGCTGCGAGAGCCCCTTCCAGGGCCTCGAGAATGGAGGCTACTTCTGATCTAAATTTGATCAAGTTGGCTTTGGCCTCATCCTTCTGTTGTTTGAGATGGCCCTGTTTCTTCTTCAAGTCCGACAATTGAGCAAAAGGCAAGAGCTGGACGTGATTACTCAAGTCCGCGGTTACTCGCTCGTATTCCTTATACTTCTGGGCCTCCTCTTCCAAGCCGTCACGTTCTTCTTTCAATTTGGAAAGCACCTCTTGCAAATTGGATATTCTGGCCTCCAAGGTATTCTTTTCACCGTCGATGGAGATCAAGTTTTCATGCTGCTCCAACAAATGTCCATCGCCAAGCGTCCTCTCTGTCTCCAACAATAACTTCTCTGGCGAGAGGCCAGCGAACTCGGCCACTCGTTCCTGGGGCAAGAAGTGGCACAAGTTGTCCAACTGGATGTTCAAGGCCCTGCACTTGAGCTTGACCGCTTTTTCCGTGGTGCTCTTGTTGTTCATGGTCCAGGTGGACTCCTTTTCTGTGAACGACCGCTGGATGCGGAGGGGGGGCTTTCCGTCCACGTCCTTCATGGTGATCTCGATGGACCCTCGGGTCTCACCGCTCTTGATCATGGACTTCATGCTCTTCCGCTTGATGAGGTCGAGCTTGCCACCTAGTCCAAGGCAGATGGCTGCCACCAACGTGCTCTTGCCTGTCCCGTTAGGACCAATGATCATGTTGAGCGATGGCGACAAGTTGAACTCAGCATAGTTATAGGTGGTGAAGTTGCGGATGGTGACCTTGATGATGTATCCTGGACGGAATTTGTCGGGAGCACCATTGAGCTTCCTTCGCTTGGACGCGTCCTGGGTGTACTGGGAGAGGTGCCCAAGATCTGACACGCTTAGCATCGAGGAAGGCATGGACTGGTGGATAGGTACAGAATCTGTTTTGGGCGCGTAACTGTCCGTGCCGCGATGGCAAGAGGGCCTAGAAAGATGTGGGAGAAACGAGCTCCACAGAAGTGATGGTGTGCTGATACGAGCAGGGGCAGTAGATGGCGGTGTAGCTGTGCTGATGCCGCTTTCTGGGGCCGCTAGAGCTGCTCACTGGCCCAGGGGCTCGTCATTACCTCCTGATACACCCCAGGGGATCATGTTCATAATTACGTAAGAATGTTTGATCCGTTACGTAACTGTTGTTTACGTGGGAGAAAACCAAAAAACATCCGTCTACTCCAACCACTACTACAACCATGGTACGTTAGCCCCCACGGCAGGCCTACGCAGCTATGAGCGTGTCCCGAAACACTCTTGCTGCTCTTTGCTGGCAGCCGTCCTTTGGCGCCGCCAATGCAGCCTCCTGATCCCGCTTTACTAACCACCAGTCCCAAAACACCAAGACCTACAAGGACGCATTTGCCCTCTTCGACAAGAAGGGCACCGGAAAGATCCCCGTCGAACACTTGGGCGACTTGTTGAGAGCCGTGGGCCAGAACCCCACCTTGGCTGAGATCTCGGAGTTGCAGAGCTCGATCAAGTCCAACGAGTTCGATTTCGACACATACCAGAACATCATCGGCAGACCCGACGGATTCAAGCCTTTGGGGTTGCCCGAGGACTACATCAAGGGCTTTCAGGTCTTCGACAAGGACCAGACCGGGTACATTGGCGTCGGTGAGTTGAGATACATCTTGACGTCCATTGGCGAGAAGTTGACAGACTCCGAGGTCGACGACTTGTTGAAGGGTGTCAACGTCACCTCCGACGGCAACGTGGACTACGTCGAGTTTGTCAAGTCCATTTTGGACCAATAGACGTCTGGATTCTACGACGCCAAACAGCCACGCTGGTGCCCCTCTGGCGCCACGCTGCCCCCACCACTCGAAGCTGAGGAGTTCCTCCCACTGCCCTCGTTGTGGACCCCCACTACCCTCTGGGTGTAGAGCACAACCTCCTATATAGTTTCATATACCCTGTTGAGATTTTGTGTAAATGTCGCGGTATGAAAACCACCAGCGATTCCATTCCAAAGACTCCATCCATCGCCATGTCGCTAGCAGATGCTCCAGACTTGCGTGTCAACGAGCGGCTCCACCTCTACCCGTACGAACGGCTCGAGGCGCTCAGCATCACCAGTGGCATAGTGGGGGGCCTCGCAGGCTTCTACGACGGCCTCAAGTCGTCATCGTTGCGATACTTGACAGAAAACGGTCACAGACTTCCCCAGACTGTGGGAGGCTGGTACTTCTACCACAAGAAGAAGAACTACGTGATGATTGTCACTGGTGGTAAGACTGCTGTGCACCAAGGCTTGAAGTACTCGATGTCTGTGGGAGGGTTTTTTGGGCTCGAATACTTGATAGACACCTATGTCAGAGGAGGCACAAAGGACTTCATGAACACCACAGTGGCTGCTGGCTTGTTTGCAGGAGCCTACGGCAAGTACTACCACTTGAGCAGGATCCAGGTGCGCAACTACGTGCGGAACGGAACCATGTTGGGGTTGATGTTGGGGTTGGCCCAAGACATGCTTATTTACCGAAGAGGAGGAAGCGTGTGGTATGTGGACAAGATGAAGAAAATGGAGGCTTAGAAGAAAGAGTTCTCTCGTGAAGCTCTCTACGGTAACGAGGAATCCTCATGTTATAATGATACTATTCTGACGAGGTTTCTAATGCTAGAATACTGCATTCATAAACATCTGCGCTGGCTACTGAACATAATGAACAGTACAATTAATAACTGGGCCTTGGCAGATCCAAGGAATCAAATGTTCAACCGTGAAGTGGTGATCAATTCTGAACTGATCGAATACCGTTCCAAAAATCCTGAAAATAGTATATCAGCACCTTAAAAGGAGAAAGTAGGATCAAAAATGCCTAATCTCGTTCCTTAAGCGTTCTCACGTTTCAGGCTGTACTTTTCAGTGCACTTATTATCGATTATAAACCTGTGTTTTATAGATTAACGAACAAACTTAATTATTCGAAATTGAACCACCAACCTCACGAACGTGGGATTTACTCCGAGAGTAAGCGATCCAATAGTTAGTTGGCCACCGATTGAAAATTGAAGATACGTAAGGCATATTCTTGTAGCCCAAAGGAAAGAAAGTGTAAGTTGTCGTCAACCCGGCGATCGCGTCAAGCTCAGCCAGTAGCTTATTATAAGCCATCATGGATCTCCTACATTTCATAATAATCCCTTACATTCACTCTATTCTATCATTCCTCCTCATCAGAATCGTCCAAGTCCGGCACAGGGTACTTTAACAACGCAGCTATTCCCGTCAACTGGTCAAGTTGAATGCCCGATTCGTGCAAGCTGGAGAAAATAAATACCTCGGCTCCGTTGCGCTTGGCTCTTTCTGTCAACTCAATGTAGTCCTTTCTTTGCTGGATGTCATCACTTCTGAACAAGGTATCTGTGACCATCAAGTACCTGACTGCGTCCATGTCGATGGCCTTGGTGACCTCGTCAAGACCGTACCATGCTCTGCCATCGTCCAAGTTCAACGCCAGGTGGAACTGGTCGAGAACCTCCGATTCCTTCAAGAATCTGGTATCGCTCAATCTCTTTTTGGTGGCAGGGTCTTCCATCACCTCCTGCAAACCCTGGAGGTATCCGGTGGACGAATGGGCCACCAAGAACTTGTGCTTGTTCTTCAAGATGTCATTGTAGACCTTGGACGACTCGTGGTTCGAGTTGGAGCATTCTTGGAGGATTTTCTCGTAGAGGGTCTTTCCCACAAACCCTGGAGATGCTATTATGATGACCTTCAACTTGTTGAAGTCGAAATTCCTCACCATGGTGTCGATGACCATGGCGTAGAACTTGTTCATGGCCTTCTCTACCTCGCTGTTTCCGTAGTCCTTGTTCTTTCTTGGAATTGACTTTTCCACCTTGGCCTGGAGCTTGGTCATGCTTTCGGTGACGTAGCAGAAATGGGCTATTCCCTCTTGTAGCACGATGGCACCGATGTCTGCCTTCTTTTCTATGGATGCAAGCTCGTCGAGCAACTTCATGTCGTACTGGTCCCAGCTCTCCTTCAAGATGGTGATGTCCTTGCCAAGTTCGACCTCTGCCGTGTGGTAACTGTTCAAGGGCACGAACTCGTGGGGCTCGATGGACTTTCCGCTCAACCGCATACCCTCGTCGGACGCAACGTAGTCGATGTCCTCGAGACTCAACTTCAACTTGACCAACACCTTCTCCATCTTGCTCTTGCCTTTCTGGACGGCTGTTTGGTTGCCTTTCTTGACATTACGATGGGTGAGCACCAGAACCACATCGCCGATGGAGAGGAGGTTATAGATATACCACAAGTCCTCTGAGTCCTGGGGCACAAGCGTGAGTGCCACGTTCTTGTCTTTGAGCTTGACCTTGGACTTGATAATCATGGTGTGGAGGTAGCAATTGCTTAGTGAAAGAAAAACGGTGTATGGATAAAAAAGATTGAGATAGCGAGCGTGGAGATGTTGCACGGCTGCGATGACTCTATCGACGAGAATTAGTCACGAAGTCGCCCACGGGAAAAGCGAGAGGAGCTTATTGAGAGAGTTGGGGGGGTTGGGCACTTTGTTGATGGGCTATCTTGATGTCACCAGTAGGGAATGTGGCATAAGTGTCTAGAGTAGAGAGCAAGAGGGAACTATCAGTGACTCCACGAACGATATTATTCAAAATGGATTTTATAAATAATTAACAACCGTCGATTGGTGAGTTGGATTGACAAGCACAGGCCTAGAAATACCAAGCCAAGTACCCTTAACTCAATACTCTGAAGTAACTCACCAGCTACCATTTCAGTACTGGCTGATAGTTTGTTTCTTCTCTCAGTGATAAGAACTAACTCGACTGAATTATTCAGATATCGAATAGTGTTCAAGTTTGTCTACATCCAGTATTTCGCAGCCGAGTAAATAATGGAAAGCTTTTCATCCTACTTCTCTGAATTAATGAAAACATCCTTGCTTCACCACTTACACACCCAGCAATTCTCATCATTGCTGTGAACAGCGACTATATGTTCTCGGTTTCCCAGTCTCCTAGAGGGAAAGCTGCGAATTCTGAATCCATTACTTTCCTTGTCGGGACAAAGAGCATCTAGAAAGGAACAGAACCCAGAGTGGTAATACGTCTCCTTGATAATTTGATCACCAATTCGTTCGAAAAGCTGTAGAGATACTGGTCGGAAAGGACACAGCTGATATTAAATAGCACTCTAATGGATGTCGATAATTTGCTACTATATTAATTGATTTGCTCTAGCTAATTACTTGACATCAGCCTTGACAAGAGTGCTGTTCTTACAGAATTCGCCCTTGGCGTTGACCAACTTCTTTGGCTCCTTGCCCTCCTCAGTGTAAGTGATCTCGAAGTTCTCGGTGGTGGAAAACAATGCCTGACAAGTTTCCCAAACCTTCTTCTTTGGGTTCAATTGCTTTTCTGGGGTACCGTCGAAGCTTTCGAAGAAAAGCTTGTCACCAGCCTTGGAACCAGCTGGTGGGTTGACAAATTCAACAGTACTTTCGTTGGAGGCACACAACACCATACCCATGGACTTGATACCTCTCATGGCAACTGGCTTCAAGTTGGCAATAACCACAACATATCTTTCTTGCATATCTTCGAGAGGGACGTACTTCACCAAACCAGAACAGATGGTTCTTGGACCGGTTTCTTCACCCAAATCAATGGTAGAAACGTACAAAGAGTCAGCGTTAGGATGCTTTTCTGCCTTTTGGATGAAACCAACTCTGAAGTCAATCAAGGCTGGGGTGGCTGGAACTGGAGCAGCAGCAGCTTGTTGCTTAGCGTTTTGCTCAGCCTTGGCCTTGGCCTTAGCTTCCTTCTTGGCCTTAGCAGCAGCAGCTCTGGCTTGCTTTTCTTCTTCGGTCAATTCCTTTCCGCCAGTGGCAGCTTCGGCTTGCTTGGCTGGGGCTTCCTTGGCGGCAGCTGGAGCAGCGGCGGCGGCAGCTGGAGCAGCGGCGGCGGCAGCTGGCTTCTTCTTTTCCTTGACTTCTCTTGGGAGTTCGACATCGTAGTTCAAGGTCAACTTTTGATCTTGTGGGACCTCGAAGAGGGTGTTTTGGACCAAATCAGCCCATCTCAAGATGTGTCTGTGCTTAGCCAAGTCTTCGTTGGAGGTCCATTTGGAAGCCAATGGCAAAACCTTTTCGAAAACGACCAAATCGGTCTTGGAGGGAGTGTTTCCAGTGACAAAGGTCTTGGTTCTTAAGGAGTCATTCAATGCTACCACCGATTCTGGTTCATCGAATCTGGTGGATAAGGTGTCAAACTGGGCAGCCAAAGCCTTTTGTTCGGCGCTAAATTGTGGGAATGAGGCTTCGTCGGCCTTGGAAGCTTCTCCTAACTTCAATTTGTTGAATTTTGCGATGAAATCAGCCATTCTGGGTGTGATGAAAGTTGCAAGATGGGGTACGGTTATCTAAATCCTTGAGAATTTTTTCATGGTCACGTGCTTAGGTATGAGTTTTGCAACTACATGGAGGTGGTGGATCGTTGGATCGTGAGTTGCGAGAGGTGTCCAGTCACTGTTTCTCGGAGTATTGTAGTGTGGATTTTAGCCAGTTAACGGTACTTTGCCACCCCCCTATTTTTTATGTTATTAGGTGTTATGAGATTTTACCCTGAAGTTGTAGATCTAATCGTAGAAATGAATGAAAAATTGGAATTCTGGCTAAAAGTTATCAAAAACTGCGCTTGTATGCGAATAATCTCCCATTTTTCAGGCTTGGAATAATTTATGGGATGTAATAAATTCTTCCTGGATTCCCCTGATTGTGGCGCATTGCAACAACTGAAATAGCCGTTTCCACGTCGTTAATCCATCGCAGTGCTGCTGCCAAAAGCACAGCGGTCGATTTAGCCCTTGCAGTTCGATTTAGTTTACTTGCCTATTTTTTCAAATTAGTCAAAATTCCTGGACTATCACACTTATCAGTTGACGAGACTACCATAATCACATGCTTCAAGAACACCCCTGGATAGCCATTCATGCTCTCGCCACGGAACCTTGTGGCCGAGCCAGCACCCTTCTACTGGTACGAAAAATTCCCCAGGCCAACCCCAAGCCTCGAGATCCACCATTCTCGCACCTGCCATAGTAATCAGCACACCCATTCTTTCCTCAAATTACCCACCTATACTCTACAATTATCACCACCCTCCATCGCCAATTTCATACCATCTTTTCCACTCTCGTCCCATCCTTTTCTCTCCTCCGGATCTCCCTTCTCGCCCTGATCTTCCTTATTTACTCACCCTCCAATCTCCGGTGATTCGCAGCCCGTTTTCGCCCCACCGGTCGCCTCCACCTGCGTCCTGCGCACCATCAAAAACTCGGACTTGAGTAGCCATTCTTCCGGGGTAAGCCACTGGCACACTAAATGAACTGAAATGAGCGTCCTAGACTTCGATACCCAGTCTGGGGAGCCCCAGAAACCAGTACGTCCAATTTGGGCGAGATTCGCCCAGAGGTTGCGGCAGTAGCCGTCCCTTCACCAAAACCAGCCTTACTAACACAACAGAAGAGAAAGAAGACAAACAGAGCATGCAACCACTGCCACCGGGCCCATATGACATGCGACACCAACAGACCCTGCAAGCGGTGCATCCAGCGAGGGTTGGATGCCACATGTGAAGATGCACCCCGCAAGAGAAAGAAGTACCTAGCAGACGTGCCCAACTCCATCCTCAGCCTGGCCAGCATGGAAATGGCACCACAACAACCCAATCCGGCCCAGAAAGGCATGAACGAGCTCCAGTTTCCGTCCGATAGCTCGTTTGGTGGGTTCAACCCCGTAAAGTCGGAATCCATGTCCATGCCAATGCACCCCAACCAGCGGCCCAACGCCCAGCTCCCCCAGTTGCCTCCCCAGTTGTCGCAATTGCCTCCTCCACAGGGCCTCCCGCTCCCCCAAATTCCCCAGTACAACCAATCGCCCAATCCGTCTAATGATCCCCTACATCGTCACCTCAAGCGTGCTCCTCGAAGGACAAACTTCCTTTCCTCTGCTGCCGATATGGAGTACTCCACGCTCTCGAGCATACTACAGGATAGTGTGGGCCACCCAGGCCACTCGACTTCCAATGAAGGCACTCCCAACTCCTTTAACATCTCCCCAGCATTATCACCCAGCACCATGAGCAATTCCATATCAGGCAACGCCCGAAACCCTCCCTCCGACCTTCATTTCCATCATAAGTCGCAAATATCGCCGTACTTCTCGGGCTCGTCCCAGACATCCTCCCCAAGGGATCCCGCAGGCAGATCCAGGAGCAATACTTCCATATACGATAATCCACGGTACCCCAAGTGCGACGAGTCGATCAACCAATACTTCCTCGGGCCTACGGAGACGGATAATGTGCTGATGTTTCCCGACGTCATCACTGCCATCGACTCCATCAAGCATAACGATCCTGCGGTGTACAACGAGCGTAACTCAAAGCTGACCCTCTCGTTCACCATTGGCATTGTTCCTGATGACAGTCACTACACCAAGTTGGGAGATGCCCAGGACAACGAAGGGTTCTTCAAGGAACCTGAGGAAATCTACGCCAAGGTCACCAAACCGTTCTCGTACACTCCAGGGTACCATTCTTTGATTGCATACCTCAAAAAGCGGTTTCCCAAGCCAATGTTAGTGCAAATGGCCAAGTCCATGGCTGCATACAGACCCTCATTCATTGCATGTACCAACTCGCTCAAAGAGGGCGACTTGATCTTCATGGAGCAGTGCTTTCAACGGACGTTGTTGACTTATGATAACTTTGTGAGAGTCAGTGGTACTCCCACCATAGTTTGGAGACGTACGGGGGAGATTGCCTACGTGGGCAACGAATTCTGCATTCTCACGGGTTGGTCCAAGAACGAGTTGGTGGGCCAGAAGAAATTCATCGTGGAGTTGCTAGACGACAAGTCAGTAGTGGAGTACTTCCAGTTATTTTCGAGAATTGCATTTGGGGACTTTTTGGGTGCTACCATGACAGAATGTACGTTGTTGACCCCCAAGAGTGACGTTAAAATCAGAACAGGATGTATGTGGACGCTAAAGAGAGATGTGTTTGGAATTCCCATGATGATTATTGGTAACTTTCTCCCTATTGTATAAATTAATAGACTTACGCCTGGCATGCCTAGCAATACATTTTAATACGGTAATTGGATTGTAAACTGAAAATTACGGATATTAGGGAGAGTATATTTTGGAAATAAAAGTTTATGAGCCGAAAGTGCTCTGGAACTGTAAGCTCATCCAAATGATTAATTTATCCCATCTTAATTCTAAGTTTCAAAAAGTACAAAAAGCAATATTAAGTATAACATTGAATTTTCAGGACTGGTCAAGCATTAATCCAAGTGTGCAACCCCGTCGAGATCCCTCAGCTAGAACATCCAGACAGCGTTGGCAAATAATAAAGACGAACAGGCAAACTCAGTCATTTCCAAAATCCTAGGAGACCAAAACATCCTTACTACAGCTGGACCTGTGTATTCTAAATATAATAATCGAACTAGAGACTATCTTACAGAAAATAATTATCCGTCCAGAAGCATCGGGAATAACTTGCTTTAATAATTGGTTTAGTCAACAGGAAAGCATTGAAAATTCTTCCACGCAATGGAACCAGATTCTCAAGAAACTAACTGTCTCCTCACTGACGTTTTGTGACCTTGTAGCCCCTTTTCAGGCTCACTCCGGCCATCCCCCACCCATCGGTGCTAATCCTTATTACATAATATCTATACGCACAGATTACGGGGCAGCCAACCGCTACACCCGTACCACTCCATTTACTCTCCTACCAACATCTTACACTACCAATTGCCATCTCACACCTTCACATCTCATGACATCCACCATCCTTGGCTTCCAGCCACGAGAGGGTCTCACCACCAATCTCATTACCGCAGTTGCACTCATCTGCTTGGGGTCGCTCCAGTTTGGCTACCATATGGCTGAATTGAACGCTCCTGAGTCTATCATCTCGTGTCGTGAGTCCAAGCCAGGCCACATCAGCTACGATGACTCATGGTTTGGACGCCATGGGTTCGAAAAGTGTATTCCCTTGACCACCGAGCAATTGGGCTTGGTTACGTCCATTTTCAGTATTGGTGGATTGATTGGATCGTTCTACGTGGGCTCAATTGCTGACAGAATCGGTAGAAAGAAGACGAGTTTGTTGCACAACGCGTTGTACTTCATTGGCTCCGGGATCAATGGGTTGAATAATGGCCACTACACCTTTTTGTTGGGGAGATTCATCGCGGGTTTGGGTGCTGGGTCTGCCATTGTGCTTACGTCGTTGATGATCAACGAGATCTCTCCACCCCAACTCAAGGGCTTGTTGGGCTCAATGAACCAGGTCTCCATCAATGTGGGGATCTTGGTCACCCAGCTACTCTCGTTGATATGGACTAACGACAACAGCTGGAGACTCTTATTATTAACTGCCTCTGCCATTGGGTTCGTCAACTTTGTTTTGATCTTCTTATTTGTGGAGGAGTCTCCGTTCTGGCTCGCCAATAACGGATATCGTACCAAAGCCATTGAAGTGTTGTACCATCTTAGAGGTGGTGACTACAATAGTGCCAAAAATGAAGTGCTTAGCTGGACTAAGCATGGCCAACTCGCAGACTCTGGGCCAGGATTGAGCGACCACGGAAGTTTATTGGAAGATGAAAGTGAAGATGAACCCAGGCCTCAACAGGCAGCAACTTCGGTGAACTTGGAAACATACTTGAAGTCCTCGGAATACAACAAATCAAAATTGGTAGCTACTGGTATTTTGGTGTTCCAACAGTTTGATGGTATCAATTCCATCATTTTCTACGGAGTTTCAGTTTTGGTTTCCATCTTCCCAAATTCCGCCATTATCATCAACTGTTTGATTTCAACCGTGAACTTGGTGGTCACCTTTGCTTCCGCTACACTTGTCGATCGTTTGGGCCGTAAGCCCTTGCTTTTAACTTCAGTGACCTTCCTTGGTATCCTGACAGCATTGATGGGATTTGGAATCATTCTTACTAGCTCTATTCTCTCGATCGTTGGGACTTTCACATACATAACCTTCTTTGCTATTGGATTGGGTCCCATCCCATTCTTGTTGGTAGGTGAAGTGACTCAACCCAAGGCAAAGGCACTGGCACAAAGTTGGGGTACCACAATGAATTGGTTAGCTACATTCATTGTGGGTTATAGTTTCCCTATCTTGAAGAACTCCTGGATCGGAGGAGGTGTATACTTCATCTTCACTTTTATGTGTGCCTTGAGTTATTGGTTCATCAGCAGCCAGATTCCTGAAACTAAGGGCCGTGACACTTACGAGGAAGTTTGGGGATTGCCCAGAATCGAGTAAGTGGTAGTCAGCTGGGTTCCAATTGAGTTTCTGGCAGTGATAGCATAAAATAAAGACATAGTCGACCAATTGTAATAAACAGGGTCATCTTGCACCAAAAGCAATATTCCAGCTTGACTATTGTTTTCAACCGCAAGTAGATGAATCAATAAATAATTGGATGGGCTGATCTTTGACAGCTAAGCTCGTGTAACTAGGATTCTGAGTGCTGTCTAGATCTCAGGTGAACCGTTGCAATGGTGTCCCATACTCTACCAGTACCCTTCTGTATGCTCTTGGCCAGTCTCTCTACACGATGGTCATGGCGCATGTCTACTGGATGGCATACGAACTACGCTGCAACCTTCCACTGGCCACTTCTTGGTGTGCTTGCTGAGATCTCCGATTTGCAGCCACCAATATGGTCCAGTGTCGTACAATTGCTGCTTCAGCGCATTCCAAGTAAACCTTTGATTGACGACCCTCGTCACCACGCCCCCTCCTACATCACTGAGTGTCAGGCAGTCCAAATTCTGGCTGGATGATCTACTCCAAAGAATCGCTCTGCGCGATTCACTATGCTGATTGCAGCCAGTTGATGACAATATCTATAGATCTCTAGATTACAGACTAAATAAACAAGTATACTAACTCCACCACGTGGATAAATACCTACCTAATCCACGTTCCCACCACTGGCCTCACGCTGCCAACGACCGCCCCCGTCGCTGGTGACAATACCACCAGTGTATAGCACAGGACCATTTGGTCACATGATAACAGTCCTCTCTAGGGCCCGAGCCCTCGCACTCTACTCTGCAGGACGCACCCTCACCCACCAGTCCTGCACGACTCCCTCCGCACCCCGGTCCTCACTGTTACCGCATTGGGACGCCTGCACCAGTGTGAGCAGGTCCTATCCAGTCTGAAAAATCTTCACCTCAAAAGTCTTCCTTTTTTTTTAAAGGTTGTTTGATAACTAGTCTTAACATTAGCAATGCCAACCAGATTAACTAAGACCAGAAAGCACAGAGGACACGTTTCCGGTATGTACTACACCCCATCATTCATATCATAATCGGAGGAGCACAGAGCCCAGCATCAACCGCAAAGGCCTAGTCGACCAATGTGAATCTCATCGTCCGTGGACAATACTAACAAACACAGCCGGTAAGGGTAGAATCGGTAAGCACAGAAAGCATCCCGGTGGTCGTGGTATGGCTGGTGGTCAACATCATCACAGAACCAACTTGGACAAGTACCATCCAGGTTACTTCGGTAAGGTTGGTATGAGACACTTCCACGTCCAAAGAAACCACTCCTGGAGACCAGAAATCAACTTGGAAAAGTTGTGGACCTTGGTCGACTCCGACAAGAAGGACGAATACTTGAAGAACGCCTCCAAGTCCGCTGCCCCAGTCATTGACACCTTGGCCCACGGTTTCGGTAAGGTCTTAGGTAAGGGTAGATTACCAGAAGTTCCAGTCATTGTCAAGGCCAGATTTGTCTCCAAGTTGGCTGAAGAAAAGATCAGAGCTGTTGGTGGTGTTGTTGAATTAGTTGCTTAAACGTGTAGTTTTCGGATCTACATTAATACATATAAATAACTGTATAACCATGCTGGCTAGCAGCGACTGTAGCAAGTGGGAGGAGTCAAGGGGAATTCATCGAGTCACACGAACTTCGGAAAGTAACTCTGACTTCGTGTGGTCAGATTCTGTGACACCGGGCCAGGTGTTCTGAAAGAGGTGAATGTGAGCCATACACCGAGCAATGGGTCCGCTGAGGCACCATCGGTGGATGTCACAATTGAAACGATCCTTCTGTTCCAGTGGGAGAATGAAATTCATACAATCCTTCTATGAATACCAGTGCAAAATTGGAATTCAAACAATCATTTACGGTTAATACCGGTGGCTTTGAACAATTCAACGATGACTCTACGGTAAATACCAGAATACCAGTGGTATGTTGGCAACCAATCATTCTATTAATACCAGTGGGTAATAGACTTCATACAATCCTTCAATCCTTCTGTTCCAGTGGAAATTGAAATTCACCACTTCGCTCTTGCTACTAGTAAACCGCAAGTGCCGCAAACACCTGTGTGTTGATTGAACCAAGACCAGTTTAATTCCATTCCTGCTCTCCCTGGTTTGAGGTTCATGAAGTGTGTTTGGCAATAGTTACACGAAGAAAAGACAGTATCGCGACGTAGTGTCATTATACCCATGCCAATGAGATTGCAACCAATATTCGTAAAATCATTGAACAAAGATTAGGAATACACAAAACATAACCGTCACCAGTCTCCTCTCCCACCACATGGAATTGCACTACAAGTTGATCCATTCTGTGTTCATGGTGTGCTGTTTTCTGTCGCAGTTTCTGTCGCAGTTTCTGTCGCATTTCTGTCGCGCTTCTGTCACATCCGGATTTGACATCTCCATCATCGCCATCGCTATCGGCGCATTTGTTTACATGTACACACTTTTGAGGTCGAGTCGATTACGAATACCCCCACCTCCGAGGCCCTTCCGTTACCGCAGCTTCACCATGACCGCCCCCCGGTATAACCTCGCTCCAGACACCACCGAAAACGTGTGGAAGCCCGAAACCGCCGTGCCAGAACACATCAAAAAGTTGCTTGTTCCAAAGGGACCTAACCACGAGATCAACTACATTTTGGCGTTCTTCCAGATCGTCAGACTCCTCAAGACCCAAAAGAGAACAGGATGGATTGATCGTGGTATCCCTACCGACAAGGTTGAGAGCATCGGTGACCACATGTACAGAATGTCGATCATCTCCATGGCCATTCCTAACAACGACATCAACATCGACCAGTGTGCCAAGATCGCATTGGTGCACGATATCGCTGAGTCGTTGGTCGGAGACATCACTCCGTTTGGCGGGGTGTCCAAGAAGGAAAAGCACCGTAGGGAACTTGAGTCCATCGAATTTTTAGCATCCATCATTAGGCCCTACAACAAGAAGTTCTCCCACGAAATCATGGAGTTATGGTTGGATTATGAGGAAATCAGAACCGTGGAGGCCAGATATGTCAAGGACGTCGACAAGTTCGAGTTGATCCAACAAGCATGGGAGTACGAGCAGGAGTACGGTGTCAAGTACGACTTGTCCGAGTTCTACGCCAGCAGATCGGCCGTTGTCTCGAAAGAAATCGGCGACTTGTGCGACGAAGTCATCAGACAGAGAGAGGAGTTTGTCAAGCAGCTCCGTCAAGATTAACTGGTGGCGGTGAAAATTTAAGCAACGCCCCAGGGCCATTTCCACCATGAGGTGCGTATTCCGTTCCTAAGTACAGCATTCATAGCACAGTCTATTAATTTGTATAGTATACCCCATAATCCATAGAAACATATCCCGGCTAACTGCTTCAGCCCAGTCCAGGAGTGATAGATATCTAATGTATTTTGCTTTTGCACCGCTGTAATTGAAGAATCGTATTGATATCAGTTTGTATGGGGAAGTGCAACTTTTTAATTTTTTGACATATTTTGTTGAAATGTATTTTTCCAGAACAGCTTCTAAGCAACAAACTTCACGTTGGGAATGGAGTTGCTAATCGTATCCGACCAAGAACACGACAAGCCACCCCAGCTTCAGTGAAGGCCAACCCGTCACCTTTGATTCAGAACCCAATTCAATAAACACGTGACTGCACCAATAGATCATTCGCAGCTGTTGAGGTCACTGCTTACTAACCTCTAGATACCACCACCACATGTCCACTGAAAAAGCTAGCGAGCCAAAGGTTGGGGTCTCGGGACGTAAGATCGTCTATGACAAGGACGGAAAACCGTAAGTTTTCTAGCAAGCGTTCTCCACTCAGTACTAACATCCAGGTGCCGTACATGTAACTCATTGACCGATTTCCAGTTTGCAACAACAGGCATAAAACCAGCCAAGGCTGCTGCCAAGAAGCCCGTCAAGGACGCCTATAAGGACATTCCTCCGGACGTGGAGGTCATTGGCAAGTCGTCGTGGACTTTGTTGCATTCCATCGCTGCTACGTACCCAGAAACTCCTGACAATAAACAACAGCTGGACTTGAAGCAATTCTTGAAGCTCTTTGGAAACTTCTACCCTTGTTGGTACTGTGGAGATGACTTCAAGGAGTACTTGGGCAAGAACGAGCCCAAGGTGGACACCCAGGATGCCTTTGGAAGGTGGTTGTGTGACGCCCACAACGAAGTCAATGTGAAGTTGGGCAAGCCCAAGTTCGACTGCAACTTGTGGAAGCAAAGGTGGAAGGACGGGTGGGAGGAAAAGTCACTGTAAATAGCATAGATATTAGACATATACCTGCCCTAGTGGAGCCGTAGGCACGTGACCCGACCTATAGATTGCTGGTGGAAGTTTCATGTTTGGGCCACCAGACATGTTTACCACCAGAGCCGCTATCCTCACAAGAAGCGTACAGCCTAGCACGCGCCTTGGATTCACCAGAACCTTCTTCAATGGCTGGTTCAAGGCATGGCAGACCCAAAAGGTGATCTACCCTCCCAAGCCCCAGGATTTCACCACCAACAACCGGATTTTTGAGGCCTATGTGCAACACGCCAACGAGCTCCACGACTACTTGCTTTTCAAGGAACCGTTACTCTTGAACTTCACTTATGCTGACCCCAAGTCCAACAAGGTGACGCAGGCACTCTTTGATGTGTTGAGCAACAGAGACAAGTATCCCACTGAGACTGCCGTGAACTTGGTCAACATCATGGCTGACACCGAGGGTGGCAGAGAGTTGATGCTCGACTATGGCGTGGGAAAGATTCCTTCGGTGGTCTTGTTGAGGAAGCAGATCCCTGTGGACCGGTTGGTTGTTGATGTGGACCGGTTCAGCGAGCAGGATGTCATTGAGTGGTTGCGGAGCATCCGCTAGGCAAGGCAAGAACAGGAGTAGCAAAACTACCTAATCTGAGTAGCATAACTACCTAATCTGATTAACGTAACTACCTGGTCTGATTGGCATAACTACCTAGTCTAATTAGCATAATTAGCAATAAAAATCTAACACGAGGAACAATCTTAGATTAGCAGTAGTCTTTCGCTTTAGCAACAAACATTAGCTTCCTTGGAAGAGCAAATTAGTGCCATTTGGAACCTCCAGGCATGTTCTGTCCTCTGTAGACGCTTTGAAAAGCTCGCTCGGCAGTTTAGCAGCCAAATCTCAGCGCAGACAACTTATTCATTATGAAGGCCAGGCCCTGCCAACTTGCCCATAACGACTGGTATGGTCAAAAAGTACCACCCCAGTCTCTGGGGGTGCTCGTGCTGGTCTTGTTAGCTTTGATATATCCTCCAACTCTGGGTATTTTCAGAGGATAGCCCGAGAGGCCGACCATTCAAAGCCCGCATACACGGCTGGGAACTTACACGTTTACAGTCTGATGGAATTGGTACACGAATAAGAGATGCATCAGAATCAGGATATTCTTGCCAGCAGGAAGGACTGACTGGGATATTCGTTGGCAGCTACAGTCGATGACGCCACACCCAAGTCCTATGACAGGCACATCGACCCTAACCATCTCTAGGCCCAGAGTTGAAACATCCCTACCACCACCTACCACCACCTACCACAAACCACACGGGCTACTCCCGCCAGCTCCCGCCACCAACTCCCACCATTGCTGACGGCGTCATAATTATCAAAGTCTTACACACCAGACACCTAATTTATAAGCGCTGACTAAAATCAAAAATTCAGCTGACTCAGTCCCACCGAGCTCGCCAGATTAGTTGGAGGTACGAACCCCGATCCCCGGATAAGAACATCTACTTTATAAGCCAGAGGCATTCCTTTCTAGCGATAGCCACCACAACCTTTCATCTACAGCATAACTTCCGGTTCCCACCAACTTCATTCGCATCATCATCATGAGTGACATAAAACAGCCTCACCCAATAGACCTCAATATGCCCATGATCTCGCCGGTCTTGACCCCTTCACACCTCGGCGACAGACCCAGTCCCCCCCCAGAGATCTCTGCAGAAGCCAGAAAACAGCTTCCGCTTCCTGACCAGTTGCCCTTGGTCAACTGTCTAGCCAGAGCAAGAATCCCCACCACTCAGGGTCCTGAAATCTTTTTGCACTTGTACGAAAACAACATCGACAAGAAGGAGCACTTGGCCATAGTGTTTGGTGAGGACGTGAGGTCCAAATCGTTGTTTCGCCGCCGTGCTGGTGAAAGCCAGCAGGACCGCATGACCCGAGGTGCATACATCGGAAAGCTCTTTCCAGGGCGTACGGAAGCAGACAAGGATACCAAGCTCGGCAAGGAGCTCCGTTTTGACTCGAACGGAGAGCTCGTAAGAGACGCAGACACCACATATCAGGAATCCACCTTGGTGAGAATACATTCGGAGTGCTACACTGGTGAGACCGCATGGTCGGCCAGGTGTGACTGTGGGGAACAGTTCGACGAGGCCGGAAGAATAATGGGAGCCCTGGGCCATGGATGTATTGTGTACTTACGTCAAGAAGGCAGAGGCATTGGGTTGGGAGAAAAGCTCAAGGCCTACAACCTCCAAGACTTGGGGGCCGACACCGTGCAGGCGAACCTCTTGTTGCGCCATCCTGCCGACGGCAGAAACTTCTCGTTGGCCACCGCAATTTTGGTGGATTTGGGGTTGACTGAGATCAAGCTCCTCACCAACAATCCTGACAAGATCGTGGCGGTGGAAGGCAAGAACAGAGAGGTCACTGTGTTGGAGAGAGTGCCCATGGTGCCTTTGGCGTGGGCCTCAGGCAAGGGGATAAACTCCAAGGAGATCGACGGGTATTTGTCTACCAAGATCGAGAGAATGGGCCATTTGTTGGAAAAGCCGATAAAAATCAACTAAATGGAATGGCCTGGAGGTCGTAATACTAAGAGCGGGGCCCGATGGAGCTACTCACCAGCGGACCCGAGGAAAGACACTAACTAGGGGACCTGAGGAAGCCCTCAAAATTAACTAGAATTATGGGCCACCGGCCATAGCTAGAAATGGAGTATGGGATATTTGAACGTGTAGAAATTAGAATTGGAAAAGAGTGTAGAGAGGAGAATGAACAGAGAAGGACGAGTGCACAAAAGAATAAGGGAGACAGTGGAGTAGGCGAGGACCAGTATACCAGATTTTCCCAGAAAGATGAGTACATGAGATTCAGTAGCCGATGAGATATGGCAGAATTGGACCAATCCCCATAATCTATGCCAGGATTTCTTACCAATACAACCCAATCTACTCATGATTGCAATTATTAAACCCCGTTTTTTACCCCAGGATAGCAATATATAGACCCAATATACCAGTATTAAAAATGTGATCTCCGATATAGGCCATATGTAACCGCATTGGCTATGTAAACTCCTCCAATATACCAGAATTGTAATAATTTCCCAATAAATGCCAGAATTGTACCAGTAAAATCCAACCTACCCATAATTGCGATGAAAACACATTAATATACCCAGCGTTGCCATAAAAGTCCAATGTCCCAGAGATGAACAAGTACAATCGCCAATCTACCGTTTGATATTCGCCGACCTAAGCCAAGTTGATCCCCATGATTTACGCGGTGCGAGGGCCGGGCTCGCACTGGTCTGGCTACAGTACGAGCGTCACTACGCGCAGCGACTCACTGAGTGTCCAGTACGGTACAGGACCAGCGGAAGTACAGACCAGCTGAAGTCCACACCACAGTCTGTATCACAGCCACTACCAGCCCCCACCACCAGCACCCCCAAGACTCCACTGCTGCACAATATCCACTAGCACCACCACCAGTACCACCAGGATTCCACTACCATTACCACCAGCACCTCCCCCTAACCACCCCCCGCATCGCACAATCACCCTAGCACTCTTGTCCTGCGAAAATTCAACATTCATACCCCAGATCTCCCCCACCACCGTCACCATGTCCAAGAGAGACGCCCCAGACGACGACACGCCTCCCCCCACCCACGACGCCATGGGCCTCATGTCACGCTCCAACAGCACCAGCGTGCCCATGAACCCCTCTTCCTCCTACAACTCCTCGTCCGAGAAGCGAAAGCGTGTGGCAAGAGCTTGTGACAATTGCCGGCAAAAAAAGGTCAAATGTGACGGCAAACAGCCGTGCATCCACTGCACGGTGTACTCGTACAAGTGTACGTACGACCAGCCCAACATCCGCAACAAAAAGGTCTCTGGTTTTCCTGTACCTGCCCAGTCGTCCCCCATGGTCCAGGTGGCAGCGGCAGCAGCAGGATCGTCGGGTTTCGTGGGCAACCGGTTGGTGCCTCCCGACTTCCTCACCTCCGAGACGCTGCCGTCGCCCAGCATGGCCAAAAACCTCATCCAGTGCCAGAACTTGTTGAACATCTTGCTCCCCAAACTCAACTTGAACTGTTTGGACGAGAACAACCCGCTCAATTTGGACTTCGACAAGCTCCAGAAGGCAGTGGCCTACGTGGAGTCTAAGAACCAAGGCGCTGTTAACCTCGCAGAGGTCTGTGACCTCTACGACAGTGACAGCCCCGTAAGCCCCCCCCTCTACAAGTCGCCCCACGCTCCGTTGACCTACTTTGAAGACTCGCCCAACCGCGAGTTTAAGTTGATCATCCCCTCCAAGGAAATCGCTTTGAAGCTCATCTACGTCACCTGGTACAAGGCATGCGTGTTGTTCCGGTTCTACCATAGACCATCGCTTCTCGAGGAGGTCGACTTGCTCTACTCGTTGGAGCCGTCGGCCTACGGCGATAGGCAACAGAAGTTCTTGCCGTTCTTGTACTCGTTGCTTGCATGCGGCTCGTTGTTCTCCAAGTCCAGCGACTCCGACTCCGACATCAACGATAACTTGGAGGACGACGGGTTCAAGTACTTCTTGGAGGCCCGGAAATTGATCGACATAAGCAACGTCAGCGATATCCACTCCATCCAGACCATTGTCATGATGATCATGTATCTCCAGTGCTCTGCAAGATTGTCCACCTGTTACTCGTACATCGGTATTGCGTTGAGATCGGCGTTGAAGGAGGGCCTCCACAGAAACTTGACGATTTTCCAGAACTCAAAGAGGAAATTGGACCCTATAGAAGTTGACACGAGGAAACGGCTCTTCTACACAATCTACAAGATGGACATCTACATCAACTCGTTGTTGGGACTCCCCAGATCCATCCAAGATGACGAGTTCGACCAGGAATTGCCCGAGGAACTTGACGACGAGAATATCACCCGTGATTCGTACTTGTATGACAAACAGCAGGGGGCCTTGTCCTCCTCGGGGTGCGCCAACCACCATACAAAATTGATGTTCATCTTATCACACATCGTCAAGAAATTGTATCCAATCAAGGTGGGTAAGAGTGCTACGAATGTCACTCCAGATCACATTCATAGTAAGGTCACTGAACTCGAAATAGAGTTGAAGCAATGGTTACAGAACCTCCCTAAAGAATTGAAACCAACAGACCCCAACGACCCCAATAGCTCCAAGGACATTCCCGAGAAGTTCGTTATGGCGAACTACTATCTCCATTTGTCATTTTTGAACTGTCAGATCATGTTGTATCGTCCATTTATACATTTCATCAGCAATGGATCAACGAGCTATCAGAACTCCGATCCTAGGTCCTTAATCAGAGGTCGGAACTGCATCAAGGTTGCAAGAATGGTTGTGAAATTGTCCAACAAGATGATTGATCAAAACTTGTTGGTGGGAACCTACTGGTTCTCAATGTACACAATTTTCTTCTCTATTGCATGTTTGGTATACTATTACCATTTCGCCAACTATGGAGATTTCGGAAATGGCGCCAAAGCTGGCTTGAATACAAATGAGTCGGGGATGAATTACGCGGGGGTCTTGTTTGATGATGACCTTAATATTGATATGATCAAGAAAGACATCGAAATAGGAAAGAAAGTCTTGGATTGCTTGAAAAACAACTCCAATGCTTCCTTGAGAATCTACAACATTTTGAATGCTCTCTTTGAGCAGTTGAACAGAAGAACCGCCAATTCCTCAAGATTGCGGAATATGAATCAGCAGAATGCTGACACAGACATTAAACCTAACTACCAAAGTGAGAATGTACAGGCAACATTTCAGAACTTTAATACTATTAATGAATATCAATCCGACTTGAAATATCCCAACGAAGAGACTAAGCCCGTGGAGATCTACCAGTTTGAGTCACCCATAGAAGGTAGAATATCGGACAATGGGATCGATATCGGAGGTGAGCATTCGTCGAATCCCCGTGCAGGCAAGAGGTCAGTGACAGAAGTGTCATTGGAGCCTTTCGATATCAAAGCGACGCCTGTTGCTGAGCAATTGTCAGTCAAATCAAGTGTTTCGCAGGAGTCCGAACAAGTGGACTACCTTCCCGGGGTGTTTGACAAGTTGGATGCCCAGATTTTTGGAAGGATTCTTCCTCCCTATATGTTGGAGAAGAATGCCAAGAGCTCTACGGTGTCACTTCTGGGGTTCTTCAATGAAGATCAGGAGTTGAAACAGATGGATCAAACGGTGACCCACCCCAACATCCAGGTGGACCCAATGAACTTGAATAACTTGTCGAACTTGGACATTTCGATCTTGGAAGACAACACTGATATGAACTATTTGGATCCCTTCAATCCAATCAACGGCAGTTAGCCTTCTGTCCCGTTTATTATGTACTATACGAATGCATCCACTATGTGAGTAAAGTAGTGAGCCCTCAGTAGGAGAGTTTGCGAGAGAAGGCAGCGAAAAAAACCACTTAGCGAGACTTGTAGCGGAGAATTGCCATGAGAATAGTGCGGTTCGTGGTAACTGCGATAAGGGATGGTGGCCTCTAAACGTAAAAACAACTGTTCAAGGGAGACTAAAAGTATGCTGAGCATCTGTTAGTGACTAATGCATTATTTTGGCTCTTTAGAACTCAGTCCTAGGCGAGTTTTTGTAGGCTAGTTCTTCCTTCTTAGATTTGCTCTCTATGCCCTCGCTAGCCCCAGAAGCTCTGCAGGAACGAAAAATCTGGCCCAGCTCATCACCAACTACAACTAACCATCTACACCTACACCCATCATGAGTGAAAGAAGAAGACTCCTCGGCCCTGCTAACACCTTCATCCCCAACATAGGTATAACAAGTACCACGGAGGAAGCTGTCAAGACCAGGAAAAGAGACGAAATCAGAAAGTTCTTCTTGAAGACAGGACTCATCGAGAATGCCAATGGATCTGCATACTTGGAAGCTGACGGCACTATTGTACAGGTACTGGTCTTCGGACCCAGGCCGATTCGGGGGTCGTTCATAGAAAGAGCCTCCTTCTCGGTGGAGTGCAAGTTCCTCCCACATATTGCCCAACCCAACGAAGGCATATTCAACACCGGCTCCAACAATAACAACGGCAACTACAGAACAGGATTGACCAACATCGAGCAAAAGATTTCGTCCTATATCGAGACATCGTTGCTTCCTTCCATCATTTTGGAAAAATATCCCAAATCCACAATCGATGTGTTTATCACCGTCATCTCATCCGACAGTATCGAGGACCATGGCGGCAAGACCACCAACTCAGGATTGCTCAACCTTGTGAATTGGGTGTTAAACTGTTCTTCCGTTGCTTTGGCCGACTCGGGAATAGAATTAAAAGACATAGTAAGCAGTGGTGTGGTGAGGCTTGATAAAGAAGGCATAGTATTGGATCCCCAAGAGACTGGGGGGGAAGGAATTGATGGTTTGGTCAGTTTCATGAACTTAAGAAATGATGAAATCGTGGGTTTCTGGATGGAAGGTGATGAGGACTTAGAAGAGAAGGACGTGGAGAGAATCATTGATGGATGCAATACTATGTCAAAGAAGATAAGGGCCAATATCAACTCGTACTTGTTGGAACAGGCTAGTTAGCGCTCCCAAATGACATTGAATTAAGACAAACTCAGCATACTAGGCATATGAATAGACTGCCAGTCCAGCTCTCACCACAATAAGTGAATACAAGTCATAGACTTCTACAACATCCATTCAGACTGGTCTAATCTTCACTAATGTATTTATAAGACTATAGTGCCGAATATACAACTGAAAATCAACTGGCTATTGAAATTCCACTCTAAATACACTGTACAGAGTATAAGTGCGCCGGAAGCGACTATAACTCTTCTAATACGTTCTTGTAGTGAATCAATTTTGTGCACAACTTTTCAATGGTTAGCTCATTGTCATCATCATTCAAGAACAACTTCACGCTGATCTTGATATCTGTGGATTTGGAAATCAACGAGCTCAAGAGCTCATAGGTCTCTAAGATATTATCGTGATCCTTCAATGAAGAAGAAATCAGGTCATTCACATCTTTAACCTGAATTAACTTATCGAAAATCGTCGATTTGATTTTAGTAGCAAACGAGTGAAGTTCAGACTTGTCGGTAGGAACTTGAACTTTTGAAATTTTGATTTCGAAGGGTTCTGAAATATAAGCGACATCGTGCTTTCCATTCAAGTGATATCTGAATTCATAAATACCTTCCTCCCAGAACAACTTGTCACCCTCGAAGGTTGCAGATCCTTCACTATCCTCACAATTGACCCAACGTCCAGAAGAAGATAAAATGGTCTTTGTACGCGAGTAATGGGTTTGAATTACCTTATACAATCCAATCCAATCGGTTGAATTGTGGGTCTCTTTGGGGGTTTTCCAGGCGACGTCGATTGGAGTACCAACATTGATGAACTTAGTCTTGATAGAACCGCAGTAAGATGAGGAAGACTCAAGGCCATTTATTTGCAAGGAATAGTCCGAATTTTCGAAAGTCAAGTTCTGACTCAATTCAATCATGTTTTGTCTCGACAATTTGGTAGTCGAGTTCTTCAAATCCTTGATGAATGTGTCTAAGGAATCAGTGATGGAGCTGCTCTTGGATCTCTTTCTGAGTTCACCAGTTGGAGCAGGTCCATCATTGGTTAATCTTCTCTGGATGATATTTGGAATCAAATGCTTCTTGAAGGTCTTGGTAACACCAGAGTCTTCATACACTTCTTCGCCATAAATGTTAATCATGTGCAACTTTTCGATGAAGTTGATTCTGATAAAGTTGTTAACCATCCAAATCAGACCAAGTACCAAATTCTCGTAAGTTGAATTCATGATGAACAAACCCATAACACCACAAACCCCAAAGATTTGCTCTGGGTTGTTGAGGTATCTATACACACCGGCTTTAGTCAAGTGTGTCATAGCTCTCTGGGACTTGGGGATGAAGAAATCACCGTAAAACCATCCAAAATAACCAATCAGATCAATGATAGAGCTGTTGATCCACACTTGAGTGGTAATGGCAGTTAAACCAATGAAGATTCTCAAATAGAACCAGTCGTTGAAGAGGGTGGCATTATCATCAATAAGATACTTATAAAGATTGAGACCAAACAAGGATGAGTAAGTCAAGTTAATGAGGGTGTTGTAAAATACAGACCAATTGTTCAAGGACTTCTCTACGGGAATATCCATAGACAAATACCACTTGGTGAAAACCTTGGAATGGCTTTGCAAAACCAACATGATGTTAATAGAAAAGGACTCCAACAATTTGATGGCGACGGTAAGCAAGAACATGTAATTCCATTTCAAACCTCCAGAGGAAGCAGAAAGCGTGAAATTGCCTAACGGCGTGGACTGAGCAGCCAAAACTGGAATAACCAAACCGTAGGTACCCACCAAAATCAAGTTGATCATGTCGGAGGATCTTAAGAAATTGAAGTTGTACAAACCGACCAAAGGCTTGACATTGTCAAAGGTTTTCAAGTCCTTCAATTTCAACAACTTGGCCCAGTTGATTTCATTCTTGGAAGGTCCGTAGATCTTGTCGATGTGGGGGTTTTCGATGTAGTGCAAGAAGATCATCTGGAGGAAATGGCCGAAAATGGCCACCACGAGCACCGTGTAGGATTTGGCAATGATGGCAAAGCCATAATAGCCAATGTAGCCCACGGAGTACATTGGGTGGGGCACCATTTCAAACACACCATCGAAGATCAACTCTTCGTTGTTGATCTGTCTGAAGAAAAAGTCGCCCCAGTACCAGGCGTAGTCCTTGATGGTGTTGTGGGCATTGACCTTGACCCAGAGGTTGAACACGATGAGGCCGGCCCCCAGCACGAGCCTGGTGTAGACCAACCAAGATGCCTGATTGGAGATGAACTGGTAGCCATCGTTGATGGAACAGGCCACCACGAGGCAGATGAAGGCCACGAAGTCCAGCATCAAGATCAAGTCCACGAACTTGCGGAAAATTAACCAGGTGTTGAACTCGATGGGGTAGGCAGCGATGTCGTAGTCAGGGCCCCTCTGGGAGCGGATCTCGGCTCTGAGGACACGAGAAACAAGCGAAGAAGAGGCAGGGTCAAATGCCCGCGAGCGAGTGGCCCAAGCCACCAACTTGTTGTGGTTGGACTGGTGGTGGAGGAGATAGCCTATGCCAAAGTTGTAGCACAATCTCCAGAAGACGTAGAGGCCAATGAAGATGTCAATGCGCAAGTAGTTCAGCGAGGCAGGAACAAGCTGGAACACCAAGAGGTTGGAAGCGAGAAGGGCAAGCACCACGTACTCGAAGTTGGACTTGCGGAGGGTGGGGTCGAAGAGCGCCTGGACCATGTCGTGGGTTTCTGGGACCGTGAATGTCTCGCCAGCAAAGGTAATGCCACGATGGCCAGCGGGAGGCGACGGAGCCTTGGCGGTGTGGGTGGTGTCTTGCACCTGGGAGTACGACGATACTGACATGGTTCAAGACTGGTGACGCTTAGCTCAAGATTTGGAGTGGTTGCGATTACTAATTTTCGCAATCTGGGGTAGTTGGGGGGAGGGGCAAGGAATTAAGGGCTGAAAGGGAACAGTTGAAAAGGAGCTGATAATCGAGTGGAGTAACGGAAAGTAGAGAGTCACTAGGAGTATGGGCCACCAGAGCAGTATGGTCTAGCAGAATGGATCACTGGCACTATGGAGTCACGAGCAGTATGTGGTACGTTCGTATGGTACGTCTAGCGTAGTACGACGGAGGTGTAACTAATCAGTTAGGCTTACGCTAGGAGAGTTCAGGATCCAGAAATTCAGGCGAGCGATTGAAATCTGGCTACCTATAATCACAAGACACTGGTCCGTTATATACCCTGGGCAGGCCCAAAATTCGTTGGTGCTAGATTGGGTAGATTGGGTAGGGTCTCGTGAGCACATGCCTTTGGGAAGCATGTGAAAACGGCGGGGCGTGCGCGGACTACAACGGAAAACGGGTCTAACGTATGATCTATAATAAGCGAATAAATAGCACTAATATACATGAAGGCCACCGACCAGAAATGGCCACAGAACAGAAATGGCGAGGTCACAGTGGAAGTGTCGATGTGCAGGCCCTCGTAGAAACGGGCCTACCCACACCTAGAAGTACCGGAAGCACCTCTTAGAAACGACGGTTGGCAAGAGGAGCATCGTTGGAGCCCGATCTGTAGTTGCCTCCACCGTAGCCTCCACGGCCACGGCCACCTCTGAAGCCTCCACGGCCACGGCCACCACGGCCACCACCGTATCTGATGTGACTGCCGTAGCTTCTTCTGTCGAATCTTTGCAATTCTGGGGGAATGGTCTGCTTGGCTTCTCTCATGATTCTGCACAAGTCACCTCCCAACTTGGAGTTACCGTCGGTGAAGAAAGAAACAGCAGTACCAGTGGCACCACCTCTACCGGTTCTACCAATTCTGTGGACGTAATCTTCGATGTTGCCTGGCATGTCGAAGTTGATAACGTGGGAAATACCCTTGACGTCTGCATGTTAGTATGAACGGCCAGTTCGTGCACAGCATGCTGTGCACTGAGCGCGAGGGTCGAGTCAGAAGGAGCTGGACAGTGGCTACGAATCACGGAGGCAATGTGTTTATTTAAGCATATATAGAAAAGCATTCAAGTATTATTCTTGTCCCGATCTCCCCAAGCTCATGTTCACGTCTGAAAACCGATTTCATTCGATTTCAAATCAAGCCTGTAGACCAGTTAATAATATAAGGCAGGCGCCTTTTAAATTGCTTCCCCACATATGAAAAAATTCACCTCCACAGTAGGACAAGAAAGACTAGGATCTAGTCTTTCTCGGTCTTCCTCTGTGTATGATCCCTATTATTTTTTTTGGAAGGCAGTGCTATTCAACTGCCTCTTTGCAGAAGAGAACTTGTTTATCAAACTCTTCGTGTTTGTGAGACCCGCTCACAAACTATGTCCGTCGATACAATCACGTATCATAAAAACTCCCATCTAAACCCAAAATTAGTAAAATCTATAATCCCTCGAAACCAATCATTAAAAAAAGTTATACGTACCAATACCTCTGGCAGCAACATCAGTTGCCACCATGATAGGAGACTTTCCGCTCTTGAACTCCTTCAAGACCCAGTCTCTTTCACTTTGCTGCTTGTCACCGTGAATTGCCAATGCAGGCCATCCGTCGGCTCTCAAGTAACTAGTGATTTCGTCACAGTTTCTCTTGGTAGAAGAGAAAATCAAAACCTTGGAGTCCTTGTCAGCAGTGGCAGTTTCCAAGTGCTTGACTAATCTGTCACGCTTCTCGTATTCAGTGACAACCTCAACGAGTTGAGTGATAGTGTGGGAAGCAGCCAATTCCAAAGAACCAATGGTGACCTGGATAGGGTCTTGCAAGTAGTCTCTGGTCAAAGCTTGGACTTCCTTTGGCCAAGTAGCAGACCACATCAAGGTTTGACGGTCTGGTCTAATTTGGTCAACAATCTTTCTGATTTGAGGTTCAAAACCCATATCCAACATTCTGTCGGCTTCATCCAAAACCAAGTAAGTGACTCTCTTCAAGTTGGTCTTACCGATTTCCAACATGTCGATCAATCTACCTGGGGTAGCAATGACGATTTCGACACCTCTGGCCAAGTCTCTGATTTGTTGACCCTTTGGAGCACCACCGTAGACACAGGTGTTTCTAATTCTGGAAGAAGATCCAAACTTGGAGCATTCTTGTTGAATTTGAACAGCCAATTCTCTAGTTGGAGCCAAAACCAACACAACAGGACCATCACCAGGGCTCAACAAAGGCTGAGCGTTAATGTGGACGATGGCTGGCAAACAGTAAGACAAGGTCTTACCAGAACCAGTGGCAGCAATACCAATCATGTCTCTACCACTCAAAGCCATTGGCCAACCTTGACACTGGATGGCAGTTGGCTTTGGGAAACCTTGAGCCTTAACTTCCTTCAACACGTAGTCTGGGAAACCAGCTTCGTCGAAGTCAGTGATTGGCTTGGGGATGTCGCTACCGAGACAGCTCATTTCGTGTTCCTTTCTGAAAGCAGCAACGTCCTGGTCGGAACGAGCAGCGACTTCTGGATGTTCAACGTAGAAGTTCTTCTCGAACTTTGGCAAGGTGTCCAAGTCCCATTCTGGGGTGCTTAATTCCACTCTTTCGTCGTAACGACCGCCACGACCACCGAAGCCACCACGGCCACCACGACCACCACCGAAGCCACGGTTGCCACCGTAGCCTCCGCCGTTGTTGTAGCCACCGTTGTTGTAGCCACCGTTACCTCCGTAACCACCTGAGCCATATGAATCGTTGTTGTAAGACATCTTGTATAATGTTGTATGTAGAAATTGGATGAAGATGGCGCGATGAGGGTATATATAGTAAAAATTTTGAAGAAAAGAAATTTGGGGGGAGACGATGACTTCCGGATGCGGCAACCAGTGCGCGATGGGGCGACAGGTAGATATGGGGCGGTGCCTACGGGGCACCACGGGATTCGGGGTGGCTGCTTGGGTGGCTACTGCAATACTGACTATTTGTGGGTGCTGATGGGATTGCAGAGGATTGCAGTTTGGGGCGGCATCAAACTGCTTACTGGATCTAAGCAGCAATTCCACTACGATTATCACTTTTATACTGAAAATGATAGTGAACCAGCTCTACGGGACGCCCAACAGTCCATGGTGCTAATTGCGACCATCACTGGAGTGTGCTAGTATAGTCTATGTTACATGCAATGTATTATCGTAAGGATATGTAATATACAGGAGCCAGAGGCTCGTGAAGTCAGTGGAGGGGGGCCCCACTGGCATTCGGTGCTCAGGCAGTGGTCTTGTATCCACCGGCTTCTATCTTCTCGCTGAACTTCTCTTCAACCACAGTGCAGAGCTCGGACAAGTTGTCCAAGCCTTGGTGCAAGGCCTCCACGGCAGTGATGTTACCGTAGGTCTGGATTCTGATGTTCAATTTGTTTTCTGAAGGATGGGGGATGGAGTAACCACAGAACTCGACCTCTGGGTTCTTCATGATGATGTAACGTAATGCATTTCCGAGGGTGTGGTCTTCGTCGATCACTTGGAACGATGCTGCGGTTCCGTCTTCAGAGGCACCAGGCAACAACCGGATCTTTTCCAAGTCATATTCTTGTTCTTGTTCTTGTTCTTGTTCTTGTTCTTGTTCGGCGTTTTCGTCGACTATTGGGACGTCTACTGGTTCTTCAGCCATGATTGCAGTGGAGTTGAAGATGAGGTAATGGTTTGAATCTGAAAATTTTAGTCGATGGCGAGCGTGCGCCAACCGGCCCATTGGTGCGGGTGCAACTAACGAAGTGATGAGCCTTCGCCAGAGGGTACCCGATGGAGGGGTTATGGCAATGAGAGGGGGCGATCTGTGCTGGATGGGAGGTTATGGGACCAGAAATGTTTTGCTACATGGCAAAGTATGGCCCTTGTGAGGTGCACAACAACAGACTGTGGGAATTCGCATCCGCAGCTTGGTGCTGTGTGTGGGTGCGAATCTGGCTAGGGACATTTTTCCCTGCGCTCGCTAGAGGTCCCCCTACCAAGGCATGAAGATGAGATACTGAAAAAAGTTAGTTTCTGGCCGTTATTAGCCTAGATTCCAGACTCCGTAGAAACGGACATTTTTGCTCAAAATGGCTCGCTAAGATATATTTTTTTTGTCCATTTTCCTTTTCACCAATGCTAGTACCTACAATTAGCGAGAAGTTGGCACGGTTTAGTCGCGGAATGTACCACCCACGATAAACTGTAGCATTAGCAGGAGGATTATTGAAGACTGGCTCTTTACGCCATATGACGATGCAGTATAATCCACAACCATAACAATAACCATAGCCTGCTTCAATTCCACTAATTGAAAAGAAATCGTGCCCAGAGATATCTCTAACTCCACTCTATATTTTTTCCTGTACACGTCCAAGTATGGATCACCCGCGTTGTTTACAAACATACACCACAAACTGGCTCTCGAGGTACAAGCAACTAGACCTATCCAAAGGAACGTGTCACGTATTCCGGACCACACTGTATACATAGAGCCATCTGACTCGTCATTTCACAGTTGGTGAAGTTTTCTCCCCGTTTTCCCCATTGATAATACCCATTTTTCATAGCATACCCAGTTGAAGCACAAACCCATAGCATTTTATCTTCATCATGGTCGAAGATTTGTCCCAGCCACTTTCGGAGTCGTATTTCCACCTTTCCCAAGACAACGAAACGGACTTGAGTAACACTTCATCTATCGAGTTCGACGATGACAGTTTTAATCCCGTACACGAAGGAATGACAAAACATGATACCAAGCATGATACATCCTTATTGGTGAGGTTCGCTCAAGAGATCGATTTGGATATCGCCAAAGAGTCCAACACCGATGCTAGCTCAACTCCCACAAACTACGAGCAGTTCCAGCCCAAGAGAGAGAACAAGCGTAACGATTTTGATGTCACGGACAATAACGAAACCAGAAATGAGAAGCACAACAACGAGACCAAGGAACAGATTCTTTCACCCAAGAGGTTCCAAGGGTTTGGTGCAGGTCCACAAAAAATCGCCTCTCCAGCTCCGATGATTTCCTCTCATTCGACACCTTTGACTGCCAAAAATGGCTTGAACAACATGAAATGGTCCAAATACTCAAAAGATAACTATCTTCCGGATATCAACGAATCGAGAGATGACACCACCGCAAACGATATAATCAGACCATCCCACAGTCGGAACTTGAGCAAACATAGTAGAATGAACAGTTACAACAAGGAAGAAGACACATTTATCCAGCAGCCAAAGCTTTCCATCCAGGAACTTCTTGATAGCGTATTGCCTATGTTCAGTGAGCAAATTTCGGAAAAGGTGAAGGACTCAATTAATGAGTTGATACGGCAAGGATCCCTCCAACATTCAGACCTTGCATCCCATCCCACCAAGCACGAACACAAACACAAACACAAACCTACCAAATCACAAGATCTTTTCATTACTCCCATCAGGAGCCATACCGAGTCTATTAGTAACTCGACGTCTGACGATGATTTGAGTCTTACAGGACTTCATAGAGGACCCTCCAACGAGCGTAAAAAGTTTAGTGTGAATCATGACGGCAGTATTCATACTCACGAGGTTTGTGAAGAGAAGAAAGAGCATAAAAACGTGGATTCCCCCGTTACAACCCCTCCGCATTCGCAAGAATATTCTGAGCTTAAACCCCAACTGTCTACTATTCTTGAAGAAGAAGCTTCATTGCATAATCAGATACTAGAACAGGAAGTTGAGAGATTGAAGCTGGAGAATTTGGACTTACAAATTGAGTTGAACGGTCTCCAGGTCGAAATGGCCCAAAACGCAAAGCTTGTACACGAACAACAAACTCTGGAGATAGATGCGGAATTCTCTAGGGAAGCAGTGAAACAAGATGACACCAAAGAGAGGGAAATGCAAGAAACAATCGACAGACTAGCCAAAGAGGTACAAAGAGCCAGGTTAGAGAAGGAGGAGGCAGTAAACGAATTGACATGGTACAAAAACCAGAAGGAGAACCACAACGAAGGAAACCAAGAAGACCATGCCAGGTTGCAAAAAATGGTCGACGAGGCCCAGAGAGAGACAAGTAGAACCAGGAAGGAGATCGCAAGCTTGGAGGCCGAAATCGGCGACAAGGCCAAAAGCATCACCATGGACACAATCGACGACCGGTTCCACGCTCAATACAAGAAGTTGCAGCTCGACAAGGTGGATGGATTGAGCAAGGTGGAATTGGGCAACACCCTCAAGAACCTCATGCTATCGTTGCTCATCAGCGATTTGGACCACCTCCCATCGCAGGCTGCGAAGTACGGCCGGTTTCTCAAGATGTCGATCCAGTTCATGGACAACATGCATGCCTCGGTCTACACTCAGGCCAGCGGAGTCAAGCCCTCGGACTACTTGCGTATGCACGACGAGCGAGCCCTTCAGCATCTCGGGGAATGTTTAGACGGGATGGTGAGGGCCGCTCAGAGGTGAGGACTGGGCTGGGCTCGTGGTATAGAAGGATAGACTACGACAGATGAGACTTGATTGCGATAGATGAATTACGAATATGTACAAATAATAGTCTTGACTGCAACGGATGACACTCGACTACTGATACTCGACTCCGACAATAATAGCCTCTACTGCATGGTAACGCCAAATAGTCTTGACTGCGTACAAATGATAGTCTCGAAATGCTAGTCTCGAAATGCTAGTCTCGAAATGATAGTCTTGACTGATTTTCATATTGCACCATGTCCAGTCGCTTTACACAATCAAAGGCTACGAATTGGGTCAGATAACATCCTTACTACTCGATCGAAAACGCTCACCATCACTCATTGCCTTAGGCAGTCTCAATTGCATAGTATCGATTGGAATTTACCTCCCTTAAATATCGACCCATTCAGCAAATAGCTAGTAAAAATTCCATAGCCACCTCGTAGCCTCACCTCCACAGGTGACCGCAACGGTCCCAGGAGGGGTCAGTGCCGGAATCATTGGCCACGTGACCGCACCCCTCCAGCCTCAGCCTCGTCACTTCGACGGCAGTGGGCAAGCTGGTTGGGCCTGGAACGGCCCTTATGGGCCTCAGCAGCAGTAGCACCGTCGTAGTTGGCGTCTGCACAGCCGTAGGCCGTCGCCACCCTCGCCCAGGTCATGTTTCCTGTGGGCAAATGTCTCTCTGGCCCAGCCACGACTGCGACATCTTTTCCGACTCATCCAAACATTAACCCCAGAGCGCAACACTATCCTGAAGTATCAAAACTTTTCTTTTTTTGATAACCATCTGAAGGTGGTGTCAAGCATTAATCACCATATTACGTAACCAGTACTTCCAGGCACCCTCGTCATATCCCACCGCTAAACCACCACCAATCCACCACCAGCCATTGAACGTGCCCCATCCAATTGCATCTGTGCATGACTACAAACAAGCTCCTCTACCATGGGAAAATCAGCAGTATCGTCCAATTCGAGGATACTGAGCCACCAGCGCCCCACCCCGTCGCCTCAGATCTCCCAGCCAGCGGCAGTGGCTTCCTCGATGAACTTGAACCAACCGTCCAATGACCCCGTGAATGACGACCGAAAGTCGCTGGGCCAGCCCAACTTCCTCTTCAACTCCGGTCGTCTGGACTCCATCGGCACGCTTCTCAACTCCTACCAGACGGGTGCTCCCTCCACCACCTACACCTTGAACACCAAGGACAGCAGACAGAACCCGCAAGCCATGGACGCCAACTACCCCAGCTATTACTTGAATCAGCGCGATCTGCTCCAGCAGTATCCACAGCAGCAAGTGCCTTCGACCCAGCAGCAGCAGCAGCAGCAGCAGCAACAACAGCAACTTCAGCATCAGCAGCAACAGCCACCGCAGGGTCAGCAAACCAGACCACGCGGTGATAGCATTTTTCTCCCTCCCCCAATCAACCCTCCTGCTCCAAACAACCCCAATACGACTCCCCTCAATCAAAACTCGTTTTCTCGCTCCAATAGCATCTTCAGCTCGTTAATCCAGATTCCAAACTCAGGAAAGTCCGTCAGCGACCAGTCGGGGAAGACCTATAATAATAGTAATGTCAATTCTGCTGGCGGATATAACAATACTAATAGATCACGTCAATTCTCGGTGTTTCCCAACGGCCAGGACCAAATTTCGCTTGAAGACTTGGAAAATATTCTTAACAAGGAGAGTCTAGGTAATTTGTTGGCAGGGCAGCAAGATCCCAAATCGAACACCCAGCCAACTTCCAGATCGAAATTCGGATCTATTGATCTTTCGATGTGGAATGATAATAACATGGGAGGCAGTATTGGTGGATTTCCTGGGTCCATAAGTGGGTTTAACGGCAGTTTGAGTGACTTTATTGCGGGAATGATTTCGAACGGTAGCATTGATTTGAGTAACATGAGCAACGAACAAAGAAGAGATTCAATTTTGAAGGTAATTAATGATCAACTGCATTTGAGACAGCCGAGAGCACCTAGTGATTCTACAAATGAGAGCAACAATGGATCGATTTCCACGAATGCTTCCCATTTGGGCACCACCAAGTTAAGAGAGGATATTTTTGAAAAGTCCAAGGATGGCAGCAACAACAATATTCAATTAGGTACTGGGAAGGGTGACCAAAAGGTCACTAATAGTGCCCGCGATGGAAAGAATCTAGCTGTTCCTGCCATTGAAAAGGCACATATGTCTCCAACTTCCTCCATGTCTTCAAGGTCTTCAGCAAAGTACGATGAGCCACAATCACCAAAGACTTCACCCAGTGTGTACCCTGCCAGATTGAACCAACAACAAGCTCCTCAATACCAACAGCAGCAACAACAACAGCAGTATCACACCTACAATCAACAAAATCACCTCCAACAAGTACTACCTCAACCCCAGGCTTCACAACAACGTTTATTTCAGGGATACCAACAATTGTCACCCCAGAATCAATACCAACTATCCAACTACCCCAACCAGCAGCCATCTCCTATTAATGCGTACAATAATACCTTGCCCCCCAATGCAACGATAAGGAACAATCAACAGGCTCAACAGAACTATATCAATCCCCAACAGCAACAAAGCTTTCAGCAGTATTTACCCCAAAATTATCTGAATAACTCAATTATACCGCAACAGCAGCAGCAACAGCAAAATCAACGACAACAACAGCAGCAACAACAGCAATCACAAAGACAGGCCGAGGAACAGAAGCAGGAAAAACAGAAGAATGCTAAAAGAAACCGTACCCAACGGAAGGAGCAAGAGGTTTCTCCCCTGGACCCAAAAAGTATCCCAGCAAAAGATAAGAATCTTGTTCCTGCACAACTGTATGTAAAATCTGAAGATGGCAGGCCACTATTGGGAGCTACCAAGATAGATCAGTTGATGTTGGTGATTCAGGCAAGGGATAAGGGTATTACCAATCCTATTAGGCAAGCAGCGGACGGTAGTATTCTAGCTTCTCCAGACTTTTCAATTTCGAGAGATAAGGATGATATGAATAGTGGAGTTTTACCAGCACCTGTGAGTCTAGTTGGAGGTGTGGACAAGCCTACAAAAGTGAAACCCCAGCTGAGTCCAGGAGGAGAGGATGGAGATGACGATAGTGAGGAATCTAGCAGTAAGCGGAAGAAGCAGAAAAATCAGCAGTGCCCTTACTGTTTCAAATACTTCACTCAATCGACCCATTTGGAAGTCCACATTAGATCTCACATCGGTTACAAGCCATTCGAGTGCAACTATTGTCACAAAAAATTCACACAAGGAGGTAATTTAAGAACTCATTTGAGATTGCACACTGGTGAGAAGCCATTTACTTGTGACGTCTGCAATAGATCGTTCAGTCGTAAGGGTAATTTAGCTGCTCACAAGTTGACACACGATAACTTGAAGCCTTACGAGTGTCGATTAGACGGTTGTGACAAGTCATTCACTCAATTGGGTAACTTGAAGTCCCACCAAAACCGTTTTCATTTGAACACATTAAACGAATTGACTCATAAATTGGCGGAGCTAAGTGGATCCAGCTTGACCGCCTTGCCGAAGGAAGAGAGAGATTTATTGATGTATTTTAAGGATTTGTACAAGAATTCAAACAAGGGTATACGTGGAAGAGGTAAGCAGCAGGTATCACTGCTGCTGCACAGAGCAGACGGGGCTCCAGGAGAGTCACCATCGTCTTTGGTATCATCAACGAGTCCTCCTAACATGAATAACCGCAACCAATTCGACTTCCAGGCCCCTCCTCAACAGACCAACATGCAAAATCTTCCTAGACAACAGATGCAGCAGCAGATACCTCAGCAGTACAACCAGCAACTCAGGCAACAACCCCTAGATTTGGATGTCAACGGATTTCGCGATGGTAATCAGTTGAATGGAGGATTGCCATACCAGAACCAAGGTGTATGAATCTAGAACGACTGACGACTCGATGACACTTTTAGTGGATATTCCATACTTGTTTTAATATTAACTGAACATAACATCAGAGTAATTGTAGAGTGCCAGTATTTCGAAGCATGTCGATAGCCTGCCAAGCCTATTGGATGAAGGGTTTACGCATGAAATATAGACTTCAGATAAATGTGACCCGTTCTGTAGTATATTCTACGGTCACAATGCTCCGAGTCGCTTTCTCTGGCAATACACAGCGGGTTAAATCCAGTTCACTTATCAAAAATCCACAGCAGAGTTCGCAACACAATTTCTGGCAAAAACACGGAAGAATGATAGTTAACAATTCATTAATTATTTAACTACTAAGACGAATTCTCGGTCAATTCACAGTGTTAACCCACAAACCTTTGTAAGCTGATGAAAGTTTCCTACAGATAAACCCTTCCACGCAATTGTCGGTTCCTTCTACCGTCTCCACTGAAATCAGGATGTAGACTTTCCAGGATCCTCGCACACCATTCGCGTCTCACCAGATCAAATTTTGAAAACAATCCCACTTGTACGAAATCCACATTTGATCCAGATCTCCAGCCACACCACTGGTGCTTCCGACAATCTAAACACATTCACATTCGGCATTTTCAACGAATAGGTTTAGCGGTATCATCAAAAACTGGTTGACATCCATCACCTGATACCAAAAACACCAGCGAACGAAACATCCAGGTTGCACGATGAACTTTCTTTCCAAGACGTTCAGCAGTTTCACTGGGACTTCAATCCCCTATACCACGAAGGAAAAGATCATAGATCCTTCTGCACCAGGCTCTATCAACTCTCGGGCTATTTGGACAGTGTACAACGGAACCAACCCTAAGAACGACAATGCTGCGGTTACCATTTTCGAGTTCAACTTGAAGGACCCAGTGAACATCCAAAGGGGACATGACTTGTTGGCAAGAAACGCATTCAAGAAACTGAAACTAATCAAGTTGCCGGGGATAATCACCATCATTGATTTCATCGAGACTGAGACTCAATTGTACATTATCACCGAACCTGTTCTTCCATTGATCACATACTTGGGTAACCACTCCGATGGGATATCAAGAGATGCGAAATTGTACGGAATCTATAATTTGGCGCATACCTTACTGTTCATAAACATGAAGGCCAATTGTCTCCACGGGAATATTAATCTTTTCAACTCAATCTATGTTAACCAGCTGGGAGATTGGAAGGTTTTTGGATTTGAGCTTTTGACAAACTTGACTTCCGACCCTGAACAACCAATTTATAGATTTTCCAGAGCACTTCCAGGCTTCGACACTAGCACTGACATGGATGCTGTGAGACAATTCCCAATCAAATTGGATTCCTACTTGTTTGGATTATTTATTTATCAGGTGTTGGGTACAACTGACTTCAATTTATCTTCTCTCGAATCAGCTGATTTGACAAAGGTAAATACTCAAAAAGTCCCATCATTCCTTCTCTCATCTCTTAAGAAGTTGACAAACCCCAATCCCTCTTCTAGAATAACGATTGAGAAGTTTGTCCAAGAGACAGAATCAAATTTCACTAGAAACAACATGATCATAAGTTTTAATCAGCAACTTGAAGAAATTAAATTCAAGAATGACTCGGAAAAATTGGAATTTTTCAAGTTTGAACTATCCAACTTTATTCCAGAAAGTACAGGCTTAGAAAATGGAAATATATACCCCAATGGATTCTTAGATTTCAAGTTACTTCCGGAATTGACACTGCAATTCAATAATTTGACTAAAGCTAAGCTGCAAACTCCATTATCTAGCCTTTCTCCATTGGATATTCAACAAAGACAAGAAACCATGTCAATTATTTTGAATTACATTCTCAAATTCGGAGTGAACTTGTCATCCTCGCAATTCGACAAAATGGTGAAACCGATCATTCTCGAAACTTTCAGTTTGAATGATAGGTCTATCAGACTTGTATTATTAAATCATTTGCCCAACTTTGAGGTCTTTTTGACTGAGTCTGAAGTCCAGCTGAAGATATTTTACAGCTTGATAACTGGTTTTCAAGATACAAATTTTATGATCAGAGAAACAACCTTAAAGTCAATTACAATCATTATTGACAAGGTTTCGGTCAAGCAAGTGAATCAAGATTTATTGAAGATTCTTGCGAAATCACAAGTTGACCCTAAGCCTTCGATAAGAGTGAATACGTTGGTCTTGATCATAAAAATCTCAGGCAAAATTTACAAAGCATCCAAGAACAGCGTATTAATTACTGCTTTGGCTAAGTCATTAAGAGATACGTTCACACCATGCAAAATGACGGCATTGTCGGGGTTTGAGAGTTTGATAGAAGAGTTCACATTGGAAGAGATCTGTAGTAAAGTTTTGGGTCATTTAGCCATTTCATTGATGGATAAGAAGTCACTCAAAGTAAGAAAGAGAGCCAAAGATATTTTCCAGTTATATTTGGATTCGGTTGAGAGGCATGCTAAAACATTGCCTGAAACTGAGGATAATGATGATTCTGAAGAGTTGGAATTCTTCGAAAAGTATGGACCAGTGGAAGCTAAACCTGCTGTTGATGGACAAGAACCCACAAATACTGGACTGTCTGATGCAGGTACTTTTTCTTTTGGATGGAACTTAATGAGCAAGCTTTCCACGAGTGCAGTTGAAGGTCAATTGAATAATGACTTTAATTCATCCACGCCGGATCTTACCCGTATTGGCACACCAAGCTCTGAACCACTTCAGGCAACTTTGAACAAGAAAGAAACACTGTGGGTAAATGATGATCAAGCGCTTGAGGATGATGGATGGGACCTTGAAGACGATGGATGGGGAGCAAATGACGACCCAATCGTGGAAGATACCAAGAAAATAAGCTTAGATACACCAATCAAGCAACCTTCAAAGATGCTGACAACTGCAAACAAGGCTAAAAAGACGACTGGGTTGAAATTGGGTGCCAAACCCACAAGGAAACCAGGCTCAACCTTGAAGCTTAATTTGACTGTCGAGGACAACGACGACGACAGTTGGGGTGATCAATGGTGATGTGTTAGCGATCTAGTTTATTTCCAGACTTACACTCTTCAATCTGCTGCTAACATCTTCTCTGGATGTATGATCTTAGATTTATTTATTCTTTCAATTTTATCATGATTGGACACTAGTATTCAGAAAGCAAGCGATTATCACACGGCAATTCTTCCTGGAACACTGTATTGTTTGATTACGCCCGATTATTAAATATTAGTAGAATTTAGAAATAATTACAAAAATCACAAAGAGCGATAAGTCATGGCCTATCCGAGACTTCGTGTCTAAAATGGGGAAAAAATGGCGGTGGAAGACAGTTGATAAATCCGACAATTTTAACTGCCACTTTAGGTATATATTATAGTCCTGTTACATTCAGAACAATTCTGTATTCTTCAATAGTAGTAACTCGAAGATTCAAGTTTTACAGTCTGTATGTCAACTGGATTGCCTCAAACTTTTGGCCCAATGAGACACCCCATTTTGTGGATTGTGTTTTGTGATTGTAGAATAAGCAAAAATTCCCCAACAGCTTTCCAGAGAAAAATACCATCCCGTGAAACCTTGAATTGGAGTTGCCACCTCGGACAAATCACCAGCCCAGCTTCTGTTACCTTGATTGTGATTCATAGAAGCCCGGATTCTACTACATGGAAGTGCGTCAGAGGTGCGGCCCAACCAGTTTTTCAGAAGCGGTCCGAAGCGAGAGTATGGGGATTGCAATAACGAGAGTTAATGGGACTCAGAAGCCCAAAAAACTCTGGAATTGTACCAGGATGCTGAGAGCAACTGTACAAACTTATCCATGTAACTTGTTCCGCAAAAAAACGTAGCAATTCAGCTCTTGTTAGGTGATGTTTCTCAAACGACCGCGGCCCGATGAAAGTGTTTTTACCAAATGTTTTGAAGGAGCAATTATTCCACACAAACAAATCTGGTTTTCTGCTAATAAATTACTAATGGCCGTTCGGCAAGCACATTAGCCTGATTAGCAAGGGTTCGTAATGAGTGTCCGGTTATTTCGGATGTTCAAAAGCAGAGCAAAAATACTAAACCCGTTGGTACAAAGCACAACAGTGCCACATGAAATGGCCAATTGTGAACCAGCCAGCGAACCAGACATTCCACTATCGAACAGGAGTATTCACGAAAACAGCTGGACACTGAGAGACGACCGTTAGCATAATTAGAATTGCTGTTGGACGTAGGGCAGATTCAAAAAGTAAAAATTGATCTGCGAAAAAACAGAATTTCTGGGCACTGGTTCTAGAAAATAGTCTAATCAAGGCTCTTACTATGGCCCTTGACACTCCACAACTGGCCCAAGATCGGCAATTCCGTCGGCACAGACATCATCCAGCCGCCAGTATTGCCACGGCGATTACTAGCTATACAACTTTAAGTTTCTGCATCCATGTTGAAGGGCGCAAATGGCCAGCATTTTGGGTCGATATGGATCGATTTCCGCACATCGCTTAAACATCATTCTTCCGCGAAAGCTTAATTTTTTGACAGGTGCATGGAGTCTGGGGTGGGCTCAGCAAATGGGCCGGTGAAGTGGAAGCGGATATTAGTCGGTTGTAAGGGTGATTGGCTGGAGTGTACTTCATGTCATCAAGCGTAGTCAGAAGCATTTGCCTTGCTTCGTGTTGAAGGTTGGTGTCAAATGTCGCACGACAACCACCGGACCGGGAGCACATTTTGCGGCTAATTAGTATGCAAAAAACTCGGATCGCCGCTAAGGACACCAGTGCATGTAGATCGGAAAAGATAAAAAATCAGTATAAATAGGAAGGGAAGTCTGTCATTTATCTGATGATCTGATAACATCCATCAAGGCCCTGAAATATGATTGTGGAGGAAAAAAATGATATTAATCTCGAAAGCGTAGATGTTGGTCTGGGCTCGGGACACAAGCTGGAATTCTCGCTTACTGATGATCAAATCAACTTTATATTGACAAGATTGGATCTCGAGGGTCTCGACTCTCAAATGGACTTGCCTCGAACTGCTGAGGTCATGATAGATAGAGTGGATGCAATGGATGAAAGCGACGCTGTCAAAATCCTCGAACAAGCTATAATAGACCACGAGGGTGATGTCAATCTACCAACAGAAGTGTACGACTTACTTGTGGCGTTGGCCCAGAATCCTAAATCTACTTCTACTGATATTTACGAGACTCCAAGCCTGGTTACACCAGACTCCAAACATTATCTCACCGTTTCTGACTGGTCATTACAGGTGAGACTCGAGGCTGCATTGATTGCATACTACTCCCCCTATCAAGAAGTAAGAGCTGTGACAACTCCTTATGACGACGAGGAAATTCCATGTGAGACCTTCCGTGTGTACTTTTTGGGATTAATTTGGATGGCTGCTGGTACATTTATTAATGAATTTTTCTCTCAGAGACAACCTAGAATTATTTTGGATCCCTCGGTGGTCCAATTGTTTCTCTTACCGTGCGGAAGATTCTTGCAATATGCCTTGCCCAAGTGGAAGTTCAAGGTATGGAGGTATACTTTCGACTTGAATCCTGGTCCTTGGTCACACAAAGAACAGATGTTGGCCACAATCTTCTATACGGTTTCTAGTACTCCAAACTATGCACATTTCAACATTCATATTCAAAGAATGAAGGTTTACTTTGATAATGAATGGGCTACCTACGGGTATCAGACCCTTTTATTATTATGCACCAACTTTATGGGATTTGGTTTCTGTGGAATATTAAGAAGATTTGCAGTCTATCCCGTGCAAGCTATGTGGCCCACTTTGATGCCTACATTAGCTTTAAACAATGCTTTGACGCAACCTGAGAAGAGACAGAACATTAATGGCTGGACAATTTCGAGATATAGATTCTTTTTCATTATTTTCATCTTCTCGTTCTGCTACTTCTGGTTGCCAGGATATTTATTTGGTGCTCTCTCTAACTTCAATTGGATTACATGGATAGCACCTAACAATTTCAATGTGGCTACTATCACAGGGATGGTTACTGGGTTGGGATTGAATCCCATTCCATCTTTGGACTGGAACATTTTGGATTTCAACAATGCTTTGACAATCCCATTATATTCACAGGCCAATCAATGTCTTGGTACCCTTCTTGGTTTCTTCATCATTACCGGGATGTACTATACTAATAGTTATTGGTCTGCATACATGCCAGTCAACCCAGTCAGGATTTTCAACAATAAAGGTGTACAGTACCCAGTGAAGAGAATCCTCAACGAAAACAATTTGTTTGACCAGACCAAGTATGAGCAGGTGGGTCCACCATACTTTACAGCTTCTGGGTTGGTTCGTTACTGTACGTTATTCATTATGTATCCATTTGCCGTCATTTACGAGATCGGGTTAAATTATCGTGTGATTTGGAGATCGTTTAAAGACGCTGCCAGCTCAATTCGTCACTACCACAGATCTACTTATGAAGGATTAAACGATCCCCAGAGTAACTTGATGAAACGCTACAGCGAAGTTCCAGATGCTGTATTTTTGGTGGTATTGTTGATCTCGATTATTTTGGCAATTATATGCGTGAAGATTTACCCAGTTGACTCTCCTGTTTGGACCATCTTTTTTGCAATTGGAATTAACATTGTGTTTCTCGTACCCTTGATCACGATTGCTGCTGCTACAGGCTACAATTTCACCCACAATGTCATCATTGAGCTTCTCGTTGGGCTTGCAGCTCCTGGAAATGGATCAGCATTGAACTTCACCAAGGCCCTTGGATTCAATATTGAGGCTCAAGCACAGCAGTATATCTCGGATCAAAAGATGGCACACTACGTTAAGATTCCTCCATGGGCAGCATTCAGATGCCAGATGATTTCAGTTCTCGTGCACTCGTTTGTGGGGCTCGGGGTTATCAACTTCCAGATCGACTCCATCAAAAACTACTGTGAGCCCAGAAACAAATTGAGGTTCACCTGTCCTGGAGTGAACCGTTTTTTCAATGCGACTATTCAATGGGGGGTCATTGGACCCAGAAAAGTGTTCCAGGTGTATCCCATTTTGCCTTGGTGCTTCTTGATTGGGATTCTCTTGCCCATCCCCTGTCTTTTGATCAAGAAGTATTTACCTAAGAGATACGTCAAGTATTTCCAGCCCACCTTGATCATCGGAGGGATCCAAATCTACACTCCGTTCAACATTTCTTACTACGTGGGAGGATTATATTTATCGATCGCCTCAATGTGGTACCTCCGAACCAGATTTCCTGCATTCTGGAGTAAGTACAACTATCTCTTTTCCGGGGGAATGTCTGCTGGAGTTACATTCGGTGCGGTGATCATCTACTTTTCCGTGCAGTATCACGAGAAGACATTGGACTGGTGGGGAAACACGGTGTCGCGGGCAGGGCTCGATGGGGTGGGAAGATCACGGTTGAATGCGACACTCCATGCGCCTGACGGCTACTTCGGGCTCAGAAAGGGGCACTTTCCATAATGAAGACGTTAATAGTATCATGATTTTTCAGAAAATGCGGGGTCTGTAGATCGAGGTCGGAGATCAATTGCGGTGAAATTTCAGTTTAACATCCGTGCTCAGTTCTCTGAAAAGCGTGTGAAAGGTAGGACAATCCGTACTTCTGTAGTGGCTGCTGTAGAGATGACCAGGCCAGGCCAGATAGTTATCTTTTGCGTTGGTGAGAATTCCCCAGATTCTCTACTGGCTAAACCCAGATCAGCGACGATTGCTAACGATCCCGTACGTCCGGGTGCAGCTTCGCCCAGACACTGGCTTATCGGTGGGGAGGCCCAAACAGGAAGGCGCTTTTAGGGACCAGGTGTGGCACGACTCCGAGATGGGATCGGCAAAGTTGGCCTAGTATGGATATTAGCGGTGAATTCTGGATGCGAGAGGTGAACTATAATCCTAGTGGCGAATTCTAGATCCTAGAGGTAAATTCTGGCTATCGGTGAAATCTGGATGCTAAGAGTGGATTGCCAGTCGTGACATAGCCAGTCGTGACACAGCCAGTATGTACCCCGATAGTCTTCCTCATTCTCACTGATTTTACTATCACGGGCTTCTCCGCTGTCCCCTCGCGAAAATTTAGTCCATGGCTCCGATAAGGAATCTGCTTCCGGGTGACTAACGCGAAAGTCGGACCGGTGTGGATGGCTCCAAAGCCCCCTCCTGACGCCCTCACTTCTTCCTGACCACCACAACGGCCCGAACAGCCACCCTGGCAACTCCTGCCACTTTTTGCCCCTTCCAGCCTCGCTCCAGCCTCGTTCTAGCTCCTCTTTCTCTCTCGTTCACATCTCCCCTACCACCCTCGTAACCGCGCGCATGTTCCAACTCGCCCCCCTATCAGATAAGGGCGTGCGCGCAGCAACGAGAAAAATTTATGTATGGCCTCAGATATCACTTGTCGTTTCAATAACATCACCAGGCGCTTCATCCACCATCCGTTCAGCTACTGCCAGCACAGAGCCATTGCACACACACAGCGCTCGCAAGCACCCCCGTCACCACTCATCCGAGTCTGCCCGCAAGCCCGTCTTCCCAGCGACCATGATGTCGTTCAACTCAGACATAGATAAGACCATGGACAACTTGACCCTTGTGGACCGTAGCGAGCCATCCAGTGAGCCGTCGCAGCGTGGCCACCCCGTGCTGCCCAAGAAGTCGTTGTTGTCGTCGTCGCTAGCAAGCGAGAGGGCTGCCTACGGCTACGCCCAGAACCGCAACTACCACCCCCCATCCAAGGCCCACTTCTCGCTTGACGGCGGCGACAGGCCGTCCCCAGCAAACATCGACATCCAGAAGCACTACACCGACGATCACCCTGAGCCTGAGCTCCTCGCCAGCTCGGTGGGCAAAGATATCAACGGGAGACTAATCCCGTCCTCCTCCACCATCTCGCTCTTGTCGTTGAACAACCTTCAGAACGACCTCGACTCCACCCTCATAGGCTCCACAAAGGACTCCCAGACTCTGTCCAAACTCCAGCAACACTTCCAGCTGTTCCAAACACAACCGGTCATAAATCAACCCCAGGCTTTCGTCGATCGCAAGAACTCTTACAGCGCAATTCCAAGCCGCAACTCCATCACCCACTTGAATCAGATCAGACTCCAGCCATACCAAAGATTTACATCCCCTCCTCCTGCCGGACCGCATATGCAGCAGATCTCTCCTCAGACCTCGCAAGAATCACACCACTCCACCTCGCAAAGCATACCCATTAATTCCACATACAAGGGCAACATAATTGTCCCAGATTCGCCCAACTTGGACCCAACGTCCTTGGGTGGCTCGCCATCACGTTTCTGGCTATCATCACAGACTCCACCCCGTTCCATGTCTAATTCGCTAACAAGAAATTCGAGATCATACTTGTACCAAACTCAGAATAACCAGAACCCAAATCAGACGGTGCTGCAGCCACAAATACAGACCCAGACCCCCTCCACACAAGGCCAAGACCACGCAAACATCAAGAAGAGTATGTACATTTCATTGCAACCCAACGCTGAAAATTTCAACTACACTACCACCATAGTGCCGTTGGATTCTGCAGGCCACGATTCACCCAACTTGGTGCCTGTGCAGACACCTCTAGAGGACCCCCCGATGACCCCGTTGTACTTAAATAAGCTCACACTGGACTCGGGGGATTCATACTTCGGAAACTACACGTTTACCGGTACAAACAACGAATTTGGCGGCAAGGATATCACCAGCGTGGCGACTTTAATCGAAGAGAATGAAATCGAGGAAGACGATTCATCTGAGGAACTCAAGGAAAAAGAGATTGTATAGGAATAATAATAGACAGGCGGTTCGATAATTGTAGTAGCTTATTGTAGCCAGATTTGGAGGCATATCCGTCAAGAATTGAAGAAATTCAGTCCAAGAATCGAAGGGAGACTGAGAGCAACTGGCTGATTTTGAGAAGAGTCTCTCAACAGTATGTAATTCTCGCTAAATTATGGATTTGAGCAGATTGAGTTGCCACCAGAAACTCCAAGATTGGAGGAGAGAGGTCAATTCGTGAACTCAAGGCTTATAAGAAAAGAACTAAGTGATTGTGTTGGAATCCCTTTCGATCTTACGCTTAACTTCAAGTTTACTGGTAACGAAAACTAATCGGGCCCAATGAGGCTAGTGAGAGCTAGCGAGAGATTGTCTCAGATGGTGCGGGAAACCGAAGTACTTGTCGCTAGCTTCAAATCCTCACGCGAGCAGCTAGAAACGCAATTGCCATCCAATTCCTTTATAAAGTCAATGTACACAATGAGGACTCAGATGGTGCGCCTGGAAGGATCAAATTTAGTCACTGGAATGTTTATGGCATGGATTAGGGGATATCTACCGCTGGTGTGGCACTAGCTGTCGCAATTACTCCCCGACGCACTCGCACCATGCCAGCGGGAGCTACCGCTAACCTCGCGACAATTTACTGGTGCTGGATCTGAAAACGATGGCAAATCAAGATGTCTACTTACGAAGGTAAGTGCCACCAAAGCATTCAAAGGTACGACTAACACACAGAGGACCATAACATCACGGCTGCACCCTCCCGGACAGCTAGCAACCCCTCCAGATCCCACCAAACTCTAGGATCAGTTCTTGAGTCATTCCTTACCCAGGACCAGACCACGGAATCGCTAGACAGAGAGTCGTACACCAATGCGTTGAGGACTTTAAACACCCAGGAAGGGTCGACCTTGGCATTGGAACTTATCCAGACTTTGGAGGACACACCACAGTTCGGAGAGGCCAAATCGAAGGGTGTTCCACCCGAGTTTCTAGATACTTTGGAGAGAGTTCCCATCAACAAGTTGCCCAACAAAGACACAGCAGACTGTCCTATCTGCACCAACAGATTCATCGACGATAAGTATCCATTGTTGGTGAAATTGCCCTGTGGCGTCCAGCATGGATCCAAGACCAAAGACCACATATTTGACCTCGAGTGCATAGGTCCGTGGTTGAAGGTGAACTCCACCTGCCCGTTGTGCCGGTTCGACGTTATGGAGTTGGACAGAAAGCGCAGAGAGAAGATAGAAGAGGAGTTGAGAAAGGCTAAAGAAGAGGATTCGGAAGAGGAAGAGGAAGATTGGGACGTATACGGCTAGCTAGCCCGGATGGTCCCGACAGTACTATTTCCATGGCAACTGGAACATGCGCCGAAAAGTGGCAAGTATGGCAATTTATCCCTATTTTCCATTTTCATTGAGTAGGGCAGAAATTTCCAAGCATTAGAAATCTCCTTGTTCTATAGAGTAGAGTGGAAGATCCCAAATATACATGGAATATGGTTGATTGGACCTCTATCAGATTACTTTATACATTCATTTATGAAGTCTATATACACTATTCCTTAAGGAATTTCTTGAAAGTATCACTCTTCAACAATTCTTGGACCTTGGCAGCGATTGGATCGTTGACGTCGTCGTATGCTTCTGGTAACTTGACTTCCTTTTCGGTCAATTGGTCCAATTGTTGGTTGAAGTCCAATGCTTCGTATGTGGTCACGGTACCCTTGTAGTCGACGTCTCTCAAGGCGTGTTTGTTGATGAGAGACAACCACAAATCAACAACTTCCGGGTTGGCATCGTAGGCCACGATTTCTCGGTGGTAAGTGACTCTATGGAAATTTTGTTTGGTTTTGGCTTGAGCGAATGGGGATTTGATGACGGTATATAACCTCTTCTCAGTCTTTTTGGTAGTAACCTTGGAGGTGGGGATGCCCAAGTAGTAGGCTGCTCTAGCAGCGAACTCGGATGCACGGATCAAGTTATCTTCGTCGTAACCTTTCAAGTCGAGCTTGGCGACTTGGTGTCCGTGTGTTTGAGGGAGAGTTATTGGCTTGTACTTGAGGAGCTCGACATTTATAGGCACAGGTCTGGAAGTCACAGGGTCCACCTTGTTGGCACTCAAGTATCTTGGAACATACTTGAATTCTCCGTTCAATAACCCTTCTTGATATATGGCCTCCTCAACTTGTTCGGATTGTTTAGCTTGGGTAAGCTCTTCTGGAGTGAGAAACTTCTTGGATTTTTGGGAGCCTTTGGCGATATTTTGGAGGGTGGCAGTAGAGGTAGTGAGCCCTCTCTTTATATAGGCCGGCGACCTTCTGTAGATGGAGGGAAGCATGGTTGGAGTTGAATGTTCAGCGAAGAATTTTTTTATGGACCACTGGATCATGTGGAGCGCGGCACGTGAGGGTGAGGATACCAGACCATGGTTGGTTTCCATTGTGGATTGCAAATCGATGGAAAATGCAAGTATGGGAGAGTGATTCGCTGGAAGATATAGAAGTACCGGGGTGCTGCTACTGGAGCTCTTTGGGCTGCTCGGGACCACTGCTACGGCTTCTAAACCCCAGTTTTAGTATTTGGAGTTACTAGTCTAGTAACACGAGAATAATCGTTATGGCAGACTTTTGATGGCAGATGGTATCAAAGCACCCTCTAGTGACCCTTGTATCCTCTGAGTCTGCTCTACTGCTGCTTGAAACAGATAAAATGTACTGGCTTGTTATCTCCTCATTTGCAATCGCCGTGTGCGCGCACCAATATGAAAAATTATTAAGATGGGTCTAGCTACTTGAATCACCAACCAAAATGGGGAAATCCAGTAAGGACAAACGTGACATCTACTACCGTCGTGCCAAGGAGGAAGGCTGGAGAGCGCGGTCAGCGTTCAAGCTCCTCCAGCTCAACGAAGAGTTCCAGATCTTCAAGGGTGTGAAAAGAGTGGTGGATCTCTGTGCAGCTCCGGGGTCTTGGTCCCAAGTATTAAGTAGAGAGTTATTCCAAAACCAGAAGCAAGAAGACGCAAAGATTGTCGCTGTGGACTTACAGCCTATGACCCCAATAGATGGGGTCACCTGCATCCAAGCAGACATCACCCATCCAAAGACTCTCCACAAGATCCTTGACACCTTTGGTGGTGAGCCAGCAGACTTTGTTTGCAGTGATGGTGCACCTGATGTCACTGGATTGCACGATCTTGACGAGTACATTCAGGCACAATTGATTTTGTCTGCATTACAATTGACCACATGCATTTTGAAGCCTGGAGGTACCTTCGTGGCCAAGATCTTCAGAGGAAGGGACATTGATTTGTTGTACAGCCAGTTGAGCTACTTGTTTGAAAGAGTTGTGTGTGCAAAGCCCAGGTCTTCAAGAGGTACCTCGCTAGAGGCTTTCATTGTGTGTTTGGGCTATAAGCCCAGCAAGAACTGGGAACCAAAGTTGGAATTGAATAAATCCACCGAAGAGTTCTTTGAAGGTGCTGGGATCGGAAAGAGTGACAACTTGGAGCATTTGGACTTCCCTGTGGACGAAGGCAGGACCATAGGCACATTTTTGGCCACAGGTGACTTGAACGACGTCGATTCAGATGCCACGTACAGACCAGGAAAGGAAAGAGAATTGGTGCCTGTGCAGATGCCCACCGCTCCACCATACAAGAAAGCATTGGAGATGAAGAGAAGAGGAGACTTGGTTAGAAGGTGATGTATAATAGTGTATTTTAGCAAGCTAAGAGCAAGCAATTCCAGCGAGTCGAGCGAATTAAACTTGCAACCCAGCATTCAATAAATAATCAGCATGATAGTGATGTATTACTAGGGGGTGATTGTAGTTTGAGCAAGCTAGTATTTGGGAAAATAACACTAGCTTAGAAGTGAATTACCTAAATTACGATTTATGAAGATGCCGTTGTAGCTCAAAGAGAGGCTTTGGTTTCCTTGGATACCACCGATGTCAGCGACAACTCCCCGTATGTGCACAGAATTACAAGTAAATAACAAGTGTGTAAATTCAATGCCCCGTATGTGCACAGAACTACAATTAAATAACAAGTGTGTAAATTCATCAGATAGTAGACAAACAGTACTATATAATACGTCGTCTTCTCCTTCTACAAATACTATGTGCTGGCTCAGTGCATTTAATCCTTGGCACCTTCTTCAGCACGTTCTTCACGGTCAGCCTTGGTGTCTGGCTTCAAGGTTGGGAACAACAAAACCTCTCTGATAGTGTTGGAGTTAGTCAAGAACATGGCTAATCTGTCGATACCACAACCCCAACCAGCAGTTGGTGGTAAACCGTATTCCAAAGCGTTACAGAAAGTCTCGTCGATCAATTGAGCTTCGTCGTCACCTTGGTCCTTTTGTCTGGCTTGCTCTTCGAATCTTTGTCTTTGGTCAAATGGATCGTTCAATTCGGTGTAAGCGTTACAGATTTCCTTGGTAGCAACGAAAACTTCGAATCTTTCACACAAACCGTCGATCTTTCTGTCCTTCTTGGCCAATGGAGACATCATTTGTGGGTGACCAAAGATGAAGGTAGGGTTGATGGAAGCGTCTTCCAATTCACCAACTAATCTGTCCAACATTCTGGCGTTGGTCAATGGTGGAGGACAGTCTATCTTGTGGTCGATCAAGATTTGCTTCAAGAACTTACCGGACTCGGCAGTGTGCAATTGGTCACCAGATGGGAACTTGACGTTGTAGATCTTTTCCAATTCTTCAATCATGTTGATTCTCTTCCATGGTCTGGAGAAGTCCAAAGTCAATTCCTCACCCTCTGGGCCGTCTGGGTGGTATGGCACCTTGTAGTCACCGGTGATTTCCTTGACCATCTCGGAGAACAACAATTCGGTCATGTCCATCAAGTCGTAAACATCGGCGTAGGCCTCGTAGAATTCACAGGTGGTGAATTCAGGGTTGTGGGTCATGTCAATACCTTCGTTTCTGAATTGTCTTCCGATTTCGTAGACTCTGTCCATACCACCAACGACCAATTCCTTGAGGAACAATTCTGGAGCAACTCTCATGAACATATCCATGTTCAAGTCGTTGTGGTGGGTGATGAAGGGCTTGGCAGTGGCACCACCAGCGATGACGTTCATCATTGGAGTTTCAACTTCAATGTAGTCTCTGTCGTCCAAGAACTTACGGATGTAAGAGATGATCTTGGATCTGACCTTGAATCTGTCTCTGACAGAGTCGTTCATCACCAAGTCCAAGTATCTCTTTCTGTAACGAGCTTCTTGGTCCTTGAACCCGAAGTGCTCGGTTGGCAACATGTGCAAACAAGGAGTCAACAATTGGACGGAGGTAGCAAACACAGAGATTTCACCATCACCACCCTTAGCTGGGGCAGTTCTACCTGGGTAACCGGTGACACCAATGATGTCACCTCTTCTGAGGTATTCGTGCATCTTCTCGTACTCTTCGATGGAGGCGACGTCTTGGGCTTGGGCCATGACTTGGACTTGGAATCCGTCACCCTTGAGAACGTAGAACTTCAACTTGGAACCAGCTTCTCTCTTGGTCATGATTCTACCGGTGATGTTGACTTCAATGTCCTTCAAGGTTTCACCTCTCTTCAAGTCACCGTACTTCTCAAGGTATTCAGGGATTCTCAAAGAACGTTGGAACTTGTGTGGGTATGGGTTGAATTCGCTTTCACCAGCATTGTTGGCTCTTCTCAATTCTTCGATTTGACGGGATCTGATTTCGAAGTATTGGTTTGGGTTCAAGTCAGCCAATTGGTCAGTCTTCTTGGCGACCTTTGGAGCGCTGGCAGCAGCCTTTTCAGCCTTCTGGGCCTTCTTGGCTTCAACAGCTCTGGCCTTTTGTCTCTTCTTGAGCTCAGTCTTGGAGACTTGCTCACCAGTGACATCGTCAAGGTAAGTCTTTTGGACTTGCTCGGATAATTGCTTAACTTCTTCAGCCATTTCAGACATAGTGGTTGTATAGAGGTTGATATCTGTGAGATGTTGAAATCTGGAAAATTTTGGCGATGATGAGTCATGTGACAGCTAGTCAGAAATTACGTAATCAAAATCGAGTTTGGGATACGGACAACGGATAATAAGATTTATTGAGGGTTAGAGAGCTTATGGGTAAGTAGGCTTGTGTGGTATTACATCTTGATGTGGATTATCAGTTTATGGGGCCATGTAATTGACGGCGAGCCCATAAGCTGGAAACTCAGTTGGTGTTGTTCTGGAGTGGATTGATCCATATCCCTTATTGTAGAGTGGATTCAAAATCGACCTTGTAGTGTCTACGTCGGCAGAATACGTCAAGAAACTAGTAGTTGGTTGGTTAGTCTAATAGAAGAGCCATAATGACATTGATGTACATCATTTTCCGATCAGATCTACCAAAAGAGGATAAAAAAGGAAGCCATAGCATGTAACGATACGTCACCAGAGTCAAAAGCTATGTCAGAGTGGTTTTCACCCACGTATAGACCCATTTTCGTGTCCATTCATGTGTTCTGTTGACAAGTCAGATTGCGTAATGGCGTACGTAATCACTCTTCCACTCGCGATAAAATTTTACCAAAATTTCACTATACAGTTACAGCACTAATCATGAGTACCAAATTAAGGTATGTACTTTGAAGGAAGGTTCATGAAGGGTCATAAGTTGTACTACGAGCTTCATAAAACAATAGCTGCTTTTTATTTTCTTTTCCCGGTCATCATCAGTCGAAAACCACAAGAAATGAGTTGATCTGTAATGAAATCTCATATCACTGCCTTAAAAAAACACTTATGAGGGTTTTTCGTGTCTAAGAACTCCCAAGCATTATCAAGTCTTCGTCAACCATGAGTGGCCCTTTTCCAGAGACCAATAACAAGTCTTTGCACCAACATCATACTAACATTCTTAGCAAGTACACACCACCTACTGCCACCACGATTACGGTACAATCGTCTGTGTTGTTGTCCATAATCAGACACACCTCAGAAAACTACCCTTCCCTCTTCTCTGGATCTCTTCTCGGATTTGAAGATGATGAGGGCTCCATAGATATCACCCACGCCTACCCATTCCCTTACCCAGATCAATACGAAGGTGGCTCTTTCAAGTCCAGAAGCGGTGCCAAGTACCAACAGGAAATCTTGGACAGCTTGAGCAGCTTGGGCTACGGTGTCGAATTCCAAGGATGGTTCCAGTCCACCATCTCTGGTAACTTCGTTACCTCTCAATTGGTTGACGGGTTGGTCCAACAACAATTGACCAACAAGAATGCCTTCATCATTGTCCACAACATGTCGTCCATCGGTAAGGAAGTCGATCTCCGTGCCTTGAGATTATCTGAAAGCTTCATCACCACCTACTTGGACGGTAAGTGGAAATCCCGTGATCTCGAAAACCACAAGTTGTCGTACCTCAACATCTTCGATGACATTCCAATCAACATCCGTAACCAAAACTTGGTCAACCTCTACTTGGCCAACGTCGAGAACCAACCCCGTTCCGAAAACGAATTCGACACCTTGAACTTGTCCTCCAACCAAAACGTCACCGCCCAATTGTTGGAATCCTTATACAGCCAAGTTGACTCGTACAACTACGACCAGAACAACTTCAACTACTACCAGAGACAGCACCAGAAGGAGCAATCCAAGATCACCCAGTGGAAGCAGCAGAGAAAGTTGGAAAACTTGGAAAGAGCCAAGAGGGGAGAAAAGGAATTGGACACCGAGGAATGGAAGTCCATTTTCAGATTGCCAAACGAGCCATCCAGATATAATAACATGTTGCACAGTCACGCTATTGATGTTTTAGCTGACGACATTCTCAAGAAGTGTGACGAGGAGTTGACCAAGAGTTTTGCCATTGAGAGAAAGCTCACTGCTAATGCCAATTAGGTATAGTGTGTATAGTAGTATACAATGATAAGATAACGTGTAGCGGTAGTGAAAGATCGTCGGGAACTTAAGGATGTGGACGTTAGTTGCTGCAATGGTATCCAGATCTTTGGCGATTGTGGAGATGAGAAGGTGAAAGATCAATTTGGAGCGTTATCAACTGGAGAGGGAATTGGTTAGAGAAGTTTAAGCTAAAATCTAGATCTGAGAGTCATAGTGAGTTTTAATATTAGTAAAGAATTCAAGATCAGATGCACCAAGAAGTTGGTGCTTTGGTATAAACGAAATGTAGGCAAGATAATTGTACAACCAGAAATTTATTCCAAGGAAAACTGGGATTTTGACGAGTGGTGAATCAAGACCTAATGATGCAGACAAAATACATGTTTGAGCCCAATTCGTGCCCCTGTATCAGATCCGATGGGAATCGGGTGGGAAATTTGAAAGTGGGATTTGACATTAGCGGCTGGTAGGAATAGTGGTGGAATATGGCAGGAACAATAGAGTGTGGGGAAAGTCGGTTAACAAATTATTGACATCGCAGGGTGGACGATCTCCATACATTACATTGCCGTGTGAATCTACAGTCTATAGGGAATAGTATGAGATTATTGGGGTGCATCCTTCCAGATTCCTATAAAATTGGCAGTTCCAGTAGTTCCGGTTTTAAGGAGAGCTCTTGGTGCCCCAAATGGCAATTCTCGTATCCTCTCGGAGTTTCAGTTTACTTCGGTCTTTAGGTCTTGCACCTCTGGTAGCAACCAGATGTGACCGGAAAACAGACCCACCATCACCACCATCCTTCACCACCATTCTACACCACCCCTTACCTTACTCATCTATACCTCCTGCTCTATTTTCTACCTCTTACTGGCACTGGTTGCGATTTGCACCCACGCACTGGATGCTCATTTTCCATTTTGACAATTGCTCCACTACATCCATAAGAACCCCCACAAAGAGAACTTCCAGTAGTCAAACCCCAGCAGCGCAACACCTCTTCTAAGCACCCCTTCTACTGGGGGGAGCTACCGGCCACCACACTCGCCACGCCTCTCCTAACAGCCCCTCTCGTCCCCTCGATCTTATCGCCTATTCGCATCCGATCTGGTTTCAGCCATACAGGACCTCCAAATACACAATTAGTCAGGTGATGAGCACACTATATTAGTAACATTATTCCCAAACATCGCCACACTACACCGCTATGGCTAGACCAAAAGTGAGTACGGATACAAGCAGGGCCAGCACGGAATGGAGCAGCAAGATACAGGCAAGGAAGTGTTGTGGTGGGGATGTTTTGCGCCACCAACTCACCCCTAAATAAGCACCTTTGCCACGCAAATCAGCCAGATAAGAAGGCTCAGTGGAGGTCCAGCAGACCAGCTGGTGGGATGAGGAGACCACCATAGCGTATGTTTTGTGAAGGGATGAGGATGGCACCCAGAGAGGGGAAAGACGTAGTGTCGATCCAACGAGTTGATCATCAGTGATCCACCATCAAGGATACACAAACCACCAGATCAAGAGCATTTGGTGATCCACAATATGATCTAGTGCCACCGAACCAGCAACCAACCAGATCGGCATTTAGTCACCACCTGCTGATCCACCAGGACTACCAAATGATCCACCATCACCAGTCCATTTAGTGCCTCCAAGATTAACATCCCACTAGTCCACGACCCTTAGCCTGCAACTGAAACACCCCACAAGTCACTTAGCATCGCATTCCTACAACAATACTAACATCCAGTACATCTTACTAGTAAGGCACGGCGAGTCAGAGGGTAACTGCGACAAGTCCGTCAACAGATTTACCCCCAACCACAACGTTGCATTGACCCAGCAGGGCCAGGCGCAAGCCACAGATGCTGGACTCGTTTTGAAGCAGTTCTTCGAGCAACCATGCTTCAAGGACTCCAAGAAGTCCAAAACCGTCCTCTTCTACACCTCACCCTACTTGCGAGCCAGACAAACTTGTCACAACATCGTCAACGGCATCAAAGACGTGCCTGACATTGACTACAGCATTTACGAAGAGCCTCGGATGCGAGAGCAGGACTTTGGCAACTTCCAAAGCACTCCCGAGGCTATGGAGAAAATATGGGAAGAAAGAGCCCACTATGGCCACTTCTTCTACAGGATTCCTCACGGGGAAAGCGCCGCCGACGTGTACGACCGTGTGGCTAGTTTCAACGAGTCGTTGTTCAGACAGTTTCAGCAGGACGATTTCCCCAATGTGCTCGTGTTGGTCACCCATGGCATCTGGGCACGGGTGTTTCTCATGAAGTGGTTCCGATGGACCTACGAGGAGTTCGAGTCCTTGAAGAACATACCCCACTGCCAGTACCTCATCATGAAACAGGACCCACAGTCGGGCAAGTTTGCTTTGAAAACGCCGTTGTTGACGTGGGACGACTTGCCTGAGAGTGAAATCGACGAGGAGATTACCAAGGAGGTGGGAGAAGAGGTCAGCTTCAACTCCAAAAACAAGTTGTCCCAACCGGACGACCTAGATATTCACAGCATCATCGAGGCCCAGCGACTGGCCATTAAGTATAACAGAGACAAGAACAAGAAAATCAAGGAAGCATTTGAACAGGCCAAGGGCCAGTCCAACGGGAGGGCCAATTTCCAGACCGACAATCAAAGTGAGTTTAATAGTAAGGAGCTGCTTGTGGATAGTGGCCGTTAGATTGCCAGCCTTGGTTGTGGATCCGGAAAGGCACCTGGTTAGTATTGCTGCTACCAAAGAATGCGCAAAATAGACGTAGAATTTGCAATTGCATCCCTCCAACCACGTCCACAAAATCAACGATACCTTTCAACTTAGAACCCTGTACACGTCATACCACGCAGCATCCGAAGGACCATGGCCCGATGGTGGGAGGGCGTGCGCAAACCACGGAGCCTCGGATCCCGCTATAAAAGCATAGCTCGCCCACACATCTAACCACTATCACCATCAATTATCATACAACATGGCTCGTCAATTCTTCGTCGGAGGTAACTTCAAAATGAACGGTACCAAGGAGTCCGTTGCTCAAATCATCGACAACTTGAACAAGGCCGAATTGCCTTCTGCTGTCCAAGTTGTGGTTGCTCCACCAGCTCCATACATTTCCGTGGCTGTGGCTGAAAACAAGCAAAAGACCGTCGAGGTGTCTGCCCAAAACGTCTTCGACAAGGCCTCTGGTGCTTACACCGGTGAAATCTCCCCAAACCAAGTGCTCGACTTGGGTGCCAAGTGGACCTTGACTGGCCACTCTGAAAGAAGAACCATCATCAAGGAATCCGACGAATTCATTGCTGAAAAGACCAAGTTCGCTTTGGAACAAGGCTTGTCCGTTATCTTGTGTATCGGTGAAACTTTGGAAGAAAGAAAGTCCGGTGTTACCTTGGACGTCACTGCCAGACAATTGGACGCCGTCTCCAAGATCGTCTCTGACTGGACCAACATTGTCGTTGCCTACGAACCAGTCTGGGCCATCGGTACCGGTTTAGCTGCCACCCCAGAAGATGCTCAAGAAACCCACAAGGGTATCAGAGCCCACTTGGCCAAGACCATCGGTGAAAAGCAAGCTGCTGAAGTCAGAATCTTGTACGGTGGTTCCGTCAACGGTAAGAACGCTGTCGAATTCAAGGACAAGGCCGATGTCGACGGTTTCTTGGTCGGTGGTGCTTCTTTGAAGCCAGAATTCGTTGATATCATCAAGTCCAGATTGTAGATATCCTGTACGTAATAAAATTAGGTAACCAAGTTTAGAAATGGCTGTAGTTTGGAATGCTCCGCAATTCACATGAGTTACCCCGGATCCCGGGGGTGTCTCGGGTAGATGGACCACGCGCCCCAGCCACGGCCCAGGCTCAAGATGGTTGCGGGCGTGGGCAGGCAGATTGCAAATTCTTGTAGAATAGGTCTTGTCCCGGGGCAGGACGAACTGATGGAAATATTACGTCACATAACCTGGTAGTTGTTTTGTGTGTTTGACCAGATACACCCGGAGAATTCCGCTGGTCTAATAAGCCCTTGAGTTACAAGTCAGCTGACCCCGTCTCTGGTGGATATTCTGATGTTGCTTAAACATCAGTGAAATATATCTTGTAAATGTATGGGGTTTGTCTCAGATTATTTATCCTTATTTTACGGTATACTTCTTTGAGTACAGCCTATCTTCCCTTCGTAGCAAGACCGTAGGGGATTTGACGATGGTATCGTGGGATTCAAACTTCAGTAAAATTATCTGATGGCTAAATTTGATTCTCTTTCCTCTATAAATGTCTTGGTCTATTTCTTTCCTATCTTACGGTATATTTCATTGAGTCCAGCCCAATATTCATCTTCCTTTTCTAACAACCACTCGTCGATCAGCATGTCAGTTTCTCCTAACACTTGATTCTTTTCGAGACTGTCTACAATTTGCGAGAGGGACTCTGTCTTGCTCTGAACCCCATTGATCCAGTTGGAGAACGAAAATTGAAGGCTCTGCCCCGACTTCCTGTAATTTCGGATCCAGATTTTAGCTTGGTCTACCAGCCCGCTGTAGGAATGGAGGATCACCTTGACATTGGCGTATTTGCTCACGGAGTCGTAGAGGGCTCCATGGGCCTTGACACAGTGCACCGATACCTTCACACCTAGCGAATCAGCCAACTGGAGCTGTTTTTCGAGAATCTGCACCTGGTGGTCCATGGAGACTCTGCATTGGGTTAATTTGGGCCCTGACTCTGCGTCGTCCTCGGCGACAGCACCAAAATACCCATTGGTAGGGACTCGGAACGGTTTATCGAGGCCAATTTCGCCGATGCCATACTCGAGACCCGCGTGCTTCTCGATGAGGCCACGGATCACTTCCAAATGGTCGTCGATGTGGATGGGATCAGGGAGTACCTCCAACAACTGGGGCGGGGGAGCAGGATTCATGATGGAGGAGTAGTGAGTGTGTTTGAAGTCAGCACCGGACTGGCCGTGGGGACGACGAGTGGTAAAGAGGTGGCTGTACCACGGATGAACGCCGTAGTATGGCACCACTGATGGTCCAGGAACTTGGTCGAGGAGCTGGTCGAGAAGGTCGAGGTCTCCAGCGTAGGTGGACATGACATGGAAGGTGGGAGAGTTCTGGGTGAGCTTACCAGCGAGACGTTTGACGGTGTCCTCCGTGCACTGTACCGAAAGGTGACAGTGGTTGTCTGTGGGAAAGGCCATGGAGTAATGGTGTTGGTGTTGGTGGTGGTGGTGATAGTTGGCGATTGGTGCGCGAGAAATGCTGCAAAGTGAATAGCGAGAATAGGTAAGGGAGATGGCACGAGGAGTTCGCTAGCGGAGATGGCACGAGGAGGTCGCTAGCGGAGATGGTACTGGAAATTCCTAGACTAACGGTGAAAACAGCCCGCAATGTCAGTGGTCTTCAGGGAGGTCAATGGCGAGGGAAATCTCTACGCAGGCTAATGGCACCAGTTGATCCGCTAGACAGCCAATAGCAGTGAAAATCGCTAGGCTGCTAATGGACTGGAAGTCTCTAGAGGGCCAATGGACTGGTAGCTCTAGAGGGCCAATGGCACCAGGAATTTCCTGTCTATAAATAGCGCAAGGAGCCCACGAGAGTGAATATCTTTCGATTGGCACCAGCATACTCGCTAGGCAACCAATGGCAGAGAAAATCTCAGCAGCCGGGGGCAAGAGGAAGCTACTTGAACAATGGCACGAGGTTACCAGCTAGACAGCAGGTGGTACGAGCAACAGGCCAAAGGGATACCACCACAAGCACCACGGGCAATGGAAATCCTGCCAGACAGCAATTACAACCAGAAAGCCTGGCCAATGGCACGGCTAACCAGTGAGAAACCCTGCCAGCCAATAATTGGCAACAATAGATCGCTCCTAGACAGATCCAACCAGTTTAGTTATCTTGCACCATCACTCGCACCGCCGCTAGCACGGGCGCCACACAAATAGCGAGACACCGCTAGACCCAGCGAGACGAACAAGATAATGGACTAGCAACAGGAGCAGCAAACACAACTACAATAACTGGATCTGGCAAGAACATACACATCGCTGCCTCGGGGATAGACATACCCACTTAGTCTCGCCAGTTCCCATACCATGGAATCCGCTATCTCACTAGCATCCAGCCTCACTCCGTGAAGCGCTCTGCTAACGCCACCCACCGCCGTGCGCGCGCCGGTTCCCTCCCTAATCCTCCCTACCCATCTCATCGGGTCACGTGTGTTCCGCTCCGGCAACCACATAAACAAACACGCCTCCACCATCACCCTTCCCATCCGCAATCCATCACCCTACCATCCCGCGACAATGTCGAGTCTGACTCCCATCACACTACCCTCGTCAGCGCCGTTCCCCCTCATCGTGTCGTCCATCCTCGTCCGTCCAGGAGACACAATCCCCAAGCACAAGACCATTCTCAAATACAAATACTGGGACTACCAAGATGACCCCAATTCCAAGGAAGAAGTGCCTCCCAAAATCCGCGTGGAGTGTATCGGCAGCTTTGAGAGCCCTGTACAAGGACAGGTTCTGGCAGTGGCAGTGTCTCTTAACCAGGAGATACTCCACCAGGGCCAGCAAATCTGTACCATCGTGGAACCTTGCACCCACACGGTGCAATACGGAGGCCTCTGCGCGTTGTGTGGCAAGGCAGTCGAGGATGAGAAGGACTATACAGGCTACTCCTACGACGACCGTGCCACCATCTCCATGTCCCACGACAATACCGGGTTGAAAATCAGTTTGGACGAAGCCACTAAGATAGAGCAGAGTACTACCGACAGGTTGGCAGAGGAGAAGAAATTGATCTTGGTGGTAGACTTGGACCAGACAGTCATCCACGCCACCGTGGACCCCACGGTGGGTGAGTGGCAGCGAGACCCCTCCAACCCCAACTACCCGTTTGTGAAGGATGTGAAAAGCTTCTGTTTGGAAGAAGAAGTGGTGGCGCCCCCTGGTTGGACTGGCCCCCGTTACGCCCCTACGAAGTGCTGGTACTACGTCAAGGTCAGGCCAGGCTTGCCGGAATTTCTCGAAGAAATCTCCAAGCTCTACGAGCTCCATATCTACACAATGGCCACCCGAAACTACGCTCTTTCAATTGCCAAAATCATCGACCCAGATGCCAAATATTTCGGTGATCGTATTCTCAGCAGAGACGAAAGTGGTTCGTTGACCCATAAGAATCTCAAACGTTTATTTCCCGTGGACCAGTCTATGGTGGTGATTATTGATGATAGAGGCGATGTTTGGCAATGGGAAAGCAACTTGATCAAAGTAGTGCCGTATGACTTCTTTGTGGGAACTGGTGATATAAACTCCAGTTTCTTGCCAAAGAAGAACGGCCAATTGACAGGGCCCATGAAGAAGAGAAAGTCAATTGCTCGCTTGGAACAAGAACTTGAAAAGGAAGAACAAAAAACTTCACCAAAGGATGAAACGGATACCTCGCCCGATGCTTCTTCTCCCGTGGACAGAATATTGGAGTTAGCGGGTGGAGAAGATAATACTAATTTGTTAATTGAACAATCGATAACAAGAAACCAGTCAATTGAACAACAACAACACGATCGCCCACTAGCTAAATTACAAGAGCAATTGCATAACCAACATCATAATGGAACTCATCTGGATAGCAATTCCAGATCCAGCTCGCCAGGATCTTCTGATAAGGAGGATGAAGAAGATGAGGAAGATGAGGACGAGAATTTGCTTTACGACGATGACAACGAATTGTTCTCTCTAAACAAAGCATTAGTCAACATCCATTCCGAGTATTATAAAATACTTGAGAAAGGCATAGTTACCAACCCACAATTTAGACCAGACTTAACTAGAATTGTTCCACAAATGAAAAGTAACTGTTTGAAAGGAGTCACCATATTGTTTTCTGGTATAATTCCGTTAGGTGTCAACATCAACTCTGCAGATATTGTCATATGGTGTAAGCAGTTTGGCGTTGAGGTTGTGAATGAAGTTTTTCCAGAAGTTACCCATGTTGTATGCCGAGACTCTGCCAACGGACCTGGGCCCACTTTTAAGGCTAGAGTTGCTCGTAAACTTTTGCCCAATGCCAAAATTGTTAACCCAGACTGGTTGTTTGCTTGTTTGAGTACATGGAGCAAGGTGGACGAGAAAGACTACTTGATCTCGCAAAATCAACCAGAGGACTGGAAGGTGAACCAAAAAGACATTGAAAAGTACCAAAAGGCCGTGGAAAGAAAGTTGGAAAAGAACGTAGTTGGAGCCACAACTATTGAGACTGCCCCATTCGAGCAATATGATTTTGAAGATGCAAACCAAGAAGTCGATGATTTCCTTGCTGATATTAGCGATGACGAAGATCCGGATGACGATGTAGTCGACGGAGTGGATGAAGAAGACGAAGAAGACAAGACAACAAGTACGTCTGTTGATTCGTTCATAAAGGATGCATACAAAGCCAAGCGTCCCAGGATCGACGACGAGTTAGACGACGAGTTGGACGAGAGTCCCACGAACGGTACTCACAAAAAACAAAAGGTGGAGGAACCAGTTGCTATAGTAGAGGACTTGGATGAGCTCGAGAAGGAGCTTCTTGACGGTTTCGACGACTTAGAAGAAGAATAGGACTTATCTACCAGCTGGAATAGCCCAGATGATTCTTAAAGATAGATATGCTAATTGACGAAAGTCAGAAGGGAAATACCATTAATTGCCTGCAACCGAGTCGGAAGGCATGGCCACCGGGGAGTACCCACCACTAGCCTGCTACCGAGTCGAATTTTCCTGGTACTGGACGGAAGGAAATAATCACACCTTTCCTACAATAGTTGAGCAAGCCCAGCACCAGAACCCAGACACAAATGGACATAGGGTCACAAGTATCGCATGCCGGGATCAACCAAGGTTATCGCATGAGATCAGCCAAGGCTACTACATGCTGGGATCAGCCAAGGTTCGTGTCCCACTGGCCATTATCGCATGCGCGTCCTGGAAACTCCACAAACCGATAAACCGATGACGTGCGCTGGAGTCTGGCCAGCTCCAACCAATTGTCCTGGAGACCACACTTCAGCCTCTCCCACAATGAACGGCCAGCCGCCTCACATGAAGCCTGCTCCAGCCAATAGCATGTGGCCACGCCCCAAACAATCGCATTGTCACTGCAACAGCCCAGCACCAGCTCGGTTGCGATGGTGGTGTGCGCACCCGCACTACCTACATAATCGTATTCCAACCACTATAGCCAGCCATCTCTGTAGTGCGACTCTGACGTTCCTGATCCAGGCATGCACCAGCCATTCGATGGCCCAGATCAGAGGCGTCAGGGGTAGACGACGATTCGGGGGCGAGTATATAAGGCACGAGGGGGAAGGCATGGCAAGGTGGTAGCACGAGCAAGTCAAATTGTCTTAGCATTCAGCCACTAAACGAATCTCACTGGCACTACAAATATTAGAATATTAGTGGGAATTAGTACAGTACAAATCACTACCATAATCACTACCACAATCAGTACTGATATTTCTGTCACTAAGAGTCTCTGAGCCACTACCATAGCTCCAGTCACGACAAGTTTCTATCCACTGGCCGCAATTTCATTGTCAGTTTCACAGTTCCGATCCGTGCGCAATCCGCAGCAGATATATTTAGCACAGTACTTAAGAGACTGACCTGCCAGAAGTGAATTAGCACAGACAGGAACAACTAGCACCTCTAACAACAACCAACAAGCAAACCAGAAGAAGACGTCTAGCACATCACACACACCATGTTCGCCTTCTTCAGGGCCATCCTCGTGATCCTCACCCTCGGGACCCTCCTCCTCTCCATATTTGCAATCACAGGCTCATACGCCAACAAGTCATACCTCACCCAGGCATACTTGATCGACTTCCAGCTCAACCAGCTCAACCTTTCGGCCATTCTCGATGCCACCAAGTTCCTGAACTCCAAACTTGCCTCCCCCACGTCTCTCGACACCAGAAGCACCATCTCAGACATTGGCGATGCCATCTCGCTGGGCATCAACCAGATCGGCAGCGACGTGGGTGCTGCCAGCACGGGCTCTCCCAGCTCTGGTAACTCCATCGGCAGCGACGTCAACGGCTATTTCACCACCGTGGAGGCAGTCATCAACGACATCATCAACTCGTTGGACTACCAGGACTTGGGGTTTGCTGACGTGTACACCATCGGATACTGGGGCTATTGTAAGGGCTCTTTGACCTCCAATGCCACCTACGACCAGCATCTCCGCAAGTACTTCAAACCGTTCAACAACGACAAGATCAACATCACCTGGTGCTCCAAGCCCAAGGCTGCCTACGCGTTCGACCCGCTCGAACTCGTCAAGACCGAGTTGAACAACACCATCACGTCCAGGCTCACGGCTGGCGACGTGCCCAAGACCATCTCGGTCACCGTGCAGAGCGAGCTCGAAGTCTTGCTCAAGTACATCACATACGACACCTTGAACTTGCCAGGCAGCATCCAGTCGGATCTCACCACTCTCCACAACGTCACTAAGGCGTCGTTCGGCATTCTCTTAGCGGTGATCGTGTTGGCGTTCATCTCGTACGTGATCCAGGTCGTGGCATTCTTCTTGTCGCCTCACTCGTGCTGTCTTTCGTTCTTGAACTTCCTCTTTGAAGGTGCCATCTTCTTGTTGGGAGTGGTGGCTGCTGCCTTGGCTACTGGAGCCTACCTTTTCGTGAGGAACGAAGTCAACAAGGCAACCAACCAGTACGGAGTCAAGTCGTACTTGTCCACCAACTTCTACGCATACATCTGGTCTGCCGCCGTAGCGTCGTTATTGGTGGTTATCTTCAGTTTGTTAGGNCACTGCTGTGGCTTGTTCGGCACTGGTAGAAAGAGATATAGAGCTGTGCCTCCACCACAACACGAAGAGCACCACGAGAAGCACGACCACCATAAGGAGGACTCTTCTAGCGGTGATGAAGCTTAGTGTGCATATTTAGTTCTTTCGGTAGGTTTAATATTAGGATTTGAAATCAGAAGTTTCGTAGGATAAAATATGCTTGAATTCGTAATGCTCTGTGGCTGAAGCAATTGTAGTGTAGATGGCCAGAGAGATGGGAGGAAGTGTTTCAGAGTATAAAATAAGAACTGATTTCGGATTAGATGAGGAAGACAAAATGCCACAACAGAATCACGGCCAGGTCAAACATTAGTGTTATCTAATTTCAGATAAAGAGCTGAAAAATGAATATTAATTCTGGTGATAAAAGTATATCTTGTAAGAATACAACGGTAAAAAAATCACAATGCTAAACCTAAAGAAATAGCTCTAGAAATATAACTTAAAATTGCAAAAAGAACAGGAACAAAAAGTTAAGGAGGAGCACTAGAAGCGAATAAACAATAGGAACCCTGTTTGGTGGTTTCCATTCGTTTCTAAGAGTATTGAAGAACCGCTTGGTGATACTCTGGATTCATCAATTAACTGGCCTTTGTAAAAACAAGACATAGTGTACCATAAATTAGCACCAAAAACACAACTTAAATACAGGAGATCAAGCATGTGCCAACGTTTGGTATCTCTTAATTTACTACAAGATCTTACTTGTTAATTGCAAAATCTGCGCTACCATCATTTTCCGAATTTCGTCATCAATCCAGAAAATAGTCCATCTTTCAAATGCCAAAACACCAGTTCAGAGTCTCCATCTGCCTTTTCCATCAGTTCATCTTAATCCTTCTTACATTTCATTTCCTCTTCATCTTCCCATTCTCCTCTATTAATTCCCATCACGTGCTGGCCCACAAAATGTCTGCTCATCTTCCAGACATTCACTCTAATCCCATAAACAACCATGTTATGTGCCATCTCAGGCGAGCCCGTCGTCGAAGCGGTTGTGTCGCCGAAATCAGGCTCTGTTTTTGAAAAGAAGCATATCATCAACTACCTCTCGACAACTCCCACCGATCCTATCAACAATGAGCCATTGACAGTGGAAGAGCTTGTGGCCATCAAATCCACCACACCATCATTCGTGCCGCCTGTGACTGCCACATCCATCCCGTCACTCTTGGCTACGTTTCAGAACGAATGGGATGCATTGGCTCTCGAAGTGTTCACGTTAAGAAAACAGCTCCATAAAGCAAGAGAAGAATTACTGTCTGCGCTTTACCACCAGGACGCAGCCGTCAGGGTGGCTGCCAACGCCATACGTGAGCGTGACGAGGCCAGAGAGGCTCTCCAGCAGTTGGCTTCCAGTATTGGAGAGGGCAATTTCGAGAACGACTCCGTCAATGGCCTGTCTGGCACCATTCCGGTCGAAGAAATCAACCAGGCCCGTGAAGAGTTGTACCAGCTCCACAGGTCTATCAAGCCTGCCTACACCGTCAAAGCAGATGCGGAATTGAGCATTTCTGTCAAGAAAGTGGTCGGAAAGCCTTTTGAAACGGCCACTGCAACATTTTTCGATTCCTCTGCCAAACAATACCTTGTTGGAGGTGAAACTGGCGTCCAGGTTTACGACTTGAGACTGGAACTGGAGCTGGTGTTGGTCGAGCTCAAAGAACCAGCCACAGCCGTGAACAACGGGCCTCTTGGGCCATTGATTGCCACCAAGAATAAGGTCCTCATGGGCGACCAAGAATGGCCCAATTCCCTCGAAGAACCCATAACTAGCATCATCGTCCACCCCAGCTTGCGTCACCTTTATATCCTCGTGTCTGCACACAAATGGTCCATCAACAGCACCACAGATTCGTCTCCAGTTTTGTTCACAGCACCTCCTGTCGAGTACACTTTGACCTCGGGTGATATTCATGTGGACGGTGCTTTGGTGGCGTTTGGTACCGACACCAAGCAGGTGCACATCCACAACACTACAGATGGCCAATTGGTATCTACAGTGGAAACAACCTACAGCGAGGTCACCAGGATCAAGTTTGCATTGAACGGATACTGGCTTTTGGTTGGTTCCAGACAGGGAGATGCTAGTGCCTTGGAGATCGTGGACCTCAGAAAGAACGTCATTGTGCACTCCATCCCATTGGAAGGTTTGGTGGACTTTGATATCGATCCATCATCCAGTGTAATCGTCAGCTACGACTTCAATGGAATCGCTGTGCACAGGTACGTGAAAAAAGGCAAGAAATGGCTCGATAGCGTTTCGAGCTTGGAGGTTGAAGGCGTGATTGGCCTTGATTCGTTGACCAGCCATGGGGATCCCGAGTACCAAGAAAGTCGAATTAGCGTGGGTGTGGTCAAGGCAGACTCAGAGGTGGTTGAGTACGAGATTCTGCCATAGGTTTGATGTGGGTTGTGAGGGGGACCAGGGCAGAATAGCTGGAAAAATGGGGAAATTCCAAGGTGTACAAGCCATGTGTGGCAACAGAAACGAGGAGACTTCAAAATTTGGGAGATTTGCAGGTCTTCAGACCTTCAGAGCATTGTTAACAATTGATTAATTTCTGATTCGGGGAGGTTAGAAGATCGAAGCTTCCTGGTCAATAATCGATTAAAATCCAGATTAAAAAGGCTAGAATGCTGAAGCTCCCTGGTTGGAATATCTATATGGCAGGAGCCTAATGCTACACAATGAATATCTCTGTTGCAACATAGAGGCAAATTCCTAATTTTGGCCCCCTTCATCGCCAGCTTCTATCTAGGGCAGGTACACGATGAACCATCAGGTTCCGCTTGGTAGTATTTTCATCCTAATTTTTCGATCATCACATCCCATGAGATGCTGCACAAACATGGCTAATAGATTACAATGTTAGACCTTTGAATTCGAATTGTACAGCTTACAATAACTCATCTAAAAATCCTATACTCAAGCAGTAGTTGGGCTGTCATAACGGCCATACTGCAGATTACCCCACAGCGAGATCCATCGCGAAATTCCAGGAAATTCCAACCGATTCAACGGTATTTCCCACTAAATTTCCTTAACGGTTCCTAACAGGTAAAAGGGTCAAAGTACCCACCTCTGGTACCGTTTCCCCACAAGTGCAAGGCCTTTCTCGGTGTGGGGTCTCATCTCGCCAAGTCCTGCCTGCGGGCATCTCCGCGGTCTGCGGCACCTCCGCGGACTATTTTGTACACTACTGTAATAGACATCACATTAATCACGAAGTAGTAGCCAAAAGTATTGTAGTACGGATGTTTTTGTCGCTATTTGAGTTGTGGAGCAATACTGGCCAGCTGTAGCACGTCCGTCTCGGCAGGAATACTCACTTTTTGCGCCCAAACTAGCCCTTTTGGCTATTCTGTCCCCACCACCAGTACGGCTTTCTGTGCCTGAAGTATGGATGTTTCCTCCGCACTATAAGTAGAAAAAAAGGTCGGCATCCCATCGTTTGATTTCACCACCACCATGTCGTTTTCCAGCCAGCAAAAGGCCCAATTGGACCAGTTGGTCCAACAGTGGCTCGCCATCGACAGAAACCCCCACTCCATCAACGAGATCAAGCAGCTCCACGCCAGCGGAAACTACTCAGTGTTAGACGAAAAGCTCTCCACGAGAATCGCGTTTGGAACCGCAGGCTTACGGTCAGAAATGACGCTGGGTTTCGCCCATATGAACGACGTCACCATCCTCCAGGCATCGCAGGGGTTAGTCCAGTACGTGTTGGACCAGCCAGGCCAGACTAATGCATCTCTTGTGGTGGGATACGACCATCGGTTCCACTCGCAGCGCTTTGCCGAAATCACCGCCAGCGTGGCGCTTACCAAGGGCGTCAAGGTGTACTACTTGGGCAGCGTGACCCAGTTGTCGGACGAATCAGTGCCAGAATCCGCCTCTGGCGCCAGTGGCGACTCTAGCGTGGTCTACACGCCTCTCGTGCCTTTCTCCATCGACAAGTACGGAGCCTCGGCTGGTGTAATGGTCACCGCCTCCCACAATCCCGCCAAGGACAACGGCTACAAGGTGTACTACGGCAATGGGTGTCAGATCATTCCTCCCCACGACGACGGCATTGCTGCCTCCATCGATGCCAACTTGCAACCTTGGCTGCAAACGGTGTGGGACGTTGCCGCCAACTTCGCCCAGGGTTTGGAGAGTGGGTTGTTGGTTCCTATCAGAGAAGAGGCCTCAGCTGCCTACGTGGCAGAAGTCACTCGTCAGTTGGTCACCAGGCCAAATATCTCTACCAAGTTCACCTACACGCCAGTCCACGGAGTGGGACTCGAGATCTTCGACAAGTGTATCTCGAACTCGTTCAGTGGCTACGAAATGAAGGTGGTCAGCGAACAGGCGCACCCTGACCCAAATTTCCCCACGGTGAAGTTCCCCAACCCCGAGGAAAAGGGAGCATTGCACTTGTCGATTCAAACAGCTGACAAGCTCGGACACCAGCTCGTGCTTGCAAATGACCCAGATGCAGACAGATTCAGTGTTGCCGTCAAGAGCAAGGGCCAGTGGAGACAATTGACCGGAAATGAGATCGGGTTTCTTTTTGCCATGTACATTATCGAAGAAGTGGTACACGAAGACCAGTTGAAAAACACATACTTGTTGAACTCGACTGTTTCGTCGCAGGTGTTGAATGCCATGGCCGAGAAGAAGGGATTCCATTTCCAGGACACCTTGACAGGCTTCAAGTGGATTGGCAACCGTGCCATTGACTACAAGAAACAGGGCTTCAATGTGCCATTCGCATACGAAGAGGCAATTGGATACATGTTTGGATTGGTAAACGACAAGGACGGAGTGTCTGCTGCGGTGATATGGTTGCAGTTGTATGATCAGTGGTTTTCGAGCTCCCAGATAGACCCAATCGACAAGTTGAACGAAGGCTACGAGAAGTACGGCTGGTTTAAGGAGTGCAATGGTTACTACAAGTTGAATGACTTGGGCAAGACCAAAGAAATCTTTGACAGTGTGCGTGGAAGCTTTAAAGACAACCACCCTGAGACCATTGGTGAGTTCAAAGTGATCCACTGGAGAGATTTGACCATTGGATATGAGTCCTCAACCCCCGACTTTAAACCCGAATTACCCGTGGATCCAAAGTCCCAGATGATCACGGCCGTGTTGAAAAGAGGTGACGCACAAGTCAGATTTACCTGTAGGGGATCCGGTACTGAACCAAAGTTGAAGGTATACATCGAGGGACGGGGCGACAATGAAGAAGTCGCTACCCAGATAGCAAGAGATTGTTGGGATGTGTTGAAGGCCGAGTGGTTTCATCCTGAGGCAAACGGATTAGAAGAACACAAGAACTAGATGAAAGAGAACAAGGGCGCATATAAAAGCGACAGGAAATAAATGGATAATATTCAAAGTATAATTTGTAGGCTTATATCAATCACAATGAATGAAACGGAATGGACGAGGCTTAATTCAAAATCACAACTTTCTTCGATTTACTGTTTTGCCCCTTTGCTTCAACAAGGTTGAAGTGGGTGGGTAGACATTTTCAATAGTAATCGATTGAAATCAACAATAAGAAGCAAAGTGACAATAGCCGATTTGATCTAATAATTTTTAATTGTTATGGCAGCAACTCACCAAGATAAACAATAAGACCTCTAGCATTAATTTAAAGCTATCTTGTTATTCAAACAATTATTTTATATTTTGCCCTTTCGTAGCTTTCTTTACCTATGGTAATCTCTAAAAGCATGAGTTCTCAGCGAGATGAAATGGTAAGAATTCGTAAAATCTACAGAGCTAATTGATGAACGCATTTACGGCTGGCTTGAATGATGCATTGGTTATCCTTAGTGGTTGGATAGAACCCAGGTGTACTTAATTAGTCAATGGTAAATCAACAGGTTATTACTTGACAAAACCAATATTAAATTCCCATGTTTATTGAGTACCCAAGTTTTCTCGAACAGTTGGACTACTGTTAAATTATTGATTTCTCCTGAAATTTTGCTTGACCCATATATGTTTCAGTATCTAAGTGTAGAGGCAGATGGGTTAGACGAATACCGAGATTGGCCAACAATTCAGAATCTGTTTAAACTTGGCCAATTCAAATGACGATAGAAAACATTTCTGGACTTTTGGGCGACTATCCCATCTTTCATCTCGGAAGCGGGCCTCCAGCACTGAATCAATTGGCCTTCAAACCAAATGCTTATACTTCATATCCATACGACAATGCTGTAAGAGCTAATTTTAAAAGCTTCGATCGCGGTTGAGTCTCAAAATTTAATTTCAAATGAAAAAATCGTTTCAGCTGGAAGAGTCAGAGGTTCCGAACAATCCAGCCATATCTTCCCCTCTATACTCACGTTCCCCTAGGTGCTTCCCATCTTATACTTATCGCCCCACCTCAAGCACTCTACCCCCTCTACTTCCCTTCTACTTCCGTTCTTCTCCCCCTACCCTTTCCTCTATCCTTCCCTTTACCCTTCCCTTGCATTGTGCCCGTGCTTGGGTGCAACCGGCTGCAATGCGCACCGTTATGGGCGTTGTGTCTGCCTCGTGGGCTAACTACTGACATGAGGCGGGGTTGGACCCTTTCAAGGTTCCTAGTGGCCAATAGTAGGTCTACGCGAGTGCCTCCCGCAAGGCTTGTCCGTGGTACCGGCAATTCTGGCTCTGTGCTCGCGGGAGAATGTGGTAGTGGAAATAGCGAGCCGCACAGTAGGAGACAGACTGTGGCAGTTCCATTCTTCCCTACGCCTGCCACCAGGCTGTCCGCTATCTTCTCACTAATCATATCCTTCCGTCTTCTCCGTCTCGTCCCTCAGTTCCTCCGTTTCCTCTCTTTCTCTCCCCTCTCCCGACACAATCTCCCTGGAGGCACCATCTCCCTCCATCCTTTCCTCTCTCCCCCATCAGCCCCTTACGCGTTCTGGCCACTTCTCAGTCGTGTCCTCTCGCACTACGAAAATTTCAAAATCAATCCAGTTTGTTAAACCATCTACGTGTACTAACAAGGTGGGCTAGGATGGTAGTCGACACGTACGGCAAGAAGACAGATCTACCGATGTGAGTATCAGCATAAGGCGGCAGCTCCAGCACAGCGCTCAATCCGGCAGCTCCGGCTCCAAATCAACAACATATACTAACAACAGCTACAACAAATTATCGCCCAAGAAGTCGACCAAGAAGTCGCAGTACTTCCGGGTGCTTGCAGGACTTGTGGCGGTGGTCGTACTCTACTGGCTCTTCCTCGGATCGCCGTCGCCGGCCACTCCCACCAGCGACTACGAGCACTACACCGTCACCAAGGACGGGGTCCGCAAAGAAAACAACGGAGCACCACCACCAATCGCGACGCCCGAGCCGTCATTGACGCCTGAAGAGTTCTACAATCAAAAAGTCGACTACTACGACCTCAACGACTACCGTGGCCTGGCAGACGGTTTGGCTCAGGGCGACGTGGTGCTCTTCTTGATGCCGCTCAGAAACGCAGAACATGTGTTGCCCATGGCCTTCTACAACTTGATGAATTTGACCTACGACCATTCCCTCATAGACATTGCATTTTTGGTCTCGGATTGCTCGCCTGATGACAGAACCTTGGAGACGGTGTTCGAGTACTCTGTGGCTCTTCAGAACGGAACCTTGGTGGAAAAATTGAAGCAGGAGGAGCTGGAACGTCAGTCGAGCCAGGTCAAGGGCTCCCACGACTTGTACAAGTTGTACATGGACCAGGCGTACATGGAAAGCGTCAAGAAAGCATACGACACTGCGGAAGCACACCACGAAGGCTACCGCAAGCCGTTCAGATCGGTCTCCATTTTCAAGAAGGACTTCGGCCAGGTCATTGGCCAGGGATTCTCCGACCGTCACGCGGTAAAAGTCCAGGGGATCAGAAGAAAATTGATGGGTAAGGCCAGAAACTGGCTCACTTCCGCCGCATTGAAACCTTACCACTCGTGGGTGTACTGGAGAGACGGAGACATCGAGATGTGTCCCGGAAATGTGATCGAACAGTTGATGAAACATGACTACGATGTTATTGTTCCTAATGTCTGGAGACCCTTGCCTACCTTTTTGGGCAACGAACAGCCATACGATTTGAATTCATGGTTGGAATCGGAAGCTGCTCTAGAATTGGCCAAAACTTTGGACGAAGATGACGTGATTGTGGAAGGTTATGCAGAGTACGCAACTTATAGAGCCCACTTGGCATACATACGTGATGCCAGGGCCAGTCCTGATGAGCTTATTGAACTCGACGGTGTTGGAGGTGTGTCCATTTTGGCGCGTGCACAGATTTTCCGCCAGGGAGTTCATTTCCCAGCATTCACGTTTTTGAACCATGCTGAAACAGAAGCTTTTGGCAAAATGGCAAAGCAAATGGGTTATAGAGTGGCCGGATTGCCTCATTATACTATATGGCATATTTATGAGCCTAGTGAAGATGATCTCCGAGAGATTGCCAAGATGGAGAGGACAAAGAGGCGGAAAAAGACCAGTTAATTGAATACACAGACAACTAATATTGATTCACCAATGTAGACTCCACTAGTGGGGATTGTATCCTTGAGAAAACCAATCTAGCCAAGATTGATACATTCATAGACCACTGTAGGCATTCACCAGTGAAGTTGCACGCTGGAAAAAAACAATCTAGCTTTCATACTAAAATAAAACTTATCAGTAGGAAGGCAGGTTTTGTAATCTATGTACGACCGTTTGGCCATACTCAGAGATTGTTCACATCCGTTTTATTCATCATTAAGTTTCCTGTGCGGGATCGAACGCGACCTCCGAACTTCGTCCTCTGACGAAGCCTAGTGGATACGAATGATCCACACGCACTAAAATAACAATTGGAACGACCATAGAATAAATATCAGCGATACAATGGAAAAATTTCACATTGGGTAAAAATTTTATTTTCCAGCCACAGATCTTCATTTAAAGCATCATTTAAAGCATCATGGAACACAAATTGCTCCATAATGGAGTCCTTTTTGTACCCCAAGCTGTAAAAGATCTTCAAATCTAAATAATTTTATAATACTACCAATTTATGAAGGTTTGACCATACTGGTTTATTATCCATTGCAATAGATTTATAGTCAGTAGATTATAATATTTTCCATTGGAGAATGAATATTTTTCCTTTTCACGGGCCAAGGAATGCTCTGTTGATTCCTAGTATTCTGGAAAGTTGCACTCCTTTAAAGTTTTTTGTCGTCTCTAGTCGTGATAATATGGTCAAACGTGATCACCGTAGTAAGAATGCTCAAACTTCTCTAGATCTACGAATATGAATATGCTAATTGACTAATCAAGTCCTCCTCATTCGATAGACTTAAAGGAACGTTCATCGTGAAATTGTGAGTAATCGCTCCATTCCCCAATGTACTTGACCACATTTGTGACTAAAAGAGACACGGAGAAAATTCAAGACAATTTGGGTTACAATAAGTCGCTTCAATTAATTTCCCTTATGCTACTCGAAAGGCTACAGACACTAATAGTATAAACTAAGCGTTAAAATCTTGTTTTCTTTATAGCCACCAACGCTGATAACTAAGTGTTGAGTTTGCTTACACTAATAGGGGAACAACATTTCTAGCAACCTTCAGCACCGAAATAATTATTGCGGGGGACCAAGCCACCCAAAACAACCCGAAAAACCACTCATTTTCAGCCCCGAAATTAGACGTTCTGGCCAGCCCAAAGAATATTCGGATTTCCAAGGGGTTCTGGCTACTCCTGTTGCATAATAGCACGAAAGGGGTCCATGGATTCCATTTCAGATGTACTTAAGCGTTGACACATCACGTGTCAGTGTCTGATGCAACCTCACTGTTCGAAGATTGACGTCAGTGCAACACGCCAGCAAGAGGCGTTTTTTATTTCAATCGGGGCTTTCGGGAGTGCCTTCTCCCGCGATTCTCCTTGCGTACACAACAAGGCATTGACATAGCGAAGATGCTAGCTAGACTTTGTACACATAAAACATACATTTATGCGCGATTGTGTGTATTTTGTTTCGGTTTTGTGATTTTGTCCAAATAGGAAATGGGCAGTTGGGTCCCTGAACAAAACGCCCGCCCCGCGCCAAGCACTGGCATCGATCCATTGCAAGCTTATCTGGGAGAGTCCCATCCATGGTAGCATCTTCCGTCGTCTCTGCGGCTCGTATATGATTTAGTTTGCGTTTCGTGCGTCCCACGACTGCGTAGGATGCATCGGGCGTCCACACACCTGAGTTTAGTGCAATTATTTTTAGACCACCAAGGGGCCATCTTTGGGTCCAAGCTAGCGGTTCTTGGGGTGCTCGGGGGCCTCGTCTCCATGACCCGCTCCTGCTGCTGGCCACCGTCTCGCCAACAATGCTCCTCGTGTCGCCTCGTCTGCGCGTTTCAAACCGGTGTTGACGCACGTGAGGCCAGTAGGCTGCGGCCGCCGCATTGTGTCACTTTGCGCTGCCGAGTAGATATATAAATGTCTGGCCCAAAACATGCCATCGTCCCAGGCATTAGCGACCATCTACAAGCATTTCTGCATCGGCATCGGCATCTGCTCCACCCTCCCGAATTCCCTTTGAACGGGACACCATCCACACCTTAGCCAGCCCAAAAAACCACCCATAAAAACCATTCCATCCTCCACCATCATCCACCATCTACCAGCCTTTGCACGATGAAGCTTGCTCCTTTCTTCCTTCCAGTGGCCTCGTGCTACGAGCTCTTGAAGGGCCTCACTATGGACACCGTCCAGCACCACAAATTGCAGGATAGCAGCAGGCAAATTCCTCGCTTTACCTCCTCAGACACGATCCCATCGTCCCTGCCAGTGTTCGAGTTGTCTGACACCCTCCAGATCCTCCACACAGACATCTCCACTTCCATCTTCTACCTCCAGCCCAGCATCGCAGACGCGTCCAACGACTACAACCAATCATTCACGTTGTTGTTGGACACAGGCAGTCCGTTGACATGGTTGTACAACAGTTCGTGCGACGGAATGGGATGTGATCTGGCATCCATGGTCAAGTTCAACGACTCCAGATCCATCAAGACGGACTCCAGCTTCCATTTGGAGTTCTCAGACGAGCAGATCGACGGAGAGTTGTTCGCGTTGGACTCCAATAACATGTCGTTCAGCTGGGGCTCCCAGGCGTTGTCCAACTTCTCGGTGGGTATGACCAAAGACAACTTGCGCAGCTTCTGGTGGTTCAACATTAGTGGCATTTTGGGTATTCCCTCGTCGGTGGACCCCAACGCAAACACAAACTACCTCTCGCAATTGCACCAGCAGGATTTGATAGACAAGGAGCAGTTCGGGTTGTACTTCCTTCCGTACTCGTCCCAGTCGCCTCGTGCCATCAAACACGTCGACTCTAACAACAAGTCGTCGCCAGTGCCATCTACGTATGGCGGATTGATCGCGTACGGATCCGAAGCTGAAAAAATGGTTCAAAAATTCACCTCATCGTCTGAAATGTTCTACGTGGACGTCGCTGACCAAGCGTCATCGTATTGGCTCGTCAACGCTACTAATATCAAAGCTGCAAACTCCTCCAACGTGGCGCAAACCTTTAATGAGTCCAGCGACTCCAAACAATTCGTCATCGACACAGGAACCACCGGATTGGCGTTGCCTCCAAGTGATGCGTACCATCTCCACCAGTTGATGTTCGGGTCTAAGTTCATAAATGACACCTCGGGAAACTTCGCTTTTCCATGCAATTCCTCGGGATCGGTGCTATTCAACATTGACGAAAAAGAGTTCAATATCACAGCAGCCGACATCGAGGGCGTAGCCTACCAAGACGACTTGGACGGCTACTGTGCATCCATGGTGCAGGGAAAGGCCCCTGCTGCAAACTGGGTTTTAGGTGTGGCCTTTTTGAAGAATTATTACACCATTTTCGACGTCAAAGAACGCAGGATTGGTTTGGGAAATATTAACCTCACCAGCTACGTGTTGGCCGACGCGGGCTCCAACAGTTCTGCTAGCTCCAACTCCTCTGGAGGATCTGCATCGTCATCCGCTTCTTCCTCTACTTCTTCCTCATCGTCTTCATCATCCTCTAGCTCTAATTCCACTAGGACCGATGGAGACAAGAAAAACAACTCTGGCAAGATCCAAGCTGGACTTATCGTGCCGGGAGTAGCATTGGGCATAATGATCGCCATGATATAAAGTGATTCATACCTCTCAACAATACGTCATAGTTTGTTTTCATCCATCAGAATTGTCTGTATATTAGTTTATAGAAATTGCATTATGCCTTCATAATAATTGAATATTAATAGAAACTGCATATGCTGTCATTATTAGTTTTGAATATTTACACAGATATCGCCATATTGTCTGTATTTTCACATCTCTAGATCTGAATTATGCCATTTCAAGAATTTTCCAGCTGTCTCTTGTCTTTAACTGCACTCTCGCACATAACAGTGAGTATAAGAGTTGAGTTTTGCCAATTTTCACCGCACTTCCTATAGTAAGTAAGTGTTAGGGATTCAAAAGTAATCAACGGCGAAACCATGCTTTTATCCACTTGAAATAGTCCAACCATTCTGTATTCTGATAATCGTCGTTTAATCGATAACTATTTCCTGAAAAGAGGAATAACTACCATTAGGCCAGTGGTAGTTTTCACATTGCAAGTATTAACCACCTCAAAGATACATGCATGATCATATTCCATGATGATTTGATTTTCCAAAGCCATATCCGATCAATCCGTTTGGATTGTGACAAAAAGAGCCATTCTCTTAACTTCGGATAATCTCCCCTTTGGGTCTGTGTAGAATGCATTGATTTAACCATTTATTGAGCTCGCCATACTATATATTCCCACCCATGAAGCCTGATTCTAGGTAATAACCACCAACCAACTCAATACAGTGTACATTAATCCCACTGGATAGATCGCCAACAAAACTCTTCCTGGGAGTACCCCCGAGCACTGCAAGCTCAACACGCCAGAGTATATACTCCAAGAGTTCAAGACTGCCATCAATATCAACCGGATCAACTTCCACTTGACTAGCAAGGAACAGATCAATTCACCAACCACTATCGGAAATAAGGAGTATCCTGCTGCACTGATAGCAGACATGAACGAGATGCTACCCCCAAGAAGCTGGATATTCAACCCTATGACGATGAAAAACGCCCAAATGAACGAAAAGGAACCTGAGAAAACCAGGTTAGTTTGGTCTCCCTTAGCAGAGATTCCGAGGGCCACTGAGAACATCAACGAAAAAATCAAAGGCCCCCATAAGTCCCAGTCCAAGTTGCCCTCGAGAACCAAGTCGTTCTGCGGTAATCCCGACGATTGTTCGGGGTCTTGCTGTTCCGAAACGAGCACCATGCGGTTGTTCACTAGCAGCTGGGGCAATCTGATGCCGCTGGAAGCCGCAAAATCAATGAGCTTGAGCTGCTGGTCTGCTGCAAGCTTGGACAACTGCATTGGCCATATCACGATTGCCAATCTTCTTCCTATCTGGCTCAAATCTCTCTTGAGAGTGGCCCACACTGGCTCGTCCAAGGTGTCGCCTCCAGTATACTGACGCTCACGAACGGTGTTGTTACCTGGCAAGTTGGAGGAGGTGAACGGCGCAAATGTGGATGATAGATCGACTTTTGGAGTGTAAAAGTTAGAGAAAAGGTTGAAGCCTGTGTTGGTGTTGTTGGAGGTGGAAGTTGAGGCATTGGCGGAGGAGTTTCCAGGTCCGTACGCAGGAGGGACATCCTCGTCGGCTATGATGAAGTCATTTACGTCTGACAGCAGATACGTTGGCTTGGACCATTCGTTGGACATGGTGGTGGAGTGGTTGTGGTGTATTACCGTCACGTGTAAATCTGAATTGATAATGGATGGTCGTGTACGAACCAGACAGCTATAGGTTTGGTGACAGGTAATTTTAATCCTAGCTAGACTTCGAGCTGAATGGGTACAGTAATGCTGTGAGGATCCAATTGGAATCTCTGGATCGAGGCGTAATGAAGTGAGGATGTTTCTTTTTTGGCTGAGAAAGATGTAGGTTTGTGGTAGTATCATAAACAGTGCTCTGAAATCACCATTAATAATTAGAATAAATGGGACTTATCGGAGAATGAGGTTTTTCTGCACGAACTTCTTCGAATCTGGCTATTTCTGAAATTAAGTGCCAGCTTCAGGGAAATATTAAACTATCATACAGATAAAGAAATTAAGATTAGCTCGATTAATTTCCGGCAGGCGTGTTGGCTTTCAAAGAGAGAAATCCAACCAAGAGGAATCAAAAACAAGCTTGTGGACACTATTTTGGTGGTAAATTCAACTCACGTTGGTAATGTGGGACAAATAGAATAAAATGTCAATTTACAAAACAATCAGAGATTTGATCTATTTTTAAAGACAAACGTAGAAATTTGACAAAATTAATCGAAACTATAATTTTACCGCAATGTCTCTATTTGATTTTGTGGTTGATCAATCAATAGAAGGATAGTCCATCTTTATTGCAATTTGGATGAGTACAATTACTTTATCTGCTCTTCTATTGTGCAGTTCTATATCAAGTTTGGTCAATTCATTAAATGAATATTTTTTTCAACATTTCAACTTGATCTTAAAAAAATTAGTTGGTAGGCATTATCCAGCACCATCCCTGAATCAGAGAATATGTTGAAATAACCATACACTCCTAAAAATTCATTTCGGTAGGCAACAGTAAGGGTGACTCCCAGCCACCTTCAACCCTGGAATGGTTCCAAGTTGCAAAATGCAACAATGTACGTACATCTACAACAAGAAGCGTGCCGCCATAAAAGGTAATATTCTATGTTTAGTTCCACTATTTTGCAAAGGGACTCAGGCTTAATAATCTATCATACTCATTTAACATATTGGGGTATTTTTGGATGAATTATTCTCATAAAATACGGGAAAGAAGGTCTAGGAGTACAAAATTTGGTATGGCTGTACCAATCTGGACCTATGGTTCGCACAATCGAGTCGTTATTCATATAATGTTAGAGGTTTAGTTTACGCTGTGACCCGCCTTAGTAACTACCTCGTTATCGATGGAATTTTCGCAGCTGCATTGAATTACCATCAATATTACACAACAGTGCCCACCTCCCTAGCCACCTCCACCTTGTTGTCGGAAGGCTGCATGATCTTGATCACTCTGGCAGGACATCCCACCACCACAGCGTTGGCAGGAATGCTTTTGTTCACAACAGCACCTGCACCAACCACCACACCATCTCCAATGGTCACATCGGGCAAGATGGTGGCACCAGCACCAAACCACACATTGTTACCAACAGTGATGGGCTTGGCGTATTCCACGCCATCCAATCTCTGCTGTGGGTCGGTGGGGTGGGTGGCGGTGGTGAAGGTCACGTTGGGGGCACACATCACATTGTCACCGAGAGTAATCAAGGTGCAGTCCAAAAATGTGATGTTGAAGTTGCCGTAGTAGTGCTTTCCGATCTTGACATTGCAGCCGTAGTCCACGTAGAAGGGGGCTTCCATGAAGACGTCGTCTTCCACACTGCCAAAGATCTTTCTCAAGTGGTCGAGCCTGGCCTTGGCGTATTTTTCAGGATCGTAATCGTAGTGCTTGAGACGGATGGCTCCGTAGTCCAACGCATCTTCGTGTGCCACTGTCCGAGCACGTACCAATTCGGGCGAAAAGCAGTTGTACGGCACCGACAGGATCATTTTCTCGTACTCGAGTCCCTTGGGGAGGTTGTTGAGGTTTTCGTAGGCGTATTTGACGAGCTCGGTGTTGATAGATTGGGTCATGGTGTGCGGGAGGGTTGCGACTATGGGGGACAGGTCACAGACGGTGGATTATATATACCGGTGCCAAGCGTGGTCAAAACGATGCCACGTCGTGATTCCGGTGATTTTCCAGTGGATATTACATGGCCCAAATAGGAAATGGTTCCGGCCCCCACCAAAATCGCATCGGCGACCCTACCGCTGTGGGGTAACTTCGCCCTCGAGGTTGGGGAACCCAACCGAACCCGGTACGATCTCCATGCACCGATCGCTCATGCGTCCCCCATAATCCCCATGCACAATCTCGATGCACGGGTCGCTCTGCGTCTCCTACATATGTGTTCAATTTTTCACGTACATTCGTTTAAATACTTAACTGGCTATACCCTTAGAACTTGTCCTTGAAGTCCTTTGGTCCGTAGTTGTTGAGTCTTTGTGGCTTCTCGTGCACGGTGATGTCGTTGATGGCATCGAAATCTTCTTGTGGAAGGTGGAGAGTTTCTCTGTTGCTGATGATGTACTTTTCTCTGACAGACTTTGGCAAAACGATACTGCCTCTTTGGATGGCCCAAGAGATCAATACGTGCACAGCACTGACACCAAGCTTCTCAGCAACCTTGACCACGGTAGGGTGCTTGGCAACAGGAGCACCGTCGGAGCCCAATGGACAGTAGGCCTCGACGTAGATGTTCTTGGCCTTGAGGTAGTCGAACAAGTCTTGTTGTGGCAACAATGGGTGAGCTTCGATCTGGTTGACGACTGGAACGACGTCAACCTCCTTGTCAGCAAACAAGGTGTCGAGGTCCTCGATGGTGAAGTTGGAAACACCAATGGCTCTGATCTTCTTGGTGTTCTTGTAGATCTTTTGCAAGTCCTTGTAGGTTTGGACGAAAGAGTGGCCCAGGGGGTTGCCTTCAGCGTCCAATGGGGTTGGCCAGTGGATCAAGTAGAGGTCGACGTAGTCAGTGCCCAACTTCTTCAAGGACTCGTCAAGAGCTTCCTCGACACGGGTCTGGTCGGTGTTCCACAACTTGGTGGTGAGGAACAACTTTTCTCTTGGAATGCCAGATTCCTTGATGGCCTTGCCAACCTCCTCTTCGTTCTTGTAGATAGCAGCAGTGTCGATGTGGGTGTAGCCGTTGGCCAAAGCGATCTTGACGGCTTCGTAACCCTTACCGTCTTCGGACTTCCAGGTACCGAACCCGACTTGTGGGATTTGAACACCGTTGTTTAAAGTGACAATGTCAGCGTTTTTGATGAGAGACATGTTGTAGTAGTAATGAAATTGATTGATACATAACCAAGGGGAATAGCTGGGGTTTATATAGTGCAGTTGTGGCTTGCAGTTTGTGGTGGGGTGTATACCGGAACCGATTGGGAGATGTACCCAGTGCGCGCCATGCAGTAGCTGCAGCAATCGTGGTTGGGTTCACGTCAGGGACACATCCGTGATTGGCGGGTGCGCCCGTGTTACGCAATCCCGCACCTGGTTAGGAGGCCCTCCCATACACGGCTTACTCATGGCGGAACCACCTGCCCACCATGCGGAGGTTACTAAGCAGGGCCTTGTGTGAAAAGTGCCTGAAAAGTGTCTGCCTCTATCACCGACCCTGGTAGTAGCCCCGTTATTGTGGCAGCAACCGTGCGGCTTGCGGCGTCCACAGTCCAACCCATGACGGCAATCTGAGCCTCGAGTCTTGCTGTTGCTGGCGTCCACCGTGGCGTGCTCTGCTATGAGCTCGTGGTTGTGGAGGAGCCCCAATTTTGGATTTTGGGTTTGGTGGGAGTGAGACGTTTTTCTGGAACATTCGAGGAGTGTACACAGGCAGAAGGTGACAGGATGGTTGAAATTGGCATGAGGAGCGGGCTCGTGATGGAGGCTGAGGTGGGGCCCCAAGAGGCCGCTGGAGGCCTTGGTGGCGGCGAATGGCCAGGTGTTGCAGAGGTGCTTACTAGATTGGGAAATGCAATTTTCCGCGCTGGAGATGTCGGAGAAGCTTTGTAAGCAAGCGGGCGGGAAGAACGCGGATGGTCGGAGTTTTCGGAGAGGGTTACTAATGCAGATGAACTACCAAAGCAGCATTGTAGTGTGTTTTCCGCCCAGGATCGACGGCCCAGTAGTCCGCAAAATGTCTCAGAGTAATGTAGTGTGGAAGTGAGCCAAAGAATGCCTATTTTCATTTATGCTCTAGTGGTCGAAATACCTAGTCTAATGAATCGGAAGTATGATTGCCATCTAAACGCATTACACACCTTCTAATTCCCTGGATTGACGGGACAGTCGACTGGGAAATACCATTAGTGCTGCAAATTCATTTCATAAAAATAGTACCATTAAATAATGCTTGACTAGCAGGATTTACCCGTCATATACTTCGATTATCGATGTGTAGCGGATTTAAGTATTCTGGAGATGAAGTTCACATTTTCAGAGATACAGAGGAGACATCGGGCCACACAGCCTGCTTGAAGCCAGAATAACGGGTAGAGAAGCCACTGAAGAAGCATTTGGGGACTTATTAGTTCTACCGCTTGAGTCGATTTGAATGCTCGAGCCACACCTAAGTGTGATGAGAGTGAGCAGGTCCACCCAAATCTTTGCTGTACACTGTCAGGATTCTGGTGGAAAAAGGGCTGGTGTTGCCAATTACGTCATTCTCGAACCATGTTTCGGACTTTCGGTATGGCTTAAGCGTCGAAATGTCGATATGGTGGCTCAGTAAATATCCAGAGTTTGCACCCCGAAGTTAAATTTTGACTTTGGCCCAAAGCTGTGTTTATTAGAAAGCATTGACCAACTTGTGAGTACTCTCGAGGTTCCAATTCAACAGGATTCTAAGACTTGATCAAGCAGCGCTATTCTATACTAAACAATACGGAGTAACAGTTCCGGGGGCTTCGAAAGAATTTGCATTCGAAGGTAATGATTTTAGAGTTTCAGGCATTTCGAGCAAATATTGCCGACAATTGCAGAGAGCGCCATTAGATTACAGTAAGGAAAGCAGGGTGATTTCTGTAGCTGAGCTTTCGAGCATTAATTGTCTGCTGGTAGTGTATACCAGAAATGTTCGAAATGATCATCAACAGGATACCCCCAGGGAATTAAAAACATCTTAGAAACTGAACTGTTCAGAACATTGTAAGCTTCAACTGTCTTAATCACTCTGTACATTGAAGTTTAAGAAAATGGCTCTTCTCACAGTGATTGCAATTAATGGAAATTTGGTTGCAAATTGCACCCAAAATATCCAGGTAATTTCCCAGCACTTTGAGCTAAACTATTGATTGAATGATATACCCATCACCTTTTCAAATATTCAAGATACCATGGTTGTGAAACTTCTGTAACATCAATCATCAAACAATTTGGTTAGTGATTCTACCAACCAGGTTAGTGGTTTTGATTTCGTGACTTTTCCCCCTTTTCTCTAGTGGAACGTATTTTAGAAATACTCTTGTATCCATTGTTGCGCTTACGACATCACTCAGCTGGGTAATTACATTGTGTCTTTTATTGTGGAAATTTCTACAAAAAAATTGTCACTTCAATTACACCATTGTACTAAATTGACATTACTAGACTCTTTTAACGATCCTATTTCCTCAATCCGAAAAACTTCTTGGTCTTTCTTGAAGAGCCCTCCAGATTGATGCTTGCGCTATAGCTTTCTGTTCTTCTCATCTGATTGTCATCCAAGGATGAGTCTTCGGGGGTGTCATGTTTCCTACCCAAATGAAAAAAACCATGGTGATGCTTCTTTGATGAAGAGGGGGTAGCCACTGAGCTTATGGAGGATGTGGCTGAGGTTGGTAAGTTCACTTTAGACGAATTCCGATGTAAAAGGCCATGCATAGAAGACTTCTTGGGTTTTGCTTCTTTCTGTTCCGCTTCTTGTTGGGCCTTATGGGCCTTCTGTGCCTTTTGAAGCTGTTGCTTTTCCAATTTTTCGTGATGTTGACGGTCTTTTTCGTTCTTCAACTTCTGCTTCTCGTCTTTCTTGATCAGCTTGGTGATACGTTTATCAAGTTCTTTATTGCCCATTCGAGGATCTGTTTTGCTTTGTTTGAATGGGGTAAACCCGGTTATACCCCTGAAACTCTTACTTCCCCCATTGTTGGCGAAGTTAGACAAGGATGAGCTCGACACGCTTGGTTTCAAGAGACTTGCAGAAGATGGTCTATGAAACGATGAAGCCAGCGAAATAGATCCCTTGAGGGCATTCTCTTCGGGTCTACTAATTGTAGTTTTGTCACTAATGATAGACCCTTCACTTTGTAAATGCTTGAGCAGTGGTCTTTTAGGTGGCGCTTCCTCTGGAATAGACTCCGGTGTAACTTTCCTCAGTTTCTTGGATAGTTTTTCAATCTCATTATTGATACTAAGCCTGCTTTGGGTCAAGATACGACTCATCTCCCTCACATTAGCTGCACGGAGAATAAGCTTCATGTCCACTACCAAGGCAGCACTCTCATAAACATAATCAATCACACAGTCCGGAGGGACAGGGGAATCTGGAGATACCAAGTGTTCTAAAGTCAATGTCAGAAGTGTACGTTTTTGTTCCTTTTCTTCGGCATCCTGAGTGTTGACATCTTCTTCTTCTTGTGATGCCTTGGGTTCAGGAAGTGGGGTATCATAAGTGTCAAGATATTTCAATTCAAATTCAGGGTCTTCTTCTGAGGTTGTCTTTTTGTCCGAATCATCAGTCGAATCTTCAATTCTTGATCCATCTTTAGGTGCAACATCAGCATTGGCTTTATAGGTTATCTCATCAGATCGAGCTCCTGCTACCCCCTGATTCCACGATAATTCAGCTTCAATCCCTGGAGTGTGGTCAGATCTTTCTTCATTTTCCGTGATTTCAGTATCATTCAAGGAAGCTCTTCTGGAAGTTGAGTACTTTCTTACCTTGTCTCGTCTTACACTCATATTAGAAGTCACACTCATTTTGTGCAAGTTTGATGACTTCTTCAATAAGGCTATATCCAAGTAGCCATCATCAACTGTATCCATGAACCCCTCGTACTCGTCTAGTGGAAAATTAAAATTAGGGTCAATTTGAGTACCGGTTGTTTCCAAGATTTTAAAGTACCTTTTCTTCAACTTATTGCCTTCCTTAATAATAAAAGCTTCCTTTCTACCTATAATACCAAAAAGCACTTCACTGATCAAGTCATACAACAATGGAACCTTGAAAAACTTGGATATCGCAAGTGTGTCTAATGTAGTGGGGAATAATAGCCACTTGTTTCCCACTTGGCCCGTATAAAGGTATTCACAGAATGCCTTGATAGTTGTTGTAGAACATGGCATATAAAGTTTTCTAGGAATCAACGAGGGCTCCATTCGAAACTTGCCATTTTCTATATTTTCAAAGTTAAGCAATGCGTTATCGAATAATCCACGAGAAGTGGTGAGGTGCTCATCATCTTCTTCATTTTGATCTTCATCGAATTCCTCTTGACTTTCTTTGCTATTATTCGAAGGAGTCGAGGAAAGCGAAGCAAACTTATCTGTATCGGGTTCAGAAGTTGTGAAGGAAGGCAATTTCCCAGTCGAGCAAGGCTTCTTGTCAGACAGTTTTCTCAGGTCATAAGAGTCAACAGAATCTACTAAAGTGTAAGATGAATCTTCTAGTCTCTTTCCTGGGCTCAATTTGATGGAAACAGCCTGATTAGGTCTTAAGTTAGGCACATTAGTCCCGAAAAGATCAGCTCCTCCAGAGTTAGGCCCCGCTCCTCCCTGATTCGACAACGAGGCTCTAGGAGATGCGAATGGAGAGTCTCTGGGTGATCTAGTTGTAGGAATATTCCTTAATTGAGTCAATGTGTTGATCAAGGAAGCACGAGGTGATCCATAGTCTCCGGAATTCTTTCTTGAAGATTGTCTGAAAGAAGTTGGGGTTGCAGGAACAGCTGGGATCAGTTCAGCTGGCAATGGTAGCTGCGGTGGTATATCCTGAAGATGGGAAGTCAATAATGATGTCCCACTCGAGAAAGAACTCATTGAGTCTTTTCGTCCCAGTTGAAGTTCGTCTGGCTTTTCAACGGAGTCAACTGATGGAATCTCACTCATAGACTGATCATTGGCCTGTTTCTCATCAACAACTATGAAACTAGATGTATCTGATTTCTTGTCATTAATGGAAGTACTTGAATTGTTGTTTTGGAAAGGTAACCTGAAATGGGGAGCGTCCTTGGGGGCAGCCTTGGAAGGAGGAATAGGTAACGAAATATGGTATGTCATTTTAGGTGGAGAGCCTTCCTTTTTATTAGCTTGTCCTCCCGATTCGGAACCGTCAGATGCTGAAGAACTCAACGTACCAATTGATGATTTTTTGTTCTTCTTAGAAATACTAACTGAAGAAGATGTACTTTCTGTACTTTTTGATGTCCTCAACTTTTGGGTGTGAGTTGAGTTAGTTCCGCTGGCTTGTTCGTGGTCAAATCTATCAACCGCTTGAACATATCCCTTAGCCAATAATTTGATGAAATACCTTCCCCATCTCTGTAATAATACAGTTAAAGATACAGGGATTCGTTCACCTGAACTACTGATCATTTCAAAATCGGAAATCAAGTCACCGTACCTATCAAATGCATTACGACCGAGTGTGATAGCTGCAGGTGGAAAAACGGATCTGATTTTTGTAAAGTTTGTTTTAGGAGCTGCATAGTGAACATACTCACTGAAACTGATTGTAGTTGGAGATGTCTTATCGCTGGAATTTGATACTGTGGAGAGTTTTCTTGACGTAATCTTCTTGAGAGGATCAATTTCTTCATCGTCTGATGGAATCCTCTCTGGCGATGACCTCGAAATTGATTCATCATGATCATCATCATCGGTGACTTTTTCGAGAAGAGCACTACTGCAGGTACTATCGTCCGTCACTGATTCGTCGCTTCGCTTTTCCAAGTTTGATTTTTCTGATTGATGATATACCTTTCTTCCGTCAGCGGTATGGTGATGGCCACCAGCCAATTCAGAACTTGCCAAAATATTGGTGATAGGTAAACTGACGGTTACAATCAAATTGAAGTATCTTATACTGCTGGTCGTTCTAGAAGTTATGAAATTTCCAAGCAACACCACTTTGTGATGAGACTGCCAGGCATAACCACCCCAAAAACGATGGGACCCATAATCATGATTGCAAAATATGTTTAACCGAGACCATTTCCCCGTAGGCTTATTATAGATGAAAATCGAGATGTCATAGTCATTGGGTAAGAAACCTGTAATTACCACATTTTGACCAAAAAGACCACCTGTAGGGAACCGCAAATTGTAAGGAATAGTTTGCTTGACTGTCTTGCGCTCAACCACCTTTTTGGTAGCATCGCCGGCTTCCGTACTTTCGTGCTTGAGAATTTTCTTCTTGCGGATACGCAAAGGTTTACCAGACTTGATGGACTTACCAATCTTGAAACTTTTGAGGGGATTATCCGTAAATTCGTCTGGGTTGTTCGTGGGCGTCGGAGTGTAGACGATCAATGATTCCTCCTGTTCCGTGGTATGGCTATAATCGTGCTTTTTTCTGTCTTCGTTAGGGTCATAGTGGTGATGATGGTGATGATGGTCCACTTCTTCTGGGAAGCTAACAACAATGCTGTTGGTATAATCCACTGCAAGCACGTCACCTCCGACTTTGGAGGACATTTGCAACTCTACAGGAGCCACACCAACGTACTTCTTGTCGACTAAGTCGAATATAACGTTATCACGAATGGGGCGGGACTCGAGGTCCTTGCCCCCTGCAATAAAGATACCAAAATGGTCTTTCTTGTTGACACAGGTCAAGCGGTTTATGATGGTAATTTTATGGGCAAAACGGGGAACGGGGATGCTGGGGTCCGAGTGGTAGCCCCGACCGTCGTGGAGAAGTGTCCAGCTGGCAGTTTCGAGATTGAACTCCCACAAGTCATTTGCAGGCTGGAGGAACGCCCGGAGGTACGAGGTGGGGCCATCGGCAGGAGGCTGGTCGGGGATCACCAACCCTCCGAACAAGTACACGCAGTTGTTAACGGCACAGATCTCGTGGAAAAGCCGGGGCTTGGGGCGTGGCAACTCGGGCTTGAGCTGTACCCGGCACCAGTACCGGTCGATCAAACTCAAGTAGAACATCTCGCCAGAGAGGTACTTGGAGAGCAGCTTGAACTTGGAGTTGGAGTGGAGAATCTTCAGGTGGAACGTGTTGTAGACCTCCTCGATGGTGCACTCGTGGAGCTCGAGTCCGATGGTGAGTCCACCAAACGTGAACACAAACGAGTTGTAGAGCGTCGATGCGGACCCCGTACGGACGTTAAGGTTGAGTCTGTCGTCCTTTTCGGTCGGGGGAAGCAGCACAGTGTAGCAAGCACTGGCGGTAGGGATGAGTGTGGTCATGGCGGCTAAAGCACGAGTTTGGCACGGCAACTAGCGGGAAAAGCCGGCACTAGGCAAGACGCGAGACCCACAGGAAGAATGTGACGAGAAGCAATGGCCAATTGCTGGCGTGGTGGCAGCTGTCGCAAGGAATGGAATCCAGATGAGATCTGGGCGGCTGCTGGAAGGAGAGGGGCAAGTTTTGGCGCGGTTTGGGCGTTAAATGAACCGGAAAAACGAGCACGATGCACGCTTGGGAGCCACCTGGAGGAGAGTGGGTGGGCAGAACGGGACAATAGTGCCAATGTGTACACTGGCGGGGTATTAGAATTGAAGTGGATGTAAATGGCTGTAATTTTGGCATCAAATTTTTTGTAGTGCGGTGCGAGAAAATGGGAGTTGGGGGAAGGTGGGATAATGGGTAAGGCCAGGGAGGGCGGATACAGTGCTAGGGAGGCCGTAGGCAGGTGGAGGGGTGGTGGAGGGTGGATAGCCCGATAGGAAGCAGAAAGGGATCTGCTCACGTGACCATCCACGTGACCACAACTCCCGCGAGTTCCGGGCATGCACGTGCACGCCCGCACAACAGCAACCATAGCGCCGCACGAGACCAGTCAGGTGATGTTTAGTCCGAGTCCACCACCATTTCTATCAAAAGCCGTCTAGCTGCTATCTAGCCACCATCTAGCCGCCAACTACCCATTGCCTGCTCGGTACCCAACGCGGATCCCCCACTTTCCAGCTACTTGTACATTTCCTTCTCCCCCACGCGTCGTTTCACAACCTGGATTGATGACGTACAATTCCCAATGCGGAACAACAACAAGCACCGAAGCCCCGGATTAGCCCGGATTGTGCCCGGTTCAAGAATGCCCGGATATTGTCTCACGCTACAGTAAGCACAAAGGCCCGGATATCCATCATCCCCCGGTTTTCCCCATGGCACACTATACCCGGATCTCCTCCCCTACTCTCCCCCGTATCTCCTCTCGTCCAAGTTGCTTCACCACACCTTCTTCTTTTCCCATCAATCAATCCATCCTCCCTCCAGGCATTGATACCCCATCACCACCATCATCCCCTACCCGTCAATCGTTTTCAATTGACTGCCATCTGCACCAAAACTCCAGCAACAACACGCTAAATTCAGGTGCTAGTTTCAGCGTCTAATCTACAAAAACGTCCCCAGCACCCAATTGCCACAGCCAGTATGTCTGAGCTCGATACCAAGTCCACCACGTCCGGCAAGTCGTCCACATCCACCAGTCGGTTGAAGAAGTTGACCAGCGGATCCACCTGGGTGTCTCCATTCCGTACGTCCAGTAACGGCTCGTCTGGCGGCAAAGACAAGGTCAACCTTGTGAAGAAGTATAAGCAGTCCAACGACATTGACCAGATCAAGGTGCCTAAGAAGTTTGCCACTCATCCTACGTTGGAGGCTGAAAAGAAGCAGGAGGCTGAGAAGAAGGAGCAGGCTGAAAAGGACCAGAAGTCCGCTTCCAACGCCTCTGTCAAGACCTTGGAGAGCGTGCCTGTCGAGGAGTCTGCCACCGTAGACGAGAAAACTTCGTCTGCTGCCGAAGTCGCAAAGGAAACCGAGACTGACGCTAAAGAAACCGAGACTGATGCTAAAGAAACCGAGGCGGAAGCTGAAAAAACCGAAGCCGAGACTGAAGTAGCAGCTAAAACTGAAGCTGAAGCTGAATCCGAAGCTGCTGAAGCCGCTGCCGAGACTGACTCTGGCGCCGCTGCAGTCACTGATACCAAGGTCGAGACTAACGAAGAAATTGAGACTTCTAAGGATTCTGCTGCCCCAGTCGAGGCCGACAACACCGACAACATCGAGGAACAGGTCAAGGAAAACCCACTTGAAATCGTCACCCAACCAGAGACCAAGTACGAGCCAGTCGAGCTTCCTAACCAGGCTACCTTGGACTCCCTCAAGGACAAACCTATCTTGTTGAACCGTTATAATGAGCTTAATGCTGCTGCTCTTGGTTCTGTCGACCGTACCTTGGATGACCCTAACAAGATCATTGACTTGGGTTCCGGCTTGAAAATGACCCAACAACAATTACTCGACATTGCTGCGAAGAGAGTTGCCCCAGTCTTGGCCACCCTCAACGAGGAAGTCCAAAAAACTAGAACCGAGGATGATATCAAGAAGCAACAAGAGCTCGATTCCAAGGTGAAGTCGCATGAAGGAAAGTTACAAGCTGACTTTGACAAATACGCCAAGAAAGTAGGCAAGAAGAAGGAAAAGTTTACTCAGGAAATCGCTGCCAAGTTGAGCGAATTGACCAGAAGAAAGAAGACCGCCACCACCAATGCCACTGAGTTCGAAAAGACAACCAAGGAAGAAATCGAAACTGCAAACACTGACTTCGAAGCAAGAGAGGTCAAGGCAGTTGAGAAGCACACCACTGACAAGGAAACACTCGAAAAGAACCACGAAGAGTTGGAAGCCACCAAGAAGCAAGAGTTGGAAGATTCCAAGGCTAACCAAGAAAAGACTACCCAAGAAATTGAGGAATTGCACGAAAAGAAGTCTGAATTGGCTAACCAAAATTCTGAGCTCTCCACCAAAGTTGAGGAGTTAACTGCTGAATTGGCTGAAGAAGAGAAGAAATTGAGCGAGTTGAAAGAACAACATTCCGAAAAGCAGGCTGCTATCTTCAACAACTTGGCCACCAAGGAAGAATTAGACAATGGAATTGCCCAAAGTAAGGAGCAATTGGAAGCCAAGCAAAAGAAGCACAACATTCTCAGTGCTGAAGTTGGAGTATTGGCTGGTTCTGTCGCTGCATACGCCGCTCATTTAGGTAACTTGAAGAGCGACAAGTCTAACCGTTCAAAGAGATTGGATGAATCCAAGGAAAAGTTCAGCAACTGGCAATCCGAAAAGCAAGAATTAGCAAAGAAGATTGCTTTAGAAAATGAGCAAAAGAGACTTCAAGCTACTGAAGAGTACGAGAACAGAAAGCACGAAGAAGAATTAGAGAGACAAAGATTGAAGGAAGAGAAGGAAAGAAAGGAGAAGGAAGAAGCTGAAGAAAAGGCTAGACTCGAAGCTGAAGAACAGGCCAGACTCGAAGCTGAGGAAAAGGCTAGACTCGAGGCTGAGGAAAAGGCAAGAGTCGAAGCTGAGGAAAAGGCTAGACTTGAAGCTGAAGAGAAGGCCAGACTTGAAGCTGAAGAGGCTGAGAGAAAGGAAAGAGAAGAAGCTGAAAGAAAGGAAAGAGAAGAAGCTGAGAGAAAAGAAAAGGAGGAAGCCGAGAGAAAGGCCAAGTTAGAAGCCGAAAGAAAGGAGAAGGAGGAAGCCGAAAGAAAGGAGAAGGAGGAAGCCGAGAGAAAGGAAAAGGAAGCTGCTGAATTGAAGGCAAAGCAAGCTGCTGAATTGAAGGCGAAACAAGCTGCCGAATTGAAGGAGAAGGAAGCTGCCGAATTGAAGGAGAAGGAAGCTGCTGAAAAGAAGCAAAAGGAAGAGCAAGAGAGAAAAGAAAAAGAAGCCAAGGAGGCTTCTAGAAATGCCGCAGGTGCTGCCACTGCTGGTGTCGTTGGCGGCTCTGTTTTGGCTAACTCGCAATCTAAGGGAGCTATTCCTTCTAGCATTGATGCGAAGGAACCCCAAGTTGCCTCTAAGGAAGCTGTTCCTCAACACAAAGCAGCTGTTGTTGAATCAGCAGATGCTAAGAATTCCTCTTCTAAGCAAGCTGCCGATTCCCCTGTTTCAGAATTGGCAAACAAGGAAAAGGATGCTAGCAACAAGAAGCATGCTACTGCTGCTGGTATTGGTGGAGCTGGAGTTGGATTAGGAGCTGGAGCTGCTATTAACGGTCTTTCATCTGGAGGATCATCTGGAGATTCCAACAAGAGATCTAACAGTATTACTAGCAGATTCAAGAAGCTTGGAAAGAAGATTACTGGGGGCCTGACTTCTCCAAAGGATTCCGAAGATGGTTCCAAGGAAGCTACTGGTTCCTCTAAGGACATTAAATCCAAGGCCGCCAACCCATCTGCTGTAAGTATCTCCAAGCAACCCGAAGCTCTTAAGAACGATGTGACCTCCACCCACTCTTCTGAGTACGACACCTACTCCATTTATGAAGAAGTCTCTGACGCTGAGTACGAAGCCAACAAGAACGATCCTAATTACTTGGAAATGACTGCCGAGGAGTTGGCCAAGCATAGAGTCAAGATCTAGACTTGAGAAGTCCCTAATTTTTGTAATAATTTTTGTTTAGAGAGCACAGCTCCCGCTATTTATTTCTGCTGCCTATGAGTGCTCATAGTTTTTTATTCATAGTATTATTCATAGTTGTATTATTGATGTTTCTAGTGAAAAAGTGTAGTGACAGTGCAAGCATTTCATTGTGAAAATAGTTAATCTAGGGAAGTTATCCCAGGTGAAAATTTACTTTAAGTGGTTAAAGTGGATTTTTGGATTTAACAAATAGCGACTAGAATAGTTCTTTTCATTGACCACAATCATGACAATACGTTTATGCTGTCCGTATTAGTGACGACACCATTTCTTTGCACCCAACGGCTCAAATGGAATCCAAAAATGAAATACACTTATTTACGAAATCTTACCTCTCTCTTGAACTTTGTTCAAGTGAAATTTCCTTGGCTCTTCATTCTCATTGAAAGTCCACGAGTGTCGTGGATTTGGCTCGAGGCTGGTAAATTCAGCTTATTGTAACCGAAGCACGAATTATGAACTAAAGACGGGGAATTCTTAGAGAACTATTTCCACCAAATACAATAAATATCACGCGTATACATCTATTACGAACAATTCATACAGTACAAAAGAAAACCACCTCTGAATCACATCCAGTTGGCCACTGTGAGCCATTCTCTTATGATAAATATATCTACTAGTTTGTTTCATAAGCATTTCTCTGGATTATATTTGGCCGAGTTCTACCTGAACCTTAGCACTGAATACGAAAAGATTCCCTTTCAATAACCATTCCTGTGGAGCTGTGTTTTGAGGTCCCTTAATCGAATGTAGTCTTCTTACCGGTGGAAGGAACAATAGCAGCACTGGCTCTCTGAGCATTGGCCAACGCAACCGAAGACTTCAATCTCTTGTTTGAGTTGTCGTCGTCTCTGAACGATCTCTTAGGAGGTCTTGGTCTTTCTGCTCTTGCTGGCCTTTCGAATCTTTCTGCTGGCTCCGATCTATGCACTCTTTCCTGTCTTTCTGGTCTATCCTCCCTTTCTGGTCTTTCAGAAAACTCCTCGTTCCGGGTTCTATCGCCCTCGAACCTCTTGGGGGTTCTCTTGGATCTGTCTTCTCCGTACTCCAAACGCAATGGTCTGTTGATCAAGCTCTTGGCCAACTTGGACTTCAATGCAGTGGTAGGACCAGTTTCGTCCTTGAAATCAATGAATGCAAATCCCTTACACTTGCCAGTATCCTCGAAAGTAGCCATTCTAATTCTGACGATATCCCCACAGTGTCTGAAGTGTTCCTCAAGGTTGTCTTCCGTGGTATCAAAAGGAAGGTTTCCCACGAAAAGAATTCTGGAGGGGGGATTCTTGGACAAGCTCGAGGTGGCACCAGCGTCCTTGGCTGGTCTGCCCTCGAACGAGTTGGCGTTCTTGATAAGCAATTTTCTGCCGTTCAAAACAGACTCAGACAACCCAATCACGGTGGTGACATGCTTCAAGCTGGGCAAGTCCACGTAGGCAAATCCCTTGATCTTGTTTTCCTTCTTGGGCAAGTTGACCCGCGAGATATCGTCTTCTGTGACCTTGATATCCTCGTCGGCGCTGGCAGACTCGCCAAAGGTGCTGGTCTTTCCGACAATGAAACGGATCAAGTCCTCTCTGGTGGTGTCGAACGAAAGGTTTCCGATCCACACTCCGAACTCGGACTTTGTCGACTTGGGAGGAGCAGCAGCGGCAGCAGCAGCCTCCTCTGGTGTGGGCTCGGGTTTGACGGGTGGGTTCTTCTTTGCAAGCTTTTCCAAGTTCAACTTACCCTTCTTGAGCAAACGCTGCTGTTTCTTAGAAAGTGGGACTCCTGCAGCCAAATCGATAGAGATTTCTTCGAGAGTGGCCCTGTTGGAAGTTCCGCTTGGCGCAGCCTCCGTCTCTTCTTCATCTGAGTCTGAGTTGTGCTCCACAGGCTCATCTGAAACTGGAGCTTCCACTTGTTCTGGGGCCTCTACCTCTTCATCGGACGCTTCCTTCTTAGTCGCCTTCTTCTTGAGCTCCTTCTTCTTCTCCTTTCTGTCCTTCTTGTCCTTCTTGCTCTCCTTACGGGCGATTTCTGAAGCCATGGTTGTGGTTGATATCTCATCGCATATTTTTCAATATATGTGGAGTGCGTACAGGCGATGGGCCAGCGAGCTGGAGCAAAACGAGGATGGCAATGGGGACGGCTAGGGGGCTGGCGAAGGGGTCATGCTGAGTGTGGCTACGGCAGGTGGTGGTTGTTCGGATGTTTGGTCGAATCTTGTAAATTTTTTGAATTGATAGCTATTGTCTCTGTCAGATGGGGATCATTTTTAGAGTGATCGTAGGGTCTAAACCAATCGAGCCATTGAAACAGTCTAGGTGGTGTTGAGAGGAAAAATCAGTGTATTTTTGCTAAGGGTAGAGTTATATGAATTGAACATATTACTAAGAAATTTAATCTCCCAGAAATCAAGTTCATAGAGATCATGAACATGTACAACACTACTCATAAATGGTTTTTATCTAATGTGCAACTAGAAGTAGATAAGATAATTTGTGTATAATGATCAAGCGGGTGTAATACATTTCATACTGCTTTTCACCAATTCACATCTCAACCCAATCATCCAGTTGCGAAGAGTAGACCCTAATTTCTCTGCATGCTGCCTAATTTACCTTCTTGTGCCGTTTGTATTGATCGAAAATGATGTATCTAGCGAATAATAACTGTCTCCGATCACTAGGAGTTGTTACTTTCACTAGAAAAATCCTATCTGAATTATACTTCCTTGCAATTATAAACACATAATGTATCTTCCAAATGTTACTGGCAATCCAAGACTCGATCTTTTTAGCCCTACAATTTTTACTGGCAATTATCATAAGTATTCGTACAACTAATTGTCCTCGATCATTTCCAGCCATAACCACTTTCTCCACAACTCACCGGCTTCGTTGATGATATTATCCATGAAATCCACCTTGTGATTGAACACAGAGTCATTGGATATAATAATGCTATCCTCGTTGTGTTCATCAACTTGCAGTGGCGAAGACAATGTGGAAGTCGAGGTGGTGGAAGAAAACGCATCGGTAGCTATGGGGGATGGCGAGGTTGAAGATGGAGAAGAGGGAATTGAAAGGGATGTGGGTGTTGTGGTTTCCGATTGCTTGTTGTTCAAGTCGGAATACTTCTTTTGCTTGTACTTGTACGACTTGGTGGGCAACCTTGAGAGGTATTGTCTGATCTCATGTTGGTCCAATTCCACCAAGATGTTTTCCTTGGACTTCAAGAATGCTAAAGATATGAAGATGAGTTCGACATGGGCGTCGAGTTGCGAGAACGGAATAGTCACTTCCAACAAGGACCCCGGTTTATCTTGGGCAAGTAAGCTTTCAGAGGGTCTCCGCGACGGCTCGCCAGACAGATTGGATGATGACTGGTTGCTGAGCTCTTCCACCAAGTCCTTGAAAGAGTTTCTTCTTTTAACTTCCTCGTTGGTTTCGTCTTCGGATTGGACTGCGGGAAGAGATCTGCCAAAGTCGTCATGGGCACTCAAGGACCAGAAGATATCTGGACCCAATTTCGAAAGAAACTTGTTGCTGACATCCTTGGAATCGATATCCAATTTTTCCAAGTAGTATGCCATGTCTTTCCTTGGATTCTTCAATNTCCAGCCGAGGAGAGAATCCCAGATTCTTCCACGATCATACTTGGACCACACCTTGGATCCGCAGTAGTTCAACCACCAAATCAACCACTCGTCATCGTGGCTGCCGAACTTGTTCAAAATCTGTTCCTCGTGGAAATAATCAGACAATTCGGGGAGCACCTTTCTCAAGCAGTAGATGAAGAACGACACTCTCTCTTCGATGGTTCCTCCCGAGATGGGCAAGACGGTCTTGTTCAATTTTTTTGGTGGGGATAGTATGCCCCGGGACACTGAGGACGAGGATCTGGACGAGGCAGAGCTAGAGCTGGACTGCTTGGAAGGGTCCTTTCTGTTTCTCTCTTCAGGCGAGTGCAACAACACCAACACCAACCGCTCGTAGACGTCGTGGAAAGTCAAGTTGACGAACGAAGTGTCGTTGATGATTCCTTCGAGGTACTCCTTCAAGTCAGGGATGTTGTCGATGTAGTTGGAGTAGTCGTCCATGAAATTGACGATGAATGAGTTGTCCAAAGACGTGTTGTCTCTTCCCACCAACACCCAGGGGGTGTTCTGGATAGGAGGAAACCACTCGGCCAAGTTCAACGCTATCCAAGTCAATGACTGGTCGTACTTGATGATTTTGCCCCATTTGAGCGAGAATTTGAGGATCGACGCCTCCAAGATCTCGAAGATCTTGAGCTCGGTGGGCGACAAGTTGAACGACGCCGAGTACTTGAGTCTCTGGATGTACTTTTTGAGGTCCTTTTTGATGCGAGCCTTGATGTCCTCAGTTCGGGACAATTTTGGGGTTTCGGGGCCTCCAGCGTCCTTGGAGCTAGAGTCACCCTCCTTGGAGCTGGAGGACTCCTCGTCGTCAGCTTCCAAGTCGTTGTCTGGTTGGATGAACGGATTCAATACAAATGGATGGTATTTCAACAACAAGGGCCAGATTTTGAACCGCAAAAAAGGGGGGACACCTTTCTGTCTGGCGCTAGACCGTGGTGGTTCTTGGCGTCTAGGTACTTCTTGCACTGGTTGAAGACCTCCAAGTCGTAGTTGAACGACGGCTTTTCGTCTTTGCCACGGTTGGAGGACTGCGAGGTGTCCAAGGCGGCAGAGAGGGTGCGGAGGGGGTTGGAAGGCGGCAATGATAGAGACGGGTCGGACATGTCGGGGAATTAGGGTATGCTGGGCGGAAATGTCGGTGTTTGGGAGGCTAGTAGAAGTCGAACAATCTCACGTACAATGTAGGATCAGTCGGGGGTGGTCCAGGACTGGGATCAAAACATGATGGAGGCAGCTGGAAATAACGGAGGAATGGCCGGGCAGAAGACGGCTGGTGAATATGGGAGGGTTCGCTGTGTCTGGTGTCTGCTTATTGGTTGCGGATTCGAGCAGCAGCAGATCGGACTTTTCTGGGCGGGTGGGCAATCTGGTTGGATCAGTGCAGGCCACGAGGTGTAGACGCTAGCCAATAACTCTGGAGTTCACGCCTGGCAGGAAGAATGAACGGAGCAGGAGGAATGAAAACGGAGTACTGAGTCAAAATTTTAATTTTTAGTGTCTTCCGATCAATTTCCCAATGATTTTTGTCGGGAGAATTCGCGCAATAGGGGGGATGTGCGTTCCGATGGGCTCGCACGACACCAGAAGGTGCGCCGCAGATACCGGGGGAGCCAGGGGTGTTGGCGGAGGGGGAGCTCGCGGGAGTAACGGGGTAGTGGCGAGAAGGTAGGAAGGGAAAAAGAGCTGGAAAAGCGGCCCAACCACCGCAAAAACGGTGCAAATCTACTAGGCACTACTGCACCGGCCGCCATCATGGGTCTGGCGGCTAGTGGACCCGCGGGCGATCCTCGGTGGGATCTGATCGCTGGCCCATCAGGCACAAGACCTCTCGCCACTCGCGGTAAAAATGGGGCGGGTCACGTGCTCGTGTCCCCGTGTGTGTCATTTCGATAGGATGATGCATATAGTTTAATTCTACATACAGGTTCGGAATGTCACAAAACCATTCTATCCGAAGGAACCGTCCCAGCCAGCAGCCACGCCGTCACCCGTCTATTGTCCCAAACCAGCACGATCTTCCGTGTGGTCCTGGCGAGTACTTATGGTCCCCTTCCGCTGACACTACTTCAGGTTTTCAGCACGTTTTGCACCAGGTTTTACTGGAGTACTCTTCCAAACGCACGCTAGCCAGACTGTGAATGCCGCAAAAGCCAATCGCAGACACTAAAGATACAATCCCAGACACTAAAATAGGCCCAACAGCTACCAGGCAAACATTAAGGCCAGCTGAAACAACCCAGGCCATTCATTAAGACCAGGCATCTACCCGTCTATCACCTAAAACCAGCTCGGACACCAGTCAGACAGCTGCAATACCAGATACATCCTTACTACCAGGCATTTACGACCTGACCGCTGTATCATAATACACAATTGTAGCAGTTACACCAGGCCAGAATCCCACAACAGGCAGTCATACAGACACTAAAAAGAACCAGACTCTAATACCAGACTAGGTAATAAGCCAGCTGAAACTAAACCAACTGCACAGAACAGGCCAAACCAGACCAAGCGTTGNCATCACTAAAATACCACCTTGAACCATCACCGCCACTCTATCAGTTAATTCAACAATATCAATTAATCCACCACTTACCACTTACCACCCACCATGCTAGCCGCCCTCAAGAGCATCGCCAACCCCACGGACGCCAAAATCAAATCAGCCACTGACAGCTCTCCTCTAGGCCCCTACAACCACGAGCTCATCGAGCTCTCGTCGCTAACTTACACCCCCAAGGCGCTAGCCGCCATAACAGCCACCTTGGCCAAAAGACTCCAGCTGGGAGNTCCCACCCCCCTCAAAAGGACCTATTCCAGTCCCATCACCACCAACTCCAACACCACCATTCGCAGAGCTAAAACTGTTCCAGCACATCCAAAAGTCAAGGCAGCATCAGAGGAGACCAGCTTGATCCTTCTCAAAACAGTCACAGTGGTGCTCTACCTCATGCAAAACGGACTGGACGAATTTGTACGGTGGATTCGCAACTCGTGCAAGGCGTTGGTGGAGCCTCTCTTTGTACTCCAAGTACCTCTCAAGTATCAGGACTCGTTGCGGTTCAAGACTCACAAGGTGGTGGCTCTCTGCCAGCACCAGGACCAGTTACGGGAGTATCGGGTCAATATACATCGTTTGCGGACAGAAATGGCTACGCCAGGCGTCAAGCGTAGGTCATCTGGGGGTCCTGAGCTCGAAACAGAGGTTTTGGAGTTGGCCAGTCCTAACTATGGCTACGGACGTCTGGAGCAGGTTCTGGAGCGGGAACTGGGGCTTCGAGTCCGGTTCAAGACGCCTCGGACGATGGAGGAGAAAGGGAAGAAGGAGGTATTGCGCAGGGCCAGCACTGGAGGCTACCGGCTTATTGATACCTCTGAGTGGTAGCGGTGGAAGTGGAACTGAACCTTCACCTGATGTGAATATTTGGCGTCTAACATTGGGTGCAAGTTTCACCAAAATATGATTATTTATTTTGTTACGTCTGGCTCGTTGGCAATAGTTCTCCACACTCGATTACGAATATGGGCCCTCCTCGATTTTTACTACTTCTTGAAGTAAAAGAGGCTGCTAACAATTTCTCCAGTCCACCACCAAAATCCTATTATTTGAGTCGTTGGGGACGGTTTCAGTTCCAGTAAATTGATTATTCGTGCTTTCAGGTCTGGGTCGCTGGATGTACTTCTGAGAGTCTTTGGGCAAGCAGTACTTAACCAGTTACAGAAGCTGAGTAGTCGTTGGACAGGTCAGGGCTTGGGTGCAATTCCACTAGTTTCAGCAAAATTTGATTTCTGAATATCTACCACTACACAGTATGCTCATACAATACCACATTCTACTTCGAGTCGTTGGAGGGCAGTACACGTCTGGATCCTGGGGTAGAGTTCCACCAGTTTCAGTAAAATTTGAATATTCGTGTTCGCGTATGAAATTGGGTGGGGCAGCTCCAGCAATCTCATCACCGAATTCTGAATATCGGTGCTTTCACGTCAGAGTCATTGGGGGTGGTGCCTAGCTTTTGGTGTTCAAGTCTCTTTGGATAGGAGAATCTCAGCATAAACTGTGCTTGACTTCTGAGTCATAATGCATGTTCCAATGAGCCAAAACTCAAAAGTCGTCTTCCCTCACATGACTTTGACACATTTTGCAGACGATCGAAAGCACTCCAGGTCACAACCTGAGCCTACATCCAAAACAGACATTTCCATCTAGGATAATGCTATCGGTCCTTAAGCAAAGCATTAGGAGATACTTGGGCCATTGCCAAATGTCCTGGGAAATTTTGACACATTTTGCACACATTCCAGCTATTTCGTACCACCAAGATTATCGTGCAATTCTGTGAAAAACCACCACTCCCGTGAAAAACCATCCCATTGACTACGGATACTCTACGGGCACTCTACGAAACATCCACCCTGGTCCTCCACGAGAAAATTTTCATCAAAACAACCACATCGGGTCTATCTTCGTCAACTCAACCAGTGATCATTATTTATTCTGCAACCGCAGGCCATCGCCACGCGGGATTAATTGCATCCATCGGACTTGTATGCTTGTACCTGTTGGTAGTATATAGTTTATAAGGGAGGCCATTGAGGGTCTATGTCGCGTCAATAGGGGTTCTGGAAACCCAATACACGAAGCACCCGCCACAGTGCCTATTCCCGAGCGCTGGTGATATTATTGTGCCGAAGATGTCTCAGTCAGTTGCTCCGTATCGTCCCCGAGGCATTTAGGATTTCTTTTTGCAGGCGAGATCGGGGTCACGTGCAGATCCCGGTGTGGCGAATTTCTTTTTCTTCCCCATCAACGGCCTGGATGCCTTGCCTAATCTGGCATGGCTAAATTGCTTTTGTGCATTTCCAGCAGATTCTGTGCGTGGTGCATTGCTTTTTCCTGCCTTCCGAGCACCAGCCGTCACGTGTAACCCTGTGGGCTGTTATCTACCGCATACAAAATAGGGGGCGGCGTGATTAGCCGCTCTGAGTAATCAATTTTGCGCTGGTATAAATAGGGAGAGTTGCCACCCATTATTTGTTCATCATTTACAATCAATACACACACATTATACAATGCAAATCTTCGTTAAGACTTTGACCGGTAAGACCATCACCTTGGAAGTTGAATCTTCCGACACCATTGACAACGTTAAGTCCAAGATCCAAGACAAGGAAGGTATCCCACCAGACCAACAAAGATTGATCTTTGCTGGTAAGCAATTGGAAGACGGTAGAACCTTGTCTGACTACAACATTCAAAAGGAATCCACTCTCCACTTGGTTTTGAGATTGAGAGGTGGTATGCAAATCTTCGTCAAGACCTTGACCGGTAAGACCATCACCTTGGAAGTTGAATCTTCCGACACCATTGACAATGTCAAGTCCAAGATCCAAGACAAGGAAGGTATTCCACCAGACCAACA